ACAATGGGAAGCAAATCACACACAGGAGAGGGAGGTGGAGGCAGGATTTGCATTCAGTTTCGTATACCATGGGGAGTTGTGGACCAAGGGGGTTGTGTCAAAGGCACCGTCGGAAAAGGTATGTTTTGAAGAGGGATTTGTTTTTTTTGTTTTTTTTTTTTAAATCATATTTATTAAAGTTTCCAAAAATATAAAAATACAAAGAAAAAAGACAAAAGAAAAAAGATATTTAAAAGCCTTACTTTCATTCCCTACTTTCTGGGACTCCCCCCCTCCCCCCCCAATTGTATTCCCCTTTCCTTAATTTGGTTCTACAAGCTCTCACTCCCAATTTAAAAGCTTAATTTGTTTAACCCACTATCCAGATTGAATTGTACAAATCTTACCACCGTCCCACATCATTAACAGAAAAGAAAAAGATTTTCCCCAAGATCCACCCCAATTCCTTCCACAAATTCCCTTTTTTTAAACACGTCCGATCAAAATAAAATAACATGCGTAAGTTATGTAAAAAATAAAAATAAGAGATATAGAAAAATTCAAAAAATGGTTACACAGCCTTTGGATTTCAAATCTCCCCCTTCCCGGTTTGAATTCCCCATGTCCATCAGTCTATACATTATCAGCTTGGAAGTCTCATTTCATGACCAGATTTCTCCCGATTCCATCTTGCCGGTTTTCTTTTAGTTTATTAATTTAAATAATATTTGACTTCAAATGTCCAATCTAACAAAGGCCTTTAATTTCCTTGATCTTTACCACTCCTCCCGTTGTTCTTTCCGTGTCGTAATCAGTCCTTTATTCTTCTTATTCCTCACTTTCTCAGGTTTCTTGTCCTGTTCAGCTGCTAAAACTTTCTAATTCAGAAATCTAGTGTCTCTGCAGAGGTTTGTTATTCAGGAACAAAAACTTACGTCCAGTCCCTTTCTTTCTTCAATAACAAATTCCATTGTCTTCCTCTGTAGACAAAATACTCTTTCAGTTTTGCAGCTTTCCCAGAAGATAACAAATCCTGTGCGAATCCCCGGGTATTTTTCCACTTACGACCGTTCTTGTAGTATCCCGAAACCCCTCTAGGGGGATTGTAATAACTTTGTATCCTCTAATCCAAAAGTCAAATTGTTGCTTATTTTCCAACAGTTTATATCCATATTATAGCAAATTGTAACAAAATTAACCAGCAAGATCCTCATAAAGTCCTCTTTATATTCTCCAGCTTTGACAGCCACTTTGACAGCTGTCAAAGTCTCCGTCTCTCTTCACCAGGCTCCACGAATCGCCCCGGTTCCCGGGGGGGGGGGTGCATGTGTCTTCTCACCCTCCACTCTTCTCCTCCAGCACATTTCTTATAATTTCCCATCGTGAAATTAATGATTTTTATCAGAGACATACTTCCCTTTGGACCTTGGTTACCCAGTCCTTGTTTTGGAATGCTTACAATAGGGGGGGGGGATTGACTTCCTTTTAAATCGCCCCGCTCGTGCCAAATCAAAATTTTGAACCCGGTTTCCCAATTACTCACGGGTTGTTGTTAATAGTCCAAATTTTCAATAGAAGAAGTCAGCGCTCTCCGTCGACTGGCATGCGGCTGCGCTCGGCAGGGAACGCAGTGGACTCAAGCACCACGCCACTCCCGGCACCCGATCCGAAGCCTTTAAAAGGCTCCTTCACGAGTCGGGAGGGCGCTAATGGTGCAAGCCGAGTCACCCATGTCCACGGACTCCGTGCCCGTGGTTTTTAAGGGTCCCCGCGTCGCCGGCGCGGTAGGACCCAGCCCCTGCCGAGCAGACTCCCTCCGAGCTCCGGAGGGAGTCCGCCATTCGGCGATGGCGCTAACCCAGAAGTCCTGTTTTGAAGAGGGATTTGAAGCTGCATCATGAGGCTATGCACGGAAGCTGTTCTTGGCATGAGGGAGAAGAGAGGGCAGCTGAGTGGTTTGCAAGCTCATACCTCAAATTTCAAATACAAAACTGATTAAGATTACATAGTAACAAGAGAGGCACCCTGCGCATGGCCCGGGGCTAAGACCAGACATTAAGAACAGGTTCCAAGATTGAATTCTAGCTGTAGTTTTCTTTGCAGGATAATCCCTATCTGTTAGTCAAAGTAGGAGGTGCTGAGAGCCTTTCCCCTCCAGGGATGCCAGCAGTGGAAGTGGCCACCCCACACTCTCACAAACCTACATGCCATCACTTCTGCTCTATAGCACATGCTCTCCCACAGGTGCACTCAGCTGACATGCACAGAACAGCTACCTCCCTGCTCATCAAACAAGGATTTGATGACTGGGGAAGGGGCAGTGTGTATGCCCATCAGAGTGCTGTAAAGGAAAACTGCCCAGTTTGTACCCTATGGGACATGGCAAAATGGTTTGTTCCGCTTCCCCTCCCTCCCGAGCATGTGGGGGCACAAGGTAAAATCATGGGCTTAGTGTAACACCTGAACAGGGAATTGTGGTTTTTTACACCAAACCAAACCACAATCTGTAGCCGAGGTTTGTTTTAGTGAAACTAACCACAATCTCCAGTTCACATGTAACATTAAGCCATGCATCATGATTTCTTTCATTCATATGCCACCGTGGAGGGGCAAAGTGGGTGGAAAGGGGGTGTAAGCGGTAAACCATTACCTATGGTTTACTTTGACACATGAACCAGGTTGTTTCATTTAGTACTAGCATCCCAGGGAATGATTGGACTATAGAAGTGCCCAGACAGCTCAATCTATCTTTCTGCAACACAGTGCCCTCCAGGTGTTTTGGACGACAACTCACATCATCCCTGACCACTGGCCATGGCTGATGGGAGCAATAGTCTTAACATCTGGAGGGTGCCATACTTGGGGGGTCCCTGTAGGATGGACAAGACAAGGGTAATAAGACAACTATTTCCCAAGTGAAGCATCCACACAAGTCATCCCAACTGTTACGCTGAAACCTAAGCCAACCGTTGTCATGTTGTTTTACTGGAGATGAAGAGTCTGGTTTCCTAGTACTTCAGAGGCCATATTTCCCCAGATCATAGCCAACTGGAGCAAGCAACAACGTGGGTCTTCCTGCAAGTCCTTTTGATGTTGCTTGAACTGTGGACGAAGCAAGCAGCGTTTTTATTTAAGACTCTAAAAGCAGTAAAGTGGCATGCTTCTTCTGCAGTGAGAGAGAGCTCAAAAGAAACTCAAGTGTTTTCCTGTTTCCAACAGAATCTCAAGGACCACCTCAAAGCACATTGCAGATCAGAGGAGATCCTTGGCCCAGAATTAAAACAGAGACAACACCAACCAACACAATGCAAACTGTGAATCATCACAGGAACTGTAGCATTGGTACCATTTACTCCTATACTCAGAATCGTTTCACAACTTTTATTGTTTATTATCACAACCATCCTGCAGAGTAGATCATTTCAAATCTCACTTTACACATGTGGAACTAAAGTTAACATAGAGAGCAACTTGCTCAAGGCCACCCAGTGAAGTAAGTACATGGCTGAGGCAGAACCTGAGTCCAGAACACCCAGCTTCAAATGAAGCACTCAGGTCTCAGGAACACATTACAAAACTTTGCGACAGAACAGACAATTTGAAAAGGGAAATCAATCGCATGCATACGCAGCTGCTGCTGCAGAACAGGATCAAAACAACAACAAACAAACCTATGGTCACATAAAGCATCCTCAATAAACACATGAGACGTAACCGGCTATGTTCTTAGATAAATATGGTATACTATTCAATGGATCAATTTGTAAAGTTCAACAGAAGTAACTCATAAAGTTCAACAAATGAACAAAGCAGAAGACCCAGTGGATCAGATCATTCTCCAGTCAGTTCATGCATTACACAGGTCCATCTGTGTAATGGTGTCTATTCCACCTGTCTGTTCATAAAGTCCAAACAATCCACATGAAAGGTGGTTACACTTCCACAAAATCTTTTCACAGAGTCTAGACAAGGATGTCCAGAATATTGGCCTTCATCAGTAGTTAAAGCACTAAGTAATGCAAAAAAACCAAAAACAATATCATGATCTCACACATTTTACAGCAAAAATAGTATCAAACAATAAACAACTGTACATCAAAGGGACCTTATGCATGAACTGACTAGAGAATGAACTGATCTACTGGATCTTCTGCTTTGTTCGTTTGTTGAACTTTATGAGTTACTTCTGTTGAAATTTACAAATTGATACAATGAATAGTATACCTTATTTATCTAAGAACACAGCCGGTTACGTCTTGTGTGTTTATTGTTAATGCAGAACAGGATCAGGCAGTGCCCCCAGAAGATTAAAAAAAGCCAGAGCATCATAGAATTGTAGAGTTGGAAGGGACTCTGAGGGTCATCTAGTTTCTTTTTCTTTAAAAAAGGCAGGCAAAAGTGCACTTCACAGGCATCAAAATTCAAAGTAACCATTTGTGAGCTGGCTCTAGATGGGTACTTTTAAAAACTTTTTAAAACCGAACTGAAATCCATGCATGGTAAATCAAGAGCAGATAGGCTGAGGGTGTCTTGCATCTGCCATCTTCCTTGAATGCCCCCCCCCCCCCCAAATATCCCTTAATGACTGTTAATGGCTGCAACCTGATCCAAGGCTTAGCTTGGAAGGAAAAGGAGATCCCCTCTTTGATCACAGACTTTCCCCTGCTGCTGCCAAGGAGAAGCCAGCAAACAAGTGTGACAGCCACAGTGAGCTCAGCCGTTCCACGTGCAAAGCGGCTCATTTTCAGCCATTTGTTCCATGGTGTGCGCCTCCTGGAGCAGGGAAGAGGGTGACCAAGTGCAGAAATTATTTCGATCTTCTTGGACAAAAGAGGCGAGAGCTGAACCACTGGGTGGGAGGAGCCAAGTGTCAAAAGGGCAGACTTCATTAAAGAAAAGGAGCTAATGAGAAACCAACTCTGATCTGGGGTGACAGCCAAGAGAGCAAGGAATGTTTATGCCTGGGCCAGGAATCCCTTTTGCACACCAGCACAAATATTCTTTTTCATACTCCCAGCAGTCTAACCACCATGCAAGGTGGAGATGAAAACAACGTTATCTTGGTCTTGGAGCAGATAGTCCAGCTCCCCCTGAATGAAGAAAAAGAAAGCAAAATGAGAATGATTTCTGTATCATTTACTTTATATGAGAAATGGGAAGTGTTCAGCTTTCCAGATGTTGTTGGACTTTAACCTCTATTAGCTTGTCTGGCTAACAGTCAGTGATGATGAGAGCTGGAGTCTAGCAAGATCTGGAGAGCCACATATGTTCCCCATCCTTGCTCTATACATTGACATCTTAATGCTTTAGCTTCTGTTGCTTTTATAGTAAGAGCAGCCAAAACTAGACCAGAAACCTGTTTTGCACTGCGGCCAGTCAGATGTCAGTTCATTTTCAGGCCAAATTCAAGGTGTCCTAATAATTTTAAATGTTAATAATAATAATAATCCAAGATGCACTAATAAATTATTATTATTATTACTACTACTAGTAGTAGTAGTAGGAATGCCTCTAGGAATCCCACAAAATATTTTATTTAGTTCTGGTGTCTATGCACCACATTTCTTGGCATGAAGCAGCTCATACACAAAATTTAAAAAACATAAAAACACTACTAAAAACCATCTCATTACAATTACAAAACTGAGGTAGTCGTACACAAAAGATCAGAAATCCAGGCACCATTTCCTCCCTCCCTGAAGTTGAGGGGATCCAGTCACTCTAACAATGGTCGGCAAGAGAATTTGCAACACAGTTCCAAATAAACAAGATCCCCAAATGGCAGAATCCATACAAACCATCAACTCCCAATCTGCATCATTGATCAGCACCAAGATTCCAGGCCGCCTGCAACAAAACAGAGAAGCTGTTGACAGAACAGGGAATAAGTCTCTGGAGGAGGAGGGGAAGGGCTGTCGCTCAGTGGGAGAGCACCTGCTTTGCATGCAGAAGGCTCCAAGTTCGATCCCTGACACCTCCCTACCTGAAACCCTGGCAAGTCAGTTATGTAGACTACACTGAGCTAGGTGGGCCAATTAGGAAAGGTACTAATCATAGATCTAGAGCAGGGGTGTCAAAACTTTTTTCAAAGAGGGCCAGATTTGATGAAGTGAAGGGCTGTGAGGGCCGACCAAAAGGCGAACCAAAATTGTTAACCTTTTTTTAGGATTGAAGTTGTTGAGCAGTTTTTTATGATTTTACCCCAAAGTTGTTGAGCTTTTCTTAGGATTTTACCCCAGTTGTTGAGCAGCTTTTTTTAGGATTTTACTCCAGTAAATAAATTGCCACAGAGGCAGGATTAAACCGACTGGTGGGCTGGATTAGGCCCCCTAAATGGACTTTGGACACCACTGATCTAGAGGGTGTCTTGTAGGTCAAGTCCCTTCCTTGAGGCAGGAAATCCAGAGATCTAGAGCATTCAAAGCAGACCTAGTCATCAGCTGTCCAGCGTCTGCATGGAAACATCCAGTGAGGGAGAGTCCAACTCTAAGAAATTAGTTCCAGTGTTGAACTCTTAATTTGCAATTAAGAGGCTTCTCCTAATGCTCAGCCCACATCAGTCATCCTGTAACTTAAGTCTATTAGAGCTAGTCTTTGCCTTCTTCTGTACAACAGTCCTCTCGTGCCAAAATGACACCACCACATCTCTCCTCAGTCTTGTCTTCTCTAGGCTAAATATGCCCAGTTCATTCAACATTTCCTTGCTGGACTTGTTTTTCATACAGGTCGTATCCAACTCTGAGTCTACTCTAACTGAGTATGCAACTGTACTATTACTGCAGTCCTCTGGAACTCCTGAAAGGATATTTGTCTACATCCCTCTTAAAGTGTGGCGTCCAAAAGAGAGGACCAGATTGGTTACCTTCTTGTGACTTGAGAGCTGCCTGTGCAGCCTAAAATCACATTCAACTTTTCTTTTTCTTTTTTCAGCATCATGTTCAGCTTGTGATTTACTGCAGTTAAAGCTTATTTTAAAAAGAAAAAAATATCCTCCATCTCTTCAAAATGACTTTAATATGGCTTACAACAGTAAACTAAAACACTACCAAGTCATCCCGATATCATTTTCACATGTACCACAGCCAAACATCTCCCATTATATTCATTATTTAAGCCAGATTTTGCTCTGGGTCATTGTGCTCTCTGAGCAAAAGACTTTCAGACCTTGGGTTCATACATTCTCCTCTTCCCAGAAATGATGAAAAGCCTTTTGATTGATAAAGAACTCCAAACTTCAGATTAACACCTGCCAATTCTTAGGGAGTGGAATGATCACAGAATGAATGGTGTCTGCTGCCTGCCAAAATGCAAGCACAATTTTAAGCAAAATTTGAAACACAATGCAGAAAAAGGCAATTAAGTAGCTGAGAACTATACAGTGGTACCTCAGGTTAAGAACTTAATTCATTCTGGAGGTCTGTTCCTAACCTGAAACTGTTCTTAACCTGAGGTACCACTTTAGCTAATGGGGCCTCCTGCTGCTGCTACACGATTTCTGTTCTCATCCTGAAGCAAAGTTCTTAACCCGAGGTACTATTTCTGGGTTAGCGGAGTCTGCAACCTGAAGTGTCTGTAACCTGAAGCGTCTGTAACCTGAAGCTTATGTAACCCGAGGTACCACTGTATAAGCTTTCATTTCTGAAGTTTCTGGATCTCATGCTTGCAGAGTTGTGACTGAAAATGTACAGCATCTGAAAAGCTGCCTTACACCTGGTCAGACTATTTCTCCATCAAGACAAATTCTACTTACTGATGGGAATGATCTGTTACTGTCAAATAGGGATACCATTGGAGATTGAAGTTGGGACTTTCTACATGCAAGGCTCATGCTCGGCCACTGAGCTATGGCCCTTCCCCTTCTCCTGCCATGTACTCATCTGCTTACTGCCGAAAACTCAGTACCTGCTCAGCAAATGAGATATCACTAGATGTTGCCTTAGCATTTTTCGAGCTTAGGTTATCTTCACCTCCCTATTATTATTATTATTAGCACTACTAGTGGTAGTATGCATATAACAATGCAAATGTTTGAGAGATACACAAACAGAGAATGCCCTGCTTTTTTGACATCATATGTTCCACAGACTAGCTCTATTCTGTCTTTAAAACAACTGCAGAGATTAAGGATCATGAAATCTGCATTCAATACCAAATTTCACGCTGGCATGGTGTAATCACAGAATACATCCAACAATGACCATTACTTGCTCCTATGCTTGTGTATAGCTTGTGTGCTAAATATACATCATTTCCCCAATTCATCAAATGGCTCAAGGTTTATTTATTTATGCCACCACTTCTCAGCCAAGATAGGTTCCCAAAGCAGTTTACAGACACTCATGATCCACCACAAAATACTGAATCTAACCCCCTCTACAAATTACCCCCCCCAAACCCTGCATTGCTTCATAGGAAAGGTGATCCAGCTTCTTTGCCATTTCAGTGGTCTTTTTGCTGGCTCTACAACACCCTCTTGGGATTGTGTGTATGTGAGGCAGGGGGTGGGGTGGGGGGGCTGACCGAAATGGCACTTTCCCCTCTCCCACAAAATAATCCCTTCTGTTCCACAAAGTGTTCTGAAGGGGAGGGGGTGTAATGAATTAAAATAAATGGAAGAAACTGCAAAATGGAGGTGATGGGACTGCCCATTGAAAGCTTGGAGAGGAAGACCAAATGCAGAGGAAAATTGCCCCAAAGCTGGCTGTGAACCAGCGGCAGCTTTTTCTCAACACCACGCAGCCCAGTCCCGTAATTGAAATCTGTTCCCTGCAAATCGAGCACAGGGGCAGGTTAATGCGGCCAGAGTGAGCAACTGCAGCCACTTCGCTAAATGGCTGTAAACAGCCAGGATCAACTGTGAAGCCTTGGATCAGAGACAGAGGGATTCCCTCTCTTCTGACTGCCAACAATTGTCGCTGCCAGGGGACTTGGCGCACGCTCCAGCTCACCACAGAGCAGTGACGAATGTTAAGTACGCAGCCGCCCCCACTCGCTGCAGAGGAGGGCTCTTCCCTGCTCCTAGAGGATGGCAGGGGGTGGGGGAGGACTCCCAGGAAGGCTCTGCTAGTCAGCACTTCCGTCTTGAAAAGACAGAGGCGGCGCCTGTGTGAACATAGGTGGCAGAAAGCACAGGACGTCATGTGATGCTAAAGTGGGGTGCTGGTTGACCGAGCCCATAAGAATAATATGAGGGGTTTATTTTCCTTTTTCTGCCGTACTAGCAGGGCTACCTGCAGAAATTCCACAGCCTGCACACAAGGCATTTGCTGGCTCAGGATTTGCTAAAGGCCACCCATCTAGATGGCTTTAGAAAAGGTGACTAAATGCTGCAATGCGATATCCCAGGGGTTGGGGGCTTTTTTTTTTTAGTCCGAGAGCCGCATTCCCTTTAGAGCAATGTTCCAAGGGCCATATGCCAGTGGTGGGTGGGGCCAGAGGCAAAAGTGGGTGGAGAAACAAATGCATTTTTCAGCTGTGTACAGTAGGCTATACCCCAACCCTCACCACTCTCTCCCCTCTCTATCCAGGGAAGCAGAATGCACCCTCAGAAGTAAAGGACAAATCTCAGCCAAGCAAAATACACTCTGGGAGTGTGTGCACCCTGGGGAAAGGGGTTGGCGCTGGCTGGGTAGGAGCTTGTGGGGCTCCATTTGGGCCCTGAGCTAGAGGTTCCCCACCCCTGCTGTACCCCCTTGTAAATGGGAACAAACCCCAGTGAATGCAGGGGGCTTTATGTGGGAGTAGGCATGCCTAGGACTATGGAGTAAGGCAATTTCATGGAGCACAAGGAATCCACCAACAGCTAAATGGAGTCACAGCATCCCTCTAAATCAGGAACAGCCAACATGGTGACTTGCAGAAGTTGTTGCGACTCCAACTCCCATCAGCCTAAGCCAATGGTAAAGGGCTATGGGGATTGTAGTCCAACAACATCTGGCTGTCCCTGCTCTAAATACTGGTTGATTTTTAAGGTGGGGGAGGCAAACAAGTGGAGGGGACAGCTGCCTTCATGTCCAGCCTTCCTGGGGACATCCAGAACAGGACGATTTCTGGGCAATCACAGTTACTTACACAGAATCTCCCTGCACAAACAGTTCCGGCCTCTCTTTCAACAGGTTCTCTTTAATCCACACCAGCAGGTTTCGAACATCCCCTGCAATAATTTTTTTGAGGGGTGGGGTGGGGGATGGGGGAGAAAAAGAAAAGAAAGAATTAATTTGGATTGTGCTTTAGCAGCAGTGCCCAATAACATTTTCTGCCCATATGAAATCAGAACACAGTATTGCTAACATTTCTTCCTACCCAGATAAAAGCTGATTAAGAAAGGAAAGTTGTCACTGCAGTAATGCTAGTGAGCGGAAGGAGCTACCTGCAAAAGGACGCTGGACGACCAGGTTGATGCCACCTCATTGCTTTCAAGTATTTGCAGGGGCACCCCATCATCTCACACCAACTCCAGTCTCATTTTATAAGCACCCCATGCACACATCCAGAACCCTGGCCTGAGGAGGTGGGGAAGGGGAACTAGAAATAAAAATAGAAAGGGAAAGTGAAGAGGCAGCTGTGGAAGGGGTAAAGCACCCACTTCCAACCCACTTCTCCTCTGCAAAGCACACTACTCAAATGCCACGGTGGGGGGTGGGGGAACGATAAAGGACCCCTGACAGTTAAGTCCAGTCGCAGACGACTCTGGGGTTGCGACGCTCATCTCGCTTTACTGGTCAAGGGAGCCGGCATACAGCTTCCAGGTCATGTGGCCATCATGCCCAAGCCGCTTCTGGTAAACCAGAGCAGCACACGGAAACGCCGTTTACCTTCCCGCTGGAGCGGGACCTATTTATCTACTTGCACTTTGACATGCTTTCAAACTGCTAGGTTGGCAGGAGCAGGGACTGAGCAACGGGAGCTCACCCCACCTCAGGGATTCGAACCGCCGACCTTCTGACCAGCAAGCCCAAGAGGCTCAGTGGTTTAGACCACAGCGCCACCCGCATCCCTGGGGGGAAAGGTAGCGGTTGGGATTTCCAAATGCAAGCAGTCCATGGACATGTTGTCCTGCCTTTTGACCATGCGTAGTATACACAACGTTTGTTCATGTTTCATTCTTCTCAATGATGGATTCTGTTGCAATGGCAGGGTGGCTTTTGGTTCAGGTTTGTGGGATCTACTTTTGGCAGTATTCAATGAAGTTTTCTTCAGAGTAGACCCACTGAAATCAATGGGACTGACTTAGTCATGTTCATTAATTTGTTTTTTTAATAAAAAAATATTTTTCATTTATATGCATTACAAGAATTATTCAATCATAATTTTAACATTTTTGACTCCAACTCCCTTCCCCCTCTTTCTGTGGTTCTTTACATTTATTTTTGACCTTTCCTGCGTGCTCCAAATTATCTTAACTTATTCTTTTATTTATCTATTCTGACATACAGCTCATATATATATATATATTTGAAACTGCAGGTTTTTACAATCTGTTTACACTTTGTTTCTAAATACTCAATAAACCATTTCTATTCCTTTCTAAAAAGTTTGTTATCTTGATTTCTTATTCTTCCAGTAAGAATGGTTTCTGTAACCATTCTTCTCTCATCAGGACCTCTTCATCCTTCCATTTTTGGGCATTCTATTTGTGGTCACATACATAAATAAATTTCTATACTGTTTAGGTTGTTCTGATCCCATAATTTCCAAAAGAAAAGCTTTTGGGTTTTGTTTTTTAACAAATGTTATCTTAAACATCTTTTCCAATTCATTATATATCATTTCCCAGTAAGCTTTGACCTTATTACAAGACCACCACATATGGAAAAAGGTACTTTCTTTTTCTTTACATTTCCAACACTTTTTTATTTTTATTTATACTTTTGCCAATCTACTGGATGTTAGGTACCATCTATATAACATTTTCATATAATTTTCTCTTAAACCATAACATGCTGTAAATTTTATACCCATATTCCATAATCATTCCCATGCTTCCATTTCTATATTATTGCCCATTGTATCATTGAAGATTTCACTCTTTCATCTTTTGTGTCCTATTCCGATAACATCTCATACATTTTAGACATCACTTTAACATTATAGTTTAATTGGTCTCTCTCTCTCTAGTTGTGGTAGCTGTTCCCCAAACCCCTGATTCATATCCTTTTTAAAAAAATTAATTCAAATGATGATACTGTAACCATGTTGTAAACATCCCTGATAAATCCTTAAACTCTTTTAATTTAAGTTCTCCACTCTCATGCTCATTAATTTCAACAGGTCTCCTCTTGAGTAAAACATGGTTGAAACACCACCCTTTATTCTTACGAGAACCCCTGAAATATAAAATGGCAGCTCATACAAATGGACGTACACTAAGAATTAAGGAACTTTACATGCCTCTGAGAACGGTTCAAACCAGGAATTTGTGATCAATGCCGAACCAAGCTCACCAATTCCTTTCCCCCCCAAATACACTCCTGTTCCCCATTTTAAAAAATAACCTACTTTTTTCGGGGGGGGGAGGGGAAACCTCTTAGTTGCTAGTTTAAAGGAAAGTACTTCTTCATGCAACATATAGTTACAACTATGGAACTGGGTCCCATGGGAAGGCAGTGATGACCACCATCATCACTGGAGAGGGCTATCAGGGCTACTACCCATGATCCACACCTGAAGGCAGCCACGCTTCTGAATACCAGTTGCTGCTGGAAACCACAGGAGGGGATCTCCAGCAAGGAAGACTACTTTGCCAGTTTCCTCTCTCATTCTTTGAAAAATCAACAACAGCCCTTTGTCTTTGCCCTATTCCTTATTAAAATCCATCCTTTATCTTTCTATTTAGAAAGCTGACAAGGAAGATGGGCACTGTGGGTTGCGGTAGCATTAAGGGTGGGAAAAAGAGAAGAAATGGGTGGCAGGCTGTTTTTCTTTTCATACTATCAATTTGACTGAGACAGCCAAAGAACAATTTATTTTAGATGGTGATAACATCAGTTCATTTCCTACTGGACAGGTGAGAAGCAACAGAAGAAAGAGAGAGAAAATAATTTGTTAAAAGGATTTTAAGAAGGTGACAAGTTGCCAATGTGGAATGTTTTTTGTCTTGGAGTCTTGCCTTCATATTTTCACAACTTTCCCTGTTTTTAAAGACGCTCATCCACAAGCAACAATGTTCCTTTATTATTATTATTATTATTATTATTATTATTATATACCTGAAGTGTACCTGAAGGAGTGTCTCCACCCCCATCGCTCTAAGGGTTTCTGTTGGGAGCTGCCCAGAGTGGCTGGGGAAACCCAGCTGGATGGGCGGAGTATAAATATTATTATTAATATTAATGCTCCACCCTTTTCCCTGACAGGGAGTCAAGGAGGTTTACAGATAAAACTAAGAACAGCTAAAAAACACAGAAAAAAACCCATTAAAAATAATTAAACATTGATAGAGTTAAAGCGCGCGCGTGCGCGCACACACACACACACACACACACACACACACATATTTTTATCCATTACTGCAGCCTGTGAACAAACTATTGGATACCAAACCAAGAAACACCAGGACTGGTTTGATGAGAATGACAGAGAGACTGAACCAATAACTGACAAGAAAAGGAAGGCCTTTCAGATCTGGCAAAAAGATATAAACTACGCCACTAAGAAAAAAATCTATGCCAATGCTAAGGTTGAGGTTCGAAGAAGAACCAGAGAACTAAAGAACACCTGGTGGATAAAAAAAGCTCAAGGGATTCAGTACTTAGCTGACACTCATGATGCACAGTTTCTTTAAAGCCACAAAGACCCTCTTTGGGCCAAAAAAATCATGACATATGCCCCCTACGCTCAACAGACGGTACTACATTACGAGCATCTCCTTAACCGCAACTCCCCCGTAGCTGCCAAGGTCCTCTCACAAATTCCACAAAAACAAATATAGAGATGAGCTTGCAGTATCTCCAAATCTGGGAGAGTTGTGTACAGCTATTAAACAAATGAAAAACAACAAAGCCAATGGACCTGATCGGATACCTGCCAAAGTCTTTAAAGTGGGTGGAAGAAGTGTGTAGGAGAAGAAGGGTGAGACAATTCAGACAAAAGCCACAGAAGTCAAGACAAAATGGAAGTACTGCTGTCTTGGTAGCTCAGTCAGAAGAGCACGAGACTCTTAATCTCAGTCCCATGAGGTCCAGCTCTGAGGGCCTTCTGGCAGTTCCCTCCCTGCGAGAAGCCAAGTTACAGGGAACCAGGCAGAGGGCCTTCTCGGTAGTGGCGCCCGCCCTGTGGAATGCCCTCCCACCAGATGTCAAAAAGAAAAAAAACTACCAAACTTTTAGAAGACACCTGAAGGCTTTTTAGGGAAGCTTTTTAATAGGTTTAATAGGTTATTGTATTTTAGTATTTTGTTGGAAGCCGCCCAGAGTGGCTAGGGAAACCCAGCCAGATGGGCGGGGTATAAATAATAAATTATTATTATTATTATTATTATTATTATTGGCAAAAGATTCTTCCATTACAGGGGGCTGGACCAGATGACCCTTGTGGCCTCCTTCCAACTCTATGATGCTATGAAAGAGGCACCATCATGATGGTCAAGCTGGTCACTAAGGAGGTGGCTGAGCAGGTGCTGCACCTATCCTTCAACTGCCTCCTCTGACCCCCTCCCCATGGACTACCGCTTTCACCCTGACATCACCCTCCTATCTTCTTCCTTTCCTCCCTCTCCGCTCCCCACTCCACTCGTAAGAATGAGATCATTTATCATACTGACCACGGCCAAGCTCCAATTTGCTGAGGTCACTAACTCCGGCCAAGCGTCACCTTGCCTACATTCTCAGCCACCGTAGTCATGACAAAGCTCTCCCACCCTCACCCCCGCCACTTGCCTCTGTCGAGCCTCTTCCTTTATCCCGGGTTGCATGGATGGGAAGAGCACTTACAACCTCCAGCAACTGACAGATGACTTATTCTTTCAATACTGAGGGAGGGGGCAGGGAGGACAGGAAGCCAAGCACCTCCCCACCCCCACACCAATGCATTGCTCTGCAAGAGATGGGCCCTTTGCCCAAGAGGCTGAATTAAGGGCACTATTAAGGCAGGAGCATTACCAAACCAGATTACTCACAAAATAATCCAGTGCGTCTTCACATTTTGATTCCCTCCTCCCTGAAAAAATACCCAGATGGTTGAGTTCCATAAGCAAAGCAGAACAGAGCTGGGGCTTTCTGGGTGGGGGTGGATATGCTATCAGAAGCCACCTTATTGCAGGCCAGGCCAGGGGTGAACTTAAGTAATTTTAGACTCTGGACTTAAATAGAACTCTTTAGATTAGTGGTTCTCAAACTGTTTACTCTGGGCCACACTTTCAGAATAAAAATTTACTCATGTCACACCAAATTTTTTGATAAGAAATTCATTGGGAAACAAAAAGAAATAACTCCTAGTAGTGCTTGATTTATAACACAGAACACAACTACTTTATATGATCATAGATCATACTATATCCAGAAAGTATAAAACAATGCAGCTAGATAAGAACATGAATAATTCCCAAAATAAAGTAAACAAGCCTCTTAAATATGTACCTTAAGTATGTCTACAAACTCAGTGAGAGGCTTTGGCCAGGCAATCTCATTTATATTATGTCTAATTTGAGTTAAACACACTCTCATCTCCTCACAAACACAAAGAAGCCTTTCTCTTTTCTGATCTTGATACTATACTATACTATACTATACTATACTATACTATACTATACTATACTAGTGATGGAGAACCTTTTAGAGACTGAGGGCCCAAACTTCAACCCAAAACCCACTTATTTATCGCAAAGTGCCAACATGGCAATTTAACCTGTATATCTCATTTTTTCGGTTTGTTTCACGTTTCTTCTTTATGACTGCTGTTGTAATGATTAATCCTTCATAAAAGTTATTGTATTACATTCTTCATTAAATTATCTTTCCATTGATATATAATTTTATGGTATAACTCAGTGCTTTTTTTCTTAAAAAATGTTTAGGGGTACTCTCATTTTGACTCAAGAAAATCACCACCGGGGGGAAATATATACAGTTCAAATCGGGGAAAATAAATACAGTGAATTTCTTCTCCCGTTCAATTCACAAAATGTTTAGGGGTATGAGTCCCCCTGCGTCCCCACAGAAAAAAAAAGTATCACTGTACTATAATACACTGAAATGCTTAAATGTTTCTATGATGGTCCTTTAATCTTCCTGCTACACTTGTGTGTTGAACCTAAATGAAATGTTCCCAAAGGCCTGCAAACACTGTCTTGATAGTCAAGATAACCGCAGAAATAATTTGTGGTTGTTGTGAGAATAAGCTCACATATGTTTATATTTCCTTGCTTTGATATATGCTAATTGGCTCGCTTGATGTTGTGCTTATTCTGTGGACAGTGGGATGCTGGGCTCTGGGCCCAGGAAGGAGAGAAGCTTTAGAGAACTGGCCACCTATGGTCCCACCAACCAGGCATGATGGGCGGTTCTGGGCAAACTGATATGCGCTGCTTTATACACTGAGGCTTTATGAACGCTTACTTGGGTGTGGACAAGTCATGGCAAACTCTCACTGCTGCTGTGTCCATCCTACATCTATAGTAGCAGCAAGGCCTGGCAGGCTGATTTACTGGTAAGTCTTTCAATTAATACAGCACTAGAACTGATCACGCTAGCAATCCCTTTGAATCCTTCTTTCATATACCTGCACCAAACCACTCCCATGAGCCCACCTTTGAGTCAGTGGATCAGGACAACTTGCCACCCTCTCCTGCCACACCCTTTGAAAACCACTGCTTTAGATGATATTACTTCAAAATATGTTAAGCTGAACCTTCTGCATTTGGGGTGACCATCATCATTCACTTCTGGTGAATTGGCTGGACCCACCAGCTTTCTTAAGCAGGTAAGCAGAAGAACTTATTTTTTGCCTTTGTTTCCCACTTTTTCCTCCAAGGAGTCCATGAGTCCCCCCCTCCTCAGTTAATCCCTACAATGACCCTCCGAGGTAGGTGAAGAGGCTGTGATCCACTCCAAGGTCACCCAGCGTGCTTGATGACTGAGTGGGGATCCGAACCCTGATCACCTAAGTCACACCACATGGGCTTCCCAGAGTACTTCTGCTATATAAATTAAGCAGCTAAATAAATATGGGGAAAGCAGAATGTCCCTTAGAGAAGGATCTGAAACATTTTCTTGAAGCTTGAATTTGTTTTATTCTGGATTGTTTTGTTGGAATTTTAAATGTGTTGCAAACCACTCTGAGGGACACAGGTGGCGCTGTGGTCTAAACCACAGAGCCTAGGACTTGCCAATCAGAAGGTCGGCGGTTCGAATCCCCGCGACGGGGTGAGCTCCTGTTGCTCGGTCCCTGCTCCTGCCAACCTAGCAGTTCGAAAGCACGTCAAAGTGCAAGTAGATAAATAGGTACCTCTCTGGGGGGAAGGTAAACGGCGTTTCCGTGCGCTGCTCTGGTTCGCCAGAAGCAGCTTAGTCATGCTGGCCACATGACTCAGAAGCTGTACGCCGGCTCCCTTGGCCAATAAAGCGAGATGAGCGCCACAACCCCAGAGTCGGACATGACTGGACCTAATTGTCAGGGGTCCCTTTACCTTTAAACCACTTTGAGATTATTTTCCAAGATAAAGCAGCATAGAAATGAAATGAATTAACAATAATAACAACAATAAATTCTATTTTAAAAAGTATGGCGCCTAGACATTCTGTGGTGGCGACTATAACCAAGGTTGAAGGTGCCAATTGGCAATTAGCTTATCTATCTGCGTTTCTCACACTGCCAGCTCCACATATTACATTCAGTGGTGCGATTCATTGGGTGGCCTGTTTGATCCGAACCCAAATTATAAACCCACCTTGGTCAGGACTTCTCTCCCAGTTTTAATTCCCCGTTCTGTAAAATGGGAAGAGGGACCGACTCCTTCAAAGGGCTGTTTCAAGAATGGGGGGAAATCGCAACATGTGACACAGGGCAAAAGTCTTTTCAAAAACCCAAGGTCACTATTTCAAGATGCAAACCGCCTGAAGCAGGGACCTGCCCCCTTGTAGTCTGTAAGATGCTGCTACAATAACAACAAATTGTAACACATTAAAAAGTGTGTGGATTTCTAATTCATACAATGTACAGATTTACTATCCAGAAAGATTATTCAGCTTTTGTTCCTGGCCCCAATGTTCCTAGTCTTTAAGGCTAAGAAGATACATTGGGAAGTATATGCATACATAGGAAAGGCCTGTTTGAGAGGAGGAATAATTGGCTGTTGGGAGTTGGGAGCAGACAAAACTTCTGGGGGGTAGGAAGGGGGCTCAGTGGCCTGCATTGCTTTGTGCACATGACCAGCAGAAGAAACACGATGCAGGGCTTTCTTTCCACATGGACCATAGGGTTCAGCTTTAAATGACAGCAGGGAGGTAGGAATGGTTAAGAGACAATGACTGGCCCATAGTCACCCAGTAAGCTTCATGGCTGAGTGGGGTTTTGAACCCGGCTCTCCCTGGTCTTATTCCAACATGATATGCAAACTGATTTGGATGAAAGCAGTATATAAACCCTACTAAAATAAATATAAATAAACAAACATTCCTACCCAGCTTTCCCTAAACTCTAGATGTCCTCCATAGAATCATAGAGTTGGAAGAGACCCCAAGGGCCATCGAGTCCAACCCCCTGCCAAGCAGGAAACACCATCAGAGCACTCCTGACATATGGTTGTCAAGCCTCTGCTTAAAGACCTCCAAAGAAGGAGACTCCACCACACTCCTTGGCAGCAAATTCCACTGTCGAACAGCTCTTACTGTCAGGAAGTTCTTCCTAATGTTTAGGTGGAATCTTCTTGTAGTTTGGATCCATTGCTCCGTGTCCGCTTCTCTGGAGCAGCAGAAAACAACCTTTCTCCCTCCTCTATGTGACATCCTTTTATATATTTGAACATGGCTATCATATCACCCCTTAACCTCCTCTTCTCCAGGCTAAACATGCCCAGCTCCCTTAGCCGTTCCTCATAAGGCATCGTTTCCAGGCCTTTGACCATTTTGGTTGCCCTCCTCTGGACACGTTCCAGTTTGTCAGTGTTCTTCTTGAACTGTGGTGCCCAGATGTCTAAAAGTCTGGGACGTTGAGTATTACAGTCCAAAACAGCTGGAGAGCACAGGATGAGGAGGGCTGCTCTAACCACTGCACCAGGGTTGGCTTTTTCAGTCCCTGGGTCAGACGCCCCTCCAAGAGCTATGGGCCTGCAGGGCATGGAAACAAATGGTCCTTCTTTTGGCTTTGGAGAGAGCATCTCTGAAGATCACTTCTCAATCAGGCTGGTGCACCACTTTCCATGGCTTGGTGGGCTAGATGAATTTTAAAAAGTGATCTTGGGTTTCAATAGCTTTGGTTCTTAAGAGGATGCCTTGTGTTTCTCTTCAGATGGCACCTTCTGTGGATAGATTTGTGAGTACTCAATTGAAATGAAAATTAAAAACTGCTGCCCAGCTGGGGCCACCCTTTTACAATTATAATCAAAATATTTCAGTTTATTAACTAACATTTTGGGTGATAAACCTAAACTAGCTGCATAGTTTATCCCCCATTTAAGAGAATTTTTATTTATGAATTCTTAGGTCTTCGCAGTGAAGTGCGTTCATTGCTTTAATTGAATTTTTTCTTTGTTTGCTTACTGCCACATTGTTGTTGTTGCTGCTCTTTTACTTAGGACTGATGGTAAAGCTAGTTATGTGCTTATTTCTGGTGCTTCATTCACTGCTGTGGGCTGAACCAACTTGGTGGGTGGGAAAGAGGCATACAGTCAAGTTGAATTTAAAGTCCCAACAGGCTGTGGCAGGTGGGCAAGGGAGAGGCATCTTCCAACACTCCCTTTAGGACATTCTCCTCAAGGGCAAGCAGCTTGATTAGCTGACCCACTGGGCCTGTGCATGGAAGTGGTGGCCATCTCTGATGGTCTTCTCCACCCCACAAGACCCACCAAATCAGACTTCTCAGCTTCATTTGAAAGGGGAAAGTTGGGGTGGGTTGTGGAAAGCCAGTGAGAGGGATGGGTGGGGGGGAGCAAGGGAGATTTACAAGTGAAAGGGATTGAGAATGGAGCAGTTTGTGGGATAAAGAGACTGCAGAAGGGGCTTTACAGATGTGCAGGGGAGGGGCGGCTCATTGTTTAATTAAGCAGAAAGTGGCTCTTTTGAAAAGCAATTTTGCACAGGAGCCCCCAACTCAGCAAACAGTCCCTGGGAGGGAGGGCAGGGGAAGGGGGGAAAGGAACAGCTGGCACCACGAACCGTGTGAACTAAACCCGAGCAACTTAAAGGGCTTGTGGACCTCCTACAAACTTGCACACAAATACACAGACACACCACCATCCCCTCCTCCATCCATCCCACTCGCACCACCACCAATTCACCCTCCTACCACCTTTAGGTGTCATACCAGGACGGTGGGGGTAGAGAGGTAAAACTGATTGATTACTGTACTGAACTCTAAAGGAGCTCAAGGCAGTGGCTTTTTCTTCCAGGATGCCTTCATTCAACACAGCTCCCTTCCAAGGAATGGCATGGTTGGACCACACCAGCAGGACCAGCTCCTCCTACTTGCTACGGCAACCCGCTTGCCCACCTGCCCCTTGCTCTGGTCCAGATGGGGAAAGCTGGCAAACAAGTGCCAGAGGTGAGGAGAAAGAAGAAGAGCTGTCCGCCCACCTGCTTGCTCAGCAGTGGCAGCAACTGTGTGGCAGAGGAGCAGCAGCAGCTGGCAACAGTGACCGCGAGGGAGCAGGCTGGATGAAGGCGGGTGGGCCCACTGAAGGCACCTTGCACAGTAGCCCCCAGAAGAAGCTTAGAGCTGGCCCTGGGTGTCCCCTCCCTGACCCTCTTCTTACCCTTCCCACAGCTTGGCCAAAGCCCTCCTAGGGATTGGCTCCTGAGGGCCTCACCCTCTGCCTCCCACCCTCTCATCAAGTATGTGGCTGGGAGCAGGGGACAGCCAAGACAATCTGTCTTAGGCCATTTTCTTTCTTGTGCAATAGAGACAGAGAAGCTTGATTTGAATAGCTGACATGCCTTGTAAGAGCCCCTGAGTCATAGTTCAACTACTGTTCTCCAAAAGGCCTTGCAGGAAAAGGCTGAGAAAGAGTGTCAGTTGATTATTACCAAATAATCGAAGCGTGCATGTGAGGCGGGACACCCTCTGGTAATGGGGAAATTCCTTGTGTGGCCTAGAGAAGGCCATTCCACTTATGGATGTGAGGTTTCTGTAAGATCAACCCTGCAAGGTCATTGGCATAATGTCCCATCTTGGCCACCACCCTCTTTTAGCCTCGCACTCAACAGAAGAAGACTTTGGATTTGATATCCCGCCTTTCACTCCCTTTAAGGAGTCTCAAAGCGGCTAACATTCTCCTTTCCCTTCCTCCCCCACAACAAACACTCTGTGAGGTGAGTGGGGCTGAGAGACTTCAGAGAAGTGTGACTGGCCCAAGGTCACCCAGCAGCTGCATGTGGAGGAGCGGAGACGCGAACCCGGTTCCCCAGATTACAAGACTACCGCTCTCAACCACTACACCACACTGGCTCTCAACAGCTGCTCCTCTCTTGGAGGATGGATCTATACATGCCACACAACCTGCCATGTAGTCCTAAACTAACCTGCTGTCCCCTGGTGAAGTGAAGGGCACTATCATTAAGAAGGCCATTAAGACAGCCATTAAGAACCTACGAAAAGCCCTCTCATTCCTTGTCAGGCACGATGGAGGGAGAAGAGGAGGAGAGGGAAAGGTGAGCCTATTTTGGACACCAAGGGCAAAGTTGTCCTACATTTCAAGTTTATGTTTGGAATGATCTCTCTGTCTTCAAACAGTTGCACACTGACAGTTGCAGTTCAGCATTAAAACCTGAATTTGTTACTACAAGAAAATCCGGGGGAATTCTAAGATTCAGAAGGGAACTATGCAGAAGGGGGAAATGTTAAAAAACCAGCACCACATAATTTCCCCCCATGGCTTTTGAGGCAGCTTGTTAAACAACAGCACAGAAGGCCCACAGTTCAGTGGAAAAGCCTGCACTCCAGTTCCCATTAGCCCCATGAAGTATGGACCAACTGCCCAATGTGGAATAAAAGAGCTTCCTATATGCTCCTATCAAACATACCAGTAACTGAAAGAAAATAATAATTCTAAATAATGAACAGAAGAGCAACAAAGCAATTGAATCAGCCAGCAGTGTAAAACTACACCACCTGCTGTTCTCCAAAGGCATGTGTGAATAAAACAATTTCTATGGAGTACCAAGTCCAGTGCTAGGGAGCTGCTACCGAGAAGGCACAATCAATGGTTATCACCTGCAGGGAAAGCCCAAGACATTTTGTTGCCTGAAACAAATGGGAAGCAGTTGCTTCCTCCCAGTCCCATGCCATGTACGAAAGCTCGGCAGACTGCTGGATCTTATTTCAACATACTTCACTGTACCCTGAGGGCAGTGGCTTATTTAGTGGATGCAGGTAGGTTGCATAGCACACACACACAGCTCTCTCCACTTGCTGCCCTTCGATATTTGCCACCTGAGGCAGCTTGTCTCATGGTAGGGCCAGCTCTGATCACCTGCCTAACATCAGCAGGTGTTATGTCTCCCTGAATGGGCAAGGAGGCAGCCCGCCCTTGAGACACAAAGGGAGCCCCACACATGATATGAGCCATATGTTGAAATAGGTACTTTTGCTTTGAGCCCACAAGTGCAAAGGAAGCTTGTGAAATTATTACAATCAATCAATCAATCAATCAATCAATAATAAATAAATTGGGGAAACCTTACCCCCCCCTTAAGGAGGATGACAATGACCCGACCCCCCTCCTCCCAGAAAAAGCTAATCTGTCCAAGAGGGCAAGAGCAGGAGCAGGAGCAGGAGCAGGAGGGATTCCTCCCACTCCTAATGCTTACCCACCCATGCCTCTAGAACAAGATATTAGAGGAGCCTGCTTTCAACCGATTCCGGATACGCACCCCTACCAAGAGATTTGCATGTTGTCTGCAGAAACTATGGTTCTGGTCCTCTAAAGACTGAATGAAATCCTCACCAAAATAGTTAACATTGAGAAACAATTGGATACTAGCTCCTCCCCTTTAAATACCGTATTTTTCGCACCATAGGACGCACCGGACAATAGGACGCATTTTGTTTTAGAGGGGGGAGAACAAGAAAAAAAAATTCTCCCCCTCTCTGCCCAGCGCCCCTTCAGCGAAGTGGCAGGAGGCGCTGTGCAGAGAGGGGGAGAACTTTCCCTCTCTTGTTTTCCCGCTCTAAAACAAGGTGCCGTTTAAGGTGCGTTCAGGCGGCCACCTTGGAAGCCTGGAGAGCGAGAGGGGTCGGTGTGCACTGACCCCTCTCGCTCTCCAGGCTTCAGGTTCCTTTCGACCTGCTCTTTGGGGCTGGTGGGGGGAAGCCCACCACCAGCCCCAAAGATCAGTTCAGGGAGCAGCGGAAAGGCGCAGCAGAGAGGCTCCTGCCATAGCCTTGCGTCACCTCTCCAGCCGGGAGAGGGTCGCTGGGCTATGGCTTCTTTAGCCCCGCGCGCGCTCTCCCGGCTGGAGAGGTGACGGGCGGCTATGGCAAGAGCCTCAATAGCCGTGCGTCACCTCACCAGCCGGGAGAGGGTCGCGGGGTGCTTTAGCCCCGCGCGCGCTCTCCCAGGTGTAGAGGTGACGCGCGGCTATAGAAGCTCCTGCCATAGCCGCCCGTCACCTCTCCAGCCGGGAGAGGGTCACGGGGGCTGCTTTAGCCCCGCGCGCGCTCCCCGGCTGGAGAGGTGACGGGCGGCTATGGCAAGAGCCTCACTAGCCGCGCGTCACCTCTCCAGCCGGGAGAGGGTCGCGGGTGCTTCTTAGCCCCGCGCGCCTCTCCCGGCTGGAGAGGTGACGCGGGGATGTAGAGGCTCCTGCCATAGCCGCGCGTCACCTCTCCAGCCGGGAGAGGGTCACGGGGCTATGGCGTCTTCGCTCCATAGGACGCACACAAATTTTCCATTCATTTTTGAAGGGAAAAAAGTGCGTCCTATAGAGCGAAAAATACGGTACCCAAGGGCTTAAAAGGATGATAAGAAATGACTTTGTTAACAACTCACCAACTCAATCTATGCATGAAGTGAGGTCCTGTCAAGTCTTGCAAACGAACCAGATAATGCTTGAGATTCACCGATACACTCATAGGTGGATGAACCGCAGACAAATTACTATGTCCTTGTCTCAGCTCCTGAATTACCATTACCGAAATGTAGATCTAGAAAATTTCCACTTCCTGCCTACCGTGAGAAACACCACGTGCCTATTTATGACCTTTAGGTCATCAGCCCTCCCATCTCAACTCATGGAGATAAAGGATACTCTATGGTGGTTCCATTCTTTCCGCCCAGTGAGGGTATTTAAGGACAAAACAAGGAGGCAATTGGTCCCTTGCATAGAGTCAAAGCTAATGCGGATAAGGAAAACCAAGCTCAACACTAGAAACACTAATTGCCCGAAGGAAAAAAAGAACTCTGTAAGCCTAGAATTACAAGACCTGAAGAAGAGGCTAATGAGTATAAAGATTGAGATTTCTACCCAAAATATAAGGCCAGTAGAGCCTAGAGCACAATATTTAAAGACGTCCAACAGCTCTTTATCCCGTAGAAAGACATCAGTGCAACTCCCTGTTCCTTTTAAAAACGACACCGAATTAGATGAGGAATTTGGCACCTCCAACATTTCTATGGCAACAACACCTAAAGAACTCTATGTTGCTGACAATCTGGAGATATCCAGCACCAAATCTACATCTGGACCTTTGCCTAATGTTCCAAAAACCTATCAAAATGATCAACCTTCTCTACTGTACTCCTGGCGAGACAGGATGGACAGATCTTCCGAAGCTGGCTCTTGATCCACATTTTATAGCGCATACCTCATTAATACTCCCACAGCCACAGATAGAACCAACAATCCTCCAAACAACCCAGGAGGGAGAGGGGGATTGACAGTTAATGAAACACCATGGGACTGTCCTCCCCGCTTGGGGTGTGGTTGGTTGGGTTTTATCTTCTAGGGATACTTACCCTATCAAACCTCCACCTCTTCCCCATACCATTTTGACCCAGGAGTCCTGGCCCAAGGATGACTTGTTATTGAGGGAATGTTATTCCTCTATTGGGGAGGCTAGTATGGGGTCTGGGATTTCCACTATTGAAGGGCTAGGGAGGAATGGCGGTGGGGCTAAATATCTCTATCGGCGAAGGGTTTCGAGATGCAGTGATCCTCGAACCCCTTCCAATCTACACCCCATCCCAAGGGATGAGGGTAGGGAGAGCAAGGATTACCCACCTCCGTCATTGGTGCTGGGCAATGCCAGGTCCATAGGCAATAAAACCGGCACCATGCGTGACTTTTTTGTCTCGCAGGGGATTGACCTGGCTTGCGTGATGGAGACCTGGGTACGGGAAGGCGAAGTCGTCTCCCTACATGAGATAACACCCCCAGGTTTCTCTGTCCTCCATCAATCGCGGACTGTGGATCGGGGGGGAGGAGTAGCGTTGTTAATCCGGGAAGATTGCTCTTTCAGAGCTCTGCCATCACCGGCGATCTCTGGCATTGAATGTGTTGGTCTCGTGTGGGGCAACAAGGAGAGCTTGGGTGTCTGGCTGGTGTACCGACCACCTAGCCCACCTGCAGCCACCCTGTCAGACCTGCTGGAGGTGGTGGCGGGCTGGGCCTTGGAGTTCCCAAACCTACTGGTTTTGGGAGACTTCAACGTCCATGCCGATGCCGCTCCCTCCTCACAGGCTCTGGACCTAGTGACTTCCATGGCAACACTAGGGCTCTCCCAGTTTGTTTTGGGCCCCACTCATCAAGCAGGCCACACGCTGGATCTGATCTTTGGGGCTGGCATAGATGTGATCATGCTTCCCCCTGTGGAAGTGCCATGGTCTGATCACTACGCTCTGAAAGCCAAGATTGACTTCCCGCTCCTCCCCTGCTCGGGTGGCGAACCTATTTGGGCTCGTCCACGAAAACAGATGGATCCTGATAGATTCTGACAAGCCTTGCGGGACCCTGCTCCTCCTGGCGACTCATTAGATGACCTTGTTGAGGACTGGAATAACCGGCTCTTGGCAGCCACTGATGAGATCGCGCCTAAGCACCCTCTGCGACCCCGTCGAAACCAGGCCCCTTGGTTTACTGAGGAGCTCCGGAAAATGAAGCGGGATCTCAGACGGCTGGAGCGAGTATGGCGACGGACTCGTGACGGAGCCTCAAGAACATCTTATAGGACGCTTATGAAAGCCTATGAGATGGCTTTGAAAGCTGCTAAGAAATCTTACTTTGCAGCTTCCATTGCATCCGCTAGCTCTCGCCCGGCACAACTTTTTAGAATAATTAGGTCAATAACGTCCTTAGGAGGACAACCAAATTTAAGCACAAATTCGACCCACAGCTGTGAGGCATTCGCGAGCTTTTTGCGGAGAAAGTCCTGTTGCTCCGCCGTGACCTCCCTGCCAATTTAGATACAGTGACTGAACTGGAGGCCCCTCGACTGACTTCAGGTCCAGTGTTGGACCATTTCGATCGGATACTCCCTGCTGATGTGGATAGATTCCTCCAAGTTGGTAGGCCCACCACCTGCCTCCTTGATCCGTGCCCATCTTGGCTGACTAGGGAGTGTCCAGATGTTGCGCGGACCCCCCTGGTTGAAATTATCAATTTGTCCCTTGACACGGGGACATTCCCAGGGGAACTGAAGGAAGCAGTAGTATGTCCATTCTTAAAGAAAACTTCATTAGATCCCTTAGACCTATCCAATTACCGCCCAGTTTCAAATCTTCCATATCTGGGTAAGGTAATTGAGAGAGCGGTTGCTGAACAGCTTGGTAGGTTTCTGGAGGAAACATCGGCTTTAGATCCATTTCAGTCTGGTTTCCGTCCTGGTTTTGGGACGGAGACGGCTCTGGTTGCCCTAACAGATGATCTCCGTAGACAACTGGATCGAGGCGGGTCAGGACTGCTGATCCTTTTAGATTTGTCAGCAGCCTTTGACATGGTCGATCATGATCTTCTGGACCACCGCCTCGCAGACGTGGGGATACAGGGCATAGCCCGTAACTGGCTGTGCTCTTTTATCTCTGGTCGGGGACAGAGGGTGGCACTAGGGAGGGAAATGTAGTCGTGCCATTCCTTGGTGTGTGGAGTGCCGCAGGGCGCAATTCTCTCACCGATGCTTTTTAACATCTTTATGCGTCCTCTTGCCCAGATTATCCGGAGCTTTGGGCTGGGCTGTCACCAATATGCTGATGACACTCAGCTCTATCTGCTGATGGATGGCCACACTGACTCGGCCCCGAACACACTGACCAGATGCTTGGAAGCTGTGGCTGCTTTTGACCTTTAAAGCCCTTCACGGCCTAGGACCCTCGTACCTACGAGACCGCCTTTCCCGGTATGCCCCACAGAGAGCCTCAAGCTCCATAAATAGCAACACCCTAGTGGTCCCAGGCCCTAAGGAAGTTAGATTGGCTTCAACCAGAGCCAGGGCCTTTTCAACTCTGGCTCCGGCCTGGTGGAACGCTCTGCCTCATGAGACTAGGGCCCTGCAGGATCTGATTTCTTTCCGCACGGCCTGTAAGACAGAGTTGTTCCCCCTGGCCTTTGGCTTGGAGCCAATTTGATTCCCTCCCTCTCTTTCGTTTTTCCTTTCCTTCTCCTCCTGTGTTGAGGCTCCTCCTGTGTTTTAATATTTTAATGTTGTATTTTAATTTTGTTTTTAAGTTGTAATCATTCAACTTGTTTTTATTATTGCTTGTAAGCCGCTCTGAGCCCGGCCTTGGCTGGGGAGGGCGGGGTATAAATAAAAAATTATTATTATTATTATTTATACCCCGCCCTCCTTGGCCAGAGCCGGGCTCAGGGTGACTAACACCAATAAAACTATAATAAAACATAACGGGGGGGAACCAGTTTATTAAAATACAGGTTAAAATACAATTTAAAATGCAGCCTCTTTTTAATAGTAGCCCATAAATCAAAACCATAAGGGGTGGGAAACATAAGGGTCAGACTGAGTCCAAACCAAAGGCCAGGCCGAACAGCTCTGTCTTGCAGGCCCTGTGGAAAGATGTCAAGTCCCACAGGGCCCTAGTCTCTTGTGACAGAGCGTCCCACCAAGTCAGGGCCAGTACTGAAAAGGCCCTGGCCCTAGTTGAGACCAATCTAACCTCCTTGCGGCTTGGGACCTCCAAAGTGTTGTTATTTGTGGACCTTAAGGTCCTTCGTGGGGCGTACCAGGAGAGGCAGTCCCGTAGGTATGAGGGTCCTAGGCCACATAGGGCTTTAAAGGTCAAAACTAGCACCTTAAACCTGACCCTGTACTCCACTGGGACCCAGTGCAGCTGGTAAAGCACTGGATGAATGTGATCCCATGGCAAGGACCCCATAAGGAGCCTCGCCGCGGCATTCTGCACCCACTGGAGTTTCTGGGTCGGCTTCAAGGGCAGCCCCGCATAGAGCGAGTTACAATAATCAAGCCTGGAGGTGACCGTCGCATGGATCACGGTGGCCAGATCGGGGCGAGACAGGTAAGGGACCAATGGCTTGATACGGCGGAGATGGAAAAATACCACCTTTGCTGTGGCTGCAACCTGCGCCTCCATGGAAAGGGAGGCGTTGAAGGTTACACCCAAGCTCTTGATAGAAGGCGCTGGCACTAATTGAGCCCCTGCAAGAAATGGGAGTTGGCCCCCCAACCCCATGTTGTCCTGATCCAGCCAGAGGACCTCTGTCTTCAAAGGATTTAACTTCAACCGGCTCCCACACAGCCATCCAGCCACAGCTTCCAAGAATCTGGTCAGTGTGTCCGGGGCCGAGTCAGGGCGGCCGTCCATCAACAGATAAAGCTGGGTGTAATCAGCATATTGATGACAACCCAGCCCAAAGCTCCGGACGATCTGGGCAAGGGGGTGCATAAAGATATTGAAAACCATAGCGGAAAGGATTGCGCCCTGCGGGACTCCACACACCAAGGAATGTCGTGGTGACAACTCCCTCCCTAGCACCACCCTCTGTCCCCAACCTGAGATAAAGGAGCACAACCATTGTCGGAATGCCCTAAATCCCCACGTCAGCAAGGCAGTGGTCCAAAAGTTCATGATTGGCCATATCAAAGGCTGCTGACAAGTCTAAAAGAATCAGCAGTCCCGACCTGCCTCGATCCAGCTGTCTACAGAGATCATCTGTCAGGGCGACCAAAGCCGTCTCAGTCCCGTAACCAGGGCGGAAGCCGGACTGAAATGGGTCCAGAGCTGATATTTCATCCAGAAATCTACCAAGCTGTTCGGCAACCGCTCTCTCAATTACCTTACCCAGGTACGGAAGATTCGAAACCAGGCAGTAATTGGATAGATCTAAAGGATCTAGAGATGTTTTCTTTAAGAGCAGACACACCACTGCTTTCTTCAACTCCCCTGGGAAAGTCCCTGTGCCAAGGGACTGATTGATGATCTCACCCAGGGGGGCCTGCACCTTGTCTGGACACGCTCTAATCAGCCAGGACGGGCACGGGTCAAGGGGGCAAGTGGTGGGCCTTCCAGCTCGGAGGAATCTGTCTACATCAGCAGGGAGTATCCAATCAAAGTGGTCCAATACCAGACCTGAGGACAGTTGAGGGGCCTCCAGTTCTGTTACTGTATCCAAACTGGCAGGGAAGTCACAGCGGAGCAGCAAGACTTTCTCCGCAAAAAAGCTCGCAAATGCCTCACAGCTGTGGGTCAAATTCGTATTTAAATTTAGCTGTTCCTCTAGGGTTGTTAGAGACCTAATTATTCTAAAAAGTTGCGCTGGGCGAGAGCTAGCGGATGCAATGGAAGCTGAGAAGTAAAACTTCTTTGCAGCTTTCACTGCCATCTCATCGGCTTTCATAAGCGTCTTATAAGATGTTCTTGAGGCTCCGTCGCGAGCATGCCGCCATACTCGCTCTAGCCATCTGAGGTCCCGCTTCATTTTCCAGAGCTCCTCAGTAAACCAGGGGGCCCAGTATCAGCGAGGTCGCAGAGGCCACTTAGGTGTGATCTCATTGATGGCCACCAAGAACCAGCTATTCCAGTTCTCAACAAGCTCATCTAGTGAGCCACCAGGGGGAGCAGGGTCCCGCAAGCCCTGACGAAATCCATCAGGATCCATCGCAGGCAAGCCCAAATAGGCTCACCGCCCAAGTGGGGTGGAGGCAGGAATCCTGGCTTTCAGTGCGTAGTGATCAAACCATGGCACTTCCACAAGTGAGGACATGATCACATCTATACCCGCACCAAAAATCAAATCCAGCGTGTGGCCTGCTTGGTGTGTGGGACCCAAAACAAACCGGGAGAGCCCAAATGTAGCCATGGAAGACACCACGTCCACAGCCCGTGAGGAGGGGGTGGCATCAGCATGGACGTTGAAATCCCCCAAAACCCGTAGGTTAGGGAACTCCAAGGCCCAGCCTGCCACCACATCCAACAGGCCTGACAGGGTGGCTGCTGGTGCGCTAGGTGGTCGGTACACCAGCCAGACAGCCAAGCTCTCCTTGGTGCCCCACACTAGGCCAACACATTCAATGCTGGAGACTGATGGTGGTGGCAGAGCACTGAAAGAGTAATCCTCCCGGATTAACGCTACTGCTCCTCCCCCCCCCGACCCACAGTCTGCGACTGGTGGAGGATGGAGAAACCCGGGGGTGCTATCTCATGCAGGGCGACTACCTTCCCTTCACGCACCTGGTCTCCGTCACACAAGCCAGGCCAACCCCCAACGAGATAAAAAAGTATCACATGGTGGTGGTTTTATTGCCTATAGACCTGGCATTGCACAACACCAGTGACGGAGGTGGGTAATCCCTGCTCGGGATGGGGTGTAGATTGGAAGGGGTTTGGGCATCACCACATATAAAATCAGCAGGACAAAATCCCCAATAGGTGTAGCCCATCCCGCCGCACCCCAGGCAAGGAGGGCGGCCCCGCAGTGGCCCGCTAGCTGTCAATCCCTCCCTCCTTCATGGGATGGCCATGGGGCTATTAACTCTTTCTGAGCCTTTGGGAGTATTAAAAAGGCATATGCTGTAAAATGGGGATCACTAGCCAGCAAAGAGCCAGCTTCATGCTCAGGAACTCCACCAGTCCTATCTTGCCAGTAATGCAATAGGGAAGAACGGTCGTCCTTGTAGATTTTGGGAGTGTTAAGCAAAGGTCTGGATATAACCTGGGTGCTTAGTTTCAAGAGTCTATCAGCGACCTGAGGTTCTTTGGGAGTTATTAAAATAGGAATGTCAGGGTCGCCAGACTCCTACTCTTCATCGCTATCGCTTAGGAAGAGATCAGAGAGTTGCACCGATGTCCTTCTTCAGGATGGAGAGCTGTTGGGCATATTTAAATATTGTGTTCCAGGCTCTAGTGTCCTTATAGTTTGAATTGAAATCTCAGACTTTATACTTAATAATCTCTTCTTCAGTTCTTATATTTCTGAACTCACGGATTTCTCTTCCTCCTTTGGACTCGTAATGTTTCTATTGTTTAATTTAGTTTCCCTTATCGGCATTTGCTTTGATTTCTGCCAGGGACCAACTTTCTCACTGTTTCATCTTTGAAAACCCTTATCGGGTGAAGAAAATGAGACCACCATAGGATGTTTTTCATCTCCCTAAGTCAAGACGGGAAGGCCGGTTTACTAAAAGTCATAAGTAAACGTTTGCTATTTCTTGTGTTGGACAAGAAATGGAAATTTTCCAGATCTACTTTTTAATAATGGCAGTTCAAAAGCTGGGATAAGATTCATCCACCTGCGGTGAATCTCAGCATTATCTGGTTCTTTTGAAGAACTTGGCAAGACCTTATTTCGTCCATGACTCATCTTGGCAAATTGCTAAGATAGCTATGCCTTATCATCCTTTTAGCCCTTTGAGAATTTGTCAAGGGAGGGCAAATATCCAAGTTTTCTTCTATGTTAATTATTTTAGCGAGGAAGATTGTGATGGGATCTGAAGTGCCTCTTTGAGGTCCTCCAAACCAGGAATATAGTTGGATAGAATGTCATTTTCCCAAACATATTTACCTGCACTGACATGAGACCTCTTTGCTCTCCCACTGTTTCGACATCTGCTTCTTTTGGGGCCCTATAATCCCTCTGGGTAGAGGAAAGCTGTTGACATGACACTGAAGTTACCCTGCAGGTATCACCATTTATAAGCTACTTAGATGTTACAGCAGCAGCTAAGCAAGCCCACACATGGGACTAAATAGATATCACAAGGAGAGCAAAGCCTGACTTAGAAGCTGCCATCTATCAGAGCTCACCATTGAAAGAGTTAAAATTATTCCTGGATTGTTGTTTAGACACACACACACAGAGGAGAAAGTGATGCTTCTTTTGACGACAGACAAATGCTGCACTGTATGGCTACAGGAGAAGGAGGCAGTCGCTCCGACATCTCTGGTTGCTGCAGCCATACAATGACCCGCTTCACTACTGAGTGTTGGTGGAGTTCACAGCACTCACATCCAGGAGGACACCAATAAATAGAATTCTTATCTTTCATGATTGAGGGTTTCCAGTTTATTCACCATTGTCTGCAATTGTCTGCATCAGAGGTAGGCGCTGCAGGGTAGCATGACACCCCTGCAAAGGGGGCACTGCTGCCTGCCTCACCCTCTTGAGCCAGGACAATTCACCTGTCCTTCCTGAGCTGGTATGCAGGAGCAAGGAAGAGGAGCTAGGGCAGGAGCATCCCCCTTTAAAGACGTTTTTGTTGGGTTTCAAACAAATGGGGAAACCATCAACAATACAATGGCAATAAAACAACCATATGGGACAGGAGGTACAGTAAAATGGGGTTGTCAAGAGAACAAAATAAAAGTCAATAAGTGAGAGCGGAAAGAGCTATCTCAGTTCACAGATTGCCATGATTCATTGCAGGGGCTGGACTATATGATCCTCAAGCTCCCTTCCAACTCTACAATTCTATTATTCTACATTGATTACAAAAATAATACACAGAAGCAGACCAGCATCCTTCACTTGCCTTGTGCTCCCTGTCTCTGGACAGTTGTATGGATTTTGTCCCAATAAAAAAGGGCAGATGGGTGGGTACTGGGAAACATCCTGTGGAAGTTTACTCAGAAGAAAGCCCCACTATGTTTAAACAGAGTTCCCGGGTAAGTGTGAATAGGACTGCAGCCTTAACTAATGAAAACCTCAGTTCAGCCAGGAGCAAGGTGAGGTGAGAAGACACCTCTGGCTCATGGGCCCCAATTCGGGGTCCCAATTTGACCTGAAAGGCCACCTTTCCAAGCCATGTCCATATGCCCAATATATAGGATGTCAGGTTTGGGGCAGGTAAATATGTGGTTCCCCACGTCTACTTAAGTTGTTCAATCAGATGGCTCCACTAATTAAGAAATCCCACTGTGGATTAGGACTTGACGAGGCTTCTGTCCAAGAACTGGCAGCAGCGGAAGTCAGCAAGACTGAGCTTGATAGACCAGCGGCCTGACTTGGTGTGAGGCAGCTGAGTATGCCCATAAGATTTATTCTTATTTATTTATTTACAGCAAATAGTTGTGTGCCCCATTCAATTAAAAAAAAATTTAAAGCAGTTCACAACAACTGAATGTAAAACCATACAATAACAAATTATATAAAGTTAAAATCAGAGATTGGAGTAACTGTTGCAGAAAGTTGTATTAATTATCCACAAAGGAAAGTTTCAGAAAGGTGTTTAAAAGCTGGAGCAGAAGGTGCCTGCTGAATCTGTCAGAGACAGCTTTAGGGACTGGGAGTTACTTTGGTCAAAGGCTCGCATCTCCTTAGTTTAGGCTTCAATCAAATTTTGATTAAATTCTAAAACTAAAACAATTTACAGTAATACGAGTTTTAAGTTTGCATTAAGAATGTAAGAACAGCCCCACTGGATCAGTCCGAAATCATGCCCAGTCCAGTTTTGTTTTCCATTGGCAAAGCAGGACACAAGTGTGATGGCCATTTCCCATCACTGCTCCCCAGGAACTGATATTAAGAAATATACCATTTCTGACCCTGGAGGCAATATGCAGCAACCATAAGGAGTTTGCAGTAATCCAGGCCAGTTCAAGTTGGCAACTCGTACCTGTGGCAGCAATTTCCATAGTTTGACCATGGGATGTGCAAAGCAGTATTTCCCTTGGTCTGTCTTGAAGCTCTCACCACTCAGCTTCACTGAATGACCCTAGATGTTTGAATCTAATGCTTACTCCCAAGACTGTGGCAGGTGACCAGATATTCTCACACATATTCAAAAGCACATAACTTGGTAAAGGCAAAAAACATCCTCAGCTGCAAATGGGAAGCACAGTGGTGGATTGCTTCTGCCATTCACTTGTTCCTTGAGTCAGGAATCCCACTACACAGGAATGAGTAGAAACAGGAGATCCTGGACCAGTCACCACTTCTCTGCCTAACCTACCTTACATGGCTGTTACATGACCCTAGCATACCCTGGTTGTGTCAAGTTTCTTCTTGATGCATTATTGTTTACACATTATTGCAAAGGTATAGTAATAATAATAATAATAATAATAATAATAATAATAATTTATTATTTGTACCCCGCCCATCTGGCTGGGTTTCCCCAGCCACTCTGGGCGGCTTCCATAGAAACAAAAAATACAGTAAAATATCACAGATTAAAAGCTTCCCTGAACAGGGCTGCCTTAAGATGCCTTCTAAATGTCAGGTAGTTATTTATCGCTTTGACATCTGATGGGAGGGCGTTCCACAGGGCGGGCGCCACTACCGAGAAGGCCCTCTGCCTGGTTCCCTGTAGCTTTGCTTCTCGCAATGAGGGAACCGCCAGAAGGCCCTCGGCGCTGGACCTCAGCGTCCGGGCAGAACGATGGGGGTGGAGACGCTCCTTCAGGTATACTGGGCCGAGGCCGTTTAGGGCTTTAAAGGTCAACACCAACACTTTGAATTGTGCTCGGAAACGTACTGGGAGCCAATGTAGGTCTTTCAAGACCGGTGTTATGTGGTCTCGGCGGCCGCCCCAGTCACCAGTCTAGCTGCCGCATTCTGGATTAATTGTAGTTTCCGGGTCACCTTCAAAGGTAGCCCCACGTAGAGCGCATTGCAGTAGTCCAAGCGGGAGATAACTAGAGCATGCACCACTCTGGCGAGACAGTCCGCGGGCAGGTAGGGTCTCAGCCTGCGTACCAGGTGGAGTTGGTAGACAGCTGCCCTGGATACAGAATTGACCTGCGCCTCCATGGACAGCTGTGAGTCCAAAATGACTCCCAGGCTGCGCACCTGGTCCTTCAGGGGCACAGTTACCCTATTCAGGACCAGGAGTCTTCCACACCAGCCCGCCCCGTGTCCCCCAAAAACAATACTTCTGTCTTGTCAGGATTCAACCTCAATCCATTAGCCGCCATCCATCCTCCAACCGCCTCCAGGCACTCACACAGGACCTTCACCGCCTTCACTGGTTCTGATTTGAAAGAGAGGTAGAGCTGGGTATCATCTGCATATTGATGGACACCCAGTCCAAACCCACTGAAGATCTCTCCCACCGGCTTCATATAGATGTTAAAAAGCATGGGGGAGAGGACGGAACCCTGAGGCATCCCACAGAGTGAGGGCCCAGGGGTCTGAACACTCATCCCCACCACCACTTTCTGAACACGGCCCAGGAGGAAGGAGCGAAACCACTGTATAACAGTGCCCCCAGCTCCCAGCCCCTCTAGACGGTCCAGAAGGATGTTATGGTCGATTGTATCAAAGGCCGCTGAGAGATCCAGCAGAACCAGGAAACAACTCTCACCTTTGTCCCTAGCTCGCTGGAGATCATCAACCAGCGTGACCAAGGCAGTTTCAGTCCCATGGTGAGGCCTGAATCCCGATTGGAAGGGATCCAAATGGTCCGCATCCTCCAGGCGTGCCTGGAGTTGTTCAGCAACCACGCGCTCAATCACCTTGCCCAAGAATGGAAGATTTGAGACTGGGCGATAGTTGGCCATACTGGCCGGGTCTAAAGATGGTTTTTAAGAAGCGGTTTAATGACCGCCTCTTTCAGCGGATCTGGGAATGTTCCCTCACAGAGGAAGCATTCACCACCCGCAGAGCCCATCACCCAGCCCTTCCCGGCTTGCTTTTATTAGCCAGGATGGGCAAGGATCAAGGAGACAGGTGGTTGCTTTCACGCGTCCAAGCAGCCTGTCCACATCCTCGGGGGTAACGGGTTGAAATTGATTCCATGCAACTTGACCAGACAGAGCTCTAGCACTCTCCCGCCCTGGCCCTGCTCCCACGGTGGTGTCTAGCTCCTTCCGAATATGAGTGATTTTATCTGCAAAACTTTGCAAAATCGTTGCAGGAGATCTTGGGGTCTTTACAATGCCCCGGTGGTAAAGGTGGTTCCGTTAAATTGCGAACCACCTGAAAGAGTCTCCTGCTACTATTTTCTGCAGATGCAATAGAGGCGGTGAAGAAAGTCTTCTTCGCCGTCGCTATCGCCACTTGGTAGGCTCGACGTTGAGCTCTAACCTGTGTCCGGTCAGATTCGGAGTGAGTTTTCTGCCACCGACGCTCTAGCCGTCTCAGCGGTTGTTTCATCGCCCTCAGCTCCGAAGAAAACCACGGGGCTGTCCGGGCTCCATGCAATCGGAGAGGGCGCGTCGGAGCCAGACAGCCGATAGCCCTGGTTAACTCCGCATTCCAGCGGGCCACCAGGGAATCAGCTGAAAGGCCATCAACATGGGCTAAAGCATCCCCTACCACTCTCTGGAAACCATTTGGATCCATTAAGTGGCGGGCGGACCATCCGAGTGGTCCCACCTCCCTGCAGAGGAAGGGTCGCGGAGAAGTCCAGTTGCACCAGGAAGTGATCTGACCATGGCACTTCTTTTGTTTCACTTTTACTTAGTGTCAGATCACCCACGTCACTAGAGGTGAACACCAGGTCTAAGGCATGTCCATGACTATGAGTTGGGCCAAACTTATTCAGGGACAGCCCCATGGAGGCCATGCTTTCCACGAAGTCCCGAGCGGCCCCTTGTAAGGTCGTGTCGGCATGGATGTTAAAATCCCCTAGGACAACCAAACTAGGTGTCTCCAGGAGAAAATCCGCCACGACCTGAAGCAGCTCGGACAGGGAATCCTTGGTGCAGCGGGGAGGTCGGTACACCAAAAGGAATCCTGTACTGCCCCTATTGCCCAACTTCCAGAACATGCACTCAGAGAACTGGATCTTCCCAGTAGGACGCCTGGTGCAAGCTAGTGACTTCCTAAAAATCACAGCAACCCCCTCCCCGCCCACATGACCTGGGTTGCTGTGCGTAAGAGAAACCTGGTGGGCAAGCAGCGGCAAGGACAGGCCCATCTGCTTCCTCCAACCAGGTCTCCGTCACACATGCCAGGTCAAATCCTCCATCCACAATCAAGTCGTGGATGGCAGTGGTTTTATTCATCATTGACCTGGCATTGCACAGCAACACTTTCAGGTCATGTGGGTTTCCCCTGTTGATTCCAGTATCCATCCGGTCAAGGCCAGACCCGGAGGCAGGGATAGTCTTCAAACAACGACTAAACCTGCCTCCTCGGTAATGACATGGTCTGGTCTTAGCGTAACTCCGCCTCCTGCCCATGATCACCGAGATCGGATGTCCCAGTGCTTCCCCCTGTGGAACTTGTCCCAGCCATCGTGTTGGCTGGGAGCCCACCCAGGCAGCCCTGATCCCGCCCCTTAAAAACAAAACACAAACTATACAGAACCAATAAAACAACAACAACAAAAAGGAACAGAACAATTATACTAAAATTAATCCCCAACAAACTATCCATCCCACCCACCCACCCCCAACAAAGGGAAAAAAGGGAAAAAAGGAATAAAAATTGAAATTGCCACCAACTGCTTGAGGACATTTTAAAGCACGTTAACCACCTGGAACAGGGAAGCAATGGCAGAACACTTCCCACACTTCCCCAAAAGTTTGTTCCAAATAAGGGCCTGGGCCACGCCCCCTGGGTCAGTTGGAAAAGGCCCTGGAAGGGAGCAGGCCCTGCAATCCTCACCCAGCCGATGGTCCGAGGCCTCACCGCAGCAGGAGTCCCTTTATAGCTGGGAGAGAGGGCCTGGGCCACGCCCCCTGGGCCAGTTGGAAAAGGCCCTGGAAGGGAGCAGGCCCTGCAGTCCTCACCCAGCCGATGGTCCGAGGCCTCACCGCAGCAGGAGTCCCTTTATAGCTGGGAGAAAGGGCCTGGGCAACGCCCCCTGGGCCAGTTGGAAAAGGCCCTGGAAGGGAGCAGGCCCTGCAGTCCTCACCCAGCCGAGGGGGCAGCATCAGCATCTCATTTCTCATTTTCTCCCATATGCAATGATTTATTGCTGCATTTCTTCCATTGTGGAACACAAGGTGGGGATCCCTAAGCCTCCTCCCATCCAAGTGCAGATTAGACTCAGATTAGGCTTAGTTGCAGAGAGGTTGCATACATCACATGCCTTCACTGTTCTCTGGGACCTGAATTTCAGGGTACCACCATCCCCCTACAGATGAGCAGCAGAACTAGCTGGGTGAGTCAGAACAAACACTGCCTGTTTCTAAGAGCAGCCAACTAAATATCTCTGAGAGACTCACAAACAGGGCATGATGTGCCCATGGCACTTCCTGCCTTCAGTCCCCTACAGCTGGTGTTTCAGAGGAATACTGCCTCTGTATTGGGAAGCCCTATTATAATAGGCAATAGTCACTGATAGAGCTAACCTCTAGGAAGCTGTCTAATCCCAGGGGTTGGTGTGAGAAGTCACCCTTTGTTCTTTGCAGTAGCCTTCATTTTGCAGACCAAAAGCACTTCACTATATCCTTGCCCAGAAACATGCATGAATAGGGACCAGAAGCCACCTGGATCAATGAAGCAGCAGCTGAGCCCCTGATTTCCCTGAAGAAGGTCCTTGGCTCCTCCAGTTAAAGCAGGGGTGTGGAACCTCCAGGCCAAACTTGGCCTGCCAGACCTCCCCATTTGGCCCATGAGGCTGTTTTGGGTAAATCATGCCCACCACCCTACACTCGACATAAAAATGTCCAATGTGGAGCAAATAATGGCTTGAAAGGAGCTCCCAATTGTTCCTTAACATGCTCCCATCATCCATCATCACTTCTTGCTCCATGAAAGAAAAGCTGTTTCCAAGGCATGGATACTCCTTTTCCCTCCCAGCGCTGCTACTTGAACCTCTGGTTTTTGGAGATTCAAATAACAGAATGGAACTGTTTCAAACAAACCATGCTGTGCTTTGAAGTTCCAGCAATCAGGGCTTCAAAATGCATCACCCCCTGACATCACAGCAATGTTGAGTTGCAGGCAACTGGAGAGGGCTTTCTCTGCCCAAAATCAAGGAGACATCAAGCCTAGGAAGTGGACAAATAGTCTGATCTACCATAAGGCAGTTTCCCATGTGCCACTGGACCTCGAGTATAAAAGCTTCACAAATGGACCAAGATGAAAATGAAAACCTGTTCTATCAATAAGAACCAAGTCTGGGCCAGAAGAAGACAGAACAGTCAAAATACTCACAAGGTTTTTTCTGGCTGGGCAGAGTCACCTGATGTTTTCTTATCCCATCAAACAAGAGCTCTGCTCCACCTCTGAAAATTTAAGACAAGAAACACATAATCAGCAACATTCTGAAAGACAAAAATCATAGAGGCACCAGCCTTTTATATTGCATGCATAATTAAAAACAAACTAAGGTGTTTCCCCTCTACATACCCCTCACTTCATGTGCATTACTTCATGTGCAAATGCAATAAATTAACTCATTGACTTAGCATACAGGGTTGATCCAAGACAATTTGATGCCTGAGGAAAAGGACAAGATACAACCTACACCCTCTCATTTCACACAGAGAAGCCTACTCAATTGGCAACTGAATCCTATTCCTCAATGGTTGTCCTCCTTCCTTCTTAACAGAGAGGAGAAGGGGCAGCCTAGGGGGCACATGGCAGGGTGTGTGATAAACTGAGCTCTGTCTTCTTAAGGGGGTTCAGAAAGATCAACTGCAGGAGGCTGCCACCACTGTTCTGTAGCTGCTGCCCCATTTGCCATCCAGGTTGGCTGCCTCACTTTGCCTACCAGTAGAGTTGGCTCTGCAACTTATCTAATAGCCCCATTGAAAACCAATCCACATCAGTATTAAAAGAAAAACACATATATAAGGGGAAGAGGATGTATTAGGGAAGGAGAGAGAACTACAATGTAAATAAAGCATCTTCTAGCATTTCTGAAGGACGAGAAGAAACATATAGAGAAAGTTTCAATTGAGGAATCTGTTCAGCACAGGCCTGAACCATCATCAATTCTATATATACCTGCTCAAGGAAAAACCTCACTTAGTTCCAGAAAAGCACATACCAACCTGGCACCCTTCAGGTGTTGCTCAACTATAACTTCCATCATACTTGACCTTGGCCATGCTGGCTAGAACTGATGATGAGTCGTAGTCCAACAAGAGCTGGAGGACACCAGGTTGGGAAAGGCTGGTGCACAGGAATACTACTTAAGACACACAGCTGAGATTGATGGAGAGCAGGCAACATCTAACCATGGAGCCATGAGGGAATGAGCCATCATCAAAATCTACTCCAGCAGTTAATTGGGACTGGCTTCTTGGCATCCACATGATTCATGATTGCCATGTTAACAGAGAGATATGGAAAAGGAATTATCAAAATACTTACGGTGAAATATTAGCATTAGACCCAGTCCCTTTAAATCTAGTTACGTGGAGGGAGATTTTTGGCTGTACTATAGAACAGCACAACAGTGCCTTTGTAATGCTCACTGCAATGCTATTACTTATACAAAGCCACACTCCCCAAGGATTGCTCTGTTAGTGCTATCTAGGCTCAACAAAAAAGAAAAACGGTTAACTGAAAACTGAAGTAGCAGTTATTAATGTCAGACAAATCTGGAGATTCATGAGTGAGAACAATCCCTACCAATGATAGGAAAGAGGCATCTTTCTGCTTGCTGTGAAAACAAGCTCACACTTTGTGTTAATCGCAGATACTGGGATGGGAGATAAGGTCCTTCTGTAGCATACTAGCTGGGGGGAGAACTCAGCTGCAATGTGAACACATAGAGCACTCTTTTAGGCACTTCCAAGAAAAGTGTGGGGGGGACCAAATAAACACTGCTTTTCTGGAAATCAGTTCTACAGTGGCTAGCATGGGCGGAGTAGTTATCTCAAAACGATGTACTAGATGGTGCGAGCATGGAGAAAGGACATTATTTATTTAAGTCGAAGAAACCCTTCAAGGTTTGGAGAAAGGTATCTACTAGAACTGATGGGGAGTTTATTTAGAATGTTTATATACCATATTTCAACTAAATGTTCTCCATACGTTTACATAGTAAAATGGGGCACATCTTAAAATCTCTTCAGAAGTAGCTTCCACCAGCCTAATGTTCTCCAGATGCTCTGGACTGTAAGTGGCTCCAGGCAGCATAATGGAAGTTCTGAACCAAAGCATTGTTGGTGAAGGCTGAATTTAAGTTTAATAGTGTACCCCTCTAGGATGTAAATCAGGGATGTGGACCCTAAGGTCCTCCAGATGCTGTTGGACACACAACTCTCATCATCCCCGACCACTGACCATGCTGGATGTGGCTGATAGGAGCTGGGAGTCCAGCAACAACTGGGAGGGCCACAGCTTTCTCCATTGCAGTCCACAAACATTTATGCCATAATAAATTTGTCAGCCTTCAATGTGCTACAAACCCTTTTGCTCTTTTTGTTATGAAAAACATGGCAGCCCCTCTGGAAATTAACATATGTAAACAGTATCTAAGGCACAAGGCACTTCATCTACATTATCATAGCAGGTTTGGTTCTGATAAGTGTGAATTCATATCCTAGCTCACTGAGAATGCAATTTCCCCCGGGTTTTCCCCATCAAGACCCACCATTCTAGTTAATGCACTACCACTAGACAGAGACAGTTATAGCCAACTGCAGGAGAGAGGGGACACCATCAGATACTGAGGGAAACATTTGCAAAGTCACAGGTGGGCTTGTTTGTTTAAAGAAGGATAATTTGTTTCCTTTCTATACCTGTGATATTTCAAAAACTCAACATATTCACTGTAGCACAAACTTTTAGGGACTAGAGATACTGGCATTTCTCTTTTTCATAGTTGTGTTGCTTCCCTTTTGTTTGATGCCAATGTTGCATGCTTGATTTCCTTCTTTTCTTGATTACATATATAGTCAAAAGTTGCAATCCAGTCTATTCCCATTCTGGAAGGAGTCCTGTACTTCACATGTATGCTTTGCTATTGTTGTTTAGTCGTGTCCGACTCTTCGTGACCCCATGGACCAGAGCACGCCAGGCTAAGTGATGTTCAAACCCCCTCTTTAACAAGAGTGCCTTTTTGTAAACTTTTACAGCAGATGTCCTCAGTCTGGTGATCTCCAAATGCTTTGGACTACAACTCATCAGCCCTGGTCAACGTGGCCAATGGTCAGGAATACTGGGAGTTGGATTACAACATTTGTAGCACCAGGGCGAGGAAGACTGCTTGACAGACTCATTCATCACTTTCCTCTGAGACCTATTTTCATGGGCCTTATAATAAACACTTAACTACAGAATGACTTCAGACTATTCAATGCAGAAAGCAGCATTTGAAAACTAAACATCAAGCACCTTGATGTCTGATGCCTAGCTGGATTTTTATCTCCCTTTCAACATTACCGAGAAGGGAAATACATTCAAGACTGAGCCACCTACATGGCACTAATGACGTAATATTGTTTCATACCACTTTGTGCATTCATTCATTCATTCATTCATTTTCTTTGCCATCCTTCGTCTGAGGATCACAGGGTTGTTTACAATGTAATTATTTTGTGGTCCTTAAAATGTCTAGCTCTTTATTCAACAAATAGAATCATAGACATAGAATTGGAAGGGACACTGAGGATCATCTAGTTCAACCCCCTGCAATGCAGGAATATGCAGCCATCTCATACGCGGGTCAAGCCTGATGAACCATTAAAATCAGGAGAGGCTAACATGTGACCATCTAGATCAGTATTTTCCAAACTTGGATCTCCAGCTGCTTTGGGACTACAGTTCTCATCATCTCTGACCACTGGTCTTGCTGGCAAGGGATGATGGGAGTTGTAGTCCAAAAACAGCTGGAGTCCCAAGTTTGGGAAACACTGCTCTAAATTTTGCTACCCTACACCTCTCATCATTCCAGGCCACTGGCTGTGCTGGCAGCAGCTGATGGGAGATTGAAGTCCAGAAAAACCTGGGGGGGCTACAGGTTAGCAACATGATTTAAAGGATAGTGGCAGACTATGTTCCTTCAGGTGCTAAATTTCTGCATTTCTAAAACAAAAGGTGTTGGAACTCATACCTTCCACTGCAAGCTAGTGCTCTGAAAAGGGCTTCTCATGACCCAGCAGTCAACTGATTGGTGGTGCCTGCAACCTCCTGTTTACTTTACCTGCCCCACACCTAACATTAAGTATGTGGGAGGTGAGAATGACTTGGCTGATAGGACCTTGCCATTTGGCTGCCCTAATTAGACCACTGGGCTGCCAGGTCCCCAACCGTATTCTATCCTGAAACACTAAAGGCACGTATGTAGGAATTGGTTCTGCCTATGCCTACTGAGAAAATGGCCATTCTGCATATGCTCAAAATCATTCTTTATTGTTACTTCACACATACCAGCGATGACTTTAAATGAAAATGGATTCTTTGTGGGGAGGGGGAGTTTAAGGAACAACTCTTTGAATGTACAGAGAACAGTTAAATGACACAATACTGGTATATGATGCCCTGTAGTTTCCTTTCTCTTCATCAAGTTCCTTTAATCTGACACAAATTTTATTATTTATATACCTTTCTTTAGTATAACCAAATTCTTACCCACTTCATTTCACTCCTAGAATAGGAAGCCTCATTTGTGGGCCAAAACTGGACAGGGCTATCTTCATGCAAGCTTTCCTTCTCATGAAACCTGTGAATCTGCCACCTTGGCATAGTCACAAGCACCAATGACAGACAGTCTCATTTTCAGTTCTCTGCCTCCCAACCCTTTTAAAGTCCACAAGTAACTTTAAGTTGATTGGAGGAAATCTACCTTGCCTGTTAAGTCTCTAGGCACCCCATTCTTAGTCCCCATCACCACCAGGTTGCCCCAGTATGAACTCCACCCCCCACAAACCACTGGGAATCAAGAAGTATACACACACACAGCACCCTCTTTTAATCTATGGTGCTTTTAAACAAATAATGAGAAGATATTGTATGTATTTATGAGGGAGGAAAGTGTATGCCTCTCCACTTTCTCCGCACCGTGCATAACTTTGCGCCCCTCCCCTGTGTTCCCCGTTGGCTTCCTTTTTCCTAAGCTAAAAGCCTTGATTTGTCACCTCCCCTTGTTGAGAGGAGTCATTGTGTGATCCCTGTGTTTAGATGCGATTCCTGCATTGCTGTGGGAGGCGGGGACAAGCGACTGTCCCGAGTCCCTGCTGTTGGGGAGTGCGGGGCGTGGGGGGCGGGGCGAGGTAGGGAAAGAAAGATTCCTATGGGGAGAAGAGTAGCCTGTGAGGGCGAAGAAAGGAAGCTTTAGAAACCAAATGGGAAACAATGGCACCCCCGTTTCCCTCCACCCGCCCAAAAAGAACACTCTCACCCCAAACCCAAACCCTGACCCTCCACCTCCAGACCAAGCACCCCCTTCACCGGCTGAGCTCCCCACGCGGGATCTCGGCGAGGAAACCCTCCGCCGCCCCGATGGCGCCTCCCTTACCCGAACTCCAGCTGAAGAGACAAGGGCGCCGCCATCTTTTGTGAGGGAACGGCGTTGCCCGCAGCGGAAGCGCGAAGCCGCGTCTGCTTCCGTGGGCGGCGGAGGTTGCCGAGCAACGGCGCGCCGGAAGAGGCCTGGCCCCGCCCGCCCGTTTTGAAAAGTCTCGGAGCAGCCGCCTTCTGCCCTGGATGGAACCACGCAGATGGCCCGGCCAGATCAGTGTTGCCTGCTCTGGCTGGTAGCCAGGGTGTCCGAAAAAGTTGCCAGCCGTAACTGAGAAGCATCAGACTTGCTGATCAGTTTTAGGTCCCGCAGTTTCTATACCCTGGAAATCATGCCTGCAAACACAGGTTGTTATCTTGGACCATGATGATGATGATGATGATGATGATAATAATAATAATTATTATTATTATTTATTATTTATACCCCGCCCATCTGGCTGGGTTTCTCCAGCCATTCTGGGCAGCTTCCAACAAAATATTAAAATACAGTAATGCATCAAACATTAAAAGCTTCCCTAAACAGGGCTGCCTTCAGATGGCTTCTAAAAGTCTGGTAGTTCTCATTCTCCCCACAACCACCTTGTTGTTGTTTAGTCGTGTCCGACTCTTCGTGACCCCGTGGACCAGAGCACGCCAGGCACTCCTGTCTTCTACTGCCTCCCGCAGTTTGGTCAGACTCATGTTTGTGGCTTCGAGAACACTGTCCCACCATCTTGTCCTCTGTCGTCCCCTTCTCCTTGTGCCCTCCATCTTTCCCAACATCAGGGTCTTTTCCAGGGAGTCTTCTCATGAGGTGGCCAAAGTCTTGGAGCCTCAGCTTCAGGATCTGTCCTTCCAGTGAGTACCCAGGGCTGATTTCCTTCAGAATGGATAGGTTTGATCTTCTTGCAGTCCATGGGACTCTCAAGAGTCTCCTCCAGCACCATAATTCAACCCCCTAGCCTGCACCTACTCAACTGCCTGTTACATATTAAAGCAGTCGTTCTGGGACATTTTTCTATGGGCCACACTTTCAGAATACAATTTTATCGTGCCACACCATTTTTGTCATTGATAAGAAATACATTGGAAAACAAACAGAAACAAAAACTAGCAAGGCTTGATTTGTAGCATGGAGCACAACTGCTTTATAATATGATCATGGGGACACCCAGAAATAAAAAAAAACAAGGCAGCTACATGAGAACATGAATCATTCCCAAAATGTAATTATAAACAAACCTCCTGTGTGTACCTTATGTATGTCTACAAACTCAATGAGAGGTATGGGCTTGCTTTTGTACCAATACCATTTATATTAGGTCTAATTTGAGAAAAACTCATCACCACAAGCCTTTCTCTTTTCCGATCTTTCTTATTTACTTTACTATACCACACTACACTGTAATGTTTAAATGTTTTTTTGATTGTCCAGGAATCTTCCCGCCACACTTGCCATCCTCTCCTGCCACACCAGTATGGTGTGGCACCACTGTATAAAGGCTTTGAAAAAATATAGGTTGGGGAATTGGAATTTGTGACCTTACAGATGTTGCTGAACGGCAGCTCCCAAATTCCTAGGTGTTCATTGGCTATGCTGGTTGAGGCGGACTGAGTTGGGAGTGCAAGAAATATGGAAGGTATCTTTTGGGGGTTTGAGATGGAGACTTCCTCCCCCACTTTGCAGGTGCTGAATGAGCTCGGAAAACAACCCTGTGTTTCTATTGTATCTATTTGAGCATTGCATCGTAGTACTAGTATATTTGGTTCGGTCAAGGACCAGTAAGAAGGTAGGAAGAAAACAGAATACAAAAAAGACACAATATAATGCAAAATTATGCATACATAAAAGACAATATAATGTACAATTAAATACAATATTAAATATAAAATTAAAAACAATGTAGAATATAAAACAGTGAAAAATATAAAATTATATACTGAAATGATGAAAAGCGCCATAAAGTGCTGATAATTTTAAAATTAAGATCCTGTGTCAACAAGCTATTGCTGCCACACAAAAATGAACTGCCTTGGCAGTAATCTCAGGAAACTGGTCAGCCAAGAGGTAATCAGTATAAAACACTTCAGATCTTCCTGGTATACTTTGTAAAATTGGATTAATAAATTGACAGTGGATATCACAGTAAAAGGAACAATACAAAAAAAAAACGCCTCACCATTTCTACATTCTCTGCTTCACAAGGGTATATAAGTGTTCACTGTATGGTACATTGTTGTATCTACCCTTCAGTACTGCAGATGGAAGCATTTAAATAAAAGAACACATTCTACTCATGTAAAAACACGCTGATTCCTGGACCAGGCTGGATTTAGAAGGCGATTGGGCCGGATCCAGCCCCTGGGCCTTAGTTTGCCTACCCATGATCTGGACCCCCTCCATGCAGACTGAAGGTGCAAATAGGTGAATAAACCATATTTCTCAAAGCTACGACAGTCTCTGTCATGTCTCAGTCCTTCAAAGGAACGCAAACCCTGCACAAGTGCCTGGAGCGTCCATGCTCTTGCTACCACTTGGCAGAGAGAGGGGGACACCCAACTTTTGTAACAATATCCAATTTGAGATTAAATGTTCTCCGACAGTAGCACTCCGTTTCAGAAAGTAGTGCCACAAAGGCCACTGCCAAACACAGGAATGCAACATAGAATGGCAAAGCCATCAGCACTGCTTTGCATGGAAGAATGCTGGTCAGGAATATTGTACAGTGGTACAATATACAGTGGTTATAATTTGTTCTGGAGGTCCGTTCTTAACCTGAAACTGAAATTTAATTCTTAAACTGAAACTGTTCTTAACCTGAAGCACCACTTTAGCTAATGGGGCCTCCCGCTGCTGCCGCACTGTTCTCATCCTGAAGCAAAGTTCTTAATCCAAGGTAATATTTCTGGGTTAGCGGAGTCTGTAACCTGAAGCGTCTGTAACCTGAAGCGTCTGTAACCCAAGGTACCACTGTATATGAATTCCTGCATTGCAGGCGGTTGGCCTAGATAGGGTCCCTTCCAACTATACAATTCTTTGACTATGACTCTATGGCCCTATTTTTGGTGGTAGAAACTCACAGGGCGCCTGTTCTTTGCACCCCCACCTAGTGCCCCACTGCTAGGGCCTGACCCTGCACTGTGGTGCATTTAGGCTCCCCTTTAACCCAACACCGTTCTTTCCAGCAGACGACCTGCAACAAATATAACAGTGGCGTATATTTCATTTTTAATTAAGAGAGGGAGGACAGTGACATTTCATGCAGCGTGACTTAGCAGGCCACGCTGATGGACCACGTTTTTCCGCCTGCAAAAGGAGCCGGTTATTTCTCAATGAAGCATTATGAGGAACTCTCAAACAGCCAGCAGCAAGTCGAACTTCGAAGCCTTTGAATAACAGACGAGAGCGCTTGGAGCCACTGTTGCAGGCCATGACAATGAAGGGTTCCTGGCTCTGGGGCTTTTGTTTGGTTTCTCCCAGTCTCTGTGTTGAACTCCCTTCTGCATCAGAGAAAAGGGGTCTGGGGGTAGGGGGATGGGAGGGAGAAATGATATGGCGGGGAGGGGGAGGGGAGGGGGAAGGAAGGTCAGGGGGAGTTAAAACCTTTTTCTGTCTCATTCATGTGGTAATTGGGTGTCAAGCAGAGATCAGTAAGGTGGAGGCCGGCCTCTGAGCTTGGGTTAAACTGCTGCTCAAAGAAAGCAGGGCAGCCCCAGCCTACTGAGGCCTCACAGGAAACAGCCAGCCTCTCCTGCCAGGACGAGGCCCTTCTATTCGAGCCCAGGGGGAGCCGCTTGGGGAGGGGATGTTGCGCTTTCCCCCACCCCACCCCCCAATTCACAGGCTCCTTGAAAGCAGCTAAACAAAGCTTGGAGGGTGTTCAAACAATGCGAGAAACCCCACCTCCGCCCTTCAATAGGGGGCTCTAAACAGGCATTTAACCTTCAGAATGGCTGAAAGTGATACTCAAAAGCAGCTTGCCATCCATCCCCTCCCCTTTTATAGATGAACCAGAGGCCACTTGGAGGTTCCCCTCCGCCAGGAAGCAGGCCGCTCGCTGCCCTCGCCTTGGCCCTGCGTCCCTTGGTTATCTTGCTAATAACGTGGTTTCTTCAACAAGGCCAGCCAGAGTGCATGAGATTTTTAATCTAAGGGTTGTGTGGTTTGAGCCCCACCTTGGGCAAAAGATTCTTGCACTGCAGGGGGTTGGACTACATGACCCTCGTGGTCCCTTCCATCTCTACATTTCTATGATTCTATAAATGCAAACTTTGTCAAGGGAAGGTGGTAGTTTTCCTGGGTAACTCTATCCCTATTTTGCTTTCCTTTACAGTGGTACCTCAGGTTACATATGCTTCAGGTTACAGACGCTTCAGGTTAAAGACTCGGCTAACCCAGAAATAGTGCTTCAGGTTAAGAACTTTGCTTCAGGATGAGAACAGAAATCGTGCTCCGGCGGTGCAGCGGCAGCAGGAGGCCCCATTAGCTAAATGTGTAGAGAGCCAGTGTGGTGTAGTGGTTAAGAGCGGTAGTCTCGTAATCTGGGGAACCGGGTTCGCGTCTCCGCTCCACCACCTGCAGCTGCTGGGTGACCTTGGGCCAGTCACACTTCTTTGAAGTCTCTCAGCCCCACTCGCCTCACAGAGTGTTTGTTGTGGGGGAGGAAGGGAAAGGAGATTGTTAGCCGCTTTGAGACTCCTGAAAGGGAGTGAAAGGCAGGATATCAAATCCAAACTCTTCTTCTTCTTCTTCTAAAGTGGTGCTTCAGGTTAATAGCAGTTTCAGGTTAAGTACGGACCTCCGGAACGAATTAAGTACTTAACCCAAGGTACACTGTATTGCCTTTGTTTGGTGGAGATGCAGAGTTGTCTCATAGCAAATGGGTGTCAACAAATTTAACCACTCCCTAATGCTTTAGAAGTTGCATCTTAACTCTGGTGCACAAGTCTGTAAATTTGTGTGCATGAACACAGAAGACCAATATACTTTGGCTTTTCATGCCCTCTGCAGAAGTTTACATTTAAAAAAAAGAAGAAGTTGAGGAAAATAGCCCCATCATGGATGAGACCAACAGCAGGTCCAGTGGTCAAGAAGGCAGGTTTTGCATGTGCTGTTGTGGGAAAGCAAGGAGTAGATGGGTCTCATCAACCAGGGAAGGCAACCCATCTAGAAGAAGGAAAATTCTGATCTAAAACTTCTACTTCCTTGTGGGATATCTTTGGGAGAAGAAAAGGCTAACACTACAAGTGTGGAATGGAGAGTCCCTAAGGCAGTTGGATGGAGCCTTGTATACTTCCTTCTGGCAACTTCTGCAGCCAAGCTGTTGCCAAACATCTTGCTCTGCTTTCCTTTGGACCACATCAGTGAGGCTGAGAGAGGGGTCTTGCCATCTGGGTAGCCCAGGACCTCGCTACACACTACCCAGGCTTGCGCCCCAGGGAGGTCACTTTGGTGTTGCTAACACAGCAGTTTGACTTCATCCCTGGAGGCTCACTCCATTGTCTCTCAAGACAGGTGGATGCCAACCTAGGACTCTCTCTCCCCCATCTCTCATTTATAATATGTTCCTGAATTTACATGTGCCTAAAATTTAGATACACATAAATAATATTGTTGGGGTTTTTACCTATGTTGATGGGTTGGTTATTAATTATTAATTACATATTTACATGGGTAAAATCTTATTTTCTGATGAAAGAAGCAGACTTTATTTTGTTTTAGGAACACAGGAACCTGGGAGACTGTCTTACACTGAGTCAGACCATTGGCTCTTCTTGCTTGGTTTTGTCTATACCAGTCTTTGCCAAGCTCGTACTTTCCAGGCATTTTGGACAATGGCTCCCATCGGCTGCAGTGAGCCCCAGCCCCAGATTTAGCGTGTTGTGGGCAGTTCCCTCACACAGGGCACAAGATTGAGAAAATCCATAACTGAGGAGATCCATTTGGGGGCGCCAATTTTTGGCCTCACCCATGGTGCCTTATTACAAAAGATTACCAAGGTCCACATCTGTCAGCACATCTGGAGGGCACCAGGTTGCCAAAGGTGGTCTCCACCAACTAGCAGCAGCTGTCCATGATTCCAGAGAGGGCCCCCTCTCTGTCCTATCTGCAGATGCTGGAGATCAAACTTAAGACCTTCTGCATGTAAAGTAAATGATCTGTCCGTGAGCTATGGCCCCTCCCCCATTTTTAAGATAATACACAGACACTACTGTGGCTGAGGCAAGGGAGGCAGTCTCTTATTTTATCTATTTACTAAAATATTTATATACAGGCAACCCGCCCCCCTTACTCGCGGGTTACATTCCAAAGCACCACGCGTTTAAGTGAAATTGCTTATATCTGAAACACCATTGAAAAAGCCGCAAACTTTCATCCCTGCCCTGCCCTGCCCCTTTTTGTGATGTTTTGGGGTCACTTCCAGGTTTGGCACAATGCGCATGCGCAGAGTTGCACACATATTGAAAACACATAAATGGAGGGTTGCCTCTACTACTAATTCAGTTTTAAAAAATCAAAATGGTTCCAAACACGGCCCAAAGGTGGTCCCATATAGAGCACATTACAATGCGTGGACTACAGTGGCCTGGCTATCCCTGTCCAGGAACGGCTGTAGCTGGCGAACCAGACAAAGCCTAGCCAAAGAGGACCCCTGGGCCTCTAAGTGACAAAGGTGTAACCAGGAGCACCCATAAGCAACACACTTGTTTCTTCTGAGGGCGTTCAACCCCATGCAGAACAGGTAACTCACCTTCCTGGATATGGGAACCACTCCCCCAAAGAATCTCCCCAGGATTCAGGCAGTTTATTAGTCCTCATACAGTCCACCACTATGCTCAGACACCTATCTAGAGAAGCAGAGCTGCTTGTCATCAGCATACTAGTGACAGCTTGTTCCAAAGTGCCTAACGGCCGCTCCCAACAGATGTTAAATAGCACTGGAGAGAGGGTAGTTCTCTGCCGCATAGTGTTAAGTGTCAAGGTGCTGAGGAGCACTCACCCTGCAGATATGGAAAGAACCACCATAATGCAGTGCCTGTGATGCCCATCCCTCTGAGTCAGTCCAGAAGGATACAATGGTAAACAAATAGTACCAGAAGCCACTGAAAGATGGAGCAATAGTCACAGCAATGGTCACTCATCAGGGCCACCAAGGCTGATTCAGTTCCAGAGTCGGGTTTGAACCCAGATTGTAGCAGATCTAGATAATCAGCCTCCTCCAAGAATACCTTCAGCTGCTTCACAACCACCCTCTCCACCACCTTTGCCAAGACAGGGGTGTTGGTGACCAGCCTATAGTTATTACACTCCATTGGTGGGCTTTTAAAGAAGAGGAGACACCACTTCCTACTGCTGCTTGCCTTTCGTGCTCAGTGCCGTTTACTGGAGACTGAATCTGGTACCTTCTGCTCTTTCACTGAGCTACAGCACCTTGTCAATGGCATTTTAAAAATATGCACTTGTAATAAAGGATGTATACATAAAATTGAAGGCGATTCTTCGATCTATTTAACATTTTTCAATCTAACCAATTGCTCTATTAGGGACACAGTTCTATACTTTTAGTACCATAGAGATTGATTGTTGTTTTCGGCTTGAAGCTATCTATGTCTTATATTTCAGCCTTAGGCTGCCTTTGAGAAATCCAACTTAAAAATTGTTGTTGTTTGTATTATTGATATGTGTCTCATGTGTGTATGTGTGTATACACCCACCCACACTCCAGTTCTGTGAAATTTAGCAGGGTTTTATCTACATTTTATTATGCACACCACTTAGAGAGCTCTTTGATTAAGTAATTTATAAATATTTATGTTTAATAAGTGGTTTGTTTGGTTTTATGCGATCTTATGAATTGCTTTGCACGTGGCCTTGGAAGGGGTACATGCTGGAAGCCAAGGCAAACATATTTCACATTGAATAAAATACCACCTGTAAAGTTGGGATCTAGCTGAAGGGCAAATCATCCCCTACCCATAGCAAAAGAAGGAAACAACAAAACAATGGCAAGTAAATTTGAAATCCTCTTTTATTAGACATGAAGATTCCATTTTCTTCCCTAGTTCCACTGCAGGAATCAGAAGCCATGGTGCCTCGAGATAGCAGAAGATGTTGTGTGATGATCATGAGCAAGCATCAGAGGTAAAACACAATTTTCCCTACTTTACAATTCAGGGAAAAACACACACACACATGGTAGGTAAAGTACCCCCTTTCTTCTCCACGGCCTCCCAAAACAGACACACAGAGACATTGACACCTCTTGCTGCACCATGTTCCCTGAGTAAATGTTGAAACAGCATTGATTTAAAAAAATAACAACCCAAAAAAACAATAAAAGCAAATACACAACCCCACAAAGAAAACAATGGATTTATTTTAAAATATGCAAACTGGCATTAGGAGGACCTGTTCCTGCAACCACAAATGAGATACCCAAGTTCAGATTCAGGTTTAGGATAACAGAATCATAGAGTTGGAAGGGACCCCAACGGTCATCTAGTCCAACCCGCTGCAAAGCAGAAATCTCAACTCAAGCATCCCTGACAAATGGCCACCCAGCCTCTGCTTAAAACCCTCCAAGGAAGAAAAGTCAACCACCTCCCAAAGGAGTGTGCTCCACTGCTGAACATGTCTGTCAGAAAGTTTTGAGGAAGGCCTGGGAAAATGGTCCTCTTGTAGGCCACCCTCCATGGCCAGGGGGCCCTGGCAGATTGACCTGGCTACATTGGCAGCGTTCTGAGAAGCACAGGACAGTTAAGTCTAGCTATTCTTTCAGTTTCCCACAATACCCCAGGAACAGCCTTTGTGCATCTGTTGTCCTCCAGATGTTGCAGGTAGGAGTTGCAGTCCCAAACACCCAGAAGGTACAACACTGGTGAAAGCTGCCCCAGAATGACACTAACCTGGGGGCCCCAGGGTAAATCAAAAGTGGGTAGCTGAGAACTTACCACCTGGTAATGCTCAGAGTACCAGGTCAGAAAACTAAACAAGGAAAACAAAGGGAGTCCGCACAGCAGACGTTAGCAGTGTGCCCCAGACAAATCCCCAAAGGATGTCAGCTGCTGGAATTACACATGGAGACACCTTAGGAAAGGGGGCACATTTTCAAGGAAGCTTAGTAAACTGTGATTGATAGCAGTGAGAAAATGGAAGCTGAACTTCCTAAGCTTCAAGGCGAGGCAGCCATGAACAGCTATTCTAGCCAAACACCCACCAAGCTAAGTGAGGAGCAGGGCTTCTCCTTTATTTCTTTTTTACCATCTTCAATATGGAGCACATATCTCCCTCTTCCCTGTGTATCTCCTTCCCAGGACTATCTTTTGCAGAGCTTAGTCAGTGCTGAATTGAAGGGAGTTTCCCATTGATGTGGAAAGCTTCTCACGTGGAAGGCAATTTAGAGTTGTAAACAGGAGGGGGAAATTTAATTAAAGCGTCTCCATTTTCCTACCACTGAAACAGGAGCAGCTGCAACATCAGATGATTTTACCTCCTTGTCTTGAAGACACCGGCTTAATTCAGATATCTTTCTAAATAATGGTTTGGAACGCAAACCGTGGTTTGGGCTTCCAAAGATATGGCAGGCAATCCATGGTCTAGCTTGCTTCTAAAAAAGAGTTAATGAAGTTTTCAACTCATAAAAAGAAAGTCCACAGCTCTTCAGTGCCAATGGCGTAGCGTGCCCCCCAAAAAAAATTCTGAAGGGGCACAACCAGGTGCCCCCAGCCGCCAGATTCTTCGGGGTTTCCACCCCACCCTGGCAAAGGAAGCAGAGCCTTCCTCACGCTCCCAAGGGCATGGACCTAGAGTACACAAACATAGAGACATAGGAAAACATAGAGATACAACGTACGGAAAGGTATAGAGTCCAGAAAAACAGCAGCAGAATATGCCAAAGCTTTGGCAGGCGCTGACCTGACTCAGGGTACTTTGTTGGTATTGCAGTTTGACTCAGGATTGGGTAAAACCACCGGCTCACCTTTTTATTTGGTCCCAGCAGAGCACAGTTGCACACCTCTACTGTTTACACAGATACACACAAGCAGCATTCAGAGAACATAGGATGCTGCTTCATTCATGGTCAAGGCTATGTGTTCTCTTATTCCTGGAGGATCTATGTCATTAGCAGCAGCTCTCCAGGGTGCAAGGCAGAAATGCTTCCAGATCCTTTCAACTGGAAGCATCTAGGATCCAATATTCTGCCTGAAAAGTGTGTGCTCTAAACAGCTGCCCCTCTGTAAACAGTCAGTCCATCCACAAGTTCTCCACATGGTCATGTGCACAATTGTGCTCACACACGAAATACTGCTTGTTTGTGGATCAACCTGAAGGGAGCAGCTTAATCAAGGAAGCAGCAAGAAGGCATAGCAGCCTGACTCTGGACTGGGGGTCCTGCAGCCCTCCAGATGTTGCTGGACTCCAACTCTCATCATCATTGGCCATTACTCACTCTGGCTGGGGCTGATGGGAGCTGCCATTAACTCTTGCACCATTTGTTCCAGAATCGGCTCTACTATGAGGCAATGTATTTAGTTATTTAGACATTTTGGTACTGCCTAATCAACTGTGTTCTTTGGGCAGTTCCAGAAGCAGCCACCTCAGGCATCAGGTTTTGGGTGTCCAATGGTAGGGCCGGCCAAGCCGGATACTAAACTTGCTGTTGTGCCTTCTTTAAAATAGAGAGAAGAAGAACCTTCACAGCACTCTTGTGGATGCTTCGTTCCACCATGGTGCATTTTGGCTACTTGCACCATATGATTGCAAAGGAAGCTTCAGTTAACCAGTACTCTAGAGGCATGGGGAGAATATCCTTAAGTAGTCCTGTTCTAAGAAACAGAGATGGTAAGCATCAGGAGCCTGCCAGACACAACTCCTATCACCCCTAAGTATTGGCCATGCTGGTTGCAGCAGGTGGGAGTTGGGAAGACCAACACCTGGAGAACCGCAAATGTTCTCCATGCCTACTTTAAAAATGTGTATGACCCACTCGTGTAAGACATGCCCGGAACTAACTCTGTCTTCGGGAACACAGCCTGGATTTCAATGTCACCAGCACAGAACTCTTGGGTCTTCCTCCCTGCACCAGAGTCATATACGCTACAACAGCCTTTCCCCCACCCAACACTCTACCACTTCCATCACCGTTGGCCATTGGGTCATGCTGGCCGGGGCTGATAGGAACTGGATTCCAAAATGTACAGAGGACACCAGGTCGGGGGAGGCTGCAGTAAAGAGGAATGCAAGCATACCTCTCAGGCTGCATCATCTGGTATTTGGGCTACAGGTAAGACACAAGGTTGGCTAGGAAAAGCTTGTTCTTTGCTGCCTTCAATAGTCCACCCGACTGAGCACATTAAAAACACAGCACATTGGGCAGGAGGGGAGGGGAGGGGGAAAGCAACATGTGCATGAAGTTTGCCCAATGAATCATGCACAGCGGTTTTAAAAGAAGCCCCCAACCATCCCATCTCAAAGTGGTGGGAGCTGCTTCTCAAAGTGGAATGAATACAACTGCCTCTTAGCTTGCCCTCTTTGCGGCAGTTACATGTATTGGGCCCAGAGTGGGAAAGTGAGTAAGCAGTAGGTCCCTGGGAAGGTGAAATGCCCATTGTGGGAATCTTGCCCATACTGTGCAACCCCCCCCCCAAAAAAAAACCTCCTAGAGCCACAGGACTCAGTATATAGGTGCTCTTTATTTTGGACCACCACCTAACTGCACTCAGGTGTCTGTGGTCAGTAGTGGGGATGGAGCAGAACCATCAGGTGTCCTGAGTCTTAAACTATGAAGGGGTGCAGCTTGGGGAGCAAGGGCAGAGCAAGTGCCTAACTGGTGGGGTGGGAGGAGCAGAGTGAAGAGCAAAAGCTCTCAGACGCACGGGAAGTAGTTGCCTCTTCTTCTTCATCTCTGGCAGTCACTCATAGCTGAGTAAGACTGTCTTCCATAAACACGGTCTTAACAATGAGTCCGTAAGTGACTGTGGAGGCCAATTCTGGATCTACACGTCCTTCCACAGTGGGGACATTGGTTCCCAGGCAAGAGGTGATCATGGTGTGGATTTGCCAGGCGTGCCTTCCTCTTTGCACATTTCTCCCTTGCGTTCTGAGTTCGAGGGTCTTCAAAGCCCATGACAACTTTGGTAAAGACTGTTGTCCAACTGGAGCACTCGCAGGCAAGTGTTTTCCAATTTTTAGTGTTTATACTACATTTTTTTAGATTTGCCTTGAGAAAGTCTTTAAACCTCTTTTGTTCACCACCAGCATTACGCTTTCCATTTTTATGTTCGGAATAGAGTAGTTGCTTTGGAAGATATCCGCACAACATGACCAGCCCAACAAAGTTGATGTTGAAGAATCATTGCTTCAACACTGGTGATCTTTGCTTCTTCCAGTACACTGGTATTAGTTCGCCTGTCTTCCCAAGTGACATGTAAAAATTTTCGGAGTCACTGTTGATGGAATCTTTCAAGGAGTTGGAGATGGAGTTTATGTGGTCTATGTTTCACAAGCATACAGTAAGGTTGCTAGTACAATATCTTTGTAAACAAGCATTTTGGTTTCCCTGCAACTGTCACGGTCCTCAAACACTCTGCACATCAATCGGGAGAAAGCCACACTCGCAGAGCTCAGGCGATGCTGGATTTCGGCATCAATGTTAGCCCTTGTGGGAAGGTAACTGCCCAGGTAGGAGAAGTGATTGACATTTTCCAGCATTACACCATTGAGTTGGATTTGTGGCGCTGCAAAGGGGTTGTTTTGTACTTGTTGGTGCAGCACTTTGGTTTTTTTAATGTTGGGTGATAGGCCAAGCTTTTCGTAAGCTTCTGCGAAGACATTTAGGATGGTTTGGAGGTCATCCTCTGAACATGCGCACACTACGTTGTCATCAGCATACCGAAGCTCTATGACGGAAGTTGTGGTAACCTTACTCTTTGCTCTTCTGCCCTTCTCATCTTGATTTTTTTCCTTTCACCCATGTGAAGACCCTATAAAGGAGACTAAAACCCTGAAATCGCAGGTCAAGCCCTGACACCAGGGGAGATCCAGAAGGTAGGTCTGTGATTTGCTTCCCAATCCATATCAATACATTTGAGTTTACACACACACACACACACAGAGAGAGAGAGAGAGAGAGAGAGAGAGAGAGGAATCTAGAGGCACAAAAGAGCCCTCAAAGCAACCGCAGCAAAGTCTACTTCTCATGAGCACAAAGCAAAGAAGGGCAACATCATTACTGGAGCTCCCAAATATCTTCAGCTGGTGCAGTTACACTGCTTTTGAATCACCTAAAGTTCTTCTGACATAGGTGCTCGCTAGTCCAGTAATTCAAGCACTGCCCCTGTATGCTTGATTGTTCCTATTTTGTAGGACCAGCAGACAAGGTTTAGTCTGCCTCAATAACCACCAGTGCTTCCCAGGCTGTTGCTATTCTTAAGGGGGGAGCCAAACACATGTGGGCAAATTCAGGCAGCAAATTAAAATTTCATTCATGCCCTTGTGCAACAAATCTGCTGTCCGCTCCTAACCCCCTGCCCTAACTTTTGCAATATGGAAATTGAGGGGGAAATGCACTGAAAAGAAGTGCAGCCCAAGCCTATCGGAAAAAGTCACTCTCATTTTTGTGCAGATTTTCTGTAAACAGATCAGAATGAGTGCTGGATGAACAGGTCACCTGGCTGGAAGTGACGCTGGTATCTCAAGAGAAACTGGATTTCTGCCCTTGTGAAAGCAGTCCTGCTGAAATTCATGGACATGACTAACTCAGGTTCATTAATTTCCATCGGACTACTCTGAGTAGAACCCACTTGGATACCACCCTGGGCTGATGGCAGTGGGAACACAAGAAGCTGCCTTATGCAGATTCGGACAATTGGTCCATCTAGTTCAGTACTGGTGACACTGACTGGCAGTGGCCCTCTGGGTTTTTGGACAGGAGTCTCTCCCAGCTCTACCTGGCAATGGCCAGGGTTGCATGCCTTCTGAATGCCTTTGGTTACAGCCCTCCCCTTTCTGATTTACGACTCCCAAGACAATTACCCTACTCACAAACAACAGGGGTGGTTTTTTCTACCTAAAAAAATTCTGGGCAAGGACTTTGGCATTAAAACTGGCAAATGGCTAGCTGAAGTCCCAAAAGCAGCCTGCAGCAAGAGAGCAAAGGGCCGCTGACTTCCTCTGAGTGGGGCCAGGGGTCCTGTGGCAACGCAGCTCCCATCAACATAGCCGAGGGATGAAGGGAGCTGTAGCTGGAAGACACCTGACAGGCCACAGGCTCCCCACCCCCTGCCTTGGAGGTTGCTGAAAGGAAGCTGAGCAGACGCCTTATGCCTTGCAGGATAGCACTAGATCCAAGAACTCCCGGGTTGCTACAAACTCTGAGATTATTCTCCCATCCTTCTACATTTAGGTCATTTTAGACTGGAGGAACTTACTTCAAAATATGGTAAGCCAGCCCTGCTGAGGGGGTCCCCTTCCCCAGAGTCCTGCCTAGATGGCCCTGGCTGTCGACCTTCCCTTTTTTTGTGGGAAATTCCCTTATTCCAGCGCCGTTTCCCGCTGCTATTCCGGATTGTTAGATATCCCGTAGACTGTCCCTGGGACAGGTGAGGCTGCTGATCCCTTATTTTCAAATCTGAAAGTTGACAGCTCTGCTGGATGGCACCAAGGCACACCCTTGTGCAAAGTACTAAGAGACAAGGAGCTGTCTTGTGTGAAGTCAAAGCATTGCTCCATCCAAGTCCAGTGTGGCCAGCAAACTCCTCCACGGTCTCAGGCAGAGATTCTCCCCAGCCCTGCCACAGACTGAAGCAGCAACCTTTGTCTCTATATGCAAAAGCACATGCTCTACAGCTGGGCTGTGGCCACTCCCAAACAGGTGTGCAGTAACTCACAGCACGTGTGCAAACATTGCACATAGCAGAAGAATTGAAGCACTCATCAATCGTTTGGACGGACACTTCCGATAGGTGCTAGTGAGATGAGGCCAGGCTTCCTTTTCCCCAGCAAGGGTCCTGCCATTCAGTTCTATGGCTAAGTAGAGAGACAGAATCATAGCATGAATGGGACCACCTGGCTCACACCCAAACAGCCTTCATCTCAGGCAAGGCTCCACCCTGTGACGCAAGGAATTAAATGGAACCTGTGGTGGACCTGAGCCTTCTGGACTGCCTTGGGCAGCTGGCACAAGGCCCCCTTGTCCCCATGCATATAAAATGAACAACCCACAAGTGCCATGCACCTGCTCCTCTGGAACAGGGATGCATTCATGGGGTCTTATTTGCACATGCACCCTAGTGCCATCCTGACAGTACACTATGCCATTGTCAGTGGTGGGTTTGAGGAAGCCAAGCAACCAACATGCCCCTGTATCTTTGTTCGTGAAAATCACTTAAGAGCAATTTGAAGCGCAAGCGCGTGCGCACACACACACACACCTTTCTGAAAATGCAGGAGGTGGAAAGGCCACCTAGCAAAACTTAAGAAACAGGTGGGATTCACACTGAGACACAACTGCTGAGCAAACAGATGAAGAAACTGACCAAAGGAGAATTTTTGCCTCTGACCCTTTTAAAGCTCCCCCACCCCTATAGGAGAAGTGGAATGAAGACGTCTGTGTTCATACATGAGACACAGAATGAGATGCTGTTGGCCAAACTACTATACAGAAAAAAAAGGGGGGGGAGAGAATGAAAAGCCAACCAGTTTGCACTGTGGGCAGAATTGCTTGCCGTTAACCCTTTCCTGCTTCTTTAAAAACAAAATGGAACTTGCAATAAATTGCAAAAAAATAATAATATGATACCCACACATACAAATAAACATCCATTTGTGAAAATAAAACCAAACCAAACACACCACCCATATCCCTGGAATAAGTTGAGTCGCTGTGCCCTTCCTGCCCACTCCGCAAACTTGGGACAGTGCAGTCGCAAGAGAGAGACAATCTCTCCCCATAAAAAGTTATAATCACAACCATGGCAAGGGAGAAGGATCAAAGGTGGACCCCAGAGAAACGAAGCACAATGGCACCACCCAGAGGCGTAATGAAGCAGTGCAACCCTTGTGGGTCCTATGGGGAAACACATCTCCCTTTGCCTATGGGCAAAGGGAGATCAGGGCCTCGCCCGCACTATAGATTTAAAACAGTACCGTTCCACTTTTAACTGTCATTGCTTCCCCTCCCAAGAATCCTGGGAGCTGTAGTTTGCTAAGGGTCCCGAAGGTTGTTAGGAGGCCCACCCCCTCACAGAGCTAAACACCTCAGCACCTTAAACAAACTTTAGTTCCTAGAATTATTTGTGGGGGGTGGGAGCCATGGCTGTTCAAAATGGTGTGGTATTGTTTTAAATGTAGAGCGGTGGATGGGGCCTAGGGAACCGGAGGGCAGAGCCTTTGAAACTGACACACTGACCTAGCATGCTCAACCCAGAGGAACAGGAAACAGCATGGCCACTGTTCCAACCAAGTAGAAAATAAAGCCATAGTGCTTCTATGCTTTGGTATGCATCAACCTGCCCCCCGCCCCCAGCTGTCCCCCTGCAAACCATATGGCAAGCTTCCCTCACGATGGGAGTTATAGTCCAGAACTCCTGGAGGGCACCAGGTTGGGGGAGGCTGCCACTGGCCATCATCTTCTACAAAAACAGGTCAAATCAAAAACTAAACCAAAAAACAACTCGCTGCGCCTCCCTCCCCCCTCCCCCGCCGCCATTTTGTTAAATCTCTAACCATCACTGGCTTTTCCTTTCCTATGCAAACTCCAGTCCCACCACCCTACCCTAGACAGAGGGGCAGAAGTCACGGAGAAGATCAGGGGCTGTTTCACAGCTTCATTTGTCCTGACTGGATTCTCTTGAAGATGTCCTCGTTCAACGGGAGGTAGCGGCACTGCCGGGGCTCAAGGAAATAAAGCTTGTCCTTCACCACATTGGGATCATATCCCTCCTTACGCAGGTCCATTTTCTGGAACTTGAAGGTACCTGAGAGCAGAGAAGATGAAGGGAGGCAGGAAGAAGAAGAAGAAAAAGCGGTTAAGGGATCCTTGTGTTTTCTCCTCGGTTCTTCATTGTAAAGGGAAAGCGAAAAGTACGGTAATGAAATGTATGCCTAGGGGCGCAGGAAGGAAACTGCCATTTACTGAACCAGCTCAGCATTGTCCACACTGATTCGCAGTGGCTTTCTGGGGCTTCTGGCTGGGATGCAAATGCTCTGCCACTGAGCCAGGAGCAGTATACTTGCTGCCATGCTATATGTTCACCAGTTACAGAGCATTTTGGAGGTTCCAAGCCTCAAGGTGGTTAGATCGGTCTCAACTAGGGCCAGGGCCTTTTCAATACTGGCCCCGACTTGGTGGAATGCTCTGTCACAAGAGACCACGGCTCTGCGGGACTTGACATCTTTCCGCAGGGCCTGCAAGACAGAGCTGTTCCACCTGGCCTTTGGTTTGGACTCAGTCTGACCCTTACGTTTCCCTCCCCTTTTGGTTTTGAGCCTATGGGCTACTTTTAAAATGAGGCCGCATTTTAAATTGCATTTTAACCTGTATTTTAAATTGTGTTTTTTTTTTCCTATTATGTTTTTATTGTAATTTTACTGGTGTTAGCCACCTTAAGCCTGGCTCTGGATGGAGAGGGGGAGGGTATAAATAAAAATTATTATTATTATTATTATTATTATTATTATTATTATTATCTGACATTAGGACCAGCCCTACCGAGACAGCAATCTCTAGCAGCAGGTGATGGGTGTAGGTGTGTGGAGAGCAGGTGTGAAGTTTTGAAGGACATCCTGTGCCCCTCCAGATTGGTGCTTTTGCGGGGGGGGGGGGGGTGTGGAATACTAGTGTATTATTAGTGGTAGTGTCCACACATCCTTTCGCTTTATTAGTTGTTCTGTGATGCAATAGAGAAAAACTGATTTTGAGGATGGATAACATATTGTTAGAATGGGAAGCCAAAGATGAAATGATTAAATCTGTCATGATCCATTGGGCTGAGGATATGGGGCCTAATACAGAATCAGAACCATAGGGAAAGTTATGGAAATCTGGGCTGAAATCCACAAGGTGTTATACTTTGTTTATGAAAATGATACACAGGTGGTATCTGATACCAAGTAAGTTGGCAAAGATGTATAAATTTGCACCAAACATCTGTTGGAAATGTTAAGAAGCAGAATGTTCATTTTATCACACGTGGTGAATGGGTAAAGTGGCTAAAGACTTTTGGGAGATGATCGATAATGAGATAAAAAAGATATTTAAGGCAACTCTCCCCATAAGACCAGAAGCCTTTTTATTAGGGATAATGGGAACAGGTGTCCCCCCCCCCCCAAAAAAAACCAGGTAAATCTATTTCTTTATGCAACAACGGCCGCGTAAATATTATATACACAAAAATGCCATGAAGAAGCAGTATCTTACTAAAGAAGAATGGCAGTTGAAATGGACAGAATATGTAGAATTGGCTAGTTTGACTTGTAAAATTAGACATAAAAAAAGAGACGGACTTTAACGAGGATTGGAACATGTTTATAGATTATTTTAAAACACAGTGTAAACAAGACACAAATAGGATTTGACTGAGAACAGCAGTGGAAAGGACAGTGGAGGTTTTCTTTGCAGAAGCAAAGGCATGGAGAAACTATATAATATGCAGCACATGGAGGAAGCCATGGGGTGGGGAAGGGGTCTTGTGGTTGGATCCTTCTTGCAGGTTTCCCACAGGCATTTGGGTGGCCACTGTGAGAACAGGATGCCGGACTGCATGGACCTTTGTTCTGACCCAGCAGAATGTTCTTATGTTCTTAAAGTAAAGGTAAAGGGACCCCTGACCATTAGGTCCAGTCGTGGTCGACTCTGGGGTTGCGGCGCTCATCTCGCTTTACTGGCCGAGGGAGCCGGCATACGGCTTCCGGGTCATGTGACCAGCAGGACTAAGCAGCTTCTGGTGAACCAGAGCAGCGCACGGAAATGCCGTTTACCTTCCCACCGGAGCGGTACCTATTTATCTACTTGCACTCTGACGTGCTTTCGAACTGCTAGGTTCAATTTTCTTCCTTCAAACCATGACCCAGGTTCAGCTGACGCAAGCCATATTGTGGCTTATTTGTTAGAAATTGTATTAAATAAATGCATTTGTGCTGAACTACATTCCAGAAAAGTATTAGCAGCTCACATGTGGAGCAGACAAGAGTCTCCTTTTCTGTAGGTGCCATTTGTTTACAGACTGATTTTACACTGATGTGGCTTCTGAAAAACATTCCAAGAAAAACTCCATGTTTCGCAATCAGATTAAAGCATCTTACGTATCTCTGTCAAGGAGACTCACTTGTCTTGTGCACTTCCGAAAGCAGACGCAGGAAAACAGGTCGGGCATAAGCAGGCAGCGCCTTCTTCATTTCCTCTGCAAAGCTCTCCAAGTCACAGGAATGGTCTGGATCCACAACTGCTGCCATCCCAGCCTTCCCTTCAGTTCCTAGAACACAAAAAACACACTCTGAGGTTTCTAGAGCTATTCTCATAGAGTTGTTATTTATTTATTTATTTATTTATTTATTTATTTATTTATTTATTTATACCCTGCATATCTGGCTGGGCTTCCCCAGCCACTCTAGGTGGCTTCCAACAGAATATTAAAATACAATAGTCTATTAAACATTAAAAGCTTCCCTAAAGAGGGCTGCCTTCAGATGTCTTCTAAAAGTCTGGTAGTTGTTGTTCTCTTTGGCATCTAGTGGAAGGGCATTCCACAGGGCGGGTGCCACCACCCAGAAGGCCCTCTGCCTGGTTCAATGTAGCTTTGCTTCTCACAGTGAGGGAACCGCCAGAAGGCCCTTGGCACTGGACCTCAGTGTCCTGGCTGAACGATGGGGGTGGAGACGCTCCTTCAGTTTCTACAGCCCTCTCCTCTCCTGTGGTTTCCAGCAACTGGTATTCAGAACCATTGCTGCCTCTGACCGTGGAGGCAAATCAGAGCCATTGTGGTTAGCTGCCATGGATAGCCCTCTCCTCATCTCTTCTGAAGCCACCAAAGTTGGTGGCATCACTGCCTCCTGGGGAGCAAGTGCCAGAGTTTAATTGTGTGCTGTGTAAAGAAGTACTTTCTTTTATCCACCCTCAATATTTTGGTGTTCAGCTTCATTGGCTGTTCACATTGGAAAGCTGTTAGCTGTTATCCTGGGGGAAACTGTTAGAGTTCCACTAGTGGCACAGCCAAAAGAGGGTGGGGCCACAGCCACACACAGATACACACCTTAATACCAGAGGTGGACTTTGGTAATCTTTGGTAGTATGGCACCCTGAGAGAGGTCAAAAATTTTTGCTCCCTCGGCTCAGCACCCTGTGTGGGGTAACTGCCTGCACCACCCTAAATCCAGTGCTGCTTAAAGCTATTTCGTATGGAAGCAGATACATATATTTAATTCCTGGTAACTCTGCTCATGTTTCACCTTCCATTTTATCTAATATGCTTTTTTATTTTATTTTTTACAAAGTTAAAACAAGAAATAAATAAAAAGTTATCCAAAATCCTTTATCTGTCCTGAGTGCACAAAAGGCAAAAATAACTCAGTAACCACAGCAGAAGTACTGTATGCAAATTATACTTCTGTCATAACTGAACTGCAAAGCTCTGCCTTATAGTTGACTCCTGAATGCAATGGCATCATGAAAACTGAATGCATACAAAATTCTGCATTGCTGCAAGGAACACAAGTCTACTGAGGAATCACATTCCACGCTGCATTATTCTGCTTGCAGAGGAAGAAGCTGAAATCTCATACTTTGCACAACATTAAATCCCTTTCCCATCCCCATTGCTTATAACTTTAATTTTAAGTAATAAATCAGTTAAAACATGAAGGCACACTCTAAAATCCATGCTTATGCAATAAAGGTAACAATTCAAGTAGAATGTAAAGGTGGTGTGAGAATTTGAGTAGTAATGAATGCCCCCCCCACTTTGCTGGAGTTCTTGTGAGAAGAATCAAGGCGGGCATAGCTCACAACTGGTTCCTTACCTGCCTCAATTCTCCTCACACATACCTTGCTGCCTGCTACCCCATTCTGTCCTGAACAAGGGGGGGGGGGAACTATTTTAATTGTCAATAAAGGTAAAGGTACCCCTGACTGTTAGGTCCAGTCGCGGACGACTCAAGGGTTGCGCACTCATCTCACTCTACAGGCGGAGGGAGCCGGCGTTTGTCCGCAGGCAGCTTCCAGGTCATGTAGCCAGCATGACTAAGCCGCTTCTGGAGAACCAGAGCAGTGCATGGAAACGCTGTTTGCCTTCCCGCTGGAGTGGTACCTATTTATCTACTTGCACTTTGATGTACTTTCGAACTGCTAGGTGGGCAGGAGCTGGGACCAAACAACGGGAGCTCACCCCGTCGCAGGGATTAGAACCGCCAACCTTCCGATATTGGGCACTAAATAAAAGCAACTCCTTCAAAATGGTTCTTTCCACAACTGTTTGAAGATGACTCTGAACAACTACACCTGCACCATCTAATTAAAGCACTACCACACCAGTTTAAACAGTCATGGCTTCTCCCAAAGAATCCTAGAAGCTATGGTTTGTTAAGAGACCCTTACTCCCCTTCACATTGCTACAGTTCCCAGAGCACCCTGGGAAGAGGGATCAATGGTAACAGCACTCTAGAAATTCCACACAGAGGGGGATAGGGGTTGCCTAACAACATTCAGGAGTTCCCAGGATGCTTTTTTGCAGCTATGGGGTTGGGGTGAAGACTAGTCAGGGCTTTTGCCCCGGGTGAAGCTTCCAGAGGGGCACCATTGGGCCTCCAAGCCTGTGTGTGTGTGTACAAATGCACATTTGGGGATGCCAAGCTAGGTCTTTGACCTGGGTGAAATAAAGTCCAGTTTCACCCCAGCTTTGGGGAAAGCCACAACTCTTTAAAGTGGTATGATACTGCCGTAAATGTATGGTGTGGATGTGTCCATAGTGACTATCAGGACCTTTTTAGGCCAGGGACCATAAGGGCTGAACTACAGCTCCACCAGCGAAAAGGCTCCATCTCTCATAGCTGCCCATTGTATCGCAAATGGAGATGGGATGTAAAGCAGAAGACTCAGAAGCCGATCTATAAGCCAGAGCAAATGGAGAAGAGGTGATCCCTGAGGTAGTCTGCTCATAGGCTAGGAAGGGCTTTAAAGGTTTGCACCAGCACTTCCAAATAAATTTAAAAGTAGGGACCACAGACCTCTACTTGAGCAAGCACCGCACCGCCATCCCCCCTTTTCCTAAGCCGTGTTGTCCCATCATGCCAAAATATCACAGAATGAAATCTTCTAGTTGACAAGTGACTGCAGGAGTTTGATTCATCCACAAATTATTTTACCACTTGCCAGGGGTAGGCTGAATACATTCCCATGAAATTCATGAGGTTGAAGGCATTCCCTGAAGTATATTGGGCCCATAACATTTAGCAGAGGGATGGAACTCTTCTGGCTCTCCAGATGTTGTTAGACTACAAATCCCATCACCCTTGACTATTAGCCATGCCGGTCAGAGATAATGAGAGCCCAACAGCACCTGGGAGGGCTGCGTGTTCCTTGTCCCTGGTTTGGAGCTGTAAAGATTATAAACAAAACACCACATTGAATAGCTGTGCCTGGAAACAAACAGGACTGTGATCCTCACAGCCCCAAGACCAGTGTGTGGAGTTTTTACTTGGTGCTATTTTAAACAGTTTGGAGTCAAAAACTCTTGGGTGAGCTGCCTCAAACAGTCCAATGAACTACCAGTATATATAGTAATCAACTTTCTGCCCTGCAGGAAAAGAGAAGGGCAACATTGGGGGAGAACCCAGAAACGCTTGCCACCTATTACCTGGAACTTCCACCCCGTAGACCACGACATCTGTCATGTTTAGGATGCGACTGAGCATCCCCTCCACCTCCGTCGTGGAGACGTTCTCACCCTTCCAGCGGAAAGTGTCTCCTGTGCGGTCTCGGAAGAACATGTAGCCCAACTCGTCCATGATCAGAACATCACCTAAAGGGAGACATTGCGGGGTGGGGTTTGGGAGAGAGAGAAAGAACTCACAGTAAGATGAAAGTGTGGTCCTTCGCTACCTACGCCTTTATCACTACAGCACCCAGCAGTTATTATTTGGTTGTAAGTCGCTTTGGGTTGCCCTGTGCGACTAGCAAATAATAATAATAATAATAATAATAATAATAATAATAATAATATGAAGAAGAAGTTGTTTATATCCTGGCTTTTCCCCAGTCCAGGACTCAAGACATGCTTACACAGATAAAATAGATCAAGCTAAAAACATAGAAAAGAGAATAGCTAAAATGTAACTAGACCCTAATGGGAATAAAATTCTATAAAAAGATGCCTTAGAAACACAGACAATAGCAATAAAAACGACATGGCACCAGCCCTTTCCTCAAAAGCCGTCAGTTCCCAAAGGGCTGTTGGAATAGGAAGGTCTTCACTTGCCGGCAGAAGCACAGCAAGGAGGGAGCCAGTCTGGCTTCTCTAGGGAGGGAGTTCCATAGTCTGGGAGCAGTCACCACTGAGAAGGCCCTCTCCCGCGTCCACACCAGGCGTGCCTGTGAGGGTGGAAGGACTGAGAGAAGGGCCTCTCTTGAAGATCTAAAAAACCAGGCAGGTTCATATGAGTGAATACAGTCTTTCAGACAGCCTGGACCTAAGCCGTTTAAGGCTTTATAGGTCATAACCAGCACTTTGAATGTTTCCCCGAAGCAGACTGGTAGCCAATGGAACTGTTGGAACAAGGAAGTCACTTCCAGGTAATTTTTAAAAACACTCTTTCTATTTCCAATATTCAGAGGTGAGTGCTGTTGCTTATAAAACCTAAAGAACACCATCCATAAGGTATCAACAGGCTCTTGGGAACACAGAGGTCTGCAGAATAAGAAAATTTGGGGAGGGCAATGAACGGATGACCCTTCCATCCGAAAAAACAGTCCAACAAGGACTGTGTGTGTTTCATGGCACATGGTGGTGGAAACAAACAAAACCGGGACAGAGGGAGAATGGAACAACAGAACAACTTTGAGTTTTTGTGGGGAGATTGCCCAAAGTTGTACATGGAAAAATACAGTATTTTGGGGGCTACAATTCCTGCTGTTCTTGACCATCTGGCCAGGTTGATGGGGGCTGATGGGAGCTGCAGATTTTTAAAAAAAATAATCCTGCCTTGGGTTATTTCCTCCTATTTGTCAATTGTTCTACACTTCTTTAATTTTTTTTAAAAGAAATAAAATGTATGGAAAGCACCAAGTTGGGAAGGCTTAATGGAGTCCCCAGTGGCCAGCTGAATGGGTAAGTCAATGGATTCCAATGGCAATTTGGTGAAGACAAAGTGCCAATATCCTGATTCAGTATAAGGCAGCTTCCAATGCTATTAGGGGAAATTGAAATTGAAATACTTTATTGTCACTTGTACAACTTGTATACAGTGAGATTACACGAGCATCCCCCACTCAGCTCTCTAAGTCTTAATTCCCCTCGTTTACTGACGCACACCCACCAACCCAAAAGTCAGTTGCCCTGTTGTAATCTTTTCATTCAGTAGCCTAACAGCCCACGGATAGAAGCTGTTCTTTACCCTGTTGGTGCGACTAATCATGCTTCTATATCTTCTGCCCAAGGGGAGGAGATCAAGAAAGTGCCAGCCAGGGTGTGAATCATCCCTGAGAATTTTCCTCACTCTCCTGAGACAACGTTCTTCCGCTGTTTCATCCAGTGGATTCACAGGACAGCCCATAATATCTTGTGCTGTATTCACCACCCTCTGTAGGCACTTGATGTCAAACCAGCGTGCCACACCGTGATGCAGTATGAAAGGACACTTTCTATTGTGGACCGGTAGAAGAAGATCATCAAATGTTGATTGACATCCTTCTTCCGCAATACTCTGAGGAGATGGAGTCTCTGTTGGGCTTTCTTAACCACCTGGGTTGTATTGATTTTCCAAGTAAGGTCTTCACTGAGATAAACTCCTAGGAATTTAGAGGAAGAGACTCTCTCCACACAGCCCTCCCCGATGTACAGTTCTCCTCTCTTCCTCCCAAAGTCCAACACCATCTCCTTTGTCTTGCTGATATTAAGGTGCAAGTTGTTCCCTAAGCACCATGTAGAAAAGAATGTGGCTTGGTGGCAGATCATCTGCTTTGCATGCAGAAGGTCCCAGATTCAACTGGCACCTCCAGGCAGGGCTACAAGAGACCCTTGCCTGAATCCCTGGGAAGTCACTGCCAGTAAGTGCAGCCAGATTGGTTGGTATTAGGCAGGCAAATGGTCTTGCTACCTGGAAGAAGGCAGCTTTGCACAGAGGCAGCAGGATATATATAGGAGAAGGAGGGCCTCACCTGTGAGATAGGCACAGTCGCCTTTGGTGAAGACATCACGGGCAACCTTCTTATTGTTGGCCTCATTGTTCAAGTAGCCATCAAAGCGCTGCAAAGGATCGCTCTGGACAATGCGCCCAACCAGCTGGCCTGGCTCTCCTGTGGGCAGAGAAGGACACTTTACATGGCCTCCACATAATAGCAATGCAAAAGGAGGCAGAAGAGGCATTTGGTAGAGCAGCAATGTCATGGGAAAGGGCACATGCGTTCTCTGAGTTAAAAGGAGAATTGCTCTCCACCTGGACGTACAGGCCAGGAGCCTCCTGACACTTGGCCTTCTTTTGCTCCACAGTATCTCCCAACTGCACTCCAAAGCATTGGACCGAGATGACAGGGACAAATGATTAAGCTGCAAGTGTAGGCAAAATAAGCTCTCATATCCAACATTTCTTCCATTCTGGATCCCATGGATCCCAGGCAGTCATCCATCCATGCACTGACCAGATCCCAGCTGGTAGTGGCCTCATGAAAAAATAGATTTTCCTTCCATTTATAATAAGGACAACTAAGTGTCTTGTTTCACCTTAAAGATTAACAGAAGTTTTCATGCATGAAGGATTAACATCACTTGGCAAAACACTCTGAGCACAATATCCCCATCTCATGTTTTCCCTGCACAACTTCTGTCTTCACACAGATCAGAAAATCCCACTTTTACTTTTTAACTTGATGAACTGCAATTTCCTCAGGTACAGATGACCCATTGCTCTGCTGTTCAGTGGATTTTGGGGCTGGCTATGACTTATGCCAGGGGTCAGCAAACTTACCACGCCTCGGGCCGGTGTCTCCAGCGCCAATTGCGTGGTGCACCGGAAGGCGGAGGAGCGCATGCCCATACGCATGCACACACGCTATTTCCGGCGCACTTCCAGGTTGGAGGAGCACCGGAAATAGCTTGTGCGCATGTGCACGGGCCTCCTCTGACCCAGATGTGCACCGGAAATAACGCTGGTGCATGCGCACCAGCTATTTCCGGTGCTCCTCCGACCTGGAAGTGGGCAGCCACGCAGTGCAGTGCTGGTAAGAGCAGGCGGTAGCAGTGGGAGGTGGGGGTCGCCGCGGGCCAGATGAACAAGTCCCTTGGGCCTTATGTGGCCCGCAGACCTTAGTTTGGGGACCCCTGACTTATGCAGATTACTCTAGCCATTTCCTTCTCTATGGTCTGCGTCCTCTCTCTAGGAATCAACTCTTATCAGTTTAACCTCTACCTTTACAAATAGTATAGTGCTGCTTTAATATCCATTTATTTTCTCTCCCCACCCACCCCTAAATTGCATTAGGGAGGCAATCATAACTGGAAATGTAGCAAAAATAAAAGACCATGGCATAGCTCAGTGAGTACTCTTAATCTCATGAGACTCTTAATCTCAGGGTTAAGATTGGCCAAAAAGATTCCTGCATTGCAGGGGGTTGGACTAGATGACCCTTGTTCTCCCTTCCAACTCTACAATTCTATGATTCTATGAAAGGGGAAGAGGCTGTATTTGATCCTTTCCCTCATACTTTGGTCCAAATTAAAATGATTACATCATCACATTGGGAGCTGGGAAAAGAGGGACAACCTATCTGGCTACAGAACATTATTTCGATTACAGCCACAAAGATCTGTACTGGGCACGTGTGCTCATACACAAACACAAACACACAGCCATCAGAAGTGCTGGAAACATCTTTCTTTAAAAGGATTTCCAAGCTTTGAATTAGATCAGTTGATGAGTAGATGACTCAACTAACAGCAAATTCCTCTGTATGTTCACTCAGAATTAAGACATAAAATCATGACTGATTAAAACAAGGTATTTATTCATATAACACTTTAAAGCTGTTAAAGCTTCAGCTGCTTAAGGATAAAAGCACTTTGCTTATAATCACTCATTGTTCCCCAGAAAGAATCTAGTGCCTAGATTGTAGGATCTTCATTTATAAAGTTTATCAGTGCCTGGCTAACCACAAGGCACTCAACAGCTAATTTGGCAGGGGAAAAACAGGTTTCCCTCTTCCTGTGTGGTGCTAGAGTGCCCTCTAGTGTAAAGATGGACAAAGGTAAAGGGACCCCTGACCATTAGGTCCAGTCGTGGCCGACTCTGGGGTTGCGGCGCTCATCTCACTTTATTGGCCGAGGGAGCCGGCGTACAGCTTCTGGTCATGTGGCCAGCATCACTAAGCCGCTTCTGGCGAACCAGAGCAGCGCACGAAAATGCCGTTTACCTTGCTGCCAGAGCGGTACCTATTTATCTACTTGCACTTTGACGTGCTTTCGAACTGCTAGGTTGGCAGGAGCAGGGACCGAGCAACGGGAGCTCACCCTGTCGCGGGGATTCGAACCGCCGACCTTCTGATTGGCAAGTCCTAGGCTCTGTGGTTTAGACCACAGCGACAAACTTCAGACTAAATTGTATGTCTATATACAGTGGTACCTCTGATTGCGAACAGGATCCGTTCCGGAGACCCGTTCACAATATGAAAAGAGTGCAACCAGAAGCACTGTATCTGCGCAGGTGCGCGGCACGATTTAGTGCTTCTGCGCATGCGCAAGTGGCGAAACCTGGAAGTAACCCTTTCCGGTACTTCCGGGGCGCTGCAGGACGTAACCTGAAGGAAAGTAACCTGAAGCAAACGTAACATGAGGTATGACTGTACCGTATTTTCCTGTGTATAACACAACCCTGTGTATAAGATGCCCCCTATTTTTGGGGACAGAAATTTAAGAAAACGGGGGGGATTGCCCAAAGTTGTTGAGCTTTTTTTGGGGGGGGATTGCACGAATTACAAACAGCCGGCAGCAATCGCAGCAGCCAATCCTAAACAACCCTTGCCGCATCGATCAATCACCCACCCAATTTCCACAGCAGCAGACAATCCAAAGCAGCACTTGACACGGCTACCAATCACCAACAAAATCGCCGCTGACAAGCTCCTGCTCGCAGATACAACCAATCACTCATCACTGTCCCCCCCCTCCACTATCCGTGTATAAGACGAGCCCCGTTTTTAAACTTTATTTTACAGTAAATAATCTTTGTCTTATACACAGAAAAGTATAAGAAGGTAACATTTATGAAGCTGGCTGCTTTTCAGAAGGCCATTGCTAAGATTAATGGATATACAGTCATACCTCATGTTACGTTTGCTTCAGGTTGAGCATTTCAGGTTGTGTCCTGCAGCGACCCGGAAGTACCGGAAAGGGTTACTTCCGGGTTTCGTCGCTCGCGCATGTGCAGACGTGCAAAATGCCATCACGCACATGTGCAGAAGCGGCAAATCGTGGCCCACGCACGAGCAGATAACAGATGCGGGTTGCGTTCTACTCATGTTGCGAACGGGCCTCCGGAACGGATCCCATTCGCAACCAGAGGTACCACTGTAACACTAAACTGTGGTTAATCTCAAATAGAAGAAGAAGCTTCCAGTCTTCTCTTTGTGGCCATGCTGTCACTCATATTGTAACACTAAACCTAGGCTTAGCTTAACTGTGTGTGAACCAAGCCCCTGAATCCCAGGAATTTTAAGTGAAGTGTCATCCCAAGGTCTATGATGCACTCTCTCTTAGAGGAGAGCTTGAGTTGGCTGTAGCTTAAGAATCATGGTCATCAGCCCGGAAGGAGGACAATGAGCAAAGGAGGATTGATCTCTGTCTCTCTGACAGGGTCCCATCTGTCCTCGGTCTTGTCCTAGCTCCTGGGGGCCACTGCTCCATCTAAAGACCTGCAGGAACCCAAAAGTTTATTGATGTGCTCCACTTCAGGGATGAATCACCTGCCACCTCCACTCATCAAAACCCCCTGTGACATTTCTCCAATGAAAATAGGGGCATTTCATTCCATAATGATAATTTTACTATTTATACCCCACACATGTTCCTGGGTTGCCCCAGCCACTCTGGGCAGCTTCCAACATATATAAAAACATAATAAAACATTAAACATTAAGAAAAAAACTTCCCTATACAGGATTTCCTTCAGATGGCTCAGGGATTCATTTACCAATGAAAATGTTCCTGGAAAATAGGGACACTTGGAGGGTCTACTGCAAGGGTAGGCAACCTAAGGCCCAGGGGCCGGATGTGGCCCAATCGCCTTCTCAATCCGGCCTCTGGACGGTTTTTACATGAGTAGAATGTGTCCTTTTATTTAAAATGCATCTCTGGGTTATTTGTGGGGCATAGGAATTCCTTCATTCCCCTCCCCCCCCCAAAAAAATAGTCCGGCTCCCCACATGGCCTGAGGGACAGTGGACTGGCCCACAGCTGGAAAAGGTTGCTGACCCCTGGTCTACTGTGACCTAGAGATGGGCTTTTCTCAGTTTCTATTTTTTCCCAAACTTAAGTTCAGTTCTCTACATTTCCACACTAGTCTTCAATTAATAATAATAATTAACAACAATAACATGGGGTTTTTCTCAAATGCTCAGAGGAAATCTGATTGGTTCTTACGAACACTGTGTAAAAAGTTCTTTTGTGAATAAAACGACCTGGGTCGAGTGGTGGAGAGGATTATTATTGGCACCTCCTCCCAGAGTCTTACTGGTCAAGCTTCATGTGTATTCTATTAATCAGAGTCCAATCCTTCCTTGCTTGGGGAACGCTACAACATGGAAGTCAGGAACACAGTGCCCCAGCCCTGCTGTTCTCTCCCTCCTATTCTCATTCAAGGATTACCCAGCTGATCTCCACCCTACTGGGCTGCTACCCAGCCTCACCTGGTTTGCACCGTATACAGAGCCCGTCAGGTCCCCGGATCAGCTCCATAGTTTCCTCATTCACTCGGACTAGGTTGATGGGGTAAATGTTGGGAAGGATCCTGCTATTGAAGCCACAAGCCCCCAGCTGCAGAGGAGAAAATTTTGGGGTCACCACGGAAGCAAAGGGATGAAGGGCAGGAGGTCTGGGGCCCAGGGCCAAAAGCTCAGGCACTCTGGGCAAACACCAAGCAATGCCTTCAGCAAGAAGGCAGCCCTTACCTTGTTGTCAAAGTTGCCCACACTGCAGTTGCACTCGGTGGCTCCATAAAACTCGGCTATCTGGGGGATGCCAAAGCGCTCAGTGAACTCCTTCCAGATGGAAGCCCGTAGGCCATTGCCCAAAGCCATCCGGACCCGATGCTTCCTCTCCACCTCTTGAGAGGGCTGGTTCAACAGGTAACGACATATCTCCCCAATGTACTGTACGATCTGATGGCAACAGCAGAGGAAGAAGCAGTCAGGGACAAAATGAGAGGCATGGCACGAGGTAACCTACATGTGGCAGCTATGCAGTCTTCTACCTTTGAAATGATAGCCTTGATTCTCACGTGGGCCCCTGACAAATCTGTACCCTGTCCCTCCTCTCAAAGAGATAACGTTTTAGTTCATGTCTCTCCCACCCTTTTAGGCACAGGATGTTAAATGAAATGCATTCAGCTCTCAAAATAAGGCTTGTAGAAGGCAACCCCTTAAAAGCCCATGGATCATTTAATCAGCACAAAGCCTAGTTTAAGAGCAGCGTTTTCATCTGGAGCCTATAGATATGTAATGAAGGTGCCTGGAGAGCCTCCTTGGGGAGAGTGTTCCACAAACAGGAAGCCACCACAGAAAGGGCCCTGTTCTCGTGCTGCGACCTTCCAGCCTTGGCATTCTTTGTCTGCATGAGATGAAAAATCTCCAACTCTACATCCACCTTACAGGTTCTTGGTGTTCCAGCTACTGAGTCAACCCTCTGACTCTTAAGATGCTTTGAAAATGTGCTGCTATGCATTTGCCTTTGGGAGGAATTTGTTGCTTTGTCTGGTGTTTTGTTGTTTGTTATATAAAAATGCACACACTTGCATTTATTATGATGTGTATGATGATGAGGAGGAGGAGGTTGGAAGACCATCTGTCAGGCATTCTTTAGTTGTGAAACCTACATTGCAGGGGGTTGGACCTTCGGGGTCCTTTCCAACTCTACAATACTATGGATCTCCTCTTTGCCCCACCCGCACAGCTGTGGTCTCAGCCCTGCCTCACCGTACAGTTGTATTTCACACAGTCTTCCCAGAAGTTAGAAGCTGAGAATTTCTTCCTGATCACGACCGTCATCCCATGCAGAACGCATTGGCCAACCCCAACAATGTTACCTGGAAGGGAAGAGTGAGAGGGAAACCCATTTTAGCCAGCAGGAAATCTGGAACTGAAATTGTGACTAGCTTATGAGAAGCAAGACTTTGCTGTTCTCGGTTTGGCTCAGATCCTTTTTAAAAATAATAATAATAATAATAATATTTATTACTTTTCCAACAATTCAAACACACACAAAAATAAGAAGAAAAAAGAACAACACAACACAATACAAAAACACTACACAACACACTAAACTAACAGAACAAAAACAATTAAAAAAAAATCAAACAATTTCCATATCTTATCTTTCATTCACTTATTTCAGTGATCTCCTCACACCTCCCTTTTTGTATTCCACTTCTATTAATTGTTTCAGCAATTCCTTTCCATCTTCCTCTGCTTTCTATCTTTTAATTATCTTAACAGATTCTAACCTTATTTTTCCCTTTAATACTCTATTAATCTATTTATACTTAATTCCTTATAACATTTCTACTAAAGCCATATAACTTCATTCCAACAGGTTTGGCTCAGATCCAATCTACACAAGACCCCAGGGCATGATCTTGGGAAGGGAAGAATCCAGCATGCCAAGTCAGTGCCTGGGTGGGAGAAATCACCAGTGGGAAGCTCCAGAACCCTGGAACTTCCTTCCTCTAAATAATAACAAGTGTACAGAATGGTGGGTAGGACACAGAAGGTCCCAAGTTCAGTCCTCAGCACCTTTGGGTGGGGCTGGCAAAGGCTCTTATCTGAAATGCTGCTGTTGCTGCTCTTCATGGACCAACAGTTTGACTCGGTGTGACGCAGCATCCTTTGTTTCTATCAATTCCCTTCATTTCAGCCGGACGTTTTGTTCACAGTTCAGCAACAACATAGCCATCACAAAAGTGAAGCAGATGGGTCAAAGTTAAGTCACTGGAAAAGACTGAAAGGTTAAAAGTGATGGTGTTACCTGCTGCGTGGTATAAGGGGAGGCAGTCATAGACCACATCGTCCTGTCGCATGCGGAAGCCGTTGAAAACCAGGGCTGCCATTCGGAAATACCTGGATTGGGAGACCAGAAAGAGAGATCAGTATTTGTCTGGAAACCAAGCCTTATGAGGAACAGCTAAGGGAGTTGAGTATGTTTAGCCTGGAGAAGAGGAAATAGGATAGCTACTTTCAATTGCCTCAGGTTTCAGGAGCTTTTGGGGGCTGGGACCGTGAGGTATGGGCACCACGCAGCCTGCCCTGTGCACCCTAAGCTTACTTCTGAGTAAATATGCACAGTATGGGGCTTCTATGCTTTCAACCTACTGTTTTGGATTTGGGTTTATAATAAACTTCGTCCTGTTTTTTTCGAGGAGTAACACAAAACAGAATTGACTGGGAGCCTCCTCACCCCGACCCCACAGACTGATCCCTCATGATTTTGCTCACCTGCAATGGACAATGATTGCCGCTTTGGGCAGCCCAGTTGTGCCTGAAGTGTAGATGTAGAACAATCTATCTGCAAGGCAAAAGGATGTTGAAAAATTCAGGGTCACCCACATGAAATTTGTAGGCTACACGTTCCCCAGCCCTGTTTTTAAAGAGCCTAATTACTAGCCAAAATTAGACAGGCACTCAGTGTTATGATCTTTAGGTGCCTGCCTACTGAAGATGTTTCTGTTTAAGAAGTCTTCCCCTGAGTTGTGACACTGTCATTCATGAAATAAACTGCTGTAAAGCAGTTTATAAATTTGCAAAACATAGGTCCATCCAACTCAGTACTACCTCCCCCAGCCCTGCCTGGAAGTGATAGAGATGAAACCTGCTTCACCAACCCTAATAATAATAATAATAATAATTTATTATTTATACCCCACCCGTCTGGTTGGGTTTCCCCATATGAATAATAAGCTGTTTTGGTGTGGCGACTTAAACTGAACACTGATGTGAACAGCTGTGTGTGTCAATCTGAACTTATTATCTCTGTAGATCACAGCACAAGTGTAAAGGCTGACATACTAACTTAAATATGACATGAGATTCTCCATCATGAACCTTGCTTGACCTCCCTATAAGCCTGATACTAGCCTCAATTCAAAAAGTGTCCTGATGCCATTCAGGCATATCCTGAGTTCCTCACACCTTGTAAAGGTCAACACATGTAAACCTAGCTGCCAGCAAAGTCTACTCAAACTCCTGGTAATGGAAAGGCAGGGAGCAGACAAAAGATAGCCAGTTCAGTCATAACTCACTAGGGTTTATTCAAACACGTTTTGCAAGATGGGGAGGTGAGAGGCAGGCAGGAACTCCTGGGATAAATTTAAAAGCACAATAAATCTAGCTGCTTATGTTATTAGTGTAAGCCCTGCTAGCAAAATTGCCGTGCTCACTTCTGTAGGCTTTTGAGAGTAGGTAGAGATTCTTCCACTCTTTAGGTGTTTGTGTATGGTAGGATTTGCTGCCTGCTTAAATTGTAATTTTACTGTCTGAAACAGAATTAATACATTCCGTCATTTTCATTTATTATAATAAACCAAGCTTTCTTTGTTAATGTGTCTCTCAAGAATCCTAATGTAAAGCTGTTTGTTTGCCTCTAAGAATTACTGGGCTGCCCATCTGGTCTTTAGGATAGCTTGTCCAGAATAAAATTATTGGGTGTCAGGAGTTTTATCCAGGCAAGAATAGAGACAAGCATATATTCATGAATGGACAAATGCCATAACTCTAGCAAAATATTCCAAACTTCTTGTTGGTGTGTTAGTATGAATACACAGTGCTGAACACGCATGTGACTTCAGACACATCCTGCAACAGTGACTTGGGGTTTGGTCTTTCTTTTTCAGAGTTAGCTCCTGAATATAATAATAATAATAATAATAAATTTATTCCACACCCATCTGGCTGGGTTTCCCCAGCCACTCTGGGTGGCTCCCAATTGAATATTAAAAACACAATACAGCTTTAAATATTAAAAACTTCCCTAAACAGGGCTGCCTGTTAAGGCAAAATTGTAGGTAAAAGAGAATGAAAAGGCGGTAGCAATTTCATAGAAACATGCAATGAAAAATGGTTCCTACCCACTGCCTGTGCCTACCTAGGAATCCCTTGTCTGGGGGAGTTGGTGACTGGCGAGATGCTTTTTCAATCAAAGGGTCCAGATGTTCTGAGCCTGGCAGCATGCTTTCCTCTTTCCAGTCGCCAGAACAGAAGAGGTGAATGGACTTCCCAAGGGAAGGCTGCACTTCCCGCAAGGCTAGAAAGAGAGAACAGGTGTTAGAAGCAAAAGCACAGAGAACATCCCTTCTCTGTCACAGTGGCGCATACATCTACAGCTGCAGGTCTTCACAATGGTTCATATTCTGCACCAGGGATGGGGAAACTGTGCCCCCCCCCCAGTTGTTGCTGATGGAAGGCATGAGTCCAGCAACATCTGGAGGTCTTGGCTCAAAAAAATGTGCAGTGTGAATATTTTAGGACAAATAAGTGCATCAAAGAGTATTTTAAGTATGTGCAATCATATGTTTGAATCCTCATCTGTCCTTTATAGGTGTGGCACTGTGGGTTAAACCACAGAGCCTAGGGCTTGTCCCGCGACGGGGTGAACTCCCGTTGCTCGGTCCCTGCTCCTGCCAACCTAGCAGTTAGAAAGCGCGTCAAAGTGCAAGTAGATAAATAGGTACTGCTCCAGCGGGAAAGTAAACGGCGTTTCCGTGCGCCGCTCTGGTTTGCCAGAAGCGGCTTAGTCATGCTGGCCACATTGTGGGAGCAGAGGAACCCTCTGGTGGGAGTGCCCTATAGCAACTGTTTCGGTAGCTCAAACAAACAGGTAGATCTCAACCATCAGCCACTTCTCTTGTATATGTTTGAAGGCAGCAATGAAGGCATTCAATCCAAAGATTTGTTAATATTTATTATGGCAGTAAGGGACGTGGGTGGCACTGTGGGTTAAACCACAGGGCCTAGGGCTTGCCGATCGGAAGGTCGCGGTTTGAATCCCCGCAACGGGGTGAGCTCCCGTTGCTCGGTCTCTGTTCCTGCCAACCTCACAGTTTGAAAGCACATCAAAGTGCAAGTAGATAAATAGGTACTGCTCCAGCGGGAAAGTAAACGGCGTTTCCGTGCGCTGCTCTGGTTCGCCAGAAGCGGCTTAGTCATGCTGGCCACATGACCCGGAAAAACTGTCTGCGGACAAACGCTGGCTCCCTCAGCCAGTAATGCGAGATGAGCGCCGCAACCCCAGAGTCAGTCACGAATACAATATACTCACATAAAGACTACCTTACACTGCGTTTAAAACCAAAATCACATTTGGATAGAAACTGTTTCTCAGGTGGCTAGTCCCAGTCTTTATAACCCTGGACCTAGCAGTTCGAAAGCATGTCAAAGTACAAGCAGATAAATAGGTACCACTCCGGCGGGAAAGTAAATAGCGTTTCTGTGCGCTGCTCTGGTTCACCAGAAGCGGCATAGTCATGCTGGCCACATGACCCGGAAGCTGTACGCCGGCTCCCTCGGCCAGTAAAGTGAAATGAGCGCTGCAACCCCAGAGTCGGTCATGACTGGACCTAATGGTCAGGGGTCCCTTTACCTTTACCAGGTTTGTGACCATATAATAAATGACTGGTGGGTTGTATAGCTATGTTTAGAAATGTGTACATCAATACAGAACGAATATTTCTGTGCAGACTCTTTAAAAAATATATCTAAGATTAATGCAGAAACGGGACAGAATGGGCTTATGAACAGACACATGTGGCTTTGACATGAACCAGAAATAGAGGAGCTGGACTCCATTATCCCTGAACACTGGTAATGCTGGCCTGGGGCTGATGGGTTTTGGAGTCCGACAAAAGCTGGAGAGGCATAGGTCCCTTAGTCTCTTTTTCAGATAAATACACCTGCTCTTGGGCTTGCTTTCTGCTCTGCTTCCTGCCCCTGGATTCCCTCCCACCGCCTCTCACCATCAGCCAACTCGCTTCCAAACACGACGGCCTTTGAGTGCGAGATGTTGATGCAGTGAAGGAGCGACTCCTGCCGCACGTGAGAGTTGAGGAGGGCAGCCTCCACACCGATCTTGGCCATGCCGAGCCAGAGACCAACATACTGGTTGCGGGATTCCATGAACAGGGCGATGACATCCCCAGAGCGGAAGCCTCTTTCATACAGAAAGTTGGCCACCTGGTTGGAATAGTTATCCAGGTCTTGGAAGGTCCACGTCTCGCCTGTCCCCTGGAAAATCAGGGCTGCTTTTCCCGGATGCTTGCGTGCTGCCTGCTGGAAGAGCTTTGGGACTGTGTACTTGTGCTTCACGTACCACCAAACCTTCAACCGAGTCAAGAGGACAACGTATCCAGTCCTGGCAAGGAGAAGAAGCCACAAGTAAGGTTCCCTCCAGGAGACAGAATCATAGATGTGTAGAGTTGGATGGGAATCACAGCTAAAGAATCCCGGACAGGTGGCCATCCAACCTACGCTTTATAAAATATACAACGAAATAGAGTCTATCACCTTCTGAGGGAGTCTGTTCCACAATTGAATGGCTCTCACCCTCAGAAAGTTCTCCTTCCTTGTAAATGGAATTCATTAGTTTGGGCCCTAGCCTCTGGAGCAGCAAAAAGCAGCCTTTCATATATTTGAAGATGGCTTTCATATCTCCTCTCAGGCTCCTCCAAGCTAAACATACCCAGCTCCCTCAACCGCTCCTCATAAGGCTAGGATTTCAAGCCCTTTATCAATACAGTGGTACCTCAGGTTACAGACGCTTCAGGTTACAAACTCCACTAACCCAGAAATAGTACCTTGAGTTAAGAACTTTGCTTCAGAATGAGAACAGAAATCGCGCGGCAGCGGCAGGAGGCCCCATTAGCTAAAGTGGTATCTCAGGTTAAGAACGGTTTCAGGTTAAGAACGTCCCTCCAGAACGAATTAAGTTCTTAACCCGAGGTACCACTGTAATCTTGTTTGCCGTCCTCTGCACACCTTCCAGCTTGTCAATATCCTTCTTCAACTGTGGTGCCCAGAGCTGGACATAGGATTCCAGGTGGTGAAGCACGTGAACGTAAGCAGGTACTCGCTTGGCGTTAATAAGGATCAGGCAGACTCAGCAATGGAGAATAAGAAGGTGAAGTTTATTGCCAGGCAATAAGGACCCAGTTTGGAATCTCTTCCAAGAGGAACTGGGACCCCGATTGACAGAAATCCAGAGGTCTTTATACCTGAGCAGATCACAGCAAATCATAGATCATGAGACAACCATGAGGCAGTCACGATATCGCCAGCGAAAATTAGCCAATTAGCGCAGTGGCGTAGCGTGGGGGGTGCAGGGGGGCCCGGCCGCACCGGGCGCAACATCTGGGGGGGGTGCGCTTGCACTCGCAGCTCTCTGCCCCTACCTGGCTCACTCACTCTCTCTCACTGCAGTGCTGGCTGTGCGAATCTGATCCGAGCCGCTGGTCGCCGCCCACTGTGGAGGGGGTGGGTGCCAGGCGTGCGGTGCGGAGAGAGAGCGAGGGACTATCTGGGGGAGGGACAGTGCAGCGGCCGCCCAGCGCAGCGCTGAGAGCGGGAGAGAACCACACCAGACCAGACCAGGCAGCAGCAAGAAGAAGCTGGCAGCGGCGGCAGGTTAGAGGTTAGGGGGCGCAAATTACTTGCCTTACCCCGGGTTAGGGGGCGCAAATTACTTGCCTTGCCCCAGGTGCTGACAACCCACGCTACGCCGCTGAATTAGCGAGCTTCTTGCCATGCTTCCAGCTCCTGGTCAAGCACTGGTCAAGCACGGAGTTCTAGTTCTGCTTTCCGCCACTTGCAGTGACGCTCTGTCTAACCTCTCCCCTAGTTATGACAGGACAGGGAGTATTGGAGATTTTGTGGTTTAGCCCTTCCTGTTCTGTGGATTAATTTAGCCTGTATCTGAGGGGATTTTGTACCAGTATCTCTGATTCACGTCTTCCCCTTGTTCAGGGTACACGGATGTTTGTAGGGGAAAGGTCGGCTCCTAATTTTGCTGTTTCAAGCAGTATGCAGTTAGCTAAGGCACAGCTTCCCTTTGATTCAAAATGGATTATAAAATACTGTAAGCCCTGATTATGTGTGAGCATATATGAATATATTGATTACTGATAACTGATTATATCGGTCGGAGCCAAACAGTACAAATTGAGAGCATTTGCAGATGACTTAGTATTGACGTTACAGGAGCCAGAATCTAGTACCAAAAGAGTTTTAGAACTGATTCAAGAATTTGGTCAAGTTGCAGGATTTAAATTGAATAAGTTAAAGACCAAGGTTTTAGAGAAAAATTTAACACCAATGGAGAGAGAGAGGTTTCAGAATGAGACAAGTTTAACAGTGGTTAAGAAAGTTAAATACTTGGGGATTAACATGACAGCAAAAAATGGGAATTTATTTAAAGACAACTATGAAAAATGCTGGGATGAAGTGAAAAAAGATTTAGAAATTTGGTCAAATTTGAAGCTTTCACTGCTGGGCCGTATTGCTGCGGTAAAAATGAATGTATTGCCTAGAATGTTGTTTTAGTTTCAAACATTGCAAATTGTGGACAAAATGGACTGTTTCAAGAGGTGGCAGAGAGATTTGTCTGGCAGGGCAAGAAGTCTAGAATAAAATTTAAAATATTAACAGATGCAAAGGAAAGAGGTGGATTTGCCCTGCCAGACTTTAAACTTTACTATGAATCAGCAGCTTTTTGCTGGTTGAAAGAATGGCTGCTTCTTGAAAACACTGACATTTTGGAGCTAGAAGGTTTTAACAATGTATTTGGATGGCATGCATATCTGTGGTATGATAAGGTCAAAGCACATAAAGCATTTAAAAACCATATTGTCAGGAAAGCATTGTTTAATGTCTGGATAAGATACAAGGACTTATTGGAAAATAAAACCCCAAGGTGGTTGTCACCGATGGAAGCAAAAGCTCTGAAAAAGCTCAATATGGAGGCCAAATGGCCGAAATATTGGGAAATTTTGGAACAAGACGGAGATAGACTGAAATTGCAGAGTTTTGAGAAATTACAAAACAAAGTGCGAGACTGGCTTCATTATTATCAGATAATGGAGGCATATAATTTGGACAAGAAAATTGGTTTCCAGGTGGAAAAATCAAAATTAGAAACAGAACTGTTAGAACCCAAAACTAAGATTTTGTCAAAGATGTATAACTTGCTGTTGAAATGGAATACTCAGGATGAAACGGTGAAATCTGCTATGATTAAATGGGCACAAGATGTTGGACATAACATAATGATGGCTGACTGGGAACAGTTATGGACCACAGGTATGAAGTTTACGGCATGTAATGCCTTAAGAGAGAATATTATGAAAATGATATACAGGTGGTACATGACCCCAGTCAAGCTTGCAAAAATTTATCATTTGCCCGATAACAAATGCTGGAAATGTAAAGAAATTGAAGGTACATTCTTTCACCTTTGGTGGACGTGCCCAAGGATTAAGGTTTTCTGGGAGATGATATATAATGAATTGAAAAAGGTATTTAAATATACCTTCTTGAAGAAACCAGAGGCCTTTCTCCTAGGCATAGTCGGCCAATTGGTGCCAAAGAAGGACAGAACTTTTTATGTATGCCACAACAGCAGCAAGAATACTCATTGCAAAGTATTGGAAGACACAAGATCTACCCACTCTGGAAGAATGGCAGATGAAGTTGATGGACTATATGGAACTGGCAGAAATGACTGGCAGAATCTGAGACCAGGGAGAAGAGTCGGTGGAAGAAGATTGGAAGAAATTCAAAGACTATCTACAGAAATATTGTAAAATTAATGAATGTTAGAATGATGTTGGATAGAAATTAAGTGGTTTCCAGCTGTAATGCTTTAAGGTAATATGAAAAATGGGTTGTTAATAGGTAAAAATCTAACGTTACTATTTTAAGACCAAAGATTAGGATAAATAAAGAGGGTAAGGATTTGCTGAACCAACAAATTGAACTGGAATACAAAAAAGGGAGGTATGAGGAGGTCCGGGAAACAAGCTAAGGAAAAATAAGTAATGGAAAAATTGAGTGGTTTTTAATCATTTTTATTTTGTATTTTTTCTTTTTTCTTCTTCTTTTTTTTCTTCTTTTTCATTTTTATATTGTAACATTTGGAAAATCTCAATAAATATATATATAAAAAAAGATAACTGATTATATGAATAGCATAGGGGTAGCCCTTCTTCCTTGCCTCAGTGGGGCCTGGCCAGGGCAGAGGTGCCATGATTCCAGTTGGCCAGCTCATCCCAAGGGAATGGAGAGGAACTACCCACCCACTCATCTTCACTGAAACACTCTTAACAGTATGGCAATCTCATGCCACTGCATCTCCTTCAAGCCTGTAGGTGTGTTCAGCTGAACAAGAACCAGGATACATTTCATGGAAGAGGGTTTCGCAAGCATCCCAGGCTCAAAACCCCTCCTAAACTCGCCCTTATTGCAAAGCCCCACCTACACACCCAGCCTGCTGCCTCCTCAGCACTCAGTCACAGAATTTTCACATGGGGCTAACTGTAGGCACAGGAAAGATGCCTTATACCAGGTGATACCATTCCAGCCGAGCTCCAGGGCTGGAGGTGGGGGCTCTCTCATCACCTGCGACATGGTGATGGCACAGGGGACTGAACCTGGGACCTTCTGCACACAAAGCAGGTGCTCCACTGCTGAGCTACAGCCCTCCCTAAACAGGAACACAGGAAACTGCTAGGTACAAGTCAAAATATTGGCCCACCTAGTTCAGTATTGTCTACACAGACCGGCAGTGGCTCTTCAAGATTTCAGGCAGGGTTCTCTGCCTACGTGGAAATGCCATCAGGGAACTGAACCTGGGACATTCCACTTGCAAAGCAGATGCTCTGCCACAGAGCTAAGGTCTCTTGCCATTAATATATTAGTGCTCCCCACTGGCAAATTGAACTCTATCTCCCTAGCTGCCTGCCAATACTATGAAGCCAGCCTGCTTGTATTTTTTATTTATCTTATATTATATTTGTATACCAGGGATGCAGGTGGCGCTGTGGGTTAAACCACAGAGCCTAGGACTTGCCGATCAGAAGGTCGGAGGTTCGAATCCTCGTGACGGGGTGAACTCCCGTTGCTCAGTCCCTGCTCCTGCCAACCTAGCAGTTCAAAAGCATGTCAAAGTGCAAGTAGATAAATAGGTACCACTCCGGCAGGAAGGTAAATGGTGTTTCCATGTGCTGCTCTGGTTTGCCAGAAGCGGTTTAGTTTGCCAGAAGCGACCTGGAAGCTGTACGCCGGCTCCCTTGGCCAGTAAAGCAAGATGAGCACCGCAACCCCAGAGTCGGTCACGACTGGACCTAATGGTCAGGGGTCCCTTTACCCTTTACCTATATTTGTATACCACCTTTTCCTCCAAGGAGCTCAAGGTGGTGTACATGGTTCTCAGCTTCCAATTTTTATCTTCTCAACAAACCTGTGAGGTAGGTTTGCCTGAGAGGCAGTGGGCGGCCCAAGGCTACCCAATGAGTTTTATGGCTGAGTGGGGATTTGAACCCTGGTCTCCCAGGTCAAATTCCAACATTCTAACAATTACCCTACACTGGCTCTAAGCAAGGATCTGGTGAGTGGGACCCCTAATATAACACCAGCACTAGAAGACTGTATCTGCAGTTCTGCATCTAGTTCTGTATGCCACATTTTAAGAAGGACATTGATAAACTGGAGTGTGCCCACAGGTGAGCAACCAAGTTGGGGAGGTGTCCGGAAACTAAGCCGTACTGTTGAAAAAGCTGGGAATGTTTAGCCCAGAGAAGAAAATACACAGTGGAGACATGATAGCCATCTTATAATACCTGAAGGCTGTCCTGCAAATGACAGAGGAGACTCACTCTGTGTTACTTCAGAGGACAGGAATAGAAGAACCCTGTGGTGGAAATGGCAGGGAGCAGATTTTGGCTAAACTATTGACACAAGGGCTGTTTGGCTGTGGAAATGGCTATCTTGGGAAGTGTTGGGCTCTCCTTTCATGGAGATATTTGAGCAGAGGCTGGATGACCATCTGTCAAGGAAACCTCAGGAAGGAAGAAGGCTCTTTTGCTTGCAGGTTTCCCACAGATATCTGGTTGTCCACTGCCTGTGAGAACAGGATGCTGTACTTGAAGGGTCACTGGTCTGATCCAGCAGGCCATTCTGATGTTCTTATGTTCATCTAACAAAAAGGAGGATTTCTCTTATTGAGTTTCAAGGACCTTTCCTCCTCTCTTGTAGGGTTTCTTAGACCAGGGATGGTGAGAGGTGATTGCAACACTGCCACACCCTGAAAGGAGCCATGCTTGATTATCGTGTGTGTGTGTGTGTGTGTGTGTGTGTGTGTTCCCTTCAAAAACCAGTTTTGCCTGAACAAAAGCAGTTTCTTGGCATCAGACCAGGCAAAGTCATAGACTAGAAAGCTTGGCTGTTTGTAATTTCTTAGGCACGTCTGAAGTCCAAAGTGCAGTCTGGCATGGAACAGTACTTCAAAGGAGATTTAGCAATTTTATCACAAATGAGCAGCAACATTTTATTCCTAGCAGAGAATCTTTCAACATCGTTCCTCACATTACACCAGGGCTGCCAATTTTGGGGGGCCTGTGGGAACTTTTGGAATTCTGAGAGTGCTGTGGACACTGCCCCTGCCCTTTGGTCAATCCCTGGCCCCAGCACAAACAGAAGAAAGGCACACTCACATGAATGCACACACAGCCTTTCCATGGGGTCTGCATAAAAGTTACATACAGAAGATTAAAACAATGGAGTCTCTTGAATCTTCATCTTTTTGCTTTGGGTCCCCGCCAAACTACCATCAAATAAGGCTTACATTGGTAGGCTGCACATAAAATAATCACAGATCTGGTGCTTGCCAGTAGCACAAAAGTATTGATCCAAGGCATAGATCTTCATGGATCTTAATGGTTTTTTCCCTCCAGAACACATCAGTTGGCACATTTGGGTGAAAGAAAGCCTTTTCAGTTCCTTCTAGGCCTTCTGTGAAAGTGACACAGGTCTCTGCTTTTTAGTGAATCTGAAAATACCTTGTCAGTTTCACCAGTATTGGGAAAACCTCTTCCACTCCTCCTTCTCCCTGACACCACTGCTTCTGCTGCTCCAAGGAGGGGTGTGAGAAGCTTACTTCCAAAGGGTGTATTGGCCCATCAGTGTGGATCATGGGTAGGCAAACTAGGGCCCAGGGGCCGGATCTAGCCCAATCACCTTCTCAATCCGGCCCGCAGACGGTCCGGGAATCAGCATGTTTTTACATGAGTAGAATGTGTCCTTTTATTTAAAATGCATCTCTGGGTTATTTGTGGGGCATAGGAATGTGTTCGTTCCCCCCCCCAAAAAAATATATATAGTCCGGCCCCCCACAAGGTCTGAGGGACAGTGGACTGTCCCCCTGCTGAAAAAGTCTTCCCTAACCAGGTGTCTTCCCTAACCAGGTGTCTTCTAGATGCTGTTTGACTCCAACTCGCATCAACCTCAGCCAATGGTGAATGGCTGGAGATTATAGGAGCTGAAGCCCCACAACATCTGGAGGCCCTACATAAGCAGCTGCTGATGGCACGGCAGAGAGCAGGGAAAGGCACAAGCCTGGGACATTCAGACACAGGCAAGTTGCCCTGGGACACCACGAAGAGCGAGCAGAATTTGCTGAGCAGTTGCCTGCTTTTGTTGCGACCACACATTTAAAGTAAGAAGCAGCCCTCTTAGGCTGTGTGGCTGTGTGTTCATCTAACCCTGTATTATCTGTTCCAGGGCCCTGACCACTGGTCATGCTGGATGGGGCTGATGGGAATTGTAGTCCAAGTGCATCTTCATGGCACCATGCTGGATCCCCCTAATCTGTTCTGACGGGCAGTGGCTTTCCAGGGCCCCTATTACTTCCTGCTGGTCCTTCCAACTGGATATACCAGGGATAGAAACTGGGCCCTTCTGAAAACGAAGCATTGTGTACTCTTCCACTGAGCAATGGCCCCTCCTGTAACCAACACATACCCTTTGCTTCAAGATCCCGAGTGCTGCAGCTAGTGCCAAAGCTTGCATTTCTCATGTGCTTCTGAGAAACCCACATAAATTCTGGACCTACGGCTACATCAGAATGATTGCTGTAAAAGGCATGTTAGCAAGAAACATATAAATCAGATGAAGTCACACGAAGGAGGCTCAGAGAGGGAGGTCCGCCAGTTTACAAAACTTACGAAACATCCCGTCTGGCTGTCATGATGACGATGCGAAGGAAAGTCCATCCTCCAGATCCCAAGTAGAATATTAAGAGAGCTGGGACCACCTGGATCCATGGCAGGTCCAGGAACAGCCGGAAGACCACGAAGAGGAGAAGCAGAGCCGCCGAACGTAACATGCTGGCCTGGGGAGAGGAGAGAGGGAAGTTCCCTTTGGTGAGATGAAGAGCCCTTGCAGGCCCTCTTCTTCTTGCACATTCAGGACTATATGTGCTCAATGAATTATTCTTATTATTTAGAAGATACCTGAAGGCAGCCCTGTTCAGGGAAGTTTTTAACGTGAGACATTTTAATGTATTTTTAATCTTAGTTGGAAGCTGCCCAGAGTGGCTGGGGAGACCCAGCCAGATGGCTAGGGTACAAATAATAAATTATGATGATGATGATGATGATGATGATGGTAGTAAGAGGGCTGTACCATCATATTTTCAATGCAGCAAGTGCTGTGGGGTAGACTTACAGCTGCCCTTCCAATCAGTGTGTGCCCCATAACCCTGCTGAAACCCTGCAACTTTTCATGCCGCAAATGTTCCAGAGTTGTCCCGTTTTCATAACGAAAGGGCTCCTCCAGGCAGCAATAAAGCAATCATGTTTGGGAAGGCACCACAGAACAACTAATAAAGTGGAATGATGTTTGGACAGTCCAATATAATTCCTTAACTAATACACTATTATTGCACCAATGACATTTTGCAGACTATCCCCTACCCAAACCAACAACAACCCAACACCTAACTTGGATGACCCCTTGCTTTCCAAACAGCTGGCCCTAAATGGCCACTCAGGTTGGCCACGTCTGTCCACCTTTGCTAAACTGTGAACAAAGACTTTAAATAATAACATTTATTTTTAAAAAGCCGAGGCCCAACTCACCAAGGGAAATCTGGGCTTGCAATCCTAGCTAATTCTTCTCCTGCACAAGGCAGCCTTTTGCTTCAGCGACGTCTCTCTGCCTCTTTGCTTCACCTTCTCCCGACAGAGAGAATGCTATTTGGACCATAACCTAATGAGCAACAGGAGAAACATGTACAGAAGTCCAAGGTTATTGATTATTTTCCCGGCCTGTTGTGCTTTGCCATATGACCTGGGAACGTGGAAGGGAATGTTATAAAAGTCAATTTCTGGTCTGTGACGATGATAAAGAAATCCATTCATTCGTTATAAAAGTCAGGTTTCCTGCAAGCCTTTCCTGGTTGCTCCCCTCAAACTTCTGCAAAGTAAGCGCTCCTCCCCCCAAATGAGATCAATGCTGCCATTGAGTCTGGCCACAGTTAGGGTGAAACTCTGGTATTGTGAAAGGTACAAGTTCAGGTCACTTAACATGGTTTAACTTGCCTGCTTGGCATTCTCTGTTCATCAGTACCACGATATTTATTTGAAATATCCACCAACAGCAGCCTTCACTAGCCAGATGCCCTCCAGATGGTTTAGACTACCATTTAAGCCATTTCTGATTGGTCATGCTGGCTGGGGCTGATGGGAATAGTAGTCCAAAACAAGTCTGGAGGGCACCAAGCTGAACCACAGGAATTTTGGTATGATTGTTCAGGAGATGGTTCTACCATACAAGTTTGGAAACCACCTCAGTCCTAACTCCCTGCTTCCTCTCTTACAAAACTAGAACGTGGAGATCATCCACTGACACTGAATGGCTGGAGGTGCAGGACAAGCCGAAAGAAACACTTCTTCATGCAGTGCATACTTCAGGGGTGTGGAACCTCAGGTCTGGGGGCCAAATGTGGCCCTTGAAACCTCTCCACCTGGCCCTTGGGACATTTCCAATGCCAGAACCTCTCCCCAGGCCACCCCCTTGACTGGATCTGCTTCACACCCTTCCTAAGTTTTTCTGCCTGGCTGAAACATGCTATTGAATTCTGATAATGGCTGGATAGGAGATAGAGAGGGGTGTGTGCAGAAACTAGCCTACTTCACAAAGCTAACAATTACATCTGATGCTCTCCCGACTTTTGGTTTTGGCTCTGCCCACCAAGGCATCCGGCATCTGGACATCCGCCCACAAGGCCAGTGTTTCCCTAACCTGGGGAACTTCAGTAACATACCGACAAATTCAGGGTGGGCAATTATAGTTGATTGGGAGGTTTAGTGCAATAGCAACAAACCCACTTTCCCAAAAGATTAGACTTCTTTTAGGTGAGGTAAATGAGAGGAAAATGCAGGATAACAATAATAATTGATTTTTCCTGGTAGCAGCCTGGATGGAGAAATGATCGTTAGTTAACTCTGCAAAACTTGTTTGGAAGCTTGCACTTGTAGATGAACTAACACAACACTGCAAAGCAGTCAGAGGTAACATTACCAGAAATAACTAGTCTCCCTGCATTTCTTCCATTAATTCACCACCAGAAGAACCTTCTGCTCACTTTTCTTATTGGAGAGGTAATAATAATAATAATAATAATAATAATAATAATAATAATATCTTTATTGTCATTGCCCCCTTCGGGGACAACGAAATTACTTGACTGCTCCATAAAAACACTAATTAAACAATACAGTATAATACAGCAAGGGAGATTAGATGACTTTCAAAGTCCGGGCTTCCCATTCAGGGCCGAGATCGCTCTGGAGAAGAAGCTGTTCTTAAGACGGCTCGTTCTTGTCTTCATCGTCCTGTATCTCCGTCCCGACGGCAAGAGCTCGAAGAGACAGTGACCAGGATCCTGTTATCCTGAATTTTACCTTGATATTCTAGATTTTCATTATTTATATATCATGTCAATGACTCTTGCCAAGTGTTTAAAGAAGGTTGTACTTCACTTTGCAAGTCTGCAAAGTTTGGCATTTATCTACACTTTATATTCTTTCCAAGGGATGTGGGTGGCGCTGTGGGTTAAACCACAGAGCCTAGGACTTGCCGATCAGAAGGTCAGAGGTTCGAATCCCCTTGATGGGGTGAGCTCCTGTTGCTCAGTCCCTGCTCCTGTCAACCTAGCAGTTCAAAAGCAAGTAGATATATAGGTGTTATGTACTGAAGTTCTCACCCTGGGCCAGCAGGGGGATACTGTAGATAGTTATGCAAATAAGGGATCAAAAGTGACGTTCAGTGATTGGATAGTTTTAGAAAGTTGTTAAAGTTACGTTGTACTGGAGCTCTATATAAGCAGGCTGACTGAACCCTTCAGTTGAGTTCTGTCCTGGCCTGTGAATAAACAAGAGCTGTTTGAAGAATCGCTGTGTCATCTGATATGTTCACCCACAACTTAACAATAGGTACCGCTCCGGCGGGAAGGTAAATGGCATTTCCGTGCGCTGCTCTGGTTCGCCAAAAGCGGCTTAGTCATGACCCGGAAGCTGTACGCTGGCTCCCTTGGCCAATAAAGTGAGATGAGCGCCCCAACTCCAGAGTCGGCCACGACTGGACCTAATGGTCAGGGGTTCCTTTACCTTTACCTATATATTCTTTCCAAAGTGTGTAATTGGAATGAAATGTCATTAAACAGCCAGTGCCATCTACATTCCCCTGCCTACTGAGATCAAGCAGGCGCCTTCACTGTGCTCTTTTCGGCACCTCCTAAAAACATTTTTGTTTAGACAAACCTACCCAGGTGCTTAGAAAGTTGAGGATGATTGTGTAGTATTTCAACTTTTGTATGTTTTAAAGTATGGTTGTGAATTTATCTTGATGTTATTATCTTCTTAAAAACCACTTTGAAAGGGTTTTCTGTCAAGCGGAGTATAAATCTTATTAAATAAATCAATAATAAGTACAAACATATCCAAACCAATGGCTTCAAGTTACAAGAAAGGAGATTCTGACTAAACTTTCTGAAAATAAGCACTGTTCAACAGTGGAACGGACTCCCTCAGAAGGCGGTGGGCTTTCCTTCATTGGAAGTTTTTGAGCAGAGGTTGGGCGGCCATTTGTCACGGACGTTTTAGTTTAGTTTACAGATTAATAGATAAATAAAATTCCTGCATTGTGGGGGGGGGTTGGGGTTGGGCTAGATGACCCTCAGGGTCCCCTTCCAACTTCAAGATTCTACGATTCTATGCTCTGAACAAATGCTGAATGAACAGATCTTCTGGAAGTACCACAGCTGTATTCCATGTGTTCTGGACTCCCACAGCCCCTGACATGCTAGCTGGGGCTGGTAGGACTGGTGACTGCAACAACATCTGGAAGGATGGGGAAGTCTGCCCTACGGTCGGGGCCATGATCCAATGACCCTGGCCAAAAAGTGAGTTCTGGGGAAGGGCTTACAGAAAATAAAGGAGGTGGTTCTCTTATCACAAGGTAGTATTAACTAAGTAAAAGTATGTGTAACTGAAATAATCACATATTCTTCCCCTTTCCACATCCAACCACACTTGCTTCTGGTCATAGCTGTCAACTTTTCCCTTTTCTTGCGAGGAATCCTATTCAGAATAAGGGAATTTCCCTTAAAAAAAATGGAACAGTTGACAGCTATGCTTCTGGCATGACAAGCATGCCCCTATTTTCAGCTCTGATAGTGTCCAATGCCCCTTTGCATGTGTGCATCTAGAAGGGCATGCCTGAGGCGCCACAGGAAACAGGAACAACTCTTAGATGTCCGTAAAGCACCTCAGCTTCTGAAGGACTTGATTCTTCTCTGCAGGCACAGGCTCCAACCCTGAACTCCAGACAAACCCTCCCTGGCCTTCAACCTATTTGTGCACATCACGCTCCCTTTTGATGTGGCAGGGAGAAACAGGACGTTAGACAGGCAACAGGAAACGCATCAGCTATGCCGGTGGGGTTTGCAAGCCCTGAGATGACACTGCAGTTTGCAGGCTGTCCTCAAGCCAAGGGTTATTCAGCTAAAAAGCTGGCCAATGAGGAGGATGGGGATAGATGAATCTGACCCCCTTTGCTCTTCGTTTGTTGCTTTTGGGTGGCAAGTCAACAAAATGGATCCCGGTTTTTGCTGAAGCCTGGGCAGAAGGTTAAATACAACTCCCTGGCTGGGTTCTTAATGCCATCCTGCAGCAGGGACCCCCCCCCCCCAAATCCAGCCCACTGGACTGGACTCAAGGGAACCCTGCAGAGTTCATTCATTGTGTCTTGGGGATTCGAAACACAGTGGGCAAGTCAATTAGCCCCATTTTGCTCAGAAAAAGAACAATTTTTAAAATCCTGCCAAAAAATTCTGTGTGTGTTTTTAAAGACGACCACAGAATTTTTTACATCGGCAGTGCTATTGTAATTGTTCAGAATTATACAATTTGGAGAGACATCTAGTTTGATTTCCTTCAGAAGCTGATCACACTTTGGGCCAAATTAAGCTAGGTGCTTCTTTCACAATTTGCAGTTGTGTGAGTGGCTTATTCAGCGTAAAGAGCAGGAAGGGGTGTGCTCTTCGGAATCCCTCACTAAAAGTGGGGAGGGTTTTCCCCATCATTTTGAGCAGGGATTCCCATGCAGGTTCACTCGGAAACTTCTGCTAATACGATAGGGAAAACCTCTGTTTTCGCAGTCCAAAACACCTTCCTGAAATAAGAAGAGGTTTGCATAGATCCCATCCAACCAATCAGGATTTAACCTGTGCTCATCAGCCGAAATTTGCCAGCCGAAATCTACATCTATACACTATAAATCAGCGGACAAACTACTTTCCAAAATATACAGCAGTGTAGATGAATCACTTACATCCCCAGGTAACTGTAAGCAGTTCTTGAGCTCCCTCCTGCCTTCCTCTCCTCCAGCCTCCAGTCTCTGTTTCTCCACCTCTTCACAGTTCCACCCTTATCTAGCCTTCCTTCCCTCCCAGAGGGCAGAGTCATCCCCACCTACGCCTAGCAGCTATCTGGGCTTCAATCAAACCTCCCGAAACAGGTGCAGCAGCTTCTCCCTCGCCATGTGAACCGCACACCGGTTGCACTCTCCCCCTCTGGCCTCACAGGATGCATCTAGCTCCGTATTGTCCACACTGACCAGCAGAGGCTCTCCAGGGTTTCAGACTGTCAAAATTCCCAGCCCTACCTGGACATGCCAGGGATTGAACTTGGGACCGTTTGCACGGAAGGCAGGCGCTCTTACACTGAGCTATGGCTCTTCCACAACAGGAAGGGTTCAATCCGCTATTCAACTACCCTTTGAGCCATTTGATAAAGGGAAATAAGTTTATTAAGCCGTCAAAGTGGGAACCTAGGAACTGGAAAGCAGAGCTCCTATTACTCAACATTTCACTTATTATTGTGATGTAACACTGCTGCTTCCTACTCACTGTTACAAACCTGACAGTCTTGATTCCTTTGACTGGACCTGTCACCAAGCAACCAATGAGCAAGCATGGACTTGGCAAAAAGAATGTTCATGCCCCCAAATGATATTTTCCTTTAAAGCATGAGAGTATCAGGTTTCATTTGGGAGACAGACAGATTTCTGGGAATTGTTGATCAGGAGTCAAGCTGGATGAAAGGCATGTAGTATGAGATGTGCGCATGCTTTGAGCATCTGAGGCAGGTTTAGTGGTTTTGCTACCTGTTAGACTTGCTTCCACTGTATTCCACTTGTACATTTGTAAATGAGAGACACACTATGAACACAAGGAAACCTCCCAGTGCTCTCTGCACTAGTGCAGAGGTGGGAAACTGTGGCCCTCCAGATGTTAAAAGTAAAGGGACCCCTGACCATTAGGTTCAGTCGTAACTGACTCTGGGGTTGCGGCGCTCATCTCGCTTCACTGGCCAAGGGAGCCGGTGTGCAGCTTCCGGGTCATGTGGCCAGCATGACTAAGCCGCTTCTGGCGAACCAGAGCAGCGCACGGAAACGCCATTTACCTTCCTGCCAGAGCGGTGCCTATTTATCTACTTGCACTTTGACGTGCTTTCGAATTGCTAGGTTGGCAGGAGCAGGGACCGAGCAACGGGAGCTCACCCCGTCATGGGGATTCGAACCACCAACCTTCTGATCGGCAAGTCCTAGGCTCTGTGGTTTAACCCACAGCGCCACCAGCGTCCCTTCTCCAGATATTGCTGGACCACAAAATCACCACCCCTGTCCTAGCACTGCCCTGTTGCCACACTAGCATGTTATGCTCACTCCACATTTCTAAGCAGTGAGAAGTTCCAGGGGCACAGCACTTTTCAGGCTTGGCTCCCCTCAGAAGGTTGTTGCTGGAGGATTAGTGCCATTTTGTAACATTGATGTTTATTTACAAATATGTAGGCAGAACACTCCCACTCCATGGGAAAGGGCCATCATGTGCTTTGCACACAGTCCCTGGCATCTCCAGGTAAGGCTGGGAGGGAACCCTGTCTAAAGCCTTGGAGAGCTACTGACAGTCCGTGTAGGAGATACAGAGCTGGACGGACCAATGGCCTGGCTCTGTATAAGGCAGCTTCCTGTGTGTGTAATAGCTTTGCACAACAGTCACTCACAAACACAGCCTTCCTTTGGCCTTTTAGCTGTGCTTCCTTTTTTCCTCAAATACTGTATGCTCTTTTGACGCATGCATATCATTTAAATAATCGATACTGGCCTTTCCACCAACCTTTCCACTGTGGACTTTCAAAATCTTTGCAACCTTGCAAAGCAGAGGCCCATGGTTAGAATCCTGATCCAGAGAAGCATAGCCCAGCACCTTCTACGACAATGGTGAGCCCATCACAGTCCTGGTTGCCAGGGTGAAAAATGGGCAGAGAAAGCTGCTTTGTGCCAAGTCAGACCAGGAGGGTTCAGTGCCCTCACCAGCCAAATTGGTGCCACCGCTGGCTGGGGCTGACAGCAGTTCTTGTCCAAAACCACTGCAGGGCACTGCGTTGCGGAAGACTGGTCTCCCCTGACTAGCAGAGGTGGTGGGGTATTTCACCACTGCCTGCTAAGAAGCACTCTCCTTCCTCCAGTATTATTATTCTTCCAGTATTACAGTGGTACCTTGCTTTTCAAACTTAATAATCTGTTCTGGAAGTCGATTCCAAAACCAAAGCGTTCCAAAACCAAGGCGCGCTTTCCCATAGAAAGTAATGCAAAACGGATTAATCCATTCTAGACTTCTAAAAGCAACCCCTAAAACAGCAATTTAACATTAATTTTGCTATTTGATATTCTTTTGGAAGCCGCCCAGAGTGGGGGGAAGCCCAGCCAGATGGGCAGGGTATAAATAATAAATTATTATTATTATTATATCTAACGGGCCCAGTGACCCATAAAATGAAAGCAATAATCAATGTACTTTACGATAAAATAAAATAAATAAGACAGTATTGTAGATGATAAAAATTAAAATAACAGTAATAATTCTTACCTACGCTGATGATAGTCATTGTTTGCAGGGGGTGGGGGGGCTTTGATGCATTTCTGCAGTCACACAATCAATCAATCAGTAGCTGAACTGGGTTCCACACAGTCATAAAAACAAATTAACCAAAAAAGCCTCAAAAACAAATAGCAAAAACAAAAGGACCAAACTTAATCTGTTCCAGAAGTTAGTTTGACTTCTGAAATGTTCGAAAACCAAGGTTCAGCTTCTGATTGGTGCAGGTACCCCAGAAACAATAACTGACAGCCACATCGGACGTTCAGCTTCTGAAAAACGTTCAAAAACCGAACACTTACTTCTGGGTTTTCCGCATTTGGGAACCAAGGCGTTTGAGTACCAAGGCGTTTGAGAACCAAGGTATCACTGTGCACGGCTTTGAAAATAACAACAACAACACAACAACACTTATCTTTCCCAGGCAACCACCAACCAGTGATTTCCTTATGGCTGCCCTTTACATCTATATCTATATATATACATACACACACACACACACACACACACACACACACTGGAGTGAAAAGGACACGTTATGCTTGGAACGGTGCGGTGATGCTTAAAAGGCACCTTAATGCTCAAAAAGCATTTACCTGGAGGCCAGGTGAGTAGAAGATCTGGGCCTCAGAGATCAGAACAGGGCCTCCTCAAAAACTTCACCCACCCCCAGACCTAGGTCTGAATGAGGCAATGTCCTGATCTCTTCAAGGTAATTTCTGTGCCACAGGACAAGCACACATGGCACACTCAGTAAAATTGTTGGGCTTTCAATTTCTGGCAGGTTTTGTGGTCATGCTGCAGAGAGTGAATCCTATAGTATCCTGGAGGAACTCTCTGCAGGTTAGCAAAGCAAAAACTGCAATTTATCCCCCATCCCTTTCACTAAGAAATATTACACACATGCTGCCTTGGTTGCTTGAGAAAACAGGTGACTGCAGCAGGGAACTCTGGGATGGGGGAGGATTCTCACACATATCAAATTATCTTTTTTAGAAGAAGACGACGACAAAGCCTTAGTATTATCTATTCATCTTATGTTTAGAGCCAGCCTTACTTCCCCCACCACCCAAAGAAACATTAAAACACCAGCTCCTAAGAATGGACTTAAAAATATCCACCACACTCATTCCTGAAATATGAGCCTTAAATTCTGAGAAGTCCTTTTCAGTGATATAAAACCAACATACAATTAAACATCCCAAATGGTAGCTCCCTCACCCCTCTACTCCATTTTACTCCACTCTCATTATCTGCAAAGGAATAATAGAGTACTAGCTTCACCCAGGAGGAGCCAAGCTTAAAGACCTCCCCACTTCACAGCAACCCACTGATGCTATTATGAAAAATAATGGGAAAGGAAGAAAGGGAGCAACGATAATAGGCAAGCCTGCTATTATAAGCCTCGTTAGACATAAACCAGACACAAGATGAGGCTGTGAAGAATGCACTCCTAGCAAGGTCTACTCAGAAGCAAGACCCGTTGAATCTAATGGCGCTTGCTCACAGGTAAGTAGAGGTAGGGCTGCAGACTGAATTAGGGCGTCCGCAGCATTAAACCAAACGAAAGCATAGCTGGGGCCTGACAGCTAGGAAACGAAGGATATTATATATTATTACGCATACACAAAGGAGAAAATAAGGTCAATGGCCCCGCTTCTACACCCACTCCCCAAACAGAAAGTGGGGGGAGATGCAGCTTTTTTTATACGCATCTTTGCACAATAGCCCCGTTTCCTTAACACACACACACACACACACACACACAAGTTGCGGGGGTCTGTATCCACCCGGCTTCAGAATGAGCAGCACCATCCTGGGACGTACCCCCTGACAAAAGGCTCCCCTCTCTTTCCAGCCCCCACCCCCGATGTAGCGCTCTGTGATGCTGCAGCGCTATAGACACTGACACAGCAACCCACCTCTCTCTGCTATCCTACGGAGCTCTGTGGCTACTGAGTGTCACAACACCGCATGCTCCTCGCGGGGCAGAGGATGCGGGTCCAGCAGTAACAGCTGGTTCAGCAGCTGTCAAAAGGGCAGGATCTTGTCTTCTCCTGCCGCCGCCTCCTCCTCCTCCTCTTGCAAAGGCTCTCCTGATCAGCCCAGCGGCTGCGTCTCCTCCTGGCTTTGGCACTTCCTTCCTCCTCCCTTTTCCACCTGCACTGCCCTCCCTCCCGCATGAGAATTGCAAGCGGGAGGAGAAAAGGAAGAAACCAAACGGCAGCAACAGCAGCTAGTCACTGATGCTGCAGGCGCTCTGGCAAAAGGGGGTCCTGCAGGGGGCGAGAGAGAGCAGCGCTCTGCCGCAATGCACCGCGGGATTTGTAGTCTTTCTTGCGCTCCGCAGCCTTGCACGTGGGTGGGGAAGGGCTGTGTGCTTTGACTTTACTCCTTTCTTTACTCTTGTACTGCTTTTTCCTTCTCTCTTTCTCTCCCACTACCTAGCTCGGTTTCCTCCTGTCCCAGACCCTGGTCCTATGACAATGGCCCTCCCACCGCACGTTAAAGCGATCTCAAGCAGTTTCACATATTTATTTTATTTTTTGAGAAAAAGCTTCACACAGCAAAGCAAGAGCTGGGAGTTTGCAAAAGAAGTTTCAAAGGAGAAGCGAAGAGGCTCGCGGTGTCCCCGCGCGCGCCTTGCAAAGTCGGTGGCCTTAAGACGCCTTTGCAAAGGGACAACTGGCGACAGGAAAAAGTACGGCTCTGTAATCAGATCAAGAGCTCAGCCGAGCCGCAACTGGTGGAGGGAGGGAGGGCAAAAAGAGGACGGGCAGGATCATTCCTCGCTATCTAGCAGGCTCTGTGGCGCAATGGATAGCGCATTGGACTTCTAGACTAATGACTGGGTGAAGTCATTCAAAGGTTGTGGGTTCGAGTCCCACCAGAGTCGTGTTTTGTTGGGCTTCCTTTCAACTCAAACTTTAAAAGAAGCAAAAGTAAACAAATAACACGACCAGCTCCTCTGGGGGACAAAGTTGACTACATAAAAGTTTTGTTAAAATATTTTTTAAAATCCATTTATTTATTTTATTATACCTTTTTTTTTTTTTACAACATGCCAATATTTTGCATCAGTCGTAGCTGGAGACTCAAACTGAAACCTGTATGCGTGCTTAAACTAAGAACTCGATGGGGCTTACCTCTGGGTAGAGGCTTGCAAGGTGACTTCCAGAGTGTCACAATTTTGTGGATGGGCATGCAGCGCCTAAAGTGGATTTGGTCTCTTGTGCAGCAAACTCACTGCCCCCACCCCCAACAAACAGCACCATGGATTTTTTTATTTTATTTACTTTCAGTAAGGAAAGTCATGGTTGCTGAATTGCAGAGTTGGAAGGGACCCTGAGCGTCATCTGGTCAAATATCCTGCAAAGCATCCTGCTCACAGTTATCCCTGGGTGGGATCGAACCACCAACCTTCTGCATAAGAGCCAGAAGCATTAACCCACGGTGCCACAGGCTCCACACATGCTTAGGTGAAGTAGTTGGATAATTTCCCCTCAAACAAATCGGAATGAGTGCTTGATGAACAGGACATATGGTAGAGCCCTAAGGTTTCACCTGTAAATTAGGGTGAGTATCTTTATTAATTAACTGACAGATTAAGGCTGCAATCCCTAACCCCATTTACCTGGGAGTAAGCCTGATTGAAATCTCATGGACTTCTGAGTAGAAATGGGGCACTTCCAGACCGTCACTATTTTGGGGTGGGATTCAAACACACAGCTGCAAATTCAGGTTGTGCAGTTAGTCAAGTGGAAGGTCTTGGGCATCAAACCCACTACACATAAAAAAATCCAGTGTGGGTGTAACTTGACTTTATTGGGGGGGGGAGGCTTTATGTTAGTGGGGGAAGAACCGAGTTATCTGTGATGCATTTGGTCAGTTAAGTATTTTTATTTATTTACTTGATTTATGGGGGGAACAGGTGCCCCACCCTCCTTGGCTACGCCCATGGGATCCAGACTTATTGCAGTAGGGATAGTGATAGAGGAAATGTACCCAAAATTTCAGGATGACGCTTCCTTTGGTGCAACATCATCTAAACTCCCTGCAAGCAAATAAGGATGAATGCTCATTAATGGCTCTTCCATACTGGGCCAGTCTATACCTGGGCTTAATGTGGATCTTGAGATTCCCTATGCTCTGAAAATCCAAATAGGAGAGTTGTGCTGACTGCATAGGGAATCTCTGGGTTTAGGGAGAAGAAAGTGTGGGGGCAGAACTAATAGGTAGGGGGAAACACGTTGAAAACAGTATAGCGACAGTGCCTGCCCGATGTTAATTAGGCTGGGAATTCTAAAGTCTAAGGACTGAAAGACTGACACATGGTGCTTGTAAAAAGACAAGCTCAGTTTAGCAAGGGAGTTGAGATAGGCTTAGTACAGTTTACTTGAATAATTCCCCTTCTTCTGTTTCACAGCTGGGATTAGTAATGTTTGCTGAGGAAGCCAGAAGCCAAAACTTTAAGCAGTCAGAAACCTATTTCTGTGCGGTCATTCATTTATTTGCAAATATTATAATTTAGTGTTCTTTGACAGTATCTTTTTAGTATCTAAATCCTGCTTGATTGCTTTATTGTTGCTTACAAGAGGTAGATGTGACTAACTGGGAAACATTTCATTAATTGCTGTGTTGTTCTAATGAGATTGCTTTATTGTATATTTTCTTATGGTTGTTTATGTTTCAATGGGATCATTTACTCTGTATTTTAATTAGGAATATTTATATTTTAATATCTGTGCACTGGTTTTCATATTTTGCTTAGAAATCTACCTTAGAATTAAGTAGTATATAAATTATTATATTATGTCATTCTTACTGTACACCAAAAGCCTTTTTGCCCTTTCTGGGGCAGCTTAAGCAAGCAAATCTGACTTCACGTCTTTCCAGTATACCTGAAGGAGCGTCTCCACCCACATCGTTCTGCCCGGACGCTGAGGTCCAGTGCCGAGGGCCTTCTGGTAGTTGTGAGAAGCCAAGCTACAGGGAACAAGGCAGAGGGCCTTCTCGGTGGTGGCGCCCGCCCTGTGGAATTCCCTCCCATCAGATGTCAAAGAGAAGAACAACTACCTGACATTCAGAAGACATCTGAAGGCAGCCCTGTTCAGGGAAGTTTTTAATGTGTGACATTTTAGTGTATTTTTGGTCTTTGTTGGAAGCTGCCCAGAGTGGCTGGGGAAACCCAGCCAGATGGGCGGGGTACAAATAATAAATTATTATTATTATTATTATTATTATTATTATTATTATTAAGGGTCATACCTTTTTTAAAAAAGAGGGGGGACTTAAGTCTTTAAATGAGATATTTGTTTGTTTGTTTAATAGAGGATTTGTACTCACCATTCCATCTGCATAAACCAGCTTACTACAGAAGTAACATGCTAGTGGCCCCCAACCCTTTGGGGCCCAGGGGACACATCTGGAAAGCTAAGAAACTATTGTGGGCATCACAAGCTCCCCATTTAACAAGAGAAAAGCTAGCGATGCTCAGAATGCACCCAAAACAGGCAAAACAAGTACATGGTTTCTATGCTAGACAAATAAAACAGAGACAAACAATGCAGGCAACCTACAACCAATCAAAAGTGAAAGCTGCCAATACTCTTACTTAAAATTAAAATGGGGAGTGGCCGAGTTGAGGCAGGTGTAGGGCTACTAACTTGAAAAAAATATTGGGGGGCCCAAGTAAGCCCCACCCCACATAATTGATCACATGGTGTGGCACACACACACTATTTGAATGGCAATGCCCGTGAACTTTTGGGGGTCCTGACCCCCTCAAATATTTTATTGGGGCCCCCTGAAGACCATGCTGCCCATAGGCACAATATTGTGTAGAAATTCCTTATTTTCAATCGTGCATAATCTTTGCCGCCCCTTCTCCAGAAAAGGAAAATGGATGTTGCGTGCCACATTTTAGAAGGAAACTGGGCAAATGCTGTGTGTGAGAGTAAGCACAAATAAACAAATAAATAATTCATTATAATGATGAACAAAGCAAGCAAGCAAGCAAGCAAGCAAGCAAACATGGAAAGTCTTAAAATTACGAAGCAGAATCTGGGGGGAGAGCATCAGCTGGTGGCCCAGATCTCCTGCCCCTGCTCCTGCCCCCTTTTTTATTTATTTAGTATTTAAAAAGCTGCTTATAGAGTAGCTGGGCACAGCACTTGTGAAACGCCAGCCACCCACCATCTTAAATTCTATGCAGAGTTGTGTGTCAGGCGGCTAGCACAGAATAGGACCATCATAAAGTAAACACTAGAACTACCCTGGTATCTGAGAGAAGGCACCAGTTACTGTGGAAATAACACTGCCACGCTGTGTGATTGCTTCCATGTCCCCCTCATGCCTGCTCAACCTGCATAAAATGAAAACCTATTCTGACAAATTCACCACAAGCCTGCAGCTCTGTGAAAGGAGCCCTTCCAGGCCAATCCTATGAAGGCAGAAAGGGAAGTTAACATCTGCCTTTGTTTACCACAGTGTGGCTTTTAATCCTGGTTGGTGATGTGGGTGTAGAAAGAAAGGGAGTCAGCTGCCTGGGAAAGGATAGAGAGGAGGAAAAGTTGCCAGGCAAGGCAAGCAAGGCAGGCAGGCAGACTGAAGCAACTTGTTCAGAAGGAGAAAGGTCACAGCTCAGGGACAGAACAGCTGCTTTGCATGCAGAAGGTCCCAATATCAATCTCTCAATGCCTTCTCCAGGTGGGGCTGGGAGTGATGCCCTGCCTGAAATCCTGGAGACCTGCTGCCAGCCACTTTCCCCACTCATGGGGAAAAGAGGAAATCTGTTATAGAAAAAAGCAAATGTAAAATGACCAAGCAGGTGGGCTGGGAGGATATGGTGGTTTGGCAAGGGGTGGGTGGGAATACAGGTGAAACTCAAAAAATTAGAATATCGTGGAAAAGTTCATTTATTTCAGTAATTCAACTTGAAAGGTGAAACTAATATATGAGATTGACTCATGACATGCAAAGCGAGATGTGCTTCTACTTCTCAGAGGTCCAATCTTGCTCGATTTGCAATCCTTATTTTGCTGATTTCACTGAATATTCTAATTTTCTGAGGGGTTTTCATCAGCTGTACGCCATGATCATCGCAATGATAACAAAGAAAGGCTTGACATATCTCGCTTTGCATGTCACGAGTCAATCTCCTATATTAGTTTCACCTTTGAAGTTGAATTACTGAAATAAAGGAACTTTTCCACGATATTCTAATATCCTAATATCTATTCCACGAGTTTCACCTGTATGGTATGAGTGGAATGTGAAAGGAGAATGGGAGAAGAAATTACAGCAGATGTGTTAACAATATTGGGCGGACACGTGGAGGCAGGAAAGAAGAATATGAAACAAACCTTCTTCTCTGTTTAGTGCCTTTGGCTCAGCAAAGAGTGCCTAAAACAGGGAGGATGGGTCACAACACCTCCAGAGCACTTAACTTTAGGGAAGCTGAGTTATGGAACACCATGCTGCAAGGAAAGTGCTGTGGCAAAGAATTAAGCCATTTCCAAATACAGGTCAGATACATGATTAGGTGCCAGTGACTGTCAGATAAATATGCCAAATTCTGCCTCCATTTTGAAGCTGGTTCTGCCCCCCTGCCCCGCAAGGCCAGTGGGGTGGGCCTCAGTCTCAGTTTTTAGCAGTTTCAATGTGGGTCCTGGACTGATGCTATGATAACTTGGTATAAGGGCAGCATCTTCTGTCCCTAAGGATCGGTCCGCTTGACCATGTGCCCTTCTAGGGATGCAGTGAGGCCTGACCCCAGCATGGCGTCCTTTTTAAAAAAAGTGTGCTTAATCTGGACATGCTTACTTAGGAGAAAAGGCAGGTGTAGGCCCCTGAGCTGCAATGTGCTCTCTTTCCAGATTGGGGCCCTATGCAAGTTATATGCTGAAAATCACTCCCCTGCCTGCTATTTGCTCCCAAAGAGTAGTTTAAAATACTCTTAAGAAAGAACACCAGAAAGAGGGGGTTTTTTAAATACAAAAACCTGGCGCATGGCACCAATCCATCTCATCTGGAACACCAAGTGCCCACCTATATCCAGAAGGGTGCAGATGTCACACTTTGGATTTGGCAAACTTGCTAAAAAAAAAAAATAGGTGGTTACAAACGTTGTAGACATTTGTACCTGCCTATGGGCAGACACAGTGCACAATGATGCTTTGATAATAACAACCACCACACACACACGCCACTCATCTGACTGGGTTACCCCAGCCACTCTGGGCGATAGCAGTATTTAAGGAAATCTGATAGCTTAGGGCACCTTGTAAGAGGAGCAGAGAACCTGCGGCCCGTCATGTGTTGATGGACCACAACTGGCTGGGGATGAAGCTGCGGGTCCAGCAACATCTGGCAGGCCACAGGGTCTCTATCCCTGCACTGAAAGATTATTCTGTTTTGACAGATCAGTTTTCCCGGACAACTCAGTCCCACAAACCCAAGTTGAACATACTGCCTGGTCTCCCAGCATTTACCAACAACTACAGTTCATGCACCTGACTTGTGACATGTTAAGTCTTTGAAGTCATTACAAGGTGCTGTTGCAAAACTGTACTGCTGTGTTTCACTCCCAGACAGATGGCTGATTCCAGGTAGGTATTAATTGCAGAATCAGTGTTCCTCATGCCTGCAATTTTATTTTATTTCAACATCCAGATTAAGACACTGGCACCAGAAACCCAGTCGGAGTTCTCTCCCACCCTCAGTTTAATATGTAATTAAACAACATCAGCACCTTCCCCCCCCAACCCTGTTTGTGATATCACAATGACCCATTCACCCTGTCTGTTAAGACAAAACCCTCAAAAGACTTCACAGATCTGCTGTAGCCTTAAGAGTCCTATATCAGCAGCAAGATGCCAACTTATCCTCAGTGGAGAGGTAAGGATGTACAGGTTTAGAGAAGGTGGTGGTGGGAATGGGTACAAGTAGCAATAAAACGGCAAAAGCAGAAGCCCCAGAGGAGACTTCCAATAAGCATACTGGCAACTGCAGTACTTGGGAGATAATATAATCACCCCAATTTCGCAATGCTAATTACCACCTGTAATGGAAAGGGAAACCAACCAGGCCAGTATTTAAGGACATCTGGGGCAGAGTTTAATCTTTGTTGCCGACACCACATTTCTGGACTGGGAGACATATGCCGGTGAACATCCCCACCCACTTGCAGGACAGAAAGCAGCACATCGTATTTCAAGGCCTGGTTTTTAAAATGCAGTACATTCTCACCTCAGTTACTCTTCGGTCTACATCTTTGTATTTGCCACCAGCTTGGATGGCTTTAAAGGACAAATTAATGCTGCGTAAGGCTATCAATGGCTACTTGCCATGAGACCTGTGTAAGACCCTTGTTGGAGGCAGCATGCCTCTGAGTACCAGCACTTTTGGGATCACAATTGGGCGAGCTATACAGGGCTGGAGCTGTTTAGAGCTTTAAAAGTCAGTCCCGACACTTTGAATTGAGCTCGGAAACATAATGGGAGCCAATGTAGGTCTTTCAGGACCAGTGTTATGTGGTCTCAGCAGCCACTCCCAGTCACCAGTCTACCTTTTGTATTCTGGATTAGTTGTAGTTTCCGGGTCACCTTCAAAGGTAGCCCCACATAGAGCGCATGGCAGTAGTCCAAGCGGGAGATAACCAGAGCATGCACCACTCTGGCGAGACAGTCTGCAGGTCGGTAGGGTCTCAGCCTGCGTACCAGATGGAGCCCTGGACACAGAACTGACCTGCACCTCCATGGACAGCTCTGAGTCCAAAATAACTCCCGGGCTGCACACCTGGTCCTTCAGGGGCACGGCTACCCCATTCAGGACCAGGGAGTCCTCCATAGTAGACCTGGCTGCAACAGCACTCTCTCCAATATGCAATTCCCAGCAACTGGTATTTAAAGGAATACTGCCATCAATAGTGGAGGAAGAATACTGTACAGCCATACCGATTAAAACTATTGATAGCCTCTGGAGTAGTGTTGTTTAATGGTTAGAGTTTTGAACTAGGACCTAAGAGCCCAAGGTTCAAATCCCTACTCAGGCACAAAGCTCACTGTGTGACTTTGGGCCAGTCATACTCTCAGCCAAGCCTTCCTCACAGGGTTGTTGAGAGGATAAAATGTGGAGGAAAGGTTGGTTATAAATGCAATTAATCAACATATGTCAGGGTTGGGTTTTGCGCTGCAGTCTAGGCTGGGCCAGTAGTCAGGAAGAAATTGGCAGCCTAGCACCAAAGAACCAAAAGATATAGTCAAGGGGCATGGTCCAAGGTTAAACTGGGAAGCCATAGCAGTCAAGGATGCAGGAATACTCTTGTACAGCAAGCAAAACCCAGCTGGAATAAGAAGTCCTTCCTGTCTAACACAATCCATTGGCCAACGTGTGTGGCCAGTCAGGCAAGGGTCTGAAGATACTTCCATGAAACACTGCTAACCTGCAGTTCAAAGCTTCACCACATAGTACAGCTACACAGCAGCCCTGACACAAAAAGACAACTGATAACTTTAAGCATATTGTGTGCACTGGCGATTTATTAAGGAACTTACAGATTTTGAGTCTCTTTCCAGCTGTGATGGGCAGTTATCTCAGTCCCAACTGTAGAGTTGGAAGGTGACTCTGAGGGTAATCTAGTCCAACCCCCTGCAATGCAGGAAACTCAACTGAAGCATCCAGGACAGATGGCCAACTCTGCTCAAAAACCTCCAAGGAAGGAGAGTCCACCACCTCCTGAGGGAGACCGTTCCACTGTCAAACAGCTCTTGCCATCATAAAGTTCTTTCTAATGTTAAGTTGGAATCTTCTTTCTTGTAACTTGAATCCAGCGGCTTGGGTTCTAGCCTCCACAGCAGGAGAAAACAAGCTTGCTCCATCTTCCATGTAGCAGCCCTTGAGATATTTGAAGATGGTTATCACATCTCCTCTCAGTCTCCTCTTTTCCAGGCTAAATGTACTCAACTCCTTCAACCGTTCCTCATATGGCGAGCATGCCCAAAGTCCAATATGGGGGCCTAATTCAGCCCCTTGGCTGGTTTTATTTGGCCCCTGTGGCAGTTTATTTATTGGGGTTAAATCCCCCCAAAAAAGCTCAAGAAGTTCAATCCTTTAAAAAGCTCAATAACTTTGGGGTAAAATCATAAAAAAAGCTCAACAGCTTCAATTCTAAAAAAAGCTCAGCAGCTTTGGTCGGCCCTCACTGGCCCTCTTTGAAAAAAGTTTGGGCACCCCTGCGATATATGGCTTGGTTTCCAGACCCTTGACCATCTTGGTCACCTTCCTCTGCATGTGTTCCAGCTTGTCAAGATCCTTCTTAAACTGTGCTGCTAAGAACTGGACTTGGCCTTGTGCCTCTGTCCTTGGTGGAGACAAAGTCATGGGCAGCATTCTTCATTCCTTTCACCCAAAGGAGGTTTGTAGAGAGAGATCAACCACCCTGGTAGCCCAGGAGTAGGCAAACAATAGATGGTTGGATGATTTGCAAATATCTGTAGTTCCAGCTGTATTAACCACAGCAACAAGCCCTGCTGATGTAGAGCTAGAGGTCCAATGGGAGTAAATACTTGGATCCTTATGCAACCCATTTAAACCCCTCTTCATCCAGAATTCACCCTGTAGCCTTAGCTCAAGGGGTGGAGAATCTTAGACAAAGGAGCCGAATGTGATACCATGGCCCCCACCCCCGCTCCCTAGGCTGCACCTCACCAGCCCTGCCCTGAAACGACCTTTCAGGTTTTTACCTGACTAAAATGTGTCCTGGAACTGTGTTAACTAATGTCTTTTGCTTGCCTGGGTGGAGACATGTGAGGGGACCTATGACTTCAGTGTGGCTGGAATGCAGAGTATCTTGCAGCGGTCACATCCATCGATCCGCCCACTTGCCTCTGGCGTCGCCTACCACTGGAACAGGTTGATCTTTGGCCTGCAAAAAGGTTCTCCACTGCTGCTTTAAACACACCCGGCCTCAGTTCTGCCTGCGACAGGAGTTGGGGGACGTGCCTAGTCCACTGGTCAACTGTGACCTTTTGGCACGCAGGGGCCTTTTGAAGCCCCTTTCAGAACACTATTTTACTCAGTGCTTTGAATGGGGCTTCTGAAGACCCTGCAGATGATAAAACAACCAGTCTTTAGAAGCGCCTCTCAAAGCACTATCCTGCACTGCACTGGGAAAGGGGCTTTGCAGGCACTACAGATGAGCTGAAACAGGCTCTTAGTATTTCCCACGCTTACTGCACCATCTGACCCCAGGTGTCAGGAAGATGGGCCTAATCAGGACTGCAGGCAGCAAATATCCCAGCCCTGGTCTATCAAACGGGAATATGCCAAGAATCCGCCTTGCTGGGCTGCTGTGCATTTATGTACAACCACCATTTAGCGTTTCAGGCCTCTTCTCCGCCGGAGTTTTCAGGGTTTCAAATTTCCTTCCTCCCAGTGTTTTCACTGCTGTTTAAATGACTGAGGAGGCTTTGTGTTTTAAAACACTGTCTTACCATTTTAAATTGTCTTGTTGGAGTGGCAGGAAAAATGCAGAACATGCTGCCAACTGAATTAATAAACTTTTTGGTTGGCCAAACCGTGGCTGCTCAGCTGATCCAAGGCAAGCTGTGGTTTAACTTCTGAGACCCTAAATCTACTTCATCTACTGCTTCTTCAATGCCTGCCAGTGACCTTTTCCCCAGCAGAAATTTACACCGGAATTGCCGGAGGTGGCAGGATACCGATTTCGTGGCGGAGGGAGTCCATGGTTTGCTCCCAGCGCTCCTCGTAATAGAAATTCAGGATGCAGTTGACGCTGCTTCCACTCCGAACAGCCCATGGGATGAGCTCCGTGGTCAGAACACGCAGCTTCCTGAATGGATGGAGACGGAAATCCAAAAGTTATTCGTTTGTTTTGATTCCACTCCCGAGTCACTTTCCCACAAAGTATCTTGAAGCAGAAAAGAAATTACTGTAAATTCCGGCGTATTAGGTGACTGGGCGTATAAGACAACCCCCCCAATGGGCAGCTGCCAATTTGGGGGGTCGTCTTATACGCCCTGTCTTATACACGGCAGCTTCGCTGGGCGGCGACAGTGGGCGGTGGGCTCCGCGCCGGGAGGAAGCTGCCCAGCGATGCTAAGCCAGCTTCGCTGGGTGGCTTCCTCCCGGTGTGGAACGGAACCTGCCGCCCACTGCTGCTGTCCAGCGAACCCATACCGGCATATTATTATACCCGGCGTATAAGACGACCTCCGACTTTTTAGAGGATTTTCCGGGGTTAAAAAGTCATCTTATACATTGGAATCTATGGTACCCAACATAAAAAGCCAACTACAAACAATTCCATGTGGTGGTGGGGAGAGAGATTCAATTCAGAAACAGCCTGGGGCAAAGGTCTCCCCACAGAAAGGCTCTGTTGAAAAAGTAAGGTCCGTGATAGGCACCAGATGACACCTGCCTAATAGACAGGTGGGGAGGGTACTCTGAAGGTTAGGTGCTGCCATGCTAAAGACCTGATTACAGTCATACCTCAGGTTACAGCCACTTCAGGTTGTGGTTTTTTTGGGTTGCGGACTGCGAAAACCCAGAAGTACCGGAATGGGTTACTTCCGGGTTTTGGCAGTCGCGCATGTGCAGAAGAGCTAAATCGTGCTTTGCGCACGCGCAGAAGTGCCGAATCACAACCCGTGTGTGCGCAGACACGGGTTGCAAATGTGCATTCCGCACGGATCACGTTCGCAACCTGAGCGTCCACTGTACTATATTGTACAGAGCAGACCTCCTGATAAGGGGGCATCTGCAAGAGGACCTCCTTGGCTTGCTTTGACAGGTGAACTGAGGACCTGAGGAACGATGCCTCTGAAGACCTCCTGTTGGGGAACAACAGTGGGAGAGAACAATGTGTCACGTCCCTAGGGGGCTTCCCATTAGAGCTCCTGGTTGGCCACTGTGGGATATGGGATGCCGGATAAGATGGGCCCAGCAGGGCTCTTCTTACATTGAAAACTGCTTAGGTAGAACGTCCTGTGTCAGTTCAAAGTAAACTCAGGTTCCTTCTTTAGTTGACTTTTTCCCAAACTAGGAAGTCCCCCTGTAATTTTCACTGCCCTTTTTTGAATCTCCAAACATAAAGGAGTTGATTGATCTGAGGCGAATGTTTGAAGGACGGTCCAAGGCTTTCTGGCCTGACAGCCACACTACAGTGGTACCTTGGTTTGCATACATTTTGGATGACAAACACGTCAAACCCGGAAGTGCTTGTCTTGGTTTGCAACCTTTTTTATTATTATTACAACCCATTTTTGGGGGGATTACAAACAATTTTTTTTTGGAGGCCCCATTGGCGGAAGCAAGCCTTGGGTTACAACCTGTTCTGATTTACAAACGGACCTCCAGAACGGATTATGGTTGTAAACCAAGGTACCACTGTGTCTGTTTAGCAAACTAACAATGGGCAAAATGTTTGCATGTCAGTTGCATTTAAAGGCTTCTCAACATACCGGGCGTTAAGGCGGAGTGGGCCAAATGCTGCTCCCAGAATGCACATGGGCAGGCCAGTCTGGACTGCCTCAAACCACTTTACCACGACTTCCCCTGAGAAAAAGCACCAGGAGATAAAAGAAAAGAAAATCTTTCTCACAACCAAACTATAAAGCTTTTAAGCCAATGGCATGGCCTACATTTCATTGGGCTGATAGGTGAATGGAAATACCCAGGCAACTTTGGAACACTGAAATGTCTTCCTGAATTCTAAGGCTTCAAAATTTCAGAAACAGCGATGACCTGTTCGGATACTTCTTTGTACCCGTAAGGGTCAGATATTAGTTTACAGCAGGTTTCATGAATTTTGCAAAAACAACAATGATGTTTTTAAAATTACACTTTAGGAATGTGGGAAGCTGCCCTAGGGGAGAAAACATTAGAATCTGACCCGTGACCCATCTAGCTCACTGCTGTCTACACTGGCTGGCAGTGCCCCCAAACAGTGCCTTGATGCCTACCAAGGCTGAGCCATTTTTTTAAAAAATCTGTTTTTTGGGTTTTTCGGGGGGGGGGGGCGGTTTGGTGGTAGTGGCCTGTTCTTTAGAGACATGTTGCCTGCTCCCCGCTCGCCCTTTTGGAGGAAACGTTTGGAAACATTTGCCTGTTTCAGGGAAGCAATTCTGAGTATCCCCAGGTTTTTTGTCTGTGAAATGGGTATTTAGTGGTGCCCAAGATAGTTCCTTATGTTTCCAGGTAAGTTCTCAGGCCCCAAAAATTTGGACAGCCCCAAACAGATGCTCTAAAACACAGGCTGCTGTCCTGTCTGCTGTAGGATACCCTGTCTTGTTTCCAAAACTTACAGAAGACTGTTGTCACATCTTCAAGGCCTTGCTTAAGGCTTAAGGTCTGGAAGCTTTGAAAGTATGGAAGTAAACAGAAGCCTTTAACTAAAATAACTGGCACTATGGTTGCAGTTTCACCCCCCACCCGTGCTGCTGAACTCATCTGGGGTGGTAAGGGGCAGTGGTAGTCAACGTGGCAGAAAAAGCGAAGCAAAAGCGCACGAGGGATCAGGTGCCCAAGCACCCAGAGATTTTAAAATAACTACTAGGGTGCCGTCGGGGCCTTGAAGGAGTTCAAAGCCCTTCTGCAATTTCAGCCAGGCTTCTACTCCGAATCTCCGAATGACTCATGGCCTTCCTCCTATAAATCCAGAACATTTGTGTTTAATGGCTCAGGGGTGATTGCACAATGCCCCCATCCTCCATACCCCACATTTCCTAGCCCTGCTCCAGTTCTCCTCTCCCTCTAGCTCAACCACCCCAATGACTCATGACATGGTTGGATCCTAAAAGTAGGTGAAAGGCAACTGCCACCCAACCTGTGAACACATTAATGCACGACCTATGCCTGCTATGTGCTTCTTAAACGGTGCCAGAAGGTTGTGGCGGATATTGCTTCACACATGTACCATTTAGGCAGCAATCCTAGAGACACTTAAGCTGGGAACGAGCCCAACGGGAGTCATTTTTGAGCACGTAGATTTGTGCTGTTACTGTCTGATTTATTGCCAAGATACAAGCAGTAATTAGCCTCAACCAGAGCCAGGGCCTTTTCAACTCTGGCTCCAGCCTGGTGGAACGCTCTGTCTCATGAGACCAGGGCCCTGCAGGATCTGATTTCTTTCCACAGGGCCTGTAAGACAGAGTTGTTCCATCTGGCCTTTGGCTTGGAATCAACTTGATCCCCTTCCCCTCTTTCCTTTTTCCTTCTGTGATGGAACTCCTGTCTGGGGACTTCCCTGGCTTTTTTCTGGCCCATGTAGGACCAGTCTGGATAGCTGGCCTTGGTGAAGACTTGATGTTTTCATACCCAAAAAAGTTTCTGATTTGAGTTCCTACTGAAATGAGGCTGCATTTTAATGTTGTATTTTAATCTTGTTTTTGTTGTATTTTAATCAATTGTTTTTATACCGGTGTTAGCCGCTCTGAGCCCTGTCTTGGCTGGGGAGGGTGGGGTATAAATAAAATTTAATAATTAATAATAATAAGTAATGCTTCTTCTTGCAGATATGACATCCAATATTGTAAACTCTTACAACTGATAAGAACACACAATATAAAATAAACTAAAGCAGGCAGAGGTTATGTTGTGACCAAACCAGTGACCAGAACTGCTTAGGAATTACATCTGACCACGAGGCCATTTGTGAAACTGGAGGAAGTGATTTAACACCTTGCTTATTAGCATTAATAGCAAAGGGGCTCCTCTCTCCTGCCTATTGCTCTCTGTCACTTTCTCCACAGATGCTGATCCCCAGATTCTACTTCATCAACTCCGTAGAGTACAATGAATGTGCTACATCCATTGCCAAGCAACTTACATACACACAGCTCCAAGTGAGAAAATGCTTAGATCCATGTGGATAACTGACCCATATTGGGACAAAAAAATTCTTAATTTCACATATAGTTCTCGAACAGCTCCGTTTTTGAACATTTCGGTTCCCGAACGCCGAAAACCTGGAAGTAAATGCTCCAGTTTTCAAACATTCCTCGGAATTCAAACGTCCGATGCAGCTTCCGCCTTGCAAAGAATCAGAAGCCGCACCTCGGTTGCCGAACATTTCAGAAGGTGAACGGTCTTCCGGAACGGGTTACGTTCGACAGCTGAGGTTTGACTGTACACTGATGAGGGTATGAACAGGCAGTTACTGACTAGGAACGAGATATTGAGGTAGTAGCAGGTAATTTGATGAAGGCACTGACTCAGTGTGCTGCAGCTGTGAAAAAGGCGTTTTCCACGATAGGGATCATTAGGAAAGGAATTGAAAATAAAACTGCTGCTATCGTAATGCGCTTATGCAAATCTATGGTGAAGCTGCATTTGAAATATGGTGTCTGGTTCTAATCACCTCACCTCAAAAAAGAACCCTGTGGAATTGGAAGAGGTTCAGAAAAGGAGAACCAAAACAATCAAGGGGAATGGAGCGGCTCCCCTATGAAGAAAGCTTGCAGTGTTTGGGGATTTTCAGTTTAGAGAAAAGGTGAGTAAAAGTGAAATCACAGAACTATGCATTAGGCATGGAGAAAGTGGGGAGGCAGAATCCGCCCCCAATAACACCAGTCATGTACACCCAATGAAGCCAAACGTAGGTAAGATTGTTGAAAAGCTTTGCAGGAATGGTTTTAACTGCTTTTAGAACATGTGTCTTATCTTATTTTCATCTTTTAGGGCACCGTTTTGATGACCCTAGGTTGTGAAACAGTTTCCAAATTTGTAAAATAAAGGAAAATAAAAGTGACGCAGTAAACAGGGCGACCAGATTCAACTCAGCCATAAGAAGCCTTGTCTCACCGAGCATATTGGTGGGCATGCCAAGAAGGGTGTGCATCAGATCATGGACCTCTCTATACCGCTGGACCACATAGGCCAATTCTTCATCATCTACAAACTTAGGAGGCATCCTGGTGTCTGGAGAGATTCTCTGCCAACCAGGAAAAAAGAAAAAGTAGGCTCATGTGCATCCACTACCAGGGAGAGGTTGCAGCTCAGCGGCAGAACTTTGCATGCAGAAGGTCCCAGGTTTTAACCTTGGCCTCTCTGGTTAACAAGGAGCAGGTGGCAGCAGAGCGATGGGGAAAGACCCTGGAAAGATGCTGCCAGCCAGAGCTCTGTTGGATTATTAATGATTAACCATTGATATTTTAATATATGATCTTTGACATTCTCCCTTTGGAGGTATTTCTAGATATGTGTACACATGTACGCTGACAAATTCATATTATTCTAGGACAGGGGTTGGCAACCTAAGGCCCATGGGCCACAAGGGGCCCACGGGGGTCATTTAACCGGCCCACGAGCCGCCCCCAAACCAAGCCGCCCACTTGGTGAGTCCCCACGCACTGCGCTAAACCAGCATGGTGCAGGGACTCGTTTTCACGGCACTGGAAATAGCACCTGCACAGATGCTGGAAATCGCGTCTGCGCAGACGCCAGAAATGGCGGGCGCACGCGCTTGGAATCCAGCCCACAGAGGGATCTCCGCTGGAGTGAACTGGCCCAGGCAAGGTAAACCTTGCCAACTCCTGTTCTAGGACATTGGCACCCACTGACTCAGACTGACGAGACTGAGGACATTTAATGTAACATCACAGGATCAAAAGGGTGTGTTTTTGGGTGGAGGGAGAGGAGATTTCTTATCTATGTCTTCTATGCTTGGTTATATTTGTAATGATGATATATATTATAATTATTATATTTACACATACACACACACACACACATATATAAAGCAATAAAGATTACTTTTCTGAAAACAGAAAGAACACTAAACTACGACATCAAATTTGGCCTGCGAGGCTGATCCAGAGAAGGACCATGGAACCAAAAAGGATCCCAATCCCTGCTCTACTGAAAACCCAGCCTTAAGCACTACTATACTCACATTATCGTCCAAAAACCGGACATACTCTCGGCCAAAGGTCTCGTCTGGAAGCCCCCGAAGTCCACGGATATCTAATGTGGAGAGGCGTATCCGAGGCCGTTCTCTGCAAAGGAAGGCAAATTGGACGATGGCTGGCTTAGCCTGTGAAATCCAGAGGGTTAGCTGACCTTTCTAGAGCCCTATAGTTTTATTAAGGCACTGAAGCATGTAATGAGGCAAATTGCCATACCTTTCTGTTAGGAATCTGTGGCCTGCCAGATGTTGCTGGAATCCCTCTTCCCAAGCACCTCAGCCAGCATGAGAAGTGGTCAGGGATGATGGGAGTTGCAGTCCACTGGTATCTGAAGGACCACAGGATCTCCCATCCCAGCTTCAAGTAGTTTAGAAATACTGAGCTTGAGCACAATCCAACTGCATCTAAATCCCACTGACATCGATGGCAAGAGCTGAGAGTGCAATCCTTCAGGGCTTAGCATTTTAAGTTATGTTTTATTGTTACTTTCTGTACTGGATCAGATTATTATAAGATGTGTGTTCTTTGCTGTATATTTTATCGCTGTAAACCACCTTTTGCATAGCAATATAGAAAGGGGGTATACAAACTGAAAGTGAAATGGCTGGATCCATTGCACAAGTACAAAAAGCCCCATGGAACTGACTCCCAAGTTAGGTGCATGCACAGGTGTGCAGTGTGAAATGGAGTAAAAGTAGCCATTAAAACAAAATAAAAATCCAAAATCCATTTCATGGCCATACTTTTATTAACCTAGATGTCGCAAGCCAGTGCGCAGTTACTGTTAGCATATGAAGCCCTTAACAACTTGGCACCAGTTTACCTATGAGTTCTCCTTACCCCACATGTGCCCACCAACTCTTAGATTGGCAGAACTGGCACTACTACAGGAGTCACATAATACCCACTCCATATGTGTAAGAATTCAAATGCTCTGTTTATCCATCCATTTATCAATCTATCACCAATCAGTAGATATTAGAAAGACACTTGATCATTAGTGTGGTAGCACCTACACTTTGGAACTCCCTGCCTATTGATATCAAGCAGGTATCTTCACTAAACTCTTTTTGGCCCCTGCTAACCTATCTGGAGGCTTACAAAGTCCAGGTAATTTTAATCGGTTTTAGTATTTTAACTTTTGCATGGTTGTGATTTTTTTCTTGATTTTATTGTTTTATCTTTTGTAAAAAGCTTCGAAGTTTTTTTTTTACAATCAAGTGGCATATAAATTCTATGAAAATAAATAAATAAATTCCATTCCCCCCCCCAACAGTTGTATAGCAATTCTGCAGCAACTGAGCACAGTGCTCACTAGGCTATCTCTTTTTAAAAGCATAAACACTACAAATGAGGAGTGTATTTTAGGATTGCAGACTTAAAATCCCCAGTTATAAATGTGTGCTTAATGTATGCTGAAGGCGAGTTACTAATCCTCATATGTGAACTCAAATATGAATAGATGTCCCCAAAGAGTACTAATCTCTGTAACTTAGGGGTGGAGAGCCTGCGGCCCTCCAAATATTTGCTGGAGTCCAATTCCCATCATCCCTAACCATTAGTCATGCTGGCTGGAGCTGATGGGAATTGCAGTTCCGCAAGAACTGGAGAGTTGCATGTCCACGAACCCGGCTGCCACAGAATCTCTTCCCAGCTACAGACTAAAACCAAACCAAAACAAACACACATTCACATACTGTAGGATCCGATATCCCTCTGGGTCATTTCTCATCTTCTCCCTGAGGTTTCTCAAAGCGAGGTACCCTGTTGTCTCCCCAAGGACGGCCACCATATCTGTAAATGGAACCAAACAAGAGAGGAAGATCGTGAGTTAGCGGGAACAGAGCTCAGGACAAGTCACAAAACTCACCGGAATGAAAACTGGCAGAGCAAATGAAAGGATTTGGTATAGCAATGACATTCATCAACACAACAGCCTTGAAAGAGCCACCACTTTTAAAATGAGGCTCAGTGAGCATGTGTGCAATAATGAGACCCATGAAGCCCTTCCTGGCCAGCCAACAGGAGAGGAATAGTGGCAAATCTGTGTATGCGATGGAGTCGTGGCTGTTATTCCACATGGACTGCTAAGGGCATGAATTTCACTGAGAACCTGGCAGAGCAGTCTTTGCCAGCCAAGTTCTCTCCAGATGTTTTAGACTGGAACTCCCATTAGGTCCAGCCAGCATGGCCAAGGGAGTTGTCGTCCAAAATAACTGCATGGGGGATCAGGTTGGCAGGTTGGTATAGAGTTTGACTGTGAGAAAGAGCTATGTTTGAGAAGAGATAAAATAGAAATTTAGCTAGCAAGTGTTGGAGAAAAATTTTGCTACTGCTGGGGAGGCATTTGCAGACCCCATGCCCATCAAAGCTCTTACGTGGCTTTTGGGCAAGATGTTGATTCCTCTGTTCCCAAGTTGCTTAAAACCATTAGGGTTCCCAGGAGCTGACAGCTCACCAAAGTACCTCACCAAAGACTCTTGAGTAAGCTTAGTAGTCAAGGATTAAGAGGAGAGGTCCTCTTGTGGTTCAGGAACTGGTTAAGTTGGAGCAAGCAAAGGTTAGGAATAAATAGACAGTTCTCCAAATTAAGAGACGTAGAATGTGGAGTCTCCTAAATATCAGTATTGGGACCTGTGCTTTTAAACTTGATCATATATGTTCTGCAGTTAGGAGTGAGCAGTGAGGTGGCCAAGTTTGCTCATGATACTAAATTGTTGAGGGTTGTTAAAATAGGAAGAGATTGTAAAGAGCTCCAAAAGGCCCTCTCCAAACTGTGTGAATGAGCAGTAAAATGGCAAATGTAATTCAATACAAACAACTGTAAAGTGATGCATGTTGGGGCAAAAAAACCCTTAATTTCACACAGATGCTCGTGCGGTCTGAACTGGCAATGACTGACCAGGAATGAGACCTTGAGGTTGTCATGGCCAGCTCAGTGAAGATGCTGACCCAGTGTGCAGCAGCTGTGAAAAATGCAAAGTTCTATGCTGGAGAGCATCATGAAAGCAACTGGAAATAAAACTGTCAATAACATAATGCCCTCAAAGAAATCTATGGTGTGACCACATCTGGAATACTGTCAGCACAGCAGGTGGAATTCTAACATTTTGCAGAAGTACAAAAACCCCACGACAACACAAAAACCGCTCAACGACGACTGACTGCTCAGTTGGCAAGGAATGTGGGCTGCCAGAGGGAGTGGGGGGGGGACCCAGAAAACTGGGGCTATTGAGGGGGACTGGAATAGAGTATCCTTGGCGAAAGTATGACTGTCTCGTATCCAGAACATGAGTTATTGGGCCCCCCTCTCCATCCATGTATACCTATCAACTGAGGATAGCACTTCCTTTCCCCCCTAGAAAGTACACAAGATACATGTACTTCGCTTGCTAGCAAAACTAAATCCACACCTTGCACAAAATGGCAGGCCCCAGCTCACCATGCCTGTAGGGATTGTAGAGAGCCATGAACGCTGAGCCAGCTGCCAGCAGGCCTTTCTGCAGAGGACTGGTGGGGATGTGTCCTGGATACAACGGGTAATACTTTTCTTCTCCTGTGGGGCTGTCAGTGGCTGATGGCTGGTCAGTATGGCAGAGGAGACGTCCTGTACCTGAGGAAAAACAGCCCAATCAAAGGACAGAGAGGAAGAAGGATGAGCAAAGTGAACAGCTGACCTTCCTTTGTCCTATTTACTGATGCTAGTGGCAAAAAGCTAGTGTGATCCCTCAAGTATCACCAGAAAATGAGGATAAAATCAAGCACAGATTGTTAGAAGAGCTTGCAGCTTGGGTGAATTAGACTGAATTGCAGTTTCTGGAGTTAAAAGGCTTTATTTATGCAGGAACTACTTATACACTGAGATGAAAAAGAGAAAATAGCAGACATCTTATCTCAACACATTGGGAGAGAGAGAGAAAATAGGCTCTGCTCTCTAGGGATGGAGTTAACCTAGACAGAGAGGCTACTAGCAAAGAGTGGCTGGATCACTGGACAAACATTAATATTGAATTTATTCTGTGTTTGCCAAATTGTTGGGATTTCTGTCATTTTTTTGAATTTTACTGATGTGCTCTGTATTTTGGTATATTGGTATACAGATGTTTAGAATATCTGCTGCAATATTCTTTGGGTGCAGTTCATTATGGAAAAGTGACACAAAAGTTAGCGCAATCAACCAATCAACCTCAAAACATCATCCTGAATGTATATCTAAAAGGAAACAACAGCAGCTTCAACACCCACATAAGAAGAGCCTGCTGGATCAGGCCAATGGCCCGTGTAGTCCAACATCCTGTCCTCATAGTGGCCAGCCAGATACCTCAGTGAGAAACCCACTATCAGGACTCAAACGCAAGAGCTCTCTCCCCTCCTGTGATTTCCAACCACTGGTATTTGGAAGCATTCCTGCCTCTAACTGCATAACTAGAGCATAGCCCTAATGGCTGGTAGCCATCTATAGCCTTATCCTCCTCCATGAATTAATTCAGTCCTCTCAAAGTCATCAAAGTTAGCCATTGCCCCCTCCTGTGAGAGCAAATTCCACAGTTCAACTATGCGCCATGAAACTATGTGCTTTCCTTTTACCGGTCCTGAATCTTCCATTTAGCTTCATTGGATGCCCACCAGTTCTGGAGTTATGAGAGGGAGAAAAGTTTTCCTCTCTCCACTTTCCCTACACTTACAGCAGTCTCATAAGCTTCTGCCATATCACCTCTCACTCGCCTTTTCTCAGAACTGAAAAGCCCCAAATGCTGCAGCCTTTTCCTCCAGGAGTGTCGTTCCATCCCTCCCTTGACCTTCCCTAACTCCGTAACAGGATGTAATCTTAGCAGGGACCAGAAAACAGGGACAGCTATGGATGAAATGAGCTGGGGGTGAGTGGGAAGGGGAAGAGGCTCAGGACTACAATACCTCAAGGACCGTCTTTCCACTTATAAACTCTAATCATCATGTAAAGCCCTTCTTCATGTACTCTTCTCCAGAGATCCGGAGAACGGCAATATGAGAATGAACCTTTTCGTTTGTGGAATGCTCTCCCCAGAGATTCAACTGGTGCCTTTCTTACATAAGTTTAGGAGTGAGGTGAAAATATTCTGCTATAACCATATATCTGGCCAATTAAACAATCTATGGCCTTTTTAAAACTGTTTGTAGAAGGGATTATTGTTATTGTTTGTTGCTGTGGTGTGCATTTTTGTTTTTACACTGTAAACCTCCCTGTGATCCTCGGACGAAGGGCGGTACAGAAATCTAATAAATAATAATAATAGAAGGATAAACTGCAAGTGCACTTGCCTCTGATCATGCAGAGATCAACGGCTCCTCTCAGGTCCCCTGCAAGGGGCAGCAAACTTCGGCTCCTCCTGGGTAGCAGCAGCAGCGCCAGAGCCATAGCTAGCTTTGCTTTATTCCCTTTTTGAACAAAAACTAAGGCAAGGATCCCAAAACGAAACACGCATTACCTTCTGCGGCCGGCAGGAGCTACCCGAATATTGCTCCTCGCAACCACCCACCCCTTTCCGCCTTACTCCCTGGTCTTCTGCGCTGCGCCTCCTCTCCCCGCTCGCCCCTTGATCCCTCCAAAACTCTCCTTTTTTTGCGCCTTTCCTAGCTTCGCAGCAGCTCTTGTTTCCGGGAGGGCTGCATTTCGTGAGGGACTCACGAGGGCGGCGCCCACCGTGAGCGACGTGCGGAGGTTTCTGCGTATCCGCTTCCTAGTTTCGCAGCGGCGCTCATTTCCAAGAGCGACGGCTGCGTTTCGCGAGCCGCCTTTGCGAAACACGGTGCGGAGGCTTTCAACGTGTCTTCTTTCCGCTTAGCGTCGGCGGCGCTTGTTTCATGACGCTCCCAAGATGGCGGCTCCGGGGGACGTGGTTGGAGGTTACACCTCTTGCCCTCTGCGCATTCCACTTTCCGGCCTTTGCGGCAGCGCTTGTTTCCGGGCCGGGCGGCCTTTCGTGACGGACGCAAGATGGCGGCGCCCACCTTGGGGGACCACTGAGAGTGCTACGCCCGTAAGCAGCGCCGGCGGCAGCGAGAGACGCTACAATGCGGTTGGCGAAGGTTGGTTTGCATGGGGTCTTCGCCGTCTACAAGCCCCCCGGCGTGGCGTGGATGGCCGTGCGGAACTCCGTGGAGACCCACCTGCTGAGAGGTGAGCCTTGGAAGAGGTTCGGCCGCGTTTCCTTGCCTTATCCTGCCTCTCGAGTCCCGCTCCTTACCATTGCAATACAGAGTGTTTCGTAATAAATGTGCTCTTAACCAGGGTGGATAAACATAAATGATTTCTTTTTATTATTATTATTTAAATAGAATTTTTAAAATAATATGCTTTTGGAGGAAAAATATTTCTAAAGTTAGTTTTCTGTTTAAGTTACATAATAGTCCAGAGCCTAATCATCTGGAAATAAGGATTTGTTTTAAGTTTTTCATGTGTGCTAAAAGTCTAAGCTTTTTTTTTACAAAATCGTCTAACCGCACCAGTTAACAAACGTGGATACATAGGGTATAATGTTATTGTTTTAGTTAAATAAGTTGTTTAAATTGTTATTAAGGAAATGATTATTTTTCTGCTTCCAATAGAGTACAGCAGAAAAGTTGTCCGAATATAAACAATAATTTCATAATTATCTGTCTATGTATTTCTAATAGTATAACCAAATCAGTAATTTTTGATATAAGTGTAAAAACTACTCTGAAAATTTATTATTCCAAAAATTAAACCTTCATCTGGTTGTCAGTCCCTTCTCCCTCCTGGGGAAAAGGCCCCAAGCGCCGCACACATGCTCCACGCAGCTCGTGAAAGGCAGTGCTGAGCAGAGCCTGGGATGCATACAGGCTCTGTTCAGCACTCAGCACTTTAAAAATATTTTTTTTCTTGCATTCCCCTTCTAAAAACTAGGTGCGTCTGATGGTCAGGTGCATCTTATGGAGCAAAAAATACAGTAAATCAAGACTTACTGACTTATGATTTAAATCACAATTGAAATCGATTTGATTTAAATCACGATTAAAATCGATTTGATTTAAATCTGGCGAACCAGAGCAGCGCACAGAAACACTGTTTACCTTCCTGCTGGAGCGGTACCTATTTATCTACTTACACTTTGACGTGCTTTCAAACTGCTAGGTTGGCAGGAGCAGGGACAGAGCAAGGGGAGCTCACCCTGTCGCGGGGATTCGAACTGCCGACCTTCTGATCAGCAAGCCCTAGGCTCTGTGGTTTAACCCACAGCACCACCCGCGTCCCCTATTAATTAGTTAGCTATACCTTACAAAAATAAATAACCAGTTTTCTTCATTATTATTTTTCTTTAGACTTGAACTCATTCAAGCGACCAGCACCACGACGGCTTGTACGTTTCCTGCCTAGCATGGTGGAAGGGAAGGATGGGAAGGAATTGACTATGACAGTTACGCAGCTCCCAGCTATGGCTGACCATCCTCTAGGTGAGATTTGAGCAGGGATGTAGGGTGGACAAGCTGGCATCCTGGGCCTGATGATATCAGGACTAACTTATCCTTTTCAGGGACAGTGAACATAGTGGCCTCCGGATGTTCCAACCCCAATCAGCATGGCTAATGGGTAGAGATTATGTGAATTGTAGTCCAGCATCTGGAGGCCATCACTTTGCCTATGCCTGATTTGTATCTACCTAAGAGACTCTGCTTTTGAGTCTTGCCAATGTATGAATTGTGGCAGTGTTTCTTAAACTTTGGTCTCCTGCTGTTGTTGGACTACAACTCCCATCGTCCCTGAGCACAGGTCCTTCTAGCTAGGGAAGATGGGATGTGTAGTCCAACAACAGCTAGGAAGTCCAAGTTTGAGAAACAGTGGATTAAGGTAACGGACACCCACTGATGGGGCATTCTCAGGTGTGACACCTCTCTTGCCAATCCTTGGATGTTGGGCAAAGGTGGGATAGGAAAAAAGCCTTCAGGAATCTCTTCAGTTCTGCTTGTTCTTGGTTTGCTACATCTGCTATCACTTTCTTATTGTGTTCTGCTACTTATTGTGTTTTCGGTTTGAATTGTTGTTAGCTTTTGCACAACGTTTTTGTTTGTTTGTTTTTAATTCCTAATCACTCCATAAACCAAGGGGTAGCCAACATAATGCTCTCCAGATGCTCTGGACTAGAATTCCCAGTTGCTGGAAACTGCAGGAGGGGGAGAATGCTCTTGTGCACAGGTCTTGCTTGTGGGCTTCCCACAGTGGGCATCCTATTGGCCACTGTGAGAACAGGATGCTGGACAACATGGACCACTGGCCTGATCCAGCAGGCTCTTCCTAGGCTCCCTATATGGCCAATAGGTCCGGGTGATTTATTGATCTGTCGTCCAAAACCGGTTTAAAGTCCACATCATGATAATTGTTTCCAAATATTTGACCCGGTGGTATATTGCAAATCACATTGTTGGAAAAACTGCAAAGCCAATGGATGCTTTTCTCGTGTTTCCTGCAACAGTACAACCCGTACTCAGCTCTCTCCTGCCTCCTGCAGGGGGCAGCAAACCACAGAGCAGGCACAGAGGAAAATTGCCTTGCAGGAGCTTTTTTCAGGCAACGCCATGAGCTTCTTGCTTTAAGTGTAGGGACTAGGCAGACTGGTGGGTAGGTGGTTGAGGGAGGTGTCAGTCTGAGTTGTCTCTAGGCTTTGTGCTAGGAGCCCCTTTTCTTCCTTCCTTTCTCCAATAGGGTTGTTTACTTCTGAGGATGATTCCAGAGTGGGATAAAATGTGGCTGCCCAATTCCATTCTCCTCTGGAGAGGAATTTGATGGTTGTCTGGAAACTCCTTCTATTTACCCCCTGCTATGGTCTGTTCCAGCATCTGTGGCTCCTCAGTCTCAAAGTTTGCAGTTGACCCGCAATCTTGATTCAGATTCAGAGGCTGGGTTAGAATGTCTTGTTTTTCTCTGGCCTTTTAGTTTGGTTTTCATTTGGTGCCAGATTTTCTGCTCCCTGCTGAAATTTGTTGTTGGATTTTTATTAGTTACTCATTTTAATTCCACTTATGAATTGCTTTGTTAAAAACATCTCAAAATTATTTATTTATATATATAAAAAGCTTCCTTTGTGTTTTCTTTGAATTATTTACTGTCTTGGTGAGATCAAGTTTTGTGCATGCTTTAAAAAAGCGATCTTGATTTTCCTTTACAGTTTCTGGACCGATATTCAGACACCTGAAAGTTGGAGTAGGCCACCATCTGGATCCAATGTCCTCTGGAGTGTTTGGTAAGTAAAAGATGCCTTAGCCAGTCATTGCTATTATATGGTGCTCCCAGGAGCATTATTTCACTGTGGCTAAGGTACATGTGGCCAATAAATTGGATTGCATCCCAAAGCAGTTGCTAATCTGGGCCCAATTCAAAGTGCTGGTTTTGACCTATAAAGCCTTAAATAGCTCAGGACCACAATACCTCAACGGCCGCCTCTCTCCATATGAACCTACCCAGATCCGGCAATAATCCTCTGAGGCCCTTCTTTGTGTGCCTCCTCCATGAGAGGTCCAGAGGGTGGCAACACAAGAATGGGCATTTTCTGCAGTGCTTCCCCTCCTCTTTGTGGAATGCTCTCCCCAGGGAGGTTTGTCTGATACCTTCAGGGGAAAACGTTCCTTTTTAACCAGGCCTTTGAACTGATTAACATATTAAACCCCTTTTAAATGTGTTTGTAGGGGGAATGTGTTTTTTTGTTCTTGTTTATATCTTGTACTTTTATATTGTATTTTTATGTTGTGCACTGCCCTGAGATCCACAGGTGAAGGGTGGTATGCAAATTTAATTAATTATCATCATCTATAGTTCTGCGGGGGGGGGTGTCTAAATAATCCCCCCCTTCTCTCATTTTCCCCTACTGTTGAAATCCAAAGCCATGTACAAATTCTTTCTTCCCAGTCAGACTTAAGGCTTGCCATGATCCAGGTGTATCTATTTACCTGTCCCTGGATTTGCAGTCAGAAAAAGTGACCTTTTAAACTTTGCCTGCCTAACTCTCCCACCCCTTCCTTTTTATATTTCAGTGCTTGGGGTGGGTAATGGCAACAAGTTGCTTCAAGCCTTGCACGATGCTCAACTCACCAGGGTAAGTATTTATTTTAATACAGTTATAAGTAGGGAATTATACATTATTATTAGACCTTAGAGATGGAAGGTACATTGGGGTCCAGCCCCCTGCCTAGTGTGGGGTGTGCAGTGTGCAGGATGTACAATGCATGATGCAGCTACAGAATCCCTTATGGATGCCTACCTGGCCTCTGGTTAAAGGCCTTCTACAAAGGAGAGCCCACCACCTTCCAGCACTTTCTTTTCCACAGTTAGACTGCTCTTGTCATTGGGAAGTTTCTCCTGAAGTTTAGCTGAAATCTGCTGCCCTTCCAGTTCAACCAATCCATTCTGGTCCTGCCCTTTGGAGCAACAGAGAGCAAGTCTGCTTTCTGTTGCTCCAGAAAGCAGATAGTTGAAGACAGCAATTGAATATTTCATTAAATGCTGCTTCTCCAGACTGAACATCCTCAACTCCTTCATCTATTCCTCTTGGTACTTAGTAGCCAGACTGCACCGTCCTAAAGGTAAAGGGACCCCTGACAGTTAAGTCCAGTCACGGACGACTCTGGGGTTGCGGTGCTCATCTCGCTTTACTGGCCAAGGGAGCCGACGTTTGTCCACATACAACTTCCGGGTCATGTGGCCAGCATGACTAAGCCGCTTCTGGCAAACCAGAGCAGCGCACAGAAACACCGTTTACCTTCCTGCTGGAGTGGTACCTATTAATCTACTTGCACTTTGATGTGCTTTCGAACTGCTAGGTTGGCAGGAGCAGGGACCAAAGAACGGGAGCTCACCCTGTCACGGGGATTTGAACTGCCGACCTTCTGATTGGCGAGCCCTAGGCTCTGTGGTTTAGGGCACAGCGCCACCCGCATCCCGCCTGCACCATCCTACTGGTGTACAATAATTTGAAACCCGTGGGGCGCACTGCGGGGCTGGAATCTACCTGCCTCCTCCCGCTCAGCTGCCCTACAGCTGGGGAAAGGCAGTGGGCGGACCGATTGGGTAGCGCCAAGCCTGCGTGTGCTCAAGCCACCACATCTCTCCCAGGAGAGACGCATGGCTCCGGCGCACTGCAGGCCCCGTGGTGAGTGCCAGCCGGCGTTTTGTCACACACACCCCAGTGGTGACACCCAGGGCAGACCGCATCTACCACACCCCCTTCCTCCGCCCCTGGTCCAGACCAAGGCAAACAATAATACTGGGTTTGGACAACATCGTAAGTCAAACTATGTTTTAAAGTGAAACCACAGCAGGACTGAAGGAAGAGTAAAGTGGCCACAATCTCTTATCCAGGATGCCCACACATTTGTTGTGCATTTGCACCAAGCTCAGACAGTCAGCCCGATTGAATTTTGGGGCTTACAATTAAGTGTGTATTAGGATTGCAGTTCTAGTCTTGCAGCAACAGCTATTTTGTTGCTTTGATGCAACAATACATGGAAGTATGTGTAGGACCCTTCTCTCTCTCTCTCTCTCTCTCTCTCTCTCTCTCGTGTGTTTCGCATAAGCCAGGGGCAGGCAGACATCAGGATTGTGGAATCTACTTTGTTTACTAGAAACAGCTGGAGCCAGGTCAAAATGGGGAGAGGCACACATAGAATTTATGAGCAGGGTGCATCTGAGCATGTGTTCTGGAAACTGTTTTCAATTACAAGAACTTTACTCTTATACGTAAAGAAAGAAAGAAACTTCATTCACCAGCACCACCTGATTTCAGGGGCAGGGGGAGTGATCCCTTTTGTTGTTGCTGTAGTTAAACAATTGGGAGTCAGAAGTCCTTGCTGATCTACTGCATATAATTCTGAGATCAGCAGAAGAGCCTGGCTGCTGGATTCATCCACAGGTCCATCTAGCCCAGCATCCTGTTCTCACAGCAACCAGCCAGATGTCTTGGGGAAGCCCTAAAACAGGCCATTAGCAGAGTAGCCCTCTCCTGCTGTTGTTAATCTGGTATTCTGGTGCTTTTGATCCTAGCTGTCAGGACTATTAGTCCCCTTTTAAAGCCCTCCCAAGCTGGTAGCTATCACTAAGCATTCCATAGCCTAAGCCAACCTTTCTCAACCTTGGGTTCCCAGATGTTGTTGGACTACAACTCCCATCATCTCTGACCATCACAACTCCTGATGATGGGAGTTGTAGTGCAACATCTGCGGACCCAAAGTTGAGAAGGGCTGGCTTAAACCCACGCTCACTGCTGTGTCCTTGTTTTGTGTTGAGCAGTAACTACAATCGGGGGTTTGGGCTGCCTGGTTTTCTTGTAAAGTGTTACCACTGTAAACTTCTCTCACCATGCATTTCTTCCTTTCAAAGACTTACACAGTTAGTGGCTTGTTTGGCAAAGCCACAGACGACTTCTCGGACACGGGCAAACTGATCGAGAAGGCAACATTTGGTAAGTTTATCCACAGGGATAGGTGTGGGGAACCTGTGGTGGTTCAAGCTTACCTAGGTACGGCTGTGGGCAGGTTTCCTGCATTTTAGGGGGTTGGACTAGATGACCCTTGAGTGTCCCTTCCAACTCTACAATTCTATGATTCTCCCCTGTCTCTCTGAAGCACAGCACTCAGTCAGCCGGTCCTGAAAGCCCCGCTAGCTCAGCCTTCATCAGGAGAGAGTTTGCTTTCTTTTCCACTGCCCAGAAACCAACTTGAGTTGGATTCCAGGTGCATGTTTTCCTCTTAGGAGGATAAAAGGTGAGCCCATCCCCCAGCAATGTTTTGAAACGGTGGAGTTTTAAAGCATCATATAAGTATCTTGAGTTTGCTTTATATTTTACTGTGTGGTGGCTCCTTCCTCATCCTGACCCCCAAAACCACTGGGCTCCTTTTCATATTGTTTTCACCTGGGAATTTGCTTAGGAGGCAGCAACATGTTTATAGTCTGTGTTTGAAATATATGTATTTAGCTCCAGGCTGTTGGATCACCTTGTCCATCCCTCTAAGTACTGTTTTCCCCCTTTCTTTGTCTGCAGACCACATCACCAGGGAACAGCTGGAGAGGATCCTTTCTGTTATCCAGGGGTCCCATCACAAGGCTTTACTGCAGTAAGTATCCCAAACACGGGGGCTGTACCAGAGCACAGGGGCAGAGTGCCTGCTTTGCATGCAAAAGGTCCCAGGTTTGATCCCTGATGGCATCTGTTCAGATAGCAAGCCGCAGGAAAGACCTTTCCCTGAGAAACCCCTGCCAGTCAAGGCTGACAGTAGATTGGCAGATAAATGCTGCCACCTGTCAAAGCTGGCATGGACAATACCCTGTTCTGGTGCAATAAGGTAGCTTTTCGTGCTCCCAAATCTCAAGGTTTCAGGTGATGCTTTTGCTGTCACTTGGGGACCAGTGGGAGATGCTTGCTGCTTTTGCTGCAATGAGACACCTTCTGCAAGATTTAAGGGAAAGGGAGGGTGTGGGGACTTTCACACCTTCTTTGTTTCTTATGCTGACCATTCCCCAAAGAGCACCCACTCCGCTCCCCATGTACAAGAAGAAGGTTATTGGTATTGGCAGGCCTGGGCAAACTGCTGAGCTTTGCTGATCTTCCTTTCCCTGTCGTGGACCTTCAGATAGCTGTTGCTGGACTCACAACTGCCATCATCCCAGGCCACTGGCCTTGCCATCTGGCTGGGGATGACTTCCGCAGATCAGTAGGCATGGCGGTGCCTTCCCTCTTTGCTCTTATATCCCAGCACATCCCAGCCTGCAACCCTCCTGCGCCTTGCAAAACGACACACATACTGAAGGCACAATAAATGAAATACTATTATTATTAATTAGTAAAACGATTAGTCATTCTTTGTGATGGCAACTCAAAATTTTGTAAGCAAAAAACAAACTCATACATAACTGCATTAAAATCAACACACACAGTCCCACCATTCCACCCATGCAAAAGGGCAATAGCTAGTTAAAAGCCAAATACCTGATTAGAAAGTATGTTTTCGTGTGACATCTAAAGATAAGAGGAGGCTTGTTTCTCAGTGGCTCCTGACCAGGATGAACAGGCTGCGGTGCAGTTTGGAGAGAACTCGGGTTCTCCTCCAGACCCTCCTCCTTTCCACTCATAGCATCCCCAGGAGCCCCTTGTTTACTTTGTCCATAGAAGCAAAGTTGGCTCTGGTTTGAGGGATACCCTGCCTGGGCAAAGTACCCCCTGGTGGAGCCCCTCTTATGTTAGCAGTGGGGTGGGGGCAGCAGCAGCAGCAGCTGTACTTCAAGGTGGCGGTAAAGCTGGCATTTATAATTTCATACATTGTTCTAGAGCGCCCTAAGTCATGCTACTCTTGGATGCTCTGGAAGTGTAAATAATGGATTGCAGGCCCTTCCAGCTGTGGGGGGTGGGGAGGCTGGCACAGCAGGCAACTCAGTGCTGGGTAGGCCCTGGCAGCTGCTGCTTTCAGACCTACACAGGAATGAATGGTTCTTTTCGTTCTGTCCCTCCTTTTGTAAAAAATGAAAGTTGTAATTTTCAGGTTACTAAATAATCATGCTAAATAGTTTGTGTGGTAGAATGATGGACATGAGCTAACAGAGGGAGTATGGTGCAACTCAGGAATGGTTTGAATGTTGCCTAGCTGGCCTTAGGTGGGCCCTTTTTTTTTTTAGCTCCTTCCCAACTATTTGCAATGTGTGCATATTGACCTGTCTTACAGGGGTGCTGTAAAGATTAGTGAGTTGTGATATGTAATGTGCTTTGAATGCTCCAATGCGCCTAATTGACAGCTAAGTATTAATTGCTATTCCTATTTCACTGGAATTCCCATTACTAAATAAATGACTTGGAGATGTATCTCTCCCTCCTTCTAAGGTGCCATACATGATTCTGCACTCACATCCCAGTGAGATTCATGGCTGAGTGTGGTTTCCCCATTCCAAATTTGCCTCACTAGCTACTACACCTGCCTTTCCCAACCTTGTGCCTTCCAAATGTTGCTGGATGGCAACTCCCATGTTCCTTGATGGTTAACTGTGCTACCTGGGAGTTGGGAGTTTGGCTTCCACCAGCCAAAGCTCTCTGAGCTTCCCCTAAAATAGAGGCTGCGCTCATAGAGGATGGAAGAGTTGATAGCCAGAAGTTAGTTTTATAGAGACAAAAGGGTTTTTCTGGGCTGAAGCAACAGCACCTTTCCTCCAAGACATTCATTGGGATGGGAGCTTTGCATGTGCTCTTTAGATTAAACATCCTGGAGTTGGAAGGTGAAAACTGTTTGCTGCAGGTGGGGCTTGCTCTGCTTCCAGGCCCTTCCATAACTAGGGAAGTCCAAAGGCCCTTACGCCGAAGGTGAGCAGGAGTGCTGGGGTGGGGTGGGAGGTCAGTCAGCCAGGAGCCCTGCTGTCCTCCTCACCCCACATCTTGTTTCCTTCTCTCCCTTAGGCCGCCTCCGTCCCTTTCCTTCCTTCCGCTGCGTCATTACTGCCTGCCCAGAGAGCATGAGGAGCTGAAGAGCTCCCAGCCTCTAAGCTTCCGGAGCAGCCGTGCCCACCCTCGGAAATGGAGTGTGGCGCAGTCCATGGGCAGCGACCATCAGAAGCCAGTGTGGCGGGTGGTGCTGATTTGTGTCTCAGGAATGGCATTTCTAGCGTGGTGTGCGCTGCGCCGCAAGACTGACATTGACAGGCTTCTAGAGGATGCCATGGAGGAGGACTCCCCAGAGGAGGATTCCCAAAGGCCTCCATCCGAACAGGGGAAGCCTTGATGCAGGGGTGGTGGGCAAGGACCTCTTGCCACTCTGGATTCCTGATTCCACCCCCCAGGCTGGGTCCCTGGAAACTGCTGGTTCTATGGTATGGGTGTGCATTAAAGCAAAGAAGACCGCCACAGAGGACGTCAAAAGATATTTCCTGAACACAGACAGCATAGTTCTGTTCCCAGTAGAAAGCAACGCAGAAAGTTCTTTTTCAAAGCAAGAGAAGCCATCTGGTGGAGCTCAATTGGTTAAAGAGGGACGCTATTCTGTGTTGCAGGCACACTCCCTTTTATGTGTGAAGAGAAGGAAATATGTCTGAACATTGTGCAGCTGCTGATTCTGTTGGCTCTTAATGCTTGGTTGTAGGTGGTTTAAAATAATAAAATAATAATTGCCTAGATCCAGGTTTGAGGCAAATACTCTCTTGGTGAGAGAGCCCCAGGAGAGGTTTTAAATCACAAAACATGCAACAAAGAAAAGCATGGAAATATAGGCTGTTAGACCCCTCCAAGTTTCTTCCAAAGTTCTCCTTTACTACTCCTTTAGCATGGAGCGAGCAGCCCAGAAGTCCTTTCTGGTCAGTCTCACATGATGGAAGAGGGTAAACAAAAGGCTTTGGTAACCCTTCCTCTTGAGTGAGGGGGCGTGACCTAGTTAAACCTGGCAGAATTGCTTACTCCAAACTGTCGCGACATGTTAGTGTGTCAACTGCAGTGTGTAGGTGCAAACGCTCCCCGTGCTCTTCCTGAGGCTGGAAAGGGGTTTACTGAGTAAAACTGAATTACTGTGTTGCAAAATGATGCATGTCTAAAAAGTTTATCACCAACATGAAAAGTTTGCAAAGCTCTGGCTTACTCTATGGTCTTAACCTCTTCATGCATTAACTACAGCAGGGTGGCGCAACTTTTCATACCAATGGGCCACAAGCATACTTTGACACGAAACCTACAGGCTGCCTTGTCACATGGGGGTGGGTGGGCCAAGGCCAAAATTTGAAGGCCCCGTCCCCATCCCTCATGCTGCTTTCCCAGAGCCAGCTGTGGGAAGGAGGTGTGAGGCTCAGGCAAAGTCCTAGAGTGCCTTCCCAAAGCTGGCAAAATGCTAACTAGGCTTTGGGAACTGTGAGGACTGCGGGGTGGGTTGATGGGTGTGCCAAAATGTTGCTGAGGGCCGGGCCATGCGTTGAATCACCCTGAACCACAGCTAAGCATGCTGTATCATCCCTGACCATTTGCCATGCCGGATGGAGCTGATGGGGATTGGGAGTCCAGCAACATCTGGGGGACCACAGGTTCCCCAACCCTGGACTACTCCTCTCATGGAGTATTGATACTTCTTCCCACCTACTCCCCACCTAATGATAAAATTGGAGAAAACATGAACAGAAGTGAATGGCCTGTTAGCTATTTAAGGATGCAAATCCCATATGCATGACTTGTCTATTCCAAAATATCTCTTGTATACATCTGAATGCTTCAGAATAAGTATTATGAAAATTCAGATAAGAAACCACACAAAATTTTAATAGCTACATAGCACAATCAAGACTTGAATGAATGAATTGCACCAGCCAGGCTGTTTGGACCATCCATTAATTTTAAAATATGTAACAGAGGTTATTCCTCAGTAAGGTAGTACCCCTTGATGTGGACTGCACCTCTTTAGACTGAAGGTGGGAGCTCACATGATTGTTCCTTGATACCAAAAAAATCCCTGCACATAGAAGAAGAAGAAGAGTTTGGATTTGATATCCCGCTTTATCACTACCCTAAGGAGTCTCAAAGCGGCTAACAATTTCCTTTTCCCTTCCTCCCCACAACACTCTGTGAGGTGAGTGAGGCTGAGAGACTTCAGAAAAGTGTGACTAGCCCAAGGTCACCCAGCAGCTGCATGTGGAGGAGCAGGGAATCGAACCCAGTTCACCAGATTACGAACTAGTCAGGGAGAAAGCTAGCCTTGCTTTGGAGATTCTCTTTTGCACACAGGAACACTCAGTCATGTGAGTCCCCCATCTACAGTCTGAAGTAGTGTGGTCCAGATGAAGGGCTGCCACCTCAGAGAGAACTAGCAAAGTGGTTATGAAGAAAGCTGGCAAAAAAGTGTGGCCTCTCCCTTTGCTGCCACTGTTTTTATGTATTAAGGTTTAATTAAAATGGAGACTCTGGACATGGGTTAAAATGACAGCCTTTGTGCACAACCTGTACAATAACTTTGGGGCGTGTTGAATAACCATTTGTTGATCTGTTTGAAAGATCAGCTTGGCAGATGATATCCTTTCCAATGAAGAGGTCCTATAGGGGGTGTGGGGGTGGAGAGGATATGAATGTTAAACTAGTTGGAGACATCTGTAATGCGGATTTGGGAAGCAGTGGTTGCATCCATCTGGAAACCTTAAGAGCAAGTGTATCTGCTTCAACTTTCCACAAAAAAGTGTGTGATGTACATAAGTCAGCCTTGTGTTTAAGCACTGGCCTAGTAGCCACGGGCGACCAGGAATTACATGCAGGTAAGTGAACTGGAAGAGGAGACACATCATGTTCCATTCCTCTTCTGTATCTAACAAAGAAACCAGGTGGGCTGTACCTAGTGTAGAAACACAGCAGGCTGCTCCAAGAAGGGCAGAACTCCCAATCCCTCCTAAGTAGCTATTTTGTGGGTTTATTTACTGTGTTGACTGTTTCTTAGCCAAAGTCATTCACTGAGGTTCTTAACCTCTGCATGTACCCCATTGCCAATGTGAGCTCACATGATTGAAATGGTCCTTCATACAAAAAATTAATAAAGTTGCACACAGAAAACTAGCCAGTATGGGTAGAAAAGATATTTCCCCTGACAAACTTGTTCTATCTGCGGGGTCTTTTGTTTGTATGAAGGCACATTCAGTCATGTGAACCCCCACCGCCAGTGTCTTAAGGGCTTAGACACAGCCTAACCACCTAAGCAACCATGAGGCCTTAAAAGTTGAATGACTGGAGAGACCTGTCAGGAGTAAGCATGGACCAATGGTACCAAATAGTATGGGAAACAGCCCTACTAGAAAAATAAACTGAAACTGACACGGGGACAAACAGAAGAAGACGCCTCCCCTTTATCACGTACACAGCCCAACAAGACAATGACAATAATCCACCAACAGCATACAAATCAATATGGCTAACCTGATCCAAAACACCCACCCACCCCACTCACACATGAAAACAAAGACCACCACAGCCAATCACAAACAAACAACCACACCCTAGGCCAACCCCAACCTCTCTCACCACCAAAGGAACACAAGTGAACAGCAGAGAACCGGCACGAGTAACGCTGACACCAAACCCTACAAATAGAAATAGAAACATCGCCACCCGACCCCACCCATCTTCCCCCCCTCCACCCCTTTTCTTCCTAATGTCTCAACAAATGAAACCGATTTGTAAAAATGTTACATGGAAAAAATATGAGAGACATTACACATACTTCTGTAAAACAAGAAAATCTTTTTTTTTAAAAAAGCTGAATGACTAAAACTACCATTTATGTCAGAATCTGGCAATTTCATCTCCATATTGTGATACAAAGGGTCACTGCACAAATTTTCAGTTTTTACTGGCTGCTTAAGCATTTTTGATAGCTTTCAGGTGTTTATGCATTGTGTGAAGTTGACAATCAGAAATGCAATTTCCATGAGTCTTATGACATTCCCCAGCCCCTAAAATTTGGGGAAATGGCTATTGAGTGTACCTGATTATAGGAGAGCCATCCTTGGAGATAACAGGCTGTGTTCAGGTGGGCAAAATGTATTGCACAAACCAGTCAGACAGTAGCTGTGCAAATCCAGCAGCAGGAGAGTTCAACCTCCTTTCCCTGATCTATTCTCTCCCTTTGCCTCCATCCAGATATTCTAATATTGACTTGAAAACCCAAGAGGCCTACGAGCTGGCAGTGAAAGGATTAATTCGTCCCATGGAGAAAAGCCCACCCTTGATCACAGCAGTGCGAAGCCTCCAGTTTGCACCACCAGAATTCCAGCTAGGTATGGCTAGGGATGTATTTCAAATCCCACGGCAGATTTCCAATTATTATTATTTTTAAAAAATTGAGACATTTACAACTTTAGGGGTAGGAAGGACCAAGAAGCAAGTGCTAAAAGAGATGTTTGCCCATGAGATCAGAAAGCAGCTGACAGTTCACAGCAGAGAATACTAGCCCACATGGACAAATGGTGCAGGAGCTTCTCACAGCAGCCCCCCACTCCTAAGGAGAATCCCATAATAGAGCCAGCTGTGTTGATCCATAGTCTTTGACTGTGTTCACACTCTTACCTGCTGAGTTCACTCATCTAGGCAGTTATTATCTGGGCCTAGGGTTATTATGAAGATAAAATGGGACAGCCCTCAGATCCGGATTTTGGCAAGAGCCGCGGAGTTCTGACCATTTAGCGCTAAAATAAATCTTTGTTGCATCCTCCTTGTCCTTTTGGCTCCCTTCCTTTGGGGAAGATTGGGACCTCCATCCAAGGGAAGAACTTTCAGGGCAATATTTTTGCAACATCACTGGGTATAAGACACCTTCCTAGATTTTCAACGGCTGGGAGAACAGAATGGATTTTCATTGGGACTTCTAGTGACAACCGGTTGAATTCAATGCACTAAAGTTTTTAGCTTTGTCTATTAAATGCAAGTAAAACCAACATGCCAAGTTAGATCATGCTCCAGTGTTTAAGATATCAGAAAATTTTCTAGTGCTAATTACCCTGATTTCTGTAGTATCCTTCCCCTAACTGGAAAGTTTTCGAGATCAAACTTTTTTGGGAAACCCCACCTCACTGCCTGCTTGTATTGACAATTATTTCTGTCCTCTTAGAAATCCACTGTTTGCATGAGACCCAGCAATACCTTCGGAAGATAGTTCACGAGATCGGTTTGGAGTTGAAGTCAGTTGCTGTCTGCACACAAGTGAGGCGGGTACGAGATGGCATTTTCACTCTGGAGGATGCCCTCTTGAGAACGCAGTGGAACTTGCATAACATCCGAAATGCGATCCTGAAGTCCAAGCTTAGAGTAGAAACTGAGATACAAAAAAGCCTTGCTTATGAGGGAGAGGAAGAAACTACGGCTTCTCCGGTTGCAGGTGAGACGCAGCTGAGCGAGGGGGAAGATGCCTTGCTGCCAAGCTCAGTGATAAAATTGTGAATATCTTGTACTACATGGAAAATGGTTAAGTGCGGATGTGGAAAGCACCCTGGAATTTTTATCCTTCACCACCTTGCACCTGAAGCTTGCTGCCCTGTTTCAATCAGTTCTAAAACTCATCACTCTCAAAACTCTCCTTCGATGAAACATTTGCAGTATCTGATCCTTCACGTGCGGAAAAATCAGAAGCTGTTTCTGAACCATGTGAAAACACTGCTTTTTATCTTCTGTAGAAGCTTGGATGTTTCAGCCAAAGGATTTGTAGAACTGGTTGATTTGCTGCATAAAACAACCTGGCTGTTACTTAAATGTATTTAAAAAAACAAATCCACCTGTGAATTCCGACTGCAGTATGATGCTTTGATTTATTCATATTGCCATGATTAAAATTCTGAAACTCATTTATGAGTTTATTGTTAAATTAAAGCCTGAAAATGTGTGAGAGGGGTGGGTGGGTGGCAGTAGCTTCTGGTATCACTCCAAATGAGTTAAGGAAATTTTACTATAACTTGGTATGACTATTACTTGACAAAATCTTGGTTTGCAGTCATCCTGCAAATCAGAATTAGAAACTAGCTTGAAGTAGGATTGTAAACCATTATTTATGCTAACTATGGTTTGGTGTGTTGCCTGAATTGGCGAGGTTACTGCTGTCACAGAGGACATGGGCACTGTGATAAATTGCCATATCGTTGAATACCAGTATTGAAATAACATTGTGATAAATGTTTCAATAAGGCACTATACCTGTGAACAAATGGTGGAGACATGACAGCTTCCCAGTGGGTAGCTAGGCTGATTTGTTTGCTCTCTCCGATAAGCCCTCACACAAACCAGCAACACCGGTATCTTTCCACTTAAGGCTTGGTTAATTATGCAGAGCTTGCTAACAATCCAGGAGGATCCCCCCATGGCTAGACAATGAAAGTTCCAGTGGCAAAGTAAAAAAAAGAACAAAGCAAATAAACAAAGAACTGGAAAGCAGTCTTTTTCCCTCACACTCACTGGTGAAAAAAGAGGCGGAAGAGTTTTTACTTTTATTTTCTGGTGGTGTTTATGTTGTTGGTTCCCCCTAAATAGCTTTCCTCCATATTGAAAAGCGTTTTAAAAAATTCTTTAAAGGAGACTATCTTTTTGCTTGCCCTCCCTCCCTTTGATAAAAAGGGAGAGACTGGTGGAATGGGAGCTTTGTGGGTGGGCCTTCGGGGTGGTGGTGGTGGGGGATATATGCAGTTTTAGAAGCACAGTGCTCTAATTTATTGTGTATTCTATTTGACCCATTGCCCTACATTTTATTTCTAAAAGAAGATTCACAGGCTAGTGGAGTCACAGTGTGATTGCCACCCTCAGGATTTGGGAATGTCCACATGCCTAGATCACTTTGGTTTCCATATTATTGGAAGTCTAGGACCAGGTTGAAGCCAGAAATGTGCCCTATTCTGGGAGAGGTAGAAGGCTGGAAAGCTGGCTTTACACAGTGTAAACTGCAAGGGGTTGGCTGGAGGTGTGAGGCATACTAGTGTGGGATTCCAGGATTTTAACAATTACCTGTAATTGGATATCCCCAGTTTCCCCTTGTTTCTGAGGTTAGCTATACTGCTGTGAGATGCACCTTGTACATTGCCTTCATAGACCTGATGAAGGCCTTTGACCTTGTCAGCCAAAAAGGGCTCTTCACACTCTTCAACAAGATATGATGCCCACCTAAGCTCCACAAGATGATTGTGTAAGATGAAGATTCTTTGGAATGTGTTTGCCATTATTAGTTTACTCTTATTATTGTATATGTAATTATTTGTTTTCTTTTTGTTATTGATGTTATGCTTTGACTGATATTGTATCTAATTTCAAAACAACAATAATAAAAACAAAACAAAAAACCCAGTGCTTCAAAAGAGCATATTAAAATTAAATAACACAAATTACTCCAATGTGTTACTGTACGTTGATTGGGACAAAAAAGGAGCCCACCTGTAAAACCCATTTGGTTTACTTGTGATATGCTTTGTCCAAGGTGTGGTATTTGTTTCTTAGGGTACTTTTTGTGAGCAGAAGGAAAACTGTAAATGATATGTGGCTCAAATTTGGGGACAACGTTTACTGTTGTGCAGGTGGCAATATCCTAGGAGGACTATATTGTGAAAACCCTGCAAGAAAAAGTGCACTAGGGAGGTCTGGATTTGCACACTATGATTTTCTATTCATTTAAAAAAAAAATGTATACCCTACCTTGTTTACCAACAAAACCCAAAATGTCTAACAAAATTAAACAACGATATAAGGCAAACAACATCCTAAACTCAAACCAAATGCAGAAGTTAACATTAAAATAAACAAAGCCTTCCCCATAAAGTTCAGGTGATAAAAGGACAAAGGGAGACAAACCAATTTGTTGCTCTTTGGTATCCATTTATTGAATATATCAACATACAGGAACATGGTAGATCAGTACCAATTATACACAGGTCTAGGATTGTTTTAAAGTTTGGAGAGGGTGCCTTTCAGGGAAACCCAGGAATATGTACACATACAATAACTTACTGTTCTTTCGCAAGTTTGATGTGGCTGTGACTTAGCCTATTTTTGTATCTATTTTGGAATACCAGTGTGTTTGTACCACTATTTGTGTTGTTGAAAACAAAAATTGCCCTTTTCCCCTTATGGGATATCCAAGAGCCCATATAGATTCCTTACATAGGTTCCCTATTGGTAGGAGAAGATAACAGAGGCCAACCAGAGAATATTGAGAAGCAAAGCAGCTAGTAAGCTTGATCTTTATTGATCTGTTGCAACAGGGTGCTCCCCTCACCCGCAGGAGAGGAGGAGGAACCTAGAAAAATGGCGCACAAGGCCTTATAAAGTCTTTTGAAATTGCCACCCTGTAGATCAAGACCACCCCCAGAAACATCATACATACATCACAGAAGGGGTGTAACCTAAGACCACCCATCAGATACAGTGGTGCCCCGCAAGACGAATGCCTCGCAAGACGGAAAACCCGCTAGATGAAAGGGTTTTCCGTTTTTGAGTTGCTTCGCAGGACGAATTTCCCTATGGGCTTGCTTCGCAAGACGAAAATGTCTTGCAAGTCTTGAGATTTTTTTTTCGCTTTTCCCCCCCTTTATCTAATCTGCTAAGCCTTTAATAGCCTTTAATAGCCTTTTAGCAGCTAATCCGCTAAGCCTTTAAGCCTTTAATAGCCGCTAAACCGCTAATAGCGCTAATCCGTTAAGCCGCTTATAGGGTTGCTTCGCAAGACGAAAAAACCGCTAGACGAAGACTCTCGCGGAACGGATTAATTTTGTCTTGCGAGGCACCACTGTACATCATACCTACATCACAGAAAACGCAGTCTTAAAACAGAAATTTGAATGTTGTTTTTCTCCTGTTGTTGTTTATCTGCTGTCTGGCAGGCTACTTGATTGGATTGCCTGGGGAGCCTGGCCAGTCTTCTGTAATAATAAATACTTAGTTCCTGGGCCAGGTCACAGGCTCACACCCAATTCATATCTTAAATGTGCCCTTAAGACAGGATTTGTGAGGAAAGAGACAATGGGGAGGTTTCCCACTTTGACCTTGAAGAGAAAACATTTGCTCAGTTTAGGAATCAAAATGTTTCCATGTTGGTCTTCCTGCGCTGCTCTATGTACGTGCTTGGTTGGTACGCTTATGAACATAACCATATATCTAAGACCTCAAAATTCCTATCACAGTGTATAGAAATGTAAGCAAGTAATGAGTTCAATCTGGATTGATTAAGAGCTAAAAGATTATGTGGAGATAAGGGATTTATTAACGGATTGGTTACAGTTTCACCAATTAAATTATATTTTTTAAATACAGTGGTACCTCAGGTTACATACGCTTCAGGTTCCATACACTTCAGGTTACAGACTCCACTAACCCAGAAATAGTACCTTGGGTTAAGAACTTTGCTTCAGGATGAGAACAGAAATCGTGCTCTGGCAGCGCGGCAGCAGCAGGAGGCCCCATTAGCTAAAGTGGTGCTTCAGGTTAAGAACAGTTTCCGGTTGCAGTCGTGAAATATCAAGATTTCAAAAAGATCTGCTAGAAAATAATGCTAAATTACTGTCCAAAATGTATAGCTTACTTTTAGAGTGGCATACAAAAGATGAACAGGTCAAGTCAGTAATGATACACTGGGCAAAGGATCTGGGACATAATATTCAGATAGTAGATTGGGAAACGTTATGGAAAACAGATTTGAAATTTACGGCATGTTATGCTTTGAAAGAAAACTATGAAATTGATGTACCGGTGCTATTTAACCCCTACCAAGTTGGCAAAAATGTATAGGACAACTACAAATACTTGTTGGAAATGTAAAGAAAAAGAAGATACTTTTTATCATATGTGGTGGACTTGTAAGGTAATAAAAGCTTTCTGGGAGATGATGTACAATGAAAATGTTTAAAATAGCTTTTGTTAAGAAACCAGAATGATTTCTATTAGGAATTACAGATACTAATATTCCAAAGGAAAAGAAGAGACTCTTTATGTATGGAACAACAGCTGGCCAGATGTTAATAGCTGGATGGAAAGAGGACAAGGTCCCTACCAGAGAGGAGTGGCAAACCAAGCCGATGGACTATGCCGAGATGGCAAAACTGAATGGAAAACTCAGAAACCAAGGGGACAAAAACTTTATGAAAGAATGGGGGGGGGGGATTATAAATTATTTAGGAGACCACTGTAAGCAGATGGAAACATTAGCAGGATTTTAATCTCACTTGTAGTTTAAAAATTACCATGGATAATATGGTTTGATATAAAAATTGAAGTATGAAAGAATATACAGTATTAAATGTTAAAAATGGGACCCCATGGAAGGGATGGGGGGAAGTCCTGAGATTCGGAGGAATCTATATGAATATACTTTTTGATTTTTTTGTTTATAACTTTGTATTTGAGAAAACAATAAAAATGATTTCAAAAAAAGAGAGAGAAAGAGCTGCTCTGTGGGGTGGGGTGGGAGAGCAGGTTAGGGGTATTGCTTTGTTCCTACTTTGTACCTGAGCTGACTGTTGTACAAAACTCAGTGGAAATTATCTGAAAAAAACAAAAAACAAAAATGCAATCTCAGTCAGCACAAAAAGTTACTTCAACAGCTGAAAGGCATGCCTTCTCCAGGCTTTTAAATAATATATCACTGATGCAGCAAATGCTGAAATAACATAAATACTGATTTATTGTGAATTAAATGTGAAAATGAAAAATGAATGGAAAGAGGGATGTTTCGGTATAAGTATGATCAGCTCCATAGGAGAAATGTCATGCATGAACTGTATAATATATACTTGCAGGCTCACTAAAAATGTATAAATCAGGTAGGGAAATTCAGGACTGGAGGCCAGATGTGGCCCTCTGTGCCCCTCTACCTGGCCCTCAGGACTCTTGCCACTCCCATTCTCACCCTATTCTGCACCCTCTTGAATGTCTCTGCCTGAACAGAATTGGTGTCCCTGAACTAGTCTCAAACGTTTGTTGGGGGAGACCTAGGGTTTTTTTGGGGGGGGAGTTATTTGTCCTGTCTTCACGCTTTTTATGATGGAGGACCGCTGTAGCCATCCCCAACAACACGTTCTCAAGATGGAGGGGGAGGGAACAGCTGCAGTCGCCTGTGGTTCCTGCGCAATGTTTGCCATCTTGCCAAAGGTTGCAGGCAGCTTTACCTGCAGCAATTGCATGTTGATTGCCCTCTTAGAAGACAAAGTCCAGCAACTGGAGGAACGTGTAGCTACGCTCCAAAGAATTAGAGAGCTGGAGCTCTTCTTGGAAGCAACAGAGCACACCGTCTCCACCAAGGAAGAGACAGGGGACTCCCCTGAGAAGGAGGCTAGTTCACCAACACAGGAGCCAGATATATGGAGAAACGTGACTCAAAGAAGTAGGAGGCCCAGGGTTCACTCTGATTGTTTAGAAATACACAATCGCTTTGAGGTCCTCTCCCCTAGCATGGAAGACGAAGAGCAGACTCCATTTGAGGATCTCTCCCTCATTACAGTCGATCAGGTATATGAAGACGAGCAGCAAAGTCAGTCCTCAGGGAATGTGCAGGCGACCTTGGAACGGACAGCTCACGGAAGAACCCCGACCAAACCTAAGAGGAGGCGTGTAGTGGTGATAGGGGATTCCCTACTGAGGGGAACAGAAGCAGTGATCTGTGGGCCTGACAAGATGTCTCGGGAAGTGTGCTGTCTCCCCGGGGCTAAGATCCAAGATGTAACTGAACGACTGCAAGGAATCATAAAACCCACTGACAAATACCCCTTCCTCTTGGTTCATGTGGGAACCAATGACACTGCAAGCAACAGCCTCCAGAAGATCAAAAGAGACTACGAGGCTCTGGGCAGGAAATTAAAGCAATTAAATGCACAAATTGTCATCTCATCTGTCCTCCCAGTTGAACGACGTGGCCCAGGGAGAGGGAAAAATAGTGGAAGTGAACAGCTGGCTTCGCAAATGGTGTAAACAGGAACGGTTTGGATTCTTAGATCACGGACTGCAGTTTCTTGAAGATGGACTTCTGGCAAGCGATGGGCTGCACCTCACAACGGTTGGAATGTTTTTGCCAAAAATGTCAGAAACCTCATCAGGAGGGCTTTAAACTGACTAATGTGGGGGAGGGAGACAGTGCTCCTGAAGGTAGGAGTCTATCAATTGATGAAGATGATCATCCAAATGTCATAGACCAAATGGAGCAAACAGCACGCAGACCTAGTGGTGGGAGGAAAAAAATCATTTAATAAGAGACACGGGGGAATGATTAATGGACTTCAATGTCTGTACACTAATGCGCAAAGCATGGGAAATAAACAAGATGACCTTGAGCTCTTGGTACAGCAAACTAAATATGACATAATAGGCATCACTGAAACCTGGTGGGATAAGTCCTACGATTGGAATGTAATAATGGAGGGATACAATCTATTTCAGAGAAACAGACCAGACAAGAAAGGAGGAGGAGTTGCGTTATATGTCAGGGATGTGTATACCTGTGAAGAGATCCAAGATTTAGAACCTCAAAGCCAAAGTGAGAGCATTTGGGTCAAAATTAAGGGAGAGAAGAATAACAGTGACCTCATTGTGGGAGTTTACTATAGATCCCCAAGCCAAACGGAGGACATAGATGATGCCTTCCTGGAACAGATGGCCAAGCATGCAAAAGGGAGATAGTAGTAATGGGGGACTTCAATTACCCGGATATTTGTTGGATGTCAAACTCAGCCAAGAGCATAAGGTCAAACAGATTCCTCACTGGCCTTGCAGACAACTTCATTGTCCAGAAAGTGGGAAAAGCAACAAGAGGAACAGCCATTTTAGATCTGGTCCTAACCAATGTTGATGACCTGGCTAGTGGGGTAGAAGTGGAAGGATCATTAGGCGCGAGTGATCATGCTCTTCTGAAGTTTACTATACAGTGGAAAGGAGAAGCCAAGCATACTAGGATTCAATTTCTTGACTTTAAGAAAGCCGACTTCATAAAACTTAGGGAAGTGCTGGGTGAGATCCCATGGACAGTAATACTAAAAGGAAAGGGAGTTCATGATGGCTGGGAGTTTGTTAAGAGGGAGATAGTAAAAGCACAACGTCAGGCAATACCAATGAGATGGAAACATGGAAGGTGCCTAAAGAAGCCAGGGTGGCTATCTAAAGAACTTTTAACTGAGTTAAGATTTAAAAAGGATGTGTACAAAAAAATGGAAAAGGGGGGAAACCACCAAAGAGGAATTCAAACAAATAGCCAGCACGTGTAGACACAAAGTCAGAAAAGCTAAAGCACAGAATGAACTCAGGCTTGCTAGAGAGGTTAAAAGCAACAAAAAGGCTTTTATGGGTATGTTCATAGCAAAAGGAAGAACAAAGAAACAGTGGGGTCACTCAGAGGAGAAGATGGTGAAATGCAAACAGGGGACACAGAAAGGGCTGAACTCCTCAATGCCTTCTTTGCCTCAGTCTTCTCCGATAAAGAAAACAATGCCCGACCTGAAGAATTTGGAGCAAATGATTCAGCAGAGGAAACACAGTCCAGAATGACTAAGGAGATAGTACAAGAATACTTGGCTAGTTTAGATGTATTCAAGTCTCCAGGGCCAGATGAACTGCATCCAAGAGAATTAAAAGAACTGGCAGATGTGATCTCAGAACCACTGGCAGTCATCTTTGAGAATTCCTGGAGAACAGGCGAAGTCCCGGCAGACTGGAGGAGGGCAAATGTTGTCCCTATTTTCAAAAAGGGGAAAAGAGAGGACCCAAATAATTACCGCCCAGTCAGTCTGACATCAATACCAGGGAAGATTCTGGAGCAGATCATTAAGCAAACAGTCTGTGAGCACCTAGAAAGGAATGCTGTGATCACCAATAGTCAGCATGGATTTCTGAAAAATAAGTCATGTCAGACTAACCTGATCTCGTTTTTGACAGAATTACAAGCCTGGTAGATGAAGGGAATGCAGTGGATGTAGCCTACCTTGATTTCAGCAAGGCATTTGACAAGGTGCCCCATGATATTCTTGTAAAGAAGCTGGTAAAATGCGGTCTTGACTATGCTACCACTCAGTGGATTTGTAACTGGCTGACTGACCGAACCCAAAGGGTGCTCATCAATGGTTCCTCTTCATCCTGGAGAAGAGTGACTAGTGGGGTGCCATAGGGTTCTGTCTTGGGCCCGGTCTTATTCAACATCTTTATCAACGACTTGGATGATGGACTCAAGGGCATCCTGATCAAATTTGCAGATGACACCAAACTGGGAGGGTGGCTAACACCCCAGAGGACAGGATCACACTTCAAAACGACCTTGACAGATTAGAGAACTGGGCCAAAACAAACAAGATGAATTTTAACAGGAGAAATGTAAAGTATTGCACTTGGGCAAAAAAATGAGAGGCACAAATACAAGATGGGTGACACCTGGCTTGAGAGCAGTACATGTGAAAAGGATCTAGGAGTCTTGGTTGACCACAAACTTGACATGAGCCAACAGTGTGACGCGGCAGCTAAAAAAGCCAATGCAATTCTGGGCTGCATCAATAGGAGTGTGAATCTAGATCAAAGGAAGTAATAGTGCCACTGTATTCTGCTCTGGTCAGACCTCACCTGGAGTACTGTGTCCAGTTCTGGGCACCACAGTTCAAGAAGGACACTGACAAACTGGAACGTGTCCAGAGGAGGGCAACCAAAATGGTCAAAGGCCTGGAAACGATGCCTTATGAGGAACGGCTAAGAGAGCTGGGCATGTTTAGCCTGGAGAAGAGGAGGTTAAGGGGTGATATGATAGCCATGTTCAAATATATAAAAGGATGTCACCTAGAGGAGGGAGAAAGGTTGTTTTCTGCTGCTCCACAGAAGCGGACACGGAGCAATGGATCCAAACTACAAGAAAGAAGATTCCACCTCAACATTAGGAAGAACTTCCTGACAGTAAGAGCTGTTTGACAGTGGAATTTGCTGCCAAGGAGTGTGGTGGAGTCTCCTTCTTTGGAGGTCTTTAAGCAGAGGCTTGACAACCATATGTCAGGAGTGCTCTGATGGTGTTTCCTGCTTGGCAGGGGGTTGGACTCGATGGCCCTTGGGGTCTCTTCCAACTCTATGATTCTATGATTCTATGAACTCTTGCTTGCCTGGATGCCTGTGAGTAGTGTTGTAAACAAATATTGCCCCTTTCCCGTATGGGGTATCCAAGAGCCCATATAGAGTCCTTACGTTAGGTTCACTATTGGTAGGAGAAAATAACAGAGGCCAACCAGAGAAGATTGAGAAGCAAAGCAGCTTTATTAAAGCTGTTGCAACAGGGTGCTCCCCTCACCCACAGGAAAGGAGGAGGAACCCAGAACAATGGTGCGCAAGGCCTTATAAAGACTTTTGAAATTGCCATCCTGTAGATCAAGACCACCCCCAGAAACATCATACCTACATCACAGAAAAGGTGGTCTAAAACAGAAATTTGAATGTTGTTTATCTCCTGTCTGGCAAGTTACTTGATTGGATACTCTGCTTACTTGATTGGATTGCCTGGGGAGCCTGGCCAGTCTTTTGTAATGATAAATACTTAGTTCCTGGGCCAGGTCACAGGCTCACACCCAATTCATATCTTAAATGTGCCCTTAAGACAGGATTTGTGAGGAAAGAGACAATGGGGAGGTTTCTCATTTTGACCTTGCAGAGAAAACATTTGCTCAGTTTAGGAATCAAAATGGTTCCAGGTCGGTCTTCCTGTGCTGATCTATGTATGTGCTTGGTTGGTACACTTATGAAAATTACCATATATCTAAGACCTCAAAATTCCTATCACAGTAGGAACCAGCCTATAGTGCAAAGTTAAAAATTTGCATTTATTACCTCACCTACTTTTGCTTCTGACCACATGCACTGCATGTGACCCTCATAAGGTTGCCCACAGGAGAATGTGGCCCCCATTCTGATTAAGTCTTCTCCCTTGCTATAAATCATAAATTTATGAGGTAATCTAAAATATAGTAAACAACAGCAGCCTTTTGGGAAAATGTATTAATATTGTGTTAATATTGTTTCTAAAATGTGTTAATATTGTTTCTAACTTCTTTTTACTATTTTATTGAGTGATTTTAAATCTTCTTAATGCTGTAAACCGATTTTATATATTTGTGGCATATAAATAATTCTTTTACAAATAGACAAACAAGCAAAAACCCCAGGTTGGGGTTTTCGCTGCTGTTTGTTCAGAACGAAAGTTATAAAAGACATTTTGAAGTAATTTTATTAATAAACAAGCTGTTTGTTTCGAGGGCGAGTTACAAACGACACTTTAAGATAAAAAGGCTCTTCTTCCCTCTGAGGGAAAAATCAACAGGTGGGGAAGAAAAAGAATCGTTGGGAGAACGGGGGACGAAAACGGCGGGAAGAGCCGTGCGCATGCGCCTTCCCTCCCTCCTTCCCTTCGCCGGCTGAGCATCAAGAGCTGCCACGGCCGCGCTTGCGCAGTGCGGCGTTCCCTCCCTCCTTCCGTCCTCGCGCGACTGAGACGGCAGGGCACGGGCGGGGCCTGCCTTCCCTGTGTCTCTCGCTCTCGTCTCTCTTTCTCCACCCACCTTCGTACCACACCGGGCTGACGTGGCCCGGGCCCGGTTCAGACATGGCGGACGGCAGCAGGCAGAGCAAGCTGGCGTCGGCCAAGAAGAAGGTAGGGCGAGGCCGGAGCGCTGAGGGGAGAGGTGGGGGTGGCGGCGTTTCCCCCTCAGGCAGCAACTAACAGCAGCAGGAGGGGGAAGTAGGCGACAGCTGACGGGGCCTTCTTCGCCGGGGGGGGGGCTGTCTCCAGCTCCAGACACTCCCCGCTCTCCCCCTCCCCAGCTACGGAGATGCCTGATACCCCCGCCCCGCCTCAGCATAGGCTTAGTGAGGAATCCGCCTCAGATGCGGCCCCTGAGCGCCTGGGAGAGGACCCCGCCCCCTGTGATAGGTTTAATGGGGGAGATCCCTGCTTATTAGAGCACCCCTTGAAGTCATGGGAAGCGGGGGTCCTCCACGTGAGAGGTGTGTGTGTACGTATGTGTAGGAGTGAAAGACACTCACGTCTTACATGGGAGATCGCTCCCCCCTTTAAAATACCTCTTGAGTGCCTGAAAGACAACCCCTTCTGTAATAGGATGAAATAGGGGAGGGAGATCCCGTTCCTCTTATTAAAACACCCCTTGAAGTCATGGGGAATTGGGTCCTCCATGTGTGTTGGGGAGACCTTGCATGGGAGACTGCCCCCCCCCCCCGTGTTAAATTAAAACGCACTACTTCAGATATAGCTCTTGAGTGCCTGGAAGAGATCCCCTCCCCCTCTTACTAAAACACCCCTTAAAGTCATGGGAATGGGTCCCCATGGAAAAGTTTCGGGTTTGTGGTGGAGAGGCCCTTATTCATATCTTGGACACAACTCTTGCATGAGAAATGCCCCCCCCTTAAATTAAATACCTTAACTTTAGCTCTTGAGTGCCTGAAAAAGGACATCCCTCTAATAGGTTTAATGGAGGAGGGAGACCCCCCTCCCTTATTAAAATCACCTCAGATATATCCCTTCAATTCATGAGAGGGGCATCCTTCATGTATGTCAGGGGGGCAGAAGACCCTCTGTTATTCATACCTTAGACACACCCCATGCATAGGAGACAGCTCCCACTTTAACTAAACACCTAAGGTATAAGTAGTCCTGGAATGCCTGAAAGAAGCTCCCCTGCAAAGGGTTAGGCGGCACTCCTAACCTCACTTACCTGAATGTAAACCCCATTGAATTAAATAGGATTTACATCTGATTGGGCATTGCTTGGATTGTACTGTCAATGTGAGTGTGTTTGTTACACACACACATGCTGCATATATTACTTACTTCAGACTTACTCTTTGAAGCCATCGAAGGGGTCTGTCCACCTGTGTTTGCTTTACCTTTTTACTTTTACATGCTTAGGGTGTGTGTGATAGACTTCTCTTATTATATAGGTATACTCTTCCCCTTGAATATAATTTTTGTGGGGTTGAAAACTCTAATATTAAATACCTTAGACACACACTGCTCGAATTCCTGGAAAAAGATGTACCAGTAGGTTTAGAGAGAGTGGAGTGTAGACCTCTTTATTACACACCTTTAAAGACATGGGAGGGTGTCCTCTGTAATGATTCATTGAGGACGATCTTCCTCTTAGACACAAAGTGGACACATCCCACTTGAATGCCTGAAAGAAATGGTGGGCCCCTCTTTTATTAATAACTTGGATATGTCTCCTACATGCATGGAAGGATATCTCTCTATAAGTTTAGTGGGGGTGTGGAGACCCCTCTTTATTAAGCGCCCTCCCCCACATATCTTGAATGTTTAAGAAGGAAATCCCTCCCTTGCTAAACATCTTTGACACATCCTTTGAATGCATGGAAGGGGATTCTCCCTTACAGATTCAGAGAAACATACTTTTGGGGTTTAATCAATGTATGTATATGTGTATTGGAGTGGTGGGAGAGATTATCACCTGTTAAATGTCTAGGTCGCATAAGTGATCACCAAAGAAGAAGAAGAAATTTAAAGCACTCTTCTACCACTTTTAACAGTCAAGCCTTCCTCCAAAGAATCCTAGGAAGTATAGTTTGCTAAGTGTGCTGACTGCACAGAGCTACAGTTTCAAGTACTGTTAAGACACTATAGTTCCCAATATCCTCCATGACTGTCAAAGTGGATCAAGATTTCTTTAAATGTGTGGTGTGGGTGTGATCCTAGACATACCACTTGAAAGCCTGGGGAAGGATTTGTTCTTGCCATCATTCTTTCCTCCTCATTCTTTTTTTTATTAATATAATTTCACAGTTTTAGAAAGTGTTTTTCCTCAAACTTCTTAAATAGTTATTCTTATAATAATCAAAATTGCAAAATATACTATGATATTATGTGGGCTGTAGTGATTGATATATTGGAAAAACAAAGTAATGATTAATAAAAGAGAAGCAAAACGGAAAATCTAACAATAGCCATTTCCTCCCAGTACCTCAGTTTTATTGTGAATGCTAACCTAATTTAAAAAATGGTTTCATTCCACCTTTCCCTCCATGGGGAATTATTTTGCTCTTCTCTGGAAAATGACCTTCTAGTGTCTTTGAGAAGTATCAGGGTACAGTGGTACCTCGGGTTACAAACACTTTGGGTTACAGACTCCGCTAACCCGGAAGTAGTACCTCGGGTTAAGAACTTTACCTCAGGATGAGAACAGAAATTGTGCCGCCGTGGCACAGCAGCAGCAGCGGGAGGCCCCATTAGCTAAAGTGGTACTTCAGGTTAAGAACAGTTTCAGGTTAAGAACGGACCTCTGGAACGAATTAAGTACTTAACCAGAGTTACCACTGTATCCACTTTTATAGCAGGGAGGTCAATCTGTGGCTTAAAATCTGTTCCCAGATTCCCTAACTCTTGCGTTATTTGGGATGAGAATCTAGATAGCATACACATTCTGCAATACATTCACCCTACACTTTGCCTATTATTATTATTATTATTATGATGCCAATTATTTTTTTTGATTTTCCATACTTTTTAACAAATTGTCACCAAATTAATACAAATTCAATACAATTTAAAAGCTGACTTCCCACCCACCCCAAATGTCCCCTCTATTTTCCTCCCTCCTTTGCTGCTCCCAATAAAATAACTATTCCAACTATCATTTCAAAATATATTCATCCCTTCTGCCTACACATCACCTGTTCAATTACCAATTTCTGCTATGGCTTTTATACATTGTTATAACCTGTCCTCAGAATAGTTGTCTACTCTACTCTAATCACCCTCCACTTTGTAGATGTTAAGCTGTCGTTGTTCCACATACCTGTATGTGAACATAAGATAATCAGAAGTTGAAAATAGGTGATCTCCCTAGCCTTTGCACCTGGTTGGAGGGGGACTGCATCCATTTAGTGAGGGCAGTAAAGAGCACCTACCCTTATTGCAAAAGCAGTTACAGCCATACCATGAATCACTGTGAAGCTGCTGCCTCAGGTAGGAAAGTTGGGTGCAGTTTGCAGAAGATTTTAGGCAGCTGTCCAAACATTTAGGCAAAATGCACATCCTTGTATGGCATGCACTAATTTCTAGCGATAGAATGGTTGTGATGATGCCTCTAAACACATGCCAGTTGTGCAAATACTGTATATCCAGGTTAGTCACATGAACTTAAGAGTCATATTTGATACATGGTAGCCCTTCTGTCAGAAGCAGCTTTTAAAATTTGTCATTGAAAAGCTGATTGTTTCAAAGCTGCGGTAGTGACATCCTTAAGCGGCCAAATGTAGTTGGTGAGCATTCGGCTTGGGAGGAAACAACTTGTTCAGAGCTACTCTAATATTTTTTTATGATGGCCTTAGTGGGTATTTATAAAAGACTGCTGGGAAGTCATAATTTGGTGGTTCAGGGGGTGGGGCTTCTGAATTTCATTACGAGCTCCCTCTACCTTTTCCCTATCACAAAGTGATAAATTTGTAGGAAAGCTGGGGAGGTGAAAGAAAATGACCAGCTAGCAGAAGGTGCATGAAAGAGTGTTCCAGAAAGGCTTAGCTGACATCACTTCCAGCAAGTGATTTTTGAGGCCTGATTTAACTATAACAGTGGATCTACGGTGTAGTGATTTCTGCTTTCTATCTTGAAGAAAAGTGTAGTGCTTGCATTGATACCACTTGCCAGTAGATCTTCCATCTCTTAATCTCAGTAGAACAATAATTTTCTCCCATGTTATCAACATGACCACACTGGATAGATATGTGAGTAAAGGTAAAGGGGCCCCTGACCATTAGGTCCAGTCGTGACCGACTCTGGGGTTGCGGCGCTCATCTCGCTTTATTGGCCGAGGGAGCTGGTGTACAGCTTCCGGGTCATGTGGCCAGCATGACTAAGCCACTACTGACGAACCAGAGCAGCGCATGGAAACGCCGTTTACTTTCCCGCTGGAGCGGTACCTATTTATCTACTTGCACTTTGATGTGCTTTCGAACTGCTAGGTTGGCAGGAGCAGGGACCGAGCAACTGGAGCTCACCCCGTCGCGGGGATTCGAACCACCGACCTTCTGATCGGCAAGAGTAGAAAGCAGTTAAAATTGAGTTTACGAATATAAGGGAATAGAGGACTTCGTCTTCTGAATATGGTTTGGCGGTATGTTCAAGAGCAGTGATTGCCAACTTAGACAGGATTTAGGCCTTCAGAAATTCCATTTTTGAATGCCAAATTGATTTGTCATGATTTTGTGGATCGTAATTTTTGGCTTAGTAGTGGGAGATTTGAGTTCATGTTACACTCATATTTTGAGGCATGTTTTGGGCAAGTAACCTGCCTCAATTTCTGATGTGTTAACACAGGTGACCCTTCATAACACAGATATTGTATGGATAAAAATAGTGAGCAAATTTTATTCACATCCTGAGCCTAGGAATATGAACAACAATATGTATATCTTCATAAACCAAAACACTGAATAATAATTAAATACCCAATTTGTATCATGTTTTTAATATCTGGCACTATAGCTTAAATGTTTTGAAGAAATAAATGTGTTAAAGTTATATATATAACCAGGTTTAGAAATGCCACAGACAGCCAAACCAGCATAATTAGTTCATCATGGGCTACAGAGAAATTGTTCTTAACAGCCTAGTTGTCAACATGACTGGGCTCGTACAAGTAACTTCTCTGTAACAAGTAAGCACCTTGAAGTGCAGATGGTTAAAAGTAAGATGTAATACATTGTGGGATTTTTAACCTTCCCTTGTGGGTGTGTCTGAAAACTCCCAGGTGCCTTTTTGCCCAGGCACCTAGCAATTTGAAATATTTTTTTTCAATTTTGCTTGTGTGCTTTCTCCATAGCTTAAGATGCTTATGCTTAAGAAATGGAAAATATTATTTTTAAAATTGAACTATTCCTGGTAACATCACCAGATTCTTGTTATGTGACCATTTGAACTGTCAGTAATTACTGGTTAAGTGTATTGTAACCTAGTTATATTGCAAGTGTTTGCAAGGTTTGAAACTTGAACCTGGTGGTATTGCCACAGACTCAGAATTTGCAGAATGCTTTATGAAGTTCCCTGTTGACCACTCTAATACTCTGAAATTTATTGATTGACTCAAGATGGGGTTTGCATTCTGCCACTATTGCGAGGTTTAGTTGAGATGAAATAGGAAATGGGAGTTTCTGAAAGTTTTAACTAGATCAGTGAAACTGAACCCTCTGGCACATAACACAAAAAAGGACTAACATGCCAAGGGCTTTTTCATTCTACAGTGTGATTGTCTTTAGCTTGCAGTTGCTCTAGAAAACAAACAGGTTTGTGTTTTCTATAGTTGAACTATAGTTTAAAGCAAACTATTGTTTTGTGTGAACCAGTAGTGTGCTGTTGCAGGCTGCTCAGTCACACAGCCCTCCACCCCTCCCTTGACTGCTGCTGTATTACAGCTGAAACAATCCAGAGTCTGATTTGTTTTGTTGTCCAAACCTGGGATTCTGGTTTGTTGGTCTCCAAAGAGACCATGAGCAATAACCAAGGCTTGTTCTTAGCTTACCATTATAGTCTGTTTGGAGAAAGCAAACCATGAATGCAGTTTCAGATGATATGAGAAGCCAGACTTTGCCTTTTTCATTTGTAGAGCAGTAGCAGCAGGTGCATAGAAGGAGCACTGAGGGAACTTCTAAGCAGCATGCACTAGCATGCTGCTTAATCACCACAAACCATTGTTTATTTTAAACTATAGTTTAATGTGGTTTGTAAACCATTCTGTACACCACCAAGTTCAATAATCACTCTGGGTCTTTTTCTTCATCAGTTTTTACTGTGTTTTTTGTTCCAGCTCTTTCTGTTTTACTTCTTAGCTTTCAGTGTAGAAGGTTTAATTAGTTAGACTTCAGGTTTTTCTTCTTTTTCTTAGCTGAAGGAATATCAACAGAAGAATAGCCCTGGGTCAGCAGCTGGAGCAAAGAAGAAACGTAAAGGCAAAGAAGGAAGTAGACCAGAGACACCAACTAATGATGGCAGAGAGTCTCCTGAAAACGTGAGTGGCTTACTTAACTATTTCAAATGCTCCAAAATATTTTGCTTCTACTTCTGTTTGAAGATAGTTTTAACACTGTAAAAAATTGAAGAAGGCTGTGTGTTTTTCTTTAGTACTACAAACACCTTGAACTCATTGGACAGAAGTGGGGTATAAATACAATAATCAGTTGATAATAGATAAGTAAGGATGGGAAATTCAGTAGAAAGAAATATTTGGCTCCTTGGTTGTTTTGAGGGAATAGTAGTATATAGTTTGTATATTCTGCTGGAGTGAAGGAGTTAGTTGCATCTTTTCCTAAACAGATTGCATGCAAGCAAGTTACTCCCATCTTGTTGGTATTAGGATCTCTGCCATTTTCCTTTTTCTTGTTCCTTTGGCTTCAGGAACCCGCTGAACAATGTTCTCATTCTGTCCCTTTTCTCTGCTGTTTCTCTTTCCACTTTTCTTTCACCCCCTTTAGATTCAGAACATTCTGAAGGTGTTGGTGTCAGACCTTAACCGCTCCAATGGGGTAGCCATACCTTCATTGGACAAGAGGAAGGTGAGGCAGCATTCAGAATCTGTCCAACTGGCTTGCTGTCCATACTGCATGATTCAGTTCCTATTTACAAATTAGGGTTTCTTGGGTGGGTGGAACAGATTTTGGGATACTTGTCATACTTGTTAGCTGCGTGAATGTTGTTGGCTATCATTAACATTGAACTATTTTTAACCTTGTGTGCACTTCCCTTAATGTGGCTCAAATTACAATTGTGAAGAAGGGTTGCTTCTTGGATTTTTAAGATTGCTTTGCTTAAAGCAGCTGTTTTGGAATGTCAAGCATAACTGAAGGGATTGCCACCCCCAATACTACTGTTTCCAAGGTGATAGTGAATGAATGCATAAGTAGCGTTGTTCACTGTGGACTGCGGGTTGGGCTTGACTTCCATTTCGCTTGTGATCTTTTCCGCATGTTAGTGGGTTTTGTTTGTATGTTGTAGAAGCACCTCATCTCAGAAATGCATGTTCTTGCTCATCTATATTCAGACTGTTGCCCTGGAGGATAAGCTATGTGGGTTAATCATGCCAACTCATGATTTGACAGGCAATGAAATTTGAACACATGATACAGTCTGAGGAGTAATAAACATTTAGATTTACCTAGGCAGAAAAAGTCTTCCTATTCCTTGTATTACAAAGGACTGTTAGGAAAACTGAGTTTTGCATACTTTGCTAACCCAGGTTGAATTCAATTAAAAATAAAGGGCTGGGTCTAATAGAAACCAGTCTGCTTGAGTTGGCTGCATCTGAGTATTTTTAAAGCACACACTTGCCATGTTTTAGAAAGCAGAGAGCCAGTAATGGTGTAGTAGTTAAGAGTCTTGGACCAGGCCCTGGGAGACCAGGACTCAAATCTTACACTCAGCCATGAAGTTCACTGGGTGACCTTGAGCCAGTCACTGTCTCTCATCCTAACCTACCTCAAAAAGTTGCTGTGGGGATTAAATAAGGAAAGAGAGAACCATGTGTGCCACCTTGAGTACTTGGAGAAAAATGTGATAGATAAATGCAATAAATTAAAAATAATAAACATAATTAGCTTTCCCCCCTGAAAAATATATAAATATCAAAATAAGTTGTGAATAAACAACTGTCTGCAAGCTGTTTCTTCATGTTTTATTACCATTGCTTAGTGATATAGCATTTGCTGTTTATTCAGAAGAAACGAGGTTCGATCCCCACCATCTCCAGGGAGTCCCTTTTCTGAATTCCTGAAGAGCTGCTGCCAGTCAGTGTGGGCAATGTTGAGCTAGGTGTACCAATGATCTGACTAGGTAAAGGGCAGCTTCCTATGTTCCTTTAAAACTTTAGCTTTATCTTTGGTGTTGGCAGATGCCCACCAAACATTTACATTAACTTTGTGGGTGCCATTTCAACTTACTGTTGCATTTGAATTCAGGCATCAAAATAACCATATTGTATTGGTTACAAGATCAGGGGTGGAAAGTAAAGGGGTGTGTTATCTTCAAAATCCTATTATGAGCAAAATACTGTATGTGGATTTTTTAGATGGAAAGCTGCACATTCCTGCAGGAAATGCAACGGTTGTAAAAGTTACAAGGCCTATTTCCTATGAAGCTGGATGGCCTATGAGGATGTTAGGCTGGTAGCTGGTGTTGTTGTTTGTATTGTATAGGGCAAGGATATGAAATCTGTGGCCCTTCAGGTGTTGTTGGATTCCAGCTCCTATCACCTCTGATATGAATTAGGAGTCCAATATCTCATTCCCCATGTCTGGTATAAAGTCAATCTTTCAGTTATTTCTGAGGATGATATTTCATGAGGACATGGGCTTCATGAAGAAAGTGTTGGACTTCAGCATGGAAACCCGAGTCTAGGTCTGTCTTAACCATTGAAAGTCAATCGGTCTCAGTTCTCCAGCTGTAACTTTAAAATAATAGAGTTCTGTATTCAGTATATCCTGGCTTTTTGAGCAGAATATATTCAAGGCGAATTATAATAAATAGGCTATAAACGTCTCTGGAGAGGCTATTCCATCATTTGGCTACCACTATGGAAAAGGCTTCATCTTTCAGGATACCTACATTATCCTAAGCAGATTGACTGTTACACAGTAAAAGGAATATTGGCCCTAATCTTTGTTGTTGTTGTTTAGTCGTTTAGTCGTGTCCGACTCTTCGTGACCTCATGGACCAGAGAACGCCAGGCACTCCTGTCTTCCACTGCCTCCCGCAGTTTGGTCAAACTCATGCTGGTAGCTTCGAGAACACCATCCAACCATCTCGTCCTCTGTCGTCCCCTTCTCCTTGTGCCCTCCATCTTTCCCAACATCAGGGTCTTTTCCAGGGAGTCTTCTCTTCTCATCAGGTGGCCAAAGTATTGGAGCCTCAGCTTCACGATCTGTCCTTCCAGTGAGCACTCAGGGCTGATTTCCTTAAGAATGGATAGGTTTGATATTCTTGCAGTCCATGGGACTCTCAAGAGTCTCCTCCAGCACCATAATTCAAAAGCATCAATTCTTCGGCGATCAGCCTTCTTTATGGTCCAGCTTTCACTTCCATACATCACTACTGGGAAAACCATAGCTTTTACTATACGGACCTTTGCTGGCAAGGTGATGTCTCTACTTTTTAAGATGCTGTCTAGGTTTGTCATTGCTTTTCTCCCAAGAAGCAGGCGTCTTTTAGTTTCGTGGCTGCTGTCACCATCTGCAGTGATCATGGAGCCCAAGAAAGTAAAATCTCTCACTACCTCCATTTCTTCCCCTTCTATTTGCCAGGAGGTGATGGGACCAGTGGCCATGATCTTCGTTTTTTCGATGTTGAGCTTCAGACCATATTTTGCGCTCTGCTATTTCACCCTCAATAAAAGGTTCTTTAATTCTTCCTCACTTTTTGCCATCAAGGTTGTGTCATCTGCATATCTGAGGTTGTTGATGTTTCTTCCAGCAATCTTAATTCCGGCTAGGGATTCATCCAGCTCAGCCTTTCGCATGATGAATTCTGCATATAAGTTAAATAAGCAGGGAGACAATATACAGCCTTGTCGTACTCCTTTCCCAATTTTGAACCAATCAGTTGTTCCATATCCAGTTCTAACTGTAGCTTCTTGTCCTACATAGAGATTTCTCAGGAGACAGATGAGGTGATCAGGCACTCCCATTTCTTTAAGAACTTGCCATAGTTTGCTGTGGTCGACACAGTCAAAGGCTTTTCATAGTCAATGAAGCAGAAGTAGATGTCTTTCTGGAACTCTCTAGCTTTCTCCATAATCCAGCGCATGTTTGCAATTTGGTCTCTGGTTCCTCTGCCTCTTCTAAATCCAGCTTGCACTTCTGGGAGTTCTTGGTCCACATACTGCTTGAGCCTTCCTTGTAGAATTTTAAGCATAACCTTGCTAGCGTGTGAAATGAGTGCAATTGTGCAGTAGTTGGAGCATTCTTTGGCACTGCCTTTCTTTGGGATTGGGATGTAGACTGATATTCTCCAATCCTCTGGCCACTGCTGAGTTTTCCAAACTTGCTGACATATTGAGTGTAACACCTTAACAGCATCATCTTTTAAAATTTTAAATAGTTCAGCTGGAATACCATCACTTCCACTGGCCTTGTTATTTGCAGTGCTTTCTAAGGCCCATTTGACTTCACTCTCCAGGATGTCTGGCTCAAGGTCAGCAACCACACTACCTGGGGTGTATGAGCCATCCATATCTTTCTGGTATAATTCCTCTGTGTATTCTTGCCACCTCTTCTTGATGTCTTCTGCTTCTGTTAGGTCCTTACCACTTTTGTCCTTTATTATGGTAATCTTTGTACGAAATGTTCCTTTCATATCTCCAATTTTCTTGAACAGATCTCTGGTTCTTCCCATTCTGTTGTTTTCTTCTATTTCTTTGCATTGCTCGTTTAAGAAGGCCTTCTTGTCTCTCCTTGCTATTTTTTGGAAATCTGCATTCAATTTCCTGTATCTTACACTATCTCCCTCGCATTTTGCTTGCCTTCTCTCCCCCGCTATTTGTAAGGCCTCGTTGGACAGCCACTTTACTTTCTTGCATTTCTTTTTCATTGGGATGGTTTTCGTTGCTGCCTCCTGTATAATGTTGCGAGCCTCCATCCATAGTTCTTCAGGCACTCTGTCCCGCAAATCTAAATCCTTAAACCTGTTCCTCACTTCCACTGTGTCTTCATAAGGGATTTGGTTTAGATTGTATCTTATCGGCCCAGTGGTTTTTCCTACTTTCTTCAGTTTAAGCTTGAATTTTGCTATAAGAAGCTGATGATCTGAGCCACAGTCAGCTCCAGGTCTTGTTTTTGCTGACTGTATAGAGCTTCTCCATCTTTGGCTGCAGAGAATATAATCAATCTGATTTCGATGCTGCCCATCTGGTGATCTGGTAGAGTTGTCTCTTGTGTTGTTGGAAAAGCGTGTTTGTGATGACCAGCTTGTTCTCTTGACAGAACTCTATTAGTCTTTGCCCTGCTTCGTTTTGATCTCCAAGGCCAAACTTGCCAGTTGTTCCTTTTATCTCTTGATTCCCTACTTTAGCATTCCAATCCCCTATAATGAGAAGAACATCCTTTTTTTGGTGTCACTTCTATAAGGTCTTGTAAGTCTTCATAGAATTGGTCAATTTCAGTTTCTTCAGCACCAGTAGTTGGTGCATAAACTTGGATTACTGTGATGTTAAAAGGTCTGCCTTGGATTCGTATCGAGATCATTCTATCATTTTTGAGATTGCATCCCAGTACAGCTTTCGCCACTCTTTTGTTGACTATGAGGGCCACTCCATTTCTTTTACGGGTTTCTTGCCCACAGTAGTAGATATGATAGTCATCCGAACTGAATTCGCCCATTCCCGTCCATTTTAGTTCACTGATGCCCAGGATATCAATATTTATTCTTGCCATCTCATTTTTGACCACATCCAACTTACCCAGGTTCATGGTTCTTACATTCCAGGTTCCTATGCAATATTTTTCTTTACAGCATTGGACTTCCCTTTCGCTTCCAGGCATATCCGCAACTGAGCGTCCTTTCGGCTTTGGCCTAGCCGCTTCATCAGCTCTGGATCTACTTGTACTTGTCCTCCGCTCTTCCCCAGTAGCATGTTGGACGCCTTCCGACCTGAGGGGCTCATCTTCCAGCATCATAACTTTTATATGCCTGTTGTCTTTGTCCATGGAGTTTTCTTGGCAGGGATACTGGAGTGGCTTGGCGGTTCCTCCTCCAGGTGGATCACGTTTGGTCAAAACTCTCCACTATGACCTGTTCATCTTGGGTGCCCTGCTCGGCATAGTTCATAGCTTCTCTGAGTTATTCAAGCCCCTTCGCCACGGCAAGGCAATGATCCATGAAGGGGACCTAATCTTTAGGATAAGCCAAATGGTGGTTAAAAAAAAGAAAGAAATGCTGTTCCCTTGAGATGAAACAGTGTTTGTTCAGTGAAAATGTCCCTTGGGATAGTGGCCAGATTGAAGCTTTTTGCTTTGAAATGGAGAAATACTCTTTTAGGTAGAAGTGAGTTGTCTTCAGTGATATGCTACCACAGAATGACATGTTTCAATCCAGTTATGTAGCCAGTGAGTTCCAAATTTTGGTTCATGAATTATCTGGGGAGCTGAGAACAAACTTTCCTTTCTTTCACTTGGGAAATGGGGAATGTATTAGCTATTTGCTTTTCTATATTGCCCATCCTCCAAATAGCTCAGAGGAGCACACATGGTTCTCCACCCACCCTTTTAACCTTGCAGCAATCCTAAAAGAGACTGACTGGCCGAGAGTCACTCAGTAGAGATTTGAATTCAGGTCTCCCAGTCTTAGTCTGACACCATGCTGATTCTCTGCACTAATTTATATCACAGTTTGTGACAATATATGAGATCAGTGTAAAACCTTCTGCCCATGTGATTAACAATCCAGTGAAAGATAAAGATAAAGATAAAGAACTGCTATGCCTGCTGGCCCTGCCCTTGTATCACCACTTCCTCCTCTGCTGTCTGCACACTGTTGTGTGTACAGGCATATGTGTAGAAGACAAATTGCCCTATGTGTGTAGGCTCCAACTGCAGTGTGTGATGGTACATGATCAGGGTCCATTGCTCTAAAGACATGAACCCTTAATACGTACACGGCAGCAGTAGGTGAATGCCTGAATATGGCTAGTGTTTGATACAGTAGGTCCTTTAAGGGTGTTACACTCCTAACTCACACACATTCTTTATTTCGGTCCAAAGACCCACAAAAACATTTTCAGAAGCAAAATAAAACAGAAATACAAGAAAAGGATTCTAAGGCAGTCACTATGTTTTATCCAGACCATGTTGGTTAATATTTCTTATTACTTCTGAGAGGAACTTAGCCATGCCCAGGGTAGTATCATTTGACATATATCCAAGGAGGTACTTGAGATGGAAAGAGTCGGGTTTTCCAGTTAAGTTTACCAATAGGGGTTTACTTAATTGATCCCTGGTATGTTGGACTGGAAAAGACCCTGATGTTGGGAAAGATGGAGGGCACAAGGAGAAGAGGACGACAGAGGACGAGATGGTTGGATAGTGTTCTCGAAGCTACCAGCATGAGTTTGACCAAACTGCGGGAGGCAGTGGAAGACAGGAGTGCCTGGCATGCTCGGTCCATGGGGTCAGGGAGAGTCGGACACGACTAAACAACAACAACAACATGTTGGACTGCTCACTGTGCAGTAGAATCGACACCCTGAGAGCACTCTTAACTAGAAGGAGGGTTCCTGAACTCTTTTTGGTAGAATGTCAGATTTAGTGAAATGCTACCTTGGAATACTTATTTGACTCTACTGGGCAGAAAAGATGAATACTGGCAACTGAGATAATATTGTTATTTGTGCTTGCACAACCTCTGTTGCTGGGCCTAGGCAGAACAGAAATCTTTCAGTATAGCTCCTGAAAGAAAATCATGTACCTTCAGAGGTACATGTCACCAATGTGTGATCTATTTTCTTGAGGCTACCGCATGTTATAGGCTTCAGAGATTTTTGTCTGAGAATGAGCTTTTATCACTTTGGGAGGCTGATTGCATTAACAGTTGTACAATGTGTCAAAGGACAAAGTGCGTATTTGAAGATCTAACAAATGTGTCTCTTTGTCCCCTGTATGTGTTCTTGGGAACAAAAGTGCCAGGATAAAATGAAGGGTAGAGATGCTTGCGCAGGGAAGGGTGGGTGGGTACCAGCCATTCTAGCAATACTTAAAATTTCCATGGTAATAAAAACATATAGGAAGAGCCCTACTGGGTTCGGCTGAAGGCCCATGTGGTCCAGCATCCTCTTCTCACAGTGGCCAATCATGGCTTAGCATGGATAAGCAAACATGCAGGTTCCAGGAGAGTTGACAGTTGCTTTATTCTTCATTTTGTCTTGCTGCTGCTAGTTTGACTTAATATTATGCCCAAACCCAGATTCATGATTTATTTTACTGCAGACAGAACACAAGCTGTAGCCCAAGTTTGTTATATGACGTGACAAACCATTTGTGGTTTGTCTGGAGCAAGATAAACCATGAGTCTGGGTTCAGACATGTTGCTCACAGCAGTGTGGCAGCAGCAGGACCAGAGGAGTAGCAAAACAACTCTGGATCTTCTCCCTAAAAATGAGCCTAATGCTTGAATGGTGTTATATCTGAACTGAGTCACTTTATTTCTTTCTCCCTCCCAGCCCTGTTGGCCGCTTTTTCAAATTTGCTGCCTCTTCCCTTTCTCTAATACTTAGAACAGAGGTCGGCAAACTTTTCTGCCCGCGGGCCAGAGCGCGCACGCACCCGTGCACATGCACACATGCACACATGCCCGCCGCTCTTTGCCTATTGGCTTTCGGAGCCATGGTAGCAGAGGAGGAGGCATCTGCGGCTTCCTATTGATTGCAGGAGCTTCCTGCAGCCGATAGGAAGCTGTGGCTGTGTCCTGGAAGGCAGTCCCCACACAGAGCTAAGCCACACAGAGCTAAACCAGCGCGCCACACCTGTTTAGCTCTGTGCGGGGACTGACTGAGCAGGCAACAATGGCCGGGGGGTGGTTTAACTTCGTCTTAACTGCCCCCTTTTCCAGGGAGTCTTCTCTTCGCTTCCCTGGAAAAGACCCTGATGTTGGGAAAGATGGAGGGCACAAGGAGAAGGGGACGACAGAGGACGAGATGGTTGGACAGTGTTCTCGAAGCCACAAACATGAGTTTGACCAAACTGCGGGAGGCAGTGGAAGACAGGAGTGCCTGGCGTGCTCTGGTCCACGGGGTCACGAAGAGTCGGACACGACTAAACAACAACAACAACAACACCCCCTTGGGCTGTAGTTTGCCAACCCCTGGCTTAGAACTTCATCCATGAGCTGTTTGCGGGCTTGGGATATATCTCTTTGGATATTTAATAACTTGAACCTAGGGTTAGTGTGCACCAGTTCACTGAGGTCTAACAGACAATATTCCTCTTTACATTCAGTTTAAATTTGGTCCCTGGTTGCCAGTCTCTAACTTCGGTGTCTTGGAAACCACGGACAACACTTTGGGAGAAACGTTTTCCCCACTCCCACTATACAATCTAGGTGTGTATAGTGACTCATTCTGTTCCATCCCTATCTGATTAGCTGTCTTCCCAGGAATATGCACTTTGCAAAAGTAAAGGATCAATGTAACATGAACCATGTTGAGGTTGGCATTGCCCACCATGTTTGCATCACACCAAAAACATTGAACTGATTTCTGCAAGAAGTTCCAGCAGATAGTGACAGTTCACAGGATTAGCTTTTTTTGGGTACATGTACATTTTTTGTACATTGTTCTGAGAAGAGCATTCCTCCGCTGATCTGCCTCTAGGTTTGACAGGTTCTTCTAGAAATGGTGCATGCTTGTATTCATCTGGGTTCCCCCTCACCTGCATGGTGCTTGTAATCTTTATGGTATGTTTTGTGACAGGCATACTGTGATGGTGATGTTTCCGCTCACAATGCTGAACAACTCGCTGCTGGTGTCCACATGCTGTCTAACAGCAACAGTTTGCCTAGCTCTGCCGCTCCAAGTCCTGGTAGCATGCAGCTGTTGCAGGTTTGTCAATGTTTGCATCCCCCACACTGAACACCCTAGATAACTTTGTGTGTGTGTGTGTGTGCGTGCGTGTGTGTATTTGAAATATAAAGCAAAGCATACTTCCCAAAAGAGCGGGGAGGTGATGGTAACACAGACATTTCAGTTACCAACACTGGCCTGTCAGTCTGCAACTATAGGAGGATTTGGCTATACAGAACACTTAGATTTAGGTTGCACAATACATTCCTTCCTCATCTCTCAGTCTTCAGCCATTGATTGAATGTAGTTTCGTTGGAAGGGTAAGATGAGTACAGTTGGGCACCGTGTTGGGCACTGTGGCCCCCTAAGCTCTCTCCTTTAGCCTATAGATTAGCTTTCACATCTTAACATTTATTTGTACATCTCTTCTAGATGGTTGAAATGTAAGGGCAATAGTAAAGCCAAATATTTGTCTACTCTGTTTCCATATCTGCCAAGCCCTGAGGCTAATTTCCTTCTTCTTAGGTAATAAATTCAAGATAGGAATAACTTGATGGTGTCAACCAACTGGTTTAGCACCTTCTGCCTGTCTGTTCAGCTTATATGCAATTTATATTAATGTGTGTGAGCTGTGGCCCTCTGACTCATGATACATATCCTCTGTGGTTCCTTGTGTACTGAAGTTGTCCATTCCTGATCTACAGTAATGAATATTTCTATATTTTTAAAAAAGTAAGTGTTAATTGAAAAATTCCTAACAAAACAAAGTGATAGACAACCAGCCTGACCCTTTGCTTGAGCATTAAATATGTGAAGCTTATTAAGTATTTTTTCTTGAATTGTGCTATGGCAGGGGTCAGCAAACATTTTCAGCAGGGGGCTGCTCCACTGTCCCTCAGACCTTGTGGGGGGCCGGACTATATTTTGGAGGGGGGGAAATGAACAAATTGCTATGCCCCACAAATAAAACACGCTGATTCCCAGACTGTCCATAGGCCGGATTTAGAAGGCAATTTGGCCCGATCTGGCCCCCGGGCCTTAGTTTGCCTACCCATGTGCTATGGTATAGAAGTCTAGGTGTGCTGTGTTTTGTGCATCCTGTGTTGAAGCAGTCCTCAGGGCAGGTATGCAAAACCTGTGGCCTTCCAGATGTTGTTTAACTCCAGCTCCCGTTAGTCCTAGCTGATGGGCAGGGATGATGGGAGCTGGAATCCAACAACATGTGGAGGGCTGCAGGTCCTTCATTCTTGCGTTGGGGAATAAAGCAATGGTAGATGTTGTGAGGTGTCACTCAGAAGGAGAGGAGTGTATCCAGTCTTTTGTTGGAGTTACATATATCTGTGCATGTGCATTCTTATACATATCCATATATTTGTGTTTCTGCTTTCTACTACAGTAATGTATCTTTTTTATTTCACAGATCTGTGACACTGATCATAAAAATGCCTTGGAAGAAAATAGGTGAGAGGTTTCTCTCTGTATTCTCTCCTGCTCTCTCGATCATATTCCAGTCACTAAAAATGAGGATTGTTCTTAATGTCTACTTTATTACAGATGTTTGTTGTGTGTCATCTTCCTTTTTTAGGTCCCTCTCATTGGCAGATAGTCTCCGCCAGCTGTCTGAACAGCTTAATGGCATGGTCAATCAGGTAAAAGCCAAGTTCTTCTGATCTGTCTATCTTAGAATCATAGACCTAGAAGAGATCTCAAAGGACACCTAGTCCATCCTTCTGCTGATGCAGGAAATCTGCAACTACAACACCCCTGATTATAGTCCATCACCTTCTAAGGCAATCTGTTTCACTGTTGAACACCTATCATACTGTCAGGAAGTTCTTCCTAATATTTAGTCCTTTTCTTTCTTTTTTGGTGATTCGAGTCCATTGGTCTGGGTCCTACCCTCTGGAATAAAGAGAGCAAATTTGCTCCATCATCTGTGACAGCCCTTCAAATATCTGAAGATGGCTGTTAGATTGCCTCTTAATCGTTTCTTATTTTTATATGGCCAGCTCTTGAATTTTCAGTTATTGTATGGTTCCTTGCAGCCAGACAATAAAACCTGAAGATGCTTTCAGACTGAAAGCCAGAAATGGTGTGTGTCATGTGACCTGTGGGAAGTGTGTGTGAATGAGATATACTCAAGGGTTATACACTGGTAACACATGAAAGGGCTGCTCGCCTTCTCTTAAAGAAGCTGTTTCCTGTCTACAGTCATACCTTGGATCCCGATCACCTTGTGAGTTGACTGTTTAGGCTCCCAAATGCCACAAACCGGAAGTGAGTGTTCCGGTTTGCACATGTTCTTTGGAACCTGAACGTCCGACATGGCATCCTATTGGCTGCAGGAGATTCCTGCAGCCAATCGGAAGCTGTGCCTTGGTTTCTGAACTTTTTGGAAGTTGAACAGACTTCCGGAACGGATTCCATTTGACTTCTGAGGTACCACTGTATTTCTTATCAGAGGTTCAAATTCCATAGATGTAGCCTTGTTAGCCTGTTAATCTTGTGACATCTTAAAAGTGGCATATTTATATTCAAGAAACTATATAGTTCACCACTGGAACCATCCTGGAATAATCCAGTTTAAATACAGCTAGACAAGAAGCAGTTAAAAGCATCTCAGCACTAAAACAACAGGAGTAGTAATAATTGGCCATATTATCCAAGGCTTTTTCATCTATATGTAAATCTGCTAGTGGTCCAGTTTGCGCATAATGCTAAGTGTGAATGACCATGGTTGCAAGTACTTAGCAAAAATTGCACCCTCTTTGCTCCTCCCCTGGTCCTGCTGGTGCTGTGCTACCTGGGGGGTAAGCCATTGTTTAGCTTAGCATTGCATATTAACTCATATATGTGGTTTCCCTTGAGTCCAAACCATGAACAGGGAGCCAAACAGCTCACTGCAAGCTTGCTCTGAGTGCCCATGTGTTTCCTCTTTATATATAACCATTATGTGCAAATGAAATTTGTTTAAGCCATGGTTTAACAAACTATGAGCTAATGAGAGGTTGTCTCACAGACAAATCAAATTGTGGTTTGTTTTCTGGAGATTCGTACCTAACACCTTATATTTTAGAGTGTGGTGGTCAAGCAAACATAGTCAAGGAAGAGTGCTGCTTTCACATATAAAATTAAGCCATAGGTAAAACAAACTTAGGTTTATAAGCCAACAGCAAAGCATTGCTTCTAATTGTGGATTGTTTGTAGTAAACCATATTTAAGCTGCTGGACTGAGTTTGCACATAATGCTAAGCCATGGTTTAATAAACCAGAATTTTGTGTTATGTGTGAACCAGGACAGCAGAGAGGTTGTGGGGTAGAAACACATTTTTAAAAATAGCCTCTCTGTGGGTAAAAAGCTAGCATGCCAGGAAGAAAGATACTAGCCCAGTCTGTTGTTCTAGTTTTCTACCTATAGTTCAGGTGTCTTTATTTTTAGTGCAAGAGAACACTTTGCACTCCGTTTATGATCTAAAGTGTTACACTGAATTCTGCTACCTCAATACTTTACTGCTTCGTGTTGGCTGCATGTGTAAATCAAACCTAAAAGATCCTCTGATCTATTATCAGTATATTATGAGGGACATTTATCTTACCTGAACCATGTACAGTGGTACCTCTGGTTACGAATTTAATTTGTTTCGGGTTGCCGTGTGCACCCCAAAAAATCCGTAACTAGAGGGGCCGCTTCTGTGCACGCACGGCACAATAGAGCGCTTCAGCCATAACCTGAAGATTCTGTAACCTGGAGGTTACACAACACGAGGTACCACTGTATGGGGTATTTTACTTGTAGAACTTCCAACACAATCTACCTTAGCATTAATCATAGGAAGGGGAAGAGTGCCTGTAATATAGGTGGGTGTTTGAAGGAACCTCTTGCCGTAGTGGGTACACTAAGTTACCTTTCTGTTTACTCTCCAGTTTCAAAATTTTCTTATTCTGTAGGAGTGTTGTCATCCCACTAAGGGAAATATTTAACTGAAATTCATGTTCACATTTTCCAAGTTAACTAGTTGTGATGGCAAATATCTTGTATTTTACAGCCCACGGCCTATGTGAATGGGGAAGATGCCACATCTTCAACAGATATGAAAGAGATGGCAGTAAGTGCAGTGCTCCTGGCTCTTTGTCAGTCTGCATTTCTTTGAACAATATAGTAACGAATCTAGTGTGTGTACTAGTAATAAGAACTTAACTTGAGTGCAAGAAATGACAACAACATTGCATGTTAAAGTTTTACTTGTTTAGATGAAGGCTCCTGCAGTGGCTTTTAGACTGGATTATGGAAGTGTAAAGATCCATCCTGATGTTCCTTTGAAAGGAGATTAAGCTTTTGGTGGTTTAGTATGTATTTGGTAGTGGTGGGGGATGATGTGTTTGTGTAAGAATGGGCACCACAAATTAGTTCAACTGTGATGCTGATTATTATTTTCTCTCCCTTTTTTAATAATTTGCCTTTTCTCCCCTTTTCTACTCCCTTCCTCTTCCTCCTCCTCCTCCTCCTGCTATCTGCATGTGCCCATCAGACACGTTACCAGGAGCTGGCAGTAGCCCTAGACTCCAGCAATCTAACAAACAAACAACTCAGTACAAAGATAGAGGAATTGGTAAGAAATAACCAGACCAAAATGTTTGGCCTTGTCTTGCTGCTCCTCTGTGCTCTCTGGGTGTCTGCAAGGATTTGGGTTCTTTCACAGTGCCACAAAGAAAAGTGCCAAAGGGGTGCGGAGGGAGTGAGGGATCAGACTAATCTAAATAAAAATAGAGAAAAAGGGGGAAAAGGAAGAGAGGGGAAAAAACAAAGAGACAGAATAGGAGGGGAGAGGGAGAGAGAATACAGAGCCCTCTTTATACAGAGCCACAAAGGGGAGGATACCCTCCCAGCTCTCACCTGGGTTCTTCTGTTTCTACTCCCAGCCTGAAAGTTCTTCCCTTCTCTGCTTCTCATGCAGAGTCCTTCATCAGTCCTTCATCATCTTCGTCTGATTATCCTCATCAGCTCAAGGTAGAGGACATCAAAAGATGAAATAAAACGTGAACAAAAATAGAATTAACCAAAAAAGGGACAAAAGCTAAATATCATTAAAAAGGAAAAGGAAAATAGAGATCAAGGCAATAGAGGACTTCTTATTCTCCATTTGCCCATTATGTATATTTAGATTATTCAAAGTATTCAAAACATTCACTCCACAATAGCATCCCACTGTATTCTAGGACAATGTCCAACTGTTCCTCAATCTGCTAGGTGTTGTTTTTTCAATCTTCAGTCCTAGACACCTGAAGTTCATTTATTTTCCTTTCTACACAAAAAGACCAAAAGGGGCTGTTTCAGTTGCTATTATTACTAGATAGCAAGATTATTCTTCCTCCATTCCAGTATAACAATTTTATTTCCAAGAGGTTTCCTTATAATAATCCACAGTTATTTGTTTATTGCATGTTTATTAATTGGTACCCAAGTCCGTATCTTTCAATCCCATTTCCTGTTGGCCATGATTAAAGGGACTCTTGAAGGTGATCCAGTAGTGGCTGTCACAGATGGAAGTTCAGGGTCCAAGAGTAAAACATTGGTCTGAGCCTATCACCTTAAGCACACTCATGTCTGTGCATTGATGTGACCTCTTTCTGTCTCCTTACTGTGAACAGGTGTGTTCATCTTTTATGCTGTGCCTACAGAACTACCTTGTGGGAGGATGTGGGAGAGAAAGAGGTTCCTTGCTTTCATTTCCCATAGAGAAATGGGAGGCAAACCAAAATCACAGAGGATTTTGATAGCCAAGAACTTGCCCACTTGCAAGAGAAGTGGGTTGCAAGAGATAAGTAGAGATTAAATTTAGTAATCAAGTAAGTCAGTTGCCAAGGTGGTTTATACCCAGGTTTAGTCTTTTTTGGGGAGGAGAAATTTGTTTGGAAAATAGCTGAGTTTCAACCTCTCTCCTATTCATAAATGTAAGTGCTAATTGTATTGGTTTTCAGCATCTGTTGAGAGTTCAGGAATGCACACAAATAGAGACTTTAAAAGTAGGGCTTGCTTTGATTCTACTTTGCAATTGCATGATGAGCTGCTGCTGAACTTCTCCTAACTGGAACAGCGTTGACTCTATTGAATCTGTTTCAACAAAGATTGGGGCTTAGCTTTCTAGACTTAAAACATGGGGATAGTGAGTGACCATCTTTTGAGCAACAGTGGCACTGTGAGTGAGCCTGTTTGTCTTTAGCTTGCATGGGTGGCTTCTGCTACTGTTACTTTACTCACTGCCTTTTAAAATACAGCTAGAAATATGTGAGGCCTGTTTTCAGTCAGCAAAGAGTCCTGCATTGTTTGGAATATCCCTCCACCCCATTTCACCCTCCCCAGCTTGTTGCATGGCTTCTCTTAGTTTTTGCTGCATTGTTCTTTTCTTTGTGTCCCCTACCCCCTCCCTCCTCCACACCCGCTGTAGCATTTCAATCGGCAACTGAAATGCCTTGTGTTTCAGCACTGCTTACAAATGGCTTTTGCCATTTGCAGGCTGACAGGAACATGAAGTGCTCTTTTATTGGGTGTTGAGAATTCTCGGGGCGAGGGGAGCCAAAACAGTGTATTGATTGGGAGGGCGGGGAAGGAGTGAACTTTAAAAAGAAAAGAAAAGCAGACTTTGCAGACATGCTTACTTCATTTGTTTTTGTAAGGGACTACATAGAACAATTGATGTAACAAAATTTGTATTGGGCAAAGAAGACTTCTCGCTCAACCTCTGTGCCCTCCCCATGTCTTTCTGGATTCTAAGGCCCAGTTCCGACCAAAAAAATGTACAAAGGCTTATGTGTGTAAGCCTTGGATCAGGGGTCAGCAAACTTTTTCAGCAGGGGGCCGGTCCACTGTCTCTCAGACCTTGTGGGGGGCCGGACTATATTTTGGAAAAAAATATATGAACGAATTCCTATGCACACTACAACATAATGTATTTGTAGTGCACAAAAAACAGGAAAAGCTAAACAGTATTTAAAATGAAGAACGAGTTTAATCAACATAAACTTATAACAATACAATATTTAAAATGAAGAACGAGTTTAATCAACATAAACTTATAAGTATTTCAATGGGAAGTATGGGCCTGCTTTTGGCTAATGACATGGTCGATATCCGGTTCCATATTTGTCACAGCTAGTCGTAGCAAGTGATGCAAGTGTTCATCAGTTAATCTGGATCTGGTTGGAGATTTCATTCAGGAAAAAGTCTGTTCACAGACATAGGTGCTGCCAAAGATGGTTGCAAATCTGAGTGCATGGTTCCTGAGATTCAGATATGTCTCAGAGGGGAGAGAAGCATAGAAATTTGTGAGGCTGCTTGATTTGAAAGCATCTTTCAGAGAGTCACAATTCTGTAGTTCGACCAATTCCATTTGGTAAATTGGATCAGCAGTTTCAGTGTCAACAGAAAATGGGTTCCAGAAAAGCTATATGTCTTGCTCATGGATGTGAAGCTCTTTAAATCGAGTTTGAAACTCCTTTTGCAAAATTTCCAGTAAATCCACATGTTTCGTTTGGGAATGCAACTGCTGGTTTTCCCGCCGACATGTTTTGAGTTTTGGGGAGATGCCAGAAGTTTTCCTCCTTCACTTGTTTAATGAGGAGGTCTAATTTTGCTTGAAATTGAATATTGAAAGGGTTGAGTATTTCTGTTACGTCTGTCAGAAAGGCAAGCAGCCATTTCCATTCTGCATCTTTGAGCTCTGGTACTTCTTTGTTTTTCATAAGCATAAAATCAGAAACATGCAGAAGTAAGTAATAAAAATGTTTCAGAACTCTCCCTCGACTCACCAACAGACTTCTGTGTGGTACGGAATATCTTCATGGTCAACATGTAACTCAGACAGAAATTCCTGAAACTGTCTGTGGTTTAGTGCATGAGCTCTAATGAAGTTAACACAAGATACCATAGTTTTCATGACATCCATGACTTCAGGGATTTTTTTACAACACAGTGCTTGTTGGTGGATGAGGTAGTGTATGGCTATTGGATGTGAATGGTTGTGTTTGTCCATCTCTTGGTTAATGTGTGCAACCACTCCTCTCATAGACCCCACCATGCTAGGAGCACCATCAGTTGTGACACCGGCTAGTTTAGCCCAGTCCAGCTCCAAATCATGCACAGTTTGGCAAACTTTTTCAAAGATACCCTCTCCTATTGTTGTTCCCTTGATGCTTTGCAGTGCAGTAAGCTCCTCTGTGACTTTGAAATTACCATTTGTCCCACAAATGAAAATTAGAAGTTGTGCAGAATCACGAACATCAGTGATTTCGTTGAGTGTCAATGAAAAATAATGAAGTTTTTTCAAGGAGTTTTGCAAATGTTGATGCAAATTTCCCCCTGTTTCTTCAATCCTACATGTAACTATACAGACTCAATGTACTAAATAAATCAGTCTTCTCTGGACACATCTCTTTGGGAGCAGAAAGAATGCATTCTTTAACAATTTCTCCCTCTACGAAGGGTCTGCTAGTGTGCGCTATGAACTTGGCAATGTGAAAACTTGCTCGCAACAATGAAATATTTTGCTGCTTTTGCTTCACAAAAATATTTTGCTGAGTTGTCAATCCACTTTTCAGTTTTAATATTTCATCTTTTCTCACTTGTCCAACCAAACAATCATATTTTCCTTTATGGTGAGTATTGTAGTGTCGAAGCAAATTGTATTCCTTGAACAGAGACACTGAATTCTGGCATATCAGACAAACAGCTCTTTCTTTGTACTGCGTGAAAAAGTAATCGAAATTCCACTGTTCGTTGAAAACCCTGCACTCAGAGTCAACTTTTCTTTTTTTTGATTCACCGTAATTTCCTAGGGATGGAAAATTGCTATTAGTCAAATACCAATAAATACAGAGCTACAAAAACAATATACCAGCAGTAGTGACTACTAAACTAAAATTAAAAAGTCAGCACACAGAAATACTGCGAATGCTCAACGCTCACATATACCCATTTTTCTGTACCATTGGACGACCCCACGGATAAGGAGACCAGGCAGGCCCCACAAATAACCCAGAGATGCATTTTAAATAAAAAGACACATTCTACTCAGGTAAGCCACCCCCCGACTCTCCCCTCCCTTCTCCACAGCACCGGACGAGCCGCGGGGGCTGCTTACCTGGGTCTTGCGAGCTGCAGCGGGTGGCAGAGGGACTATGAGCAGTGTGCGAAAGGGCTCCAGAGAGGGGATGCTTTAAATGGCGGCCACTTGAGAGGGGCACTTAGCTCCTGTGTTTTGCGAGTGGCAGGAGCTGGCGGCAGTGGGACGATGAGCGGCGTGTAAAAGGGCTCCGGAGAGGGGCAGGCAGCAACAAAGCCCCAATTGAGCCTGCTTAAAATGGCGGCCGCTCGAGCGATCGCGCTGCTGCTGCTGCTGCTGCTAGCACCAACCAAGAGGCACCAATGAGAGGGAAATAATGCTGCTGGCACCAATCAAAGGCCAGCCCCCTCCCAACACAGGGCAGGGAGAAGCCAGGAGGAGGCGCTGTCGTGGTGGTGGTGGGTAATGGCGCAGCCCGAACGATCAGAATCAGATCCATGTAGCGATTCCTGGACCGTCCGTGGCCCGGATCCAGAAGGCAGTTGGGCCGGATCCAGCCCCCGGGCCTTAGTTTGCCGACCCATTCCTTGGATTTATGCACTCCTCTTCTCCTCTCTGATGTGGCTGCAAGAAAGAGATTGAAATTGGAAATGAAAGATTACAATTAAGCACAGTTCAGCATGGCATCCAAACTCTAAATTATGAGTATTCTTAACTGTGTTTGGTTGAAACAAACCGGCCTCTGTGTTATGGTTTGAAGTTGGCTTGTTTCAACAAGCCATAGTTAAGACTAAGTCCAGGTTCAGATATAATGCTTAACTGTGGTTAGTCTACAGTGGAAGCAAAAGTTTGGAACTCCTCCTAGTCATGCCAGAGAAGGTGGGGGGGGTGGCGTGGGGAACTCGCGAGACTCACTGCAGCTTGTTCCCATAATAATAAACCATGTTTGCATCAACAGGGCCAGTGTATGGAACAGAAACACTCTGATTTGGGGTTGCAAATATATACTAAATTCCTTCATTTCAGAATTGGATTTTTTGGAGAAAGTATTGCCTTTTAAGAAGTATGACATGAGTCTTGTGGAGAAATTGGTGGGTGAGGGAAATAAATTCACAGCACACAAAATAGACATTCCTGTGCTTGAGGTTTTTTCAACTTTTCCTTAATCTTTCCTCAATAAACCTAAGGACGTGAAATTTGGTAATTTTATAAAATGAGGTTCTGCAGGGAATTAAATGTATTATTGCTTCTGGGTTGTATTGCAGCCACCTATTTACCTAAGAAATTTATGAGCCACCTTTCAATGTAAACTCCAGGTGGTGTTCAGTTAAAACAACAAAACAATACAACAACAATCACAACCATCAGTGTCTATCCAGTAAACTAGACTGAACTGTAAAACTCTCAGTTAAACTATTCAACATAGTGGAATGTTTGGGCTACGGCCTTTTCAGTGCCAGGCTTTTAAAAAAAAATGTTCTGAGTGGCAGCTGGGTGAGTTACAAATGTGAGGCCATGTGGCTGAGGAGGTCCTCTTGCTGGTCACTGCCCCCTGCATTTATTATTCACAGAGGTGAATTCATCATACCTGTTACACATTTTAGGAGAGCTCGGGGGTCTAGATACTGTTGGGAAGGAGATTGATCTGCAAAGTTGGGTTAACTAAGCAAAAAGAAATGTGTGCTGGGGAAAGGAGTTCCAAAAGGGTGTTATGGGAATCCTACCAGTGCCTTCCAGACAGCCTACCTGAGTCAAGGCCACATATTTTCTCAATAGAAAGATAACCTGAAGTCACTTCTGCAATTGTCTGGTCACTGTCTAAGATAGCTGTGGGACTCCAGGGAATCCATGAATGTTCGTAAATCCCCCTCCTTACAGAGCTGCTCTTTGAATTAATAACACAGGAGTCACTTTGCCTTTTCAGAGGAACATTTTTCCTACTGTTACTTAGATCTCAGCCAACTGTGTGTTTCCCTTCTTTTTATAACCAGGAAGGGGGAACAGACAAACTCAAGGCTCACTGTGGCTTGCTGCCATAACACTAAATGTGATTTAGCCATGCATCTAAAGCCTGCTGTTGTGTCTTGTGTCCAGCACCACAGGTCTCACTTGCCTTTTTGTGTATGTTTTGCTCCCCTGCTGCATTACTGCCTGGCGAAATTAAAAAGCACTTCCACCAGTACTCAGCATATTATTTTTGTGTTCTTTTTCTGCATTTTAGCTCATATTCTGCAGCTTTACATGTGTTTACAGAAAGGCAGGGTGGGGGGAACAGGGAAGTTGCTTTTCTGATGGTTTTCATATACAGTGGTGCCTTGGTTTACGAACTTAATCCGTTCTAGAAGTCCGTTCGTAAACCAAACCATTCTTAAACCAAGGCGTGCTTTCCCATAGCAGTGGCGGACTCAATTTATAAATGGAACACACTCAACAGGAAGCGAAACATGTTCTTATTCCAAGGCAAACCAAACACCTACTTCTGGGTTTGCAGCATTCTTAATCCAAACTGTTCACAAACTAATCACCAAGGTACCACTGTATGGTCAGTTGAAAGGGAAGTGCTTCCCTAAGTATCTGAGGGGTCTATTGCTACCTCACAGGGCTCAATTGTTCCAAGAACCATTTTGTATACTACATTTATTGGACCAACTGTTTGCTATGTTTTGATCTGTCCAAAAGTGCCTATCCCCAGAAAGGTTCTGCACAGCTTAAAAACTTACTGTCCCACACAACAGCTCATTCAAAAAGGTGGTATTCGAACAATGGTGGATTCTCTCTCTTGTCATTAAACATTTCATTAACCCATCTTTTGCTAACCTGCGGTCCTCCTGCTGATTGGCTATGCTGACTGAGGCTGATGGGAGCTAGAGTACAACAACATCTGCAGAGCATAATGTTGGCAACCCCTGCATTAAACAAACCTTATAAAACTTTTGTGGCAGCATTTAAGAAAGCAATGGGAAACAGTATTTATTTATTTATTTATTTATTGTGTTTTTGTTGTGAAAAATAAATGCAATAGTTGCTTCTTGCATTTATGTCAGGAGTTTGGGGTTTGTTGATTCTAATAACTTGTTCCAAACATCCAGAAGCCTTGGAAGTATACTTGGTAGTAGAGCTTAGCATACCTAGAAGCCCAAGTGACTTGCTGTTAATGTTGATGCCTTCATTTTGCTCTTTTTGCAGAAGCAGCAGAACCAAGAGATTATGAACCAGCTGGAGAAGGTAATATGCACTGCTTGAGAGACATGCACAGCTAATTCATTATTCACACCAGGAGCAGGAAGCATAGTATACTGTTGGAATGGGTGGCACTGATTCAAGCCAACACTGAAAAAAAGATTTATGGAAATGGTTCCATTTAGCAACACCTAAGGAACAATATCATCTCGCCTTGTTGCTTTCCCCTGCTGCTTGGATAGCTCCATCACCAGTGCCACATAATCCTGGAAGCAGCTGGCTGTTGGTTGGAAACACACCATGAAATAAGAGCAGTCCTGCTAGTGAGCAGCTCATGTGTGTATTGGCTGTCGTGTGGAGCCACTGACACCTAGAAACGTTTGTAGGAGCTTTACCATGAGAACCAAGTTGTAGTTAAGATGCATCTTGGTCTGGATGTTTAGACAGTGAGTCAGCATAGCATAGCATAACCATCAGCATTTATTCACTTTTCACTCGAGTTTGATTTTTGTTAATGGTAAAAGGAAAATAATCTGAAGTATCTTCCATTTTTGTTGTTTTGGGGTTCACAATGCTGGCTCTAACATCCAACCCCGTAAAAAGCAGTTGTTGTTGTTGTTGTTTAGTCATTTAGTCGTGTCCGACTCTTCGTAGACTGAGCTAATTTACAGTGCAGTCCTACACCTGTCTACTCAGAAGTTCCATTCATGTTTTTTAAAAAATTGCTTACTCAGAGGCTTTATCCCTTTCCAGCTGAATGTCAGGAACCCAACTCTCAACTGATTTTTCTTTTTACCTCACAAAGTACTTTTTCCACCACCCCCTCTGGCTAGCTGTACTCACAGCCAAACAGAGTGAGTATGCAGCCCAGCTACACCACTCTTGTGGAATTCTGTGGCACATCATCACCAGACTCTGGTAACCTGAGCTTTTCATCACATCCAGCTAGGCCATTTTGGCCAAGCCACTCCCATGTGCCCTATGCCTGACTTTATATACAACTTCAGGTGTGGGGTAGGTAGAGATCTGGCTGAGACAAAAAGAGCTTGGGACAATCATTGGATAATTGTTGCTGGCCAGCTGACTGTCAGGGATGCGGGTGGCGCTGTGGGTTAAACCACAGAGCCTAGGGCTTGCCGATCGGAAGGTCGGCGGTTCGAATCCCCACAAAGGGGTGAGCTCCCGTTGCTCGGTCCCTGCTCCTGCCCACCTAGCAGTTTGAAAGCACGTCAAAGTGCAAGTAGATAAATAGGTACTGCTCCGGCGGGAAGGTAAACGGCGTTTCCATCCGCTGCTCTGGTTCACCAGAAGCGGCTTAGTCATGCTGGCCACATGACCCGGAAGCTGTACGCCGGCTCCCTCAGCCAATAAAGCGAGATGAGCGCCGCAACCCCAGAGTCGGCCACGACTGGACCTAATGGTCAGGGGTCCCTTTACCTTTACCTTTAGCTGACTGTCAGGGCATCAAAGCACCTCACACTACATGCAGGGGAACAGGTCACCTGATATCAGGTGGCAGGTGGGTGATCCCATCCACTTGTCAGTCTTGGGCTGCAGGGGTGGGGGAAGAATCTGGCCCACTGGCTGAATCTAGTTCTATACTCCTGCACTAGGGCTTATGTGCAGCTGCAGTGGGTAGACAGTACGCGTGAGATCTTAATGTTTAGAATGAATATTGGTCATATAAGAGGAAGATTGTAAATCTAATATGGTTTTGATGTTGCTATTTCTATGTCATGTTTTCACAGGAAAAGAAGGGGTTTGAGCAGAAATTTTCAAAGGAACAAGCAGCATTGCGAGAACAGTTACAGGTAAACTCTATATCGTACATCAGCCCCCAATTAACATTTTCTGACTGCACACTGAAGTTCATGTGTGGCAATTTGTCTATTTCTGCTTCTAGTTACTTATCCTTTCAGTGGTTGTTATGACATAGGAATTCTAGGCAGGAAGTTCTCCTTTAATCCAGTTGTTCTGTGCTTTGAAGGTCCACATTCAGACGATAGGAATCCTAGTTTCTGAGAAATCTGAGCTGCAGACAGCCCTTGCACATACGCAGCAGGCCGCTCGTCAGAAAGCAGGTAGGCAACACCCTAAGCCTTCTGGCTAACAAATTAGGTGATGTTCTTGAATATTGCACCAGTTGACTTAAATGAAACACTTTTGGTAAGCTTTGGACTCAGGAGGCAGTTATGCCGTTGATTCAGTGACACAGCAAAACGATTTCGTCATTTGGCCTGTGGTTTGGCTGTGGCGGTAGGTGCTCTAGGCATTGGGAGAAGTGGGCATATAAGCTTCTGTAGACTTCCTGGAAATAGACTGTTTGAAACCTTCCTCAGTAATCCTTTGGAAACAATAAAATAATAAAACAGACGGAGATAGGTCAAAGACAAGAAAGTAAAAATACTAGTATACTGGACCTAGCATTATGAAAATTATGAAATGAGTTAAGTTCTGACCCTTTCACAATTCTCTTATATTCCAAAATGCTTCTGTAAAAAAGCCTATACAAGGGTATGTATTAATTATGGATACATTAGCATAGCAAATTCTGACATAATAAAGGAGATACAAATCTGATTGTGTTATGGAAAAATGGGGGCAAGTTATCACATATTTAGAATCTGACCCATTGAAATGAGTCAAGCCAAATAAGCAGAAAACTATGTTCGTACTAACTGCCTTAGAATCTGTTGCTCTCATGTTTATTTGCTGTTTTTATGCTAAGTAAAGTTTTTATGTTAACCGAAATAAAAGTGAGCAACTGGTGAGGGTAATTGTACATTTACTTATTTTTCTTGTTTGTGGGGAGGGACGGAGAGTTATATTTCAGTATTTTATGTAGCCATGCTGCTGCATTTTGCACCACTTGCTGTTTTCCAGACAGCTTCTAAAACATCTAATCCAGCAATAGCCAGGGATGGGTAACCCTGAGAAATATTGGAGCATGATAAATCTTGGGTAGATTCAGTTGATGGCTGATTGGCATTGGGGGTTGGAGCATAAAGTGATGGTCCACTCCTGCCACTTTGCTTGTTGGGTTCCATTGCAACATAACCTTGTTTTACTTGGGCAGGAGAAGCAGAGGACCTTGCTGTACGGGTTCAGTCTTCTCGTCAGAGGATATCTGAGCTGGAGCACACCCTTTCCTCCCTCTCTACACAGCAGAAGCAGACAGACAAAGTAAAAATTCCCTATATGTCATTCTTTCTATTATCTCTTACATTTGGTGCTTCCTCCTTTGGGAGGCTGGACTACATTCTGCCCCCAGGTGTTCACAGAATTCCAGTAGACACCTCAGGTGGGTGGGTGGATGGGTGTGGAATGAAATGAGAGTGCCTGTTGGTTTTGTTTGGATTAATACGCTTGGCACTTTGTTAGCTTTGCCAAATGGCCTGTCTGTCAGTGAGACCCAGGGGCATTGTTCTCATTCAGTGGTTCATTTTGGCATTGTCAACCATCCCACTGTCTCCATCTCAGTCTCATGTCTAATTACTGATGTCAAGTGTAGAGTCTCTCTGTGCAGATAGAACCAAAACTTTGTGTCAGATGCTATTTTGGGTCATAGGCAGACATATCCTATGGTTTCATTTGGTATACAGGTGATAGTGCTACAGAGAGGTGGTCTTGGCAGTCTGCATTTTGCTTCAAAAGAACTCAAACCTGCAAATTATTGTTTTTAGCTTCCTGTGGTTTATGTTTGGTGGATGGAGAGATCTTCTAAAAATAACCCGAACGTGTGACTAGAATAACAATATAGTCTACAAGTCTGTTTTAGAGCAATGGCGCAACTTGAGTGGGTTGCAAACTTAACGTATTTTTGGAGATATTGGCAGGTGGGGAGGGTTGCACTGGGGGACCATTTGTCTATGAAGGACAACTGTATGGATCCAGTTACAGATAGGTAGCCGTGTTGGTCTGCCATAGTCAAAATAAAAAAAAATCCTTCCAGTAGCACCTTTAAGACCAACTAAGTTACTTAGTTGGTCTTAAAGGTGCTACTGGAAGGATTTTTTTTATTTTAACTGTATGGATGTATGACATGCTCACTTATTCTTAGTTTTTGGAAACAAGCAAATCTTCATTCCGCATGGTTGGAGAGGTATGTTTGAAAGTGCACTCACCAACAAACAGACAAAATTCTTAAAGGGTTCAAAATAAAAAAGTAGAAAGATTATGAGTCTTCATGCCATTGTGGGATTTCCACCCAATTTCCTAAGGCTATAGGTTTAGGTCTTTTTCAGAGACTGGCTCTCACTTAATTGCCTTTAACGTGTAATATTTATTCGTGGTATCTCTTAATAAGCTATTAATAGTATCTGGCTGAATTATGTAAGTCCACTGAAGGCTTCAGGGACTGTTCCAGGTTTGAGGGAGCCCTTAACAATGGGCTTCCTGGGGGGTGTTGTTCTCCCTAAACAGTGGATGCTAAAAAGTTAGTGATTCTGAACTGCACTGCGTAATTCCAAGATCCAAGAACCCTAAGCTCCCTCATTGATTTCTGTGTTTGTTGTTGTTGGCAGCATAATAAAGAGCTGGCAAAGGAACGAGATGCCCTGAAACTGGAAGTCTACAAGCAAAGGTGGGGTTTGTTATTTTCCCCGCAACATTATTATCCAGTTTTTCTACTTCCGAAAGTGGATGACTTCCATAGCACTTCCCTCTCTTCTATTAACCCACTAGCCTAACCTACTTCACAGGGTGGTTGTGAGAGTGAATGTGGGGATGGGTATGAAGGAGCCATGAGCCTAAGTGCCTTGGCGTAAGGGCAGAAGAAATATTGTAAAATAGTTTAAGGACTGATTTAGATGAATATATGACAAATGTGAGATTTGAGCTAGGGTCTCCTAGCACACCCCATTAGTTCCTATGCTGCATCAGATTTCTCAGCAAGCTGCTATCTCATAGCCTTGACACAACTGTGATGATGCTGGCCAAATGTAAGGATTGGAACACAGCCATGCCCACGACATGCTTTCCTTGCAGAAGACCCCTAGTTTTAAAAGGGTTGGGGGATAGGAAAGATCCTTTACTTAAATCTCTGGAGAGCTGCTGCTTATCAGAGAAGATACTAGTGGGCTAGCTGGACCCAATGGTCTACACTGGGATAAGGTAACTTTCCCTCTGCTGCCTCTGATGGAGTTTCCATGAGCAGGTGGGGCTTTTTTTATTTGTAATAGTTGTGTTGTAGAAGATATTTTGGTAGCTGTGGCTTTTTCAGCCTTTCATGAAAAGCTGCACCTGGGGAATGCATACCAACTTTAAATGACTATTAAAATGTGGGAGGCAACTGGCAACCAGTGCAGCTGTTTCAGAATAGGAGTTATATAGGATTGGCCCATTGAAACCCTTGCTACTGCATTCTGCACTAGTTGCAACTTTTGGATCACTAGCAAGGGCAGCCCCACATAAAACGTATTAGTAGTCCATCCTGAAGGATACCTACTTCTTGGTTTTTCCCCCCTCCTGTAGTAAAAACAGTGAAGAATTCAAGCAGCAAAACTCTGAACTGTCTGAGAAGCTGCACACCTTGATCTCTGAAAACTCAGCGATGAAACTGGACGTGGAGGATTTGCACAAGAAACTGGAGATGGCGGAACTGATGATTCAGCAGGTGATGGTTAGGTCGCTGGGAATACTGCTGCCTCTTGCAGCGCAGCATGTCATACAGTTGTGGAAGGGTTCTGAATAAAGCTACTCCTCACTCCCAGCACTTAGCATGGTATTCTTTTAAATTTGAGGAATGGTCTTTAGGAAGCACTTCTGAGCATTGAAAGGAAGCCTGGCATTTGACTAGCTTTTTATTCTGCTAGGGCTTCTTGACCCATTAATGCCTCAGCTCACATGACCAATAGGTATGATGTGTGTCCAGCAACATCTGGAGGGCCACAGTTTCCCTATCCTTGCCTAGAGGTTGTGTTCCTTGACGGTTCTGAGGGAAGCGACTGCTCTTGTGAGAAATTATTCTTATTTCAAGCTGATATGGATGTACATCTTAAGTGGAGTTCTTTTTACTCTGCACCCCCAAATGGAGAGCTTCACTCAGCATATTTATCCACTTTTTCTCTTTCTCTTTTTTTAATAATACTTTTATTAGTTTTCAGTTACAATAATCCAATAATAGCCTCATTATAACAATGCCAAATTATAATACAATTACTAATCCCAATCATTCAGATGCCAAATCCTATAATTTAAGTGGCCTCCTGCATGCTAGAATTGATGGTTTGACGATTTACTTTATTTCTGCATTCAGAAATCTTATTCATCTCATTTACACTCCAGTCAAAATAGCAATCCCTTATACAACAACTGCAATATTAACATCCATTCATATTGACACTTTAAATGACTATAAATCTATAGGTGAAGCATTCAATCTATATCCTTATTCCTCCTGTGCGTGACAATTATTCTGTCCGTGGTGTTCCTTCCTGTCCTTATAAAATATAATTATCTTTTCCCAGCCATTGCTGCTCTCCATCATGCCTTGGGCGGAGCTTGTATCACATTGTTGCTATTTATCCACTTTTTCAAAGCATTTGCACTTGTGGGTACTGGATTGCAGAGAGAAAGGAGGGCATGTGGATTAAAATGTAGATTACTAGGTGTGGGGGAGAGGGTAGTAGCCAAGGATGAAAGAGCTATGATGACCTTTGAAGTTGCAATCCATGGCATTCAATCCCAGCATCTGTTCTATAGCCATGAGTGCTAGAAACTTGGAAGCTTGAAAAAGGAAAGCTAATTTTAACTAATTTCCTTATGAAGATTTTCCCTTGTGCTTAAGTAGGGGGGGGAAATGCAATTCTGGCTATTCTCTCTCCCCCCCCCCCAAAAAATAGACATGTTAACCCTTTGTCTATAATCCATGAGCTAGATTAAAAGGCACTGTAGAAGCATCCTCTTGTGGACTTCTGGGGTGGGGAGGAATGAATGAATGAATGAAAAGTGGCAAGGGATTTCAATGTTTACCATAACCATTTGTTTGATTCTCTTACCAGTTTGCAAACCAGCCAGGAATCCCAGATGCCACTCAACAGCTGCAAATGGCACTGGAAGAAAGAGCAAACCTAGAAACACAAACTGCCCAGGTAGGCCCCTCTGCCATGGGTTTTGGGATGTGGCCTTCATAGAAGAGTGCCTTAGCTTCATTCCCAGGAAGCGTGTTTTCTTTATTCACAATATTTGGCTCATGCTTTCTTTTTTCTCTTTGCTTGCTGAGCAGATGTCTGAGTCAATCCAGCAACTGCAGACTGAACGGGATCAGTATGTGCACAAGCTGAAAGAGGAAGGGGGAATCTGGCAGCAACGAGTACAGTTGCTTTCTGACCAGGTAAGGACAGGTTCTCCTGCACTAAATAGCAGGCAGATATTTTTCTGGTAATATAACAACGGAGAGATTTACTTTCTGCATGAAAGACATGGAAGGTTAGCAACACTAGTCTTCCCTTTCCAATTCCTGTGGTGTAGGTCCAGGCTCTGACAGAAGAAAAGGACCTGAGTACAACACGAATTCAGGAGCTGGAAGCCAATCTGTCAGAGTTGATCAGCAGTCAGTCCGGTAAGGTTCAGTGTTCAGAAACTGCAGCTTAAAGCAAGACCTTCTTGCATAGTTTGTCATTACCTTTGCCCCCTAAACATACTCTGTTCCACACAAGCTCACCTGTTCAATCCCCTGTCTTTTTACTCTGTGCTGTAGCACAGTGATATGCAAAAGTTCCAACGATCAATTCCTGGCTACTCCTTTAAACATACTTATACAGTGGTACCTTGTTTTTTGAACATAATCCGTTCTGGAAGACCGTTCGAGTTCCAAAACGTTCCAAAACCGAAGTGCAAAGGGTGGTCTGCAAATTTAATAGAGAAAATTGAGAAAAATAACATATACACTCAGCGGAAGCCATTCGACTTCTGAGGCACGTTCAAAAACCAAAATGTTCATCAGTGGAGAAGTTTGAAAACCAAGGTACCACTGTATGTGGATCTGGTTGCAGGTGATAGGAAAGACTGCATTAGTTGCCTGGTTCAATTTCCCCCATCTTATCAGTAGAGGCTCTCCTCTTAATCCTTTTGCAGAGGATTGACCAACATTTCTCTCCCCCACATTCCATTCTTAAGTGTACACCTTCAGATGTCAAGTGTTCCTGCAGCAAATGTGTTTACACCTGCATGAATCCTGTAGACACACATGTGTTAAAGCACCTTGATTTGTCCCTGCTTCCTGTGGAGTGAACACTCCATGGCAGATTTGGGCTTGCCTTTTGTTTAAGGCTGTGATGGCCAAACTTGGCCCTCCAGCTGTTTTTGGACTACAGCTCCCGTCATCCCTAGCTAACAGGACCAGTGGTCAGGGATGATGGGAATTGTAGTCTCAAAACAGCTGGAGGGCCAAGTTTGGCCATCACTGGTTTAAGGCAACAAAAGGGACCTTTTGGTCAAGCTAATTCTCCACCCTTTTATGGTTTTTCTTGAACAACAACATGGCCAGACTACCAAGTTTGTGTGTGTTAAATTTGAATGTGCCACAATCACATAGAAAGCTGAGGTCCAATTGAAGGGGCAAAGGGAGCTGACCCAGCCCCACCCCTTTGGCCAGGCTCACTTCCATTATCAGCACCTGAGCAATGGGGGGGGGGGAGTGCCTGAGTTGTGTGTGCTTGGTGGGGGGGGGGAGTAAGCCATGGAAGAAGGCTCTGTACTCCTCACCTAGGCACTGCTTTTGTTCCTTAAGTTGGCCGTGAACAGTCTGCCTCTCTAACTTGACCTTCTAGTAGTGAAGCCCCTGGAAAGTGATCCTGCCCCCCATTCAGGGCCCACAGAAGCTGAGCTGCGCTTGCAAGAAGAGCTCACTCGGTTGCAGGAGGAGAAGGAGGAGCTTCGTGGGCAGTGCCAAGCCCAGATGCGGGACAATGAGCAGCTGAGCCGCCTCAATCAGGAGAAGGAGGAGCAGCTGCAGGAGTTGGAAAAGACAGTGCAGCGCTACAGTGAGGAGGCTGTGGACAGGCAGCAGATCCTGGAGAACATGCAGAGTGACAAGGCAACCATCAGCCGAGCCATGACTCAGAACCGGGAGCTCAAGGAGCAGCTGGCAGAGCTGCAGAATGGCTTTGTCAAACTGGTATGTTCCTGCTTGTGGTGAGAGGCAATAGCCCCCTTTGCCATCCAGCCAGAAACTTCCAGTGCTAGGGATGTTTGAACTCTAAAAGGAAGCCATCAAGCACCCAGGGAACCCTTGTAGATTGCTGCAAAGGTTCTCTTTCCTCCACTGTTTCACTACTCCCTTTGTTGTTTCTGTTCCCTGTTTGTCTTGAGCAGGGGTTGGCAAGGTTTATCTTGCCTGGGCCAGATCAGTCCCGCAGAGATCCCTCCGTGGGCTGGATTGTGAGTGCTCACACCTGTGATTGCCGGCATCTGCGATTTCCGGCACCTCGCTGGTTTAGCGCAGCGCGAGAGCAGGCAGCTCATTTCAGGGGAAGCTCGTGGGCCGGTCAAACGACTTCCACGGGCCACTTCTGGCCCACGGGCCTTAGGTTGCTGATGCCTGGTCTTGAGGAACCAGTGTCTTTTCCTTGGTCCCGTAATGGTCAACAATTTCAGTCTCCTTTTGTTTCTGACTAGTGCTGACTGCCTACATCTGCCTGAAATCTGTGATCTTACTTTATGCTGTATCTAAAAACCAATCTTATTGCCCTAATGGCTACAGAGGGAGACTTGAAATGACTTGCTCACAAACATGTGTATTTATGCATTAAGTGAAGTAGCCTTCTGTTTGGAGAGCAGTGGTTGCCCCCTGTTCTGAGTACAGCACGCGTAAACCTGCAAGTCTTCTGAAATTTTTTCTATGTATGTTGCTAAATGTGTATGCTTTATCTTTGAAGCCCAATCAAGTATGCTAAAATATTTTAGCTAGCTGTACACGGGTTTCATAATAAGTCATACATGAGTGTAGTTTTAATATAGGAAATATTTAGTTTGCAGGCGAAGTATCTGAACCTTAAAGTTTCAGGGAGAGAGGGAGGAGCTTAAACATTAGAAGTTTAAAGGCTCAGAAAGCAGAGGAGTTATGGGTGGTACTTCTGTTAACCAGGGGTGAAACTTGTGCACAACTTCCTGGCCTAAAACCCCCCTGTTAAAATACTTTTATCCTTAGTCTAATGCTCTTAAGGCTCTTTGCCTTTCCCCCATGGTTTCCTTCTCCTTCATCCCCTACCCCCTATTTTAGATTGCTCCCAAACTATTATGATTTCTGACAGTGATGCAGAAGGTTCCATAACAATAGACTGATACGTACTTCACCACTACTAGGGAGATTTGTGGCGCTGCCTCATTTGGCTGCCTTATGTCTTCACAGACCAATGAGAACATGGAGGTGACGAGTGCCTTGCAGTCAGAGCAGCATGTGAAGAAGGAGTTGGCCAAGAAGATTGGAGAGCTGCAAGAGAAGCTGGCAGAGCTCAAGGAAACGGTAATGCTCTGGCTGGGGTACCACTGTGAATGAAGGGAGCCAGTAATAGGGCACGTGGGGCCAGGGGCAGTGGGCTATAGGTGGCACAAAGCAGTGGGGTGAGGTCTTCTCCTTGCATACATTTCCTCAAGTGCTGAGCTGTTTTCCTTGAGATTGTCTTAGGAAATTACTCTTGCAGTTTCTGAAGTTAGGCTACATAGTTTAGCCATTTGACTGAAATGAAGAATAGTGTTGGAAGAGCTTCTCTACCCAGCAGAATTCAGAGCAGCCTGGCTTGAGTGGAAGAGAGATGTTCATTCCTCTTGAAGTAACTTTGGTTTTTCAAATCCAGTCTGTGGTGTCTGAAGGATTAAAAAAAAAATTTCCCACATTGTGATTTTTGCATCGCACATGCACGCATTGTGGTTCACGATATATCACCACATCAAATATTATGAAACCATTACCACGAGGTGGACTTCGGACTGGTTTTGGACAATATTGATACATTGCCAAGACTACTGAGGTGGGGGAGAGAAGGGGGATTGTGTGTTATATGTGTGGAGAGAGAAGAGTGCACCAACTCTGGACTGCTGATTTGGTAACCAACTTATTTCCCTCCCCATCCTAGGAGGCTCAGAAAACCCAGGAGGCTCAGGCCCTTCAGGAGCAGCGGGATCAGTATTATGCCCACCTCCAGCAGTACACTGCAGCATACCAGCAGCTGGCCACAGAGAAAGAGGAGTTGCACAAGCAGTACCTTCTTCAGATGCAGCTCATGGATCGGCTGCAGCACGAAGAGGTCCAGGGCAAGGTGACTGTGGAGATGCATTTCAAGGAGCTGCAGGAAGCCAAGGTAAGAGCTGGAGCTTGGGAGGACTGGTAAGCAGGGCTGTGGAGGTTAAAACTGAGTAGGTCCAGGAGGATTCGGTTCTGCTTGGTCCTGGGCTGCAGCTGCCCAGGTCATCTGAATTATGCACCAAGTGAAAAACAATTCAATGTTAGGAATAATTAATGCTGACATGTGTACAGTTGTGTGGTATTGCATAATTCTAATTGTGCAATTGGGCCTTTGCCAGCTTTGAGTGAGAGCTTGGGTGTGGGATGCAAGGTGACAAGTGCCTGAGGTAGGAGCTGACATACTGGAAATCCCAACTCTGGTGGTTGGATGTTGGAATGAGAAGGGCTTTCCAAATGTTTGTTTTTCCGGTTCTGGGTCAGTAGTTGTAGAAAGGAATCACATGAAGCCTTTGTGTTGTGTTGGGTCAGTGTACTTTTGTGGAAGAAGCAGCCAAAACATCTGTTGCCTCTTTCTTGAAGGAAAGCCTGGAGATGATTTCCAAAGAAAACAAGGAGCTGCAGGCTCAGGTCAGCCAGCTCATGGCAGAACTAGATGCAAGGATGCTTCCCAGGGCACAAGGTGAGTTGTCTTTTCCATTAGCAGGAACACAGGGGGGCTGATCCTAGCAGGATGTTCTAACTCCTCTCTGCTGTCTTCCTTTGCTCACAGGGGATGGAGTGGAAACCGAAGAGACTGTCGAAGAGCTGAAGACTCCTGCCCTTACCATCCCAGATAATTTTGAAAGTAGAGAGGAAATGGTGAGTGCCTGGCAAGTCTTTGTGGTTTTACATGAGTGCTTCAGGAGGTGAGGGGAATAGGAAGGGTGGGCAGGGAATAACTTGGAAGCTCAGAGATGCAGCAGCCCTGAAGTTCTGTTCAAAGACTTTCAGCTGAATACTTCTAGCTTCCTAGAAATGTGTTGCATTTCTGGATTTATCTTCACTTGACATTAAACGTAGATTAACTTCCCCATGCTTTTAAATTGGATTATTTCTCAGCCTATGCTTGTGTCTCCCTCTCTGTTCTCCCCACCCCCTTGTGTGCCTCCAAGCAAGCCAGAGCAAGTAAACATTGGATTCCCAACTAGTTTCCCACTTCAGTACTGGATGGTTCCAGACAGGTTAGCTTCAGAGACAAGAAGGGCCTCTGTAGACTATTTTCACATGTAATGTGTCTCAGCAGGCTTGCAGAACGGTTTATCAATTGGGTGTGTTTTTTGACTGTCAACTTGGCAAAGTCCCTAAAACAAGAGATGCTGAATTTACTGAAATCATTCTGAATGCAAATGCAGACAGGCACATCCAGGGGGCTCTAGTTTTGGGGCTTAGGACAATGCCTCAGCATTACCAATCCTTACAACCCAGGCACTTCCATTTTTGCTGGCCCACCTAGATGACAAAGACCAGTGCAGACGTTCCAGTCTCTGCAGCCGGCTTCTCACGGTATCTTATTGAATATGTCCCTGCCTCTTTCCCCAACATACAGCCAGTACACTCTGCATTACAGGGCCAACCTAAGAATGTGCTGAATTCTTGGAAAGAGTAGCCCTGGAGTTTCAGAATTGGGTAGCACTATGAAGCCAACAGTTTTGAATTGGTATTAGTTGTATCTTAGTATAGTGATTTTTGTGCTTTCAAAAGACCCTCTCCACCTCAAGAAAAGGCCTGGAGCGTATTTTTTCCAACACTAAGCCAAAGTTTTAGAGCATATGTATAATGAAGCATAAATGTGCCTACAGAGCTGTGGAAATACGAGAATGACTCTGATGAAATGAGCTACAGATAAAAATGAACCTTCTTAAATTCTTTCTAACCCCCTTGCAACATGCTAGCATTGGTTTGATTGTACACTTATTTCTCTTATTTAAAACAGCTATAATTCTTCAAATGGTCCCCAGGATATATTTTTATTTTTTACATTTAACAACACCCTTATGCTAAACTTCAGCATATGGAATTGCATCTTAGGTGGCTTTCTTGACATCTGTTATGTCCCAAGCGGAAACTGAGCGAGAGGAGATGAGGCAGCAACTGTCTGAGGAGAGGAGGCAATGCAGAGGCCTCCTGAAGCAGATTGCCATACTGAGGAAGGAGCAGCAGCTGCATGTTGCATCTGGGGGAGGTAAGCGTGCTCCTGTGTGTGGATGTGCATATCCAGGTGTCTATTTGGATTCCAGCCAGGTTGGACCACAAGGCCATTCCTTCTGCAGTCGCTTAATCAAATTACTTGACCCTTTTCAGATTCTGCTGCAGATTCCGTTCCAGGTGAGGTTCACGAAGCCTTAAAAAGTGCCATGGAGAAGCTGCAGGTGCGTGTTTAATGCTTTTGGCTACAAACCCAGACAAATAGCACATGTGCTAGTTAATGCAATACATCTTTCAGCACTTTATGAGCATGTTCATGTGAAGGTCCCATCACTGATGAAGAGCCTTTGCAATCCTGCCTTTGCCTATTGAGCTGTGTAATGTTGGATGGACTGTTACTGGCTTAGCTGTCTTTGTACTGTAAGACTTCCAAACAGCTATAGTAGTTCCTCCATTCCCCAAGATCACTATAATAATTAGCACTTAATCAGATTTTCACCATGTAGGTTCTCTTCTCTCTCCCTGTCACAATCTTTTGTGGGGGTGAGTGACTAATGATGCTGCTTTGGAATCAAAAGATATTTTGTGGAAGAATCAAGCTTCCTAACCACACTTTGTTTATTGTTGATACACCTCACTACATTTTGAGTATATATGTTCTTAAGGGATCTGATCTGAAAAATCTTTAGTGTTCTAGTGACTTTTTCACTTGGAAAGCAGCCGCAGGCTTTTCCTCCTAAGCAGTCAGACCTGCTTGGGTAGAAGGCTTCTGCTGCTTTCTTTTCTAGAAATAAGATCATTTTACCTTCCAAGGGATGGTGCCTGTCTGCTGCCTATCGGTGAGAAGCTGCCCTTGTGCTGATTATTGCTGTGGTAGTGCTGGCTGCTGCGCCAGGAGGGTTTGGGTTTCTTCTTCCACATGGTCTCCCTAACATCTTCAATGATGACTGGCTGTTGTGCTTTCTAGTCTCGATTCACAGACCTGATGCATGAGAGGGCAGAGCTGAAGGACCGGGTGGAAGAACTGGAACATCGTTGTATACAGTTGTCTGGAGAAACGGACACTATAGGTGAGATGAATTCAGTGCCCCTCTCCACGTTTCAGTGAGATGTCTGGGGAAGTGTGACTAACACTTTGAAATAGATTATGTGGCAATTCTCCCATAGGATCCCGAAGACCTTTTGTTTACATTTTAAAATCTCAGTTCTCATGAAGACAAAGGAAAATGCAGGCAGCCTCCAGTGGTTAGGAATTACTACTCATCACCCACCTTTCTAAACCATTTTACCTTCTGTGTGTCCCCACGCAACCAAATAAAGGTCTTGGGAGCAGACCTACAGAGTATGTAGGAAGCAGCTGGTATGCACCATCCTAGTCCCTGTCTGGTCTGCTCTCTCAGCCAGCAAAAGTGGGTGCTGTTTGCCTGTGTCAGTTTGCTTATCCTGTAAGATACCTGCCTGCATGTCAGAAAGTGTGCTGATTACAGTGTAGGGTTGGCTGAGTGAAAACACCTGGACTGTGGATGTGGTCCAGAGCCTGCCTTATTATAACAGCAGGCCCTGTCACAGGCAGGCGGGGTTATCCCCAAAGGGGACAACACCTAAGGGTATTGCCGCTTTGGGGAGCCGCAGGGGAAGAGGAGCTCACCAGGGTCAGTCAGGATATGTAGGGCCAAGACTGTGGGACACGGCATGGGCCGTAAGTTTACTATCTTTGGCCTGAATCTCTCAGTTGTGATAGATGATGGGTGTCTGGATGTGCAGGTAGCCAGGAGTTGTTAAAATGCTGTCCAGTCTCAGTAGTCATGGGCAGAGGAAGATGCCGTTCAAGTACCAAGGCCTAGATGTTTAATCTGTGTTCCTCATTCGAGTCCTCTCCTTTGGAAAGTACTAGTAGCATATCCACTGAGCCCTCTGGTTTTGTGATGCTGTTACTGAATGCCAGATTGGTCTGTAATAAGACTATGTTCATCCATCATAGATGAACAGGCTGATCTGACCTGCATTACTGAGACTTGGGTGAGTGAACTGGGTGGACCTGACCTTACCCAGCTATGCCCACCTGGGTACATGATACAACACTAGGCTATACTACCAGGAGGTTGAGGGGGAGGTGTTGATATTGTCCATAAAAACATTATCTCCTTGACCAGAAAACCTCTTGATGTTGGAACAGGCTTAGATGGTCTGTACCTGGTGTTGTTTAGATTCAACTTACTGCTGGTCTGCTGGCCACCCAGTTGCCCAGTAGCATCCCTGATCGGGCTGGCCAAGGGGATCTCTGGGGTGATGGAGAACACCAGGGCGGTTGTCCTGGGTGTCTCCAGTAACCATGTGTAGCTACCATTGGGCCAGCTATGAATCTATCTCCAGTAGTCTTTGGTCTGACACACCATGCAGAGCATACTCATGATACAGTCTTTGCCCCAAGTGATACGAGAGACTGAGAATAAGGGTGAGTGCAGTCTACTTCCTTGTCATGGTGAGATCTTTATCCCATTATGTTTGGGCTGACAATGGCCACCCCTCGCTTAAGACTAGTGAGCCCACTTGGATGGAAACTGATGTGTTCCTGAAAGCTCTGTGGGATCTTCCAGTGGAGAAAGCCCAGGTCCTGCTATGAAACAGATAGCTGACATGATTGCTTCTGCATGTCCTTTCTGGCATTATGGAGCTTGTGAGGTCTCTTGGTCTTCTGAGGAGCTCCAGGCTATGAATCAAGCCAGACAAAGACTGGCATGCAAGTGGTACAATCCCACTCCGAAGCCAACCAAACACTGCTTGGAGCACATAATTATGCTCACTATGTGGCAGTGCAGGCTGCAAAAAGGCTTATTTTGCAGCTTGCATTGCATCCTGTAGTAGCAGGCAGGCAGAGTTATTTATGTGCATCCCTCCTCCTCTTCCTTTTAGTTTCTACCAACATAAAACATGTAAATAAGGAAATAGTGGAAAATCTTTAAACTTCAGAATTCTTGAGCTGATTTGTTTCATATGGCATTTTCTAGCTGAAAGTAAAAGGCAGAATACATACATTTAGCTGCATTATGGTTTTTCATCTTTGTTCAATGTTTATAAAACTTCAGTAAGTTGTTGGTGGGAAACTGTTCCCTTCTTCCAAAAGTCCTATTGCAACATGTGGATTCTGCTAGATTTCAGAACATACCAGAAGTTTTGCCTACCTTGTTTTCTTTTTCAAGGAGAAGAGGAGGTGGGGACAACCCCATTTCATGGTTGCTGGTATAGTAAGCATGTAGAGTGGTACCTCGGGTTACATACGCTTCAGGTTACATACGCTTTAGGTTACATACGCTTCAGGTTACAGACTCTGCTAACCCAGAAATAGTGCTTCAGGTTAAGAACTTTGCTTCAGGATGAGAACAGAAATCGTGCTCCAGCAGCACAGCAGCAGCGGGAGACCCCATTAGCTAAAGTGGTGCTTCAGGTTAAGAACAGTTTCAGGTTAAGAATGGACCTCCGGAACGAATTAAGTACTTAACCCGAGGTACCACTGTACATGTAAGGGTGAATGTGGAGCTTTTAGCACCACCCTTTGAACAGACCTGCTAAGACTCACTTGTGTCTCCTGTGTTTCAGGTGAGTACATTGCCTTGTACCAGAGTCAGAGGGCTATCCTAAAGCAGCGCCACCGGGAGAAAGAGGAGTACATCAGCCGACTGGCCCAGGACAAGGAGGAAATGAAGGTGAGCAAGGGATCTCCTCCCTTCCCACCAAGGGCTCTTTCTGACACAGTTCAGGAAGGGAGTGAATCGGGTTGGTTGGGGTATTGTGAGTTTCACACTGTTAATGAGGGCACCAGCCACCCTTCGCTCCTGCACCTGGACTGCAGTGCTTACTGAGGCAGATCTCTGATTGAAGGACGGTCCACTGTCTTTATTGACAGTCCCTGGCACACTGGAAGAAGACCCTCAGGCAGAGTCTGGCTCACCCCATTTAAAGGACTAAACTGGTCTCCTGTTGAGCTCTGGGCACCTGTTGTTGTTGTTGTTTGTTGTTGTAATCTGTGACCTTCCTGAACACCTCTGTCTGCCTGCATGCACAAAGCCACTTCCACTGCTTACAAAAAGGTTTCTTAAATTACTTGGAGAGCTTTAAAAGAGGAGTAGACAAATTCATGGAGGACAAGACTATCAGTGGCTATTCGTATGACGGCTGTGTTCTGCCTCCACAGTTGGAGGTGGTATGCTCCTAAGTGACAGTTGTTGGGAATTGCAAGTGGGGAGGAAACTGTTCCACTCAGGTCCTACTTTGGTCCTTCCCATAGGCATCTGGTTGGCCACTGTGAGAACAGGACCCATCCAGCAGTCCCTTATTATGTTTTTATATGTGTCCTGTACATAGATAACAGGAGACAAAGGGAAAGGAGAGGTTTGGGCTTGATAAGAAGGGTGATTCAGAATCGTGCACCTCAGATGAAAATAAAACATAGTTGACTTTGCTTGGTCAGTTACACAGTAAATTAAGGTAGAACGAAGAAGTAGTGGTGGTACAAGCCTGGATCGAAGGGGAAGAACACACCTCCAATGTTTCTGCTTTAGCTCTAAAGAAAGTAATGTATCTGGAAACTTGCTTCTGGGAGCACCAAGGTTAAAAGTCTTTGCAAATCAGTGTTCATGCCTTTGTGCTCCTGGTGGTGCTAACCCACTTGGGTCCATTATGCCAACACAGGTGAGGGTGATGTTGGAAGAAAACAAAGGAGAACAGTGACAGTGAGCATGTGCAAAGCAGAGGCAATATAGATGAGCAGAAAAATTAAGGACCTTGAGAACTAGAAGCTTGAATGCTTTAAAAGCTGTCAGGAACCATTTTTTTTTAATATATATATCAAGATTAAAGATTAGGATTAAAAAGGAGGGAAAGGAACTGTTGGACTAACATATTTAATTAGAATACAAAAGAGGGAGGTAAGAGGAGATCCGAGAAACAAGTAAATGTAAAAGAAGTGAGGAAAAGATGAAATTGTTTTTAATTGTTTTTTTCCCCTTTTTTACTTTGTATTTTTTCTTTTTATTGTTAATTTTTTCTTCATTAATGTGGTTTTTTTTCTTGTGAAATTTTAATAAATATTATTTTAAAAAAATAAAATAAAAGCTGTCGGGAACCAATTCCAGGGACATTGGAAGAAGAAAACCTATTCATTGTAATGGGAGGTGGTATGGTGCATGTGGGACACACAGGTGGCTCTTGCTGATTCCGTTTCCCTCTTTATACTGCTCCATTGCAGATGAAGTTACTGGAGCTCCAGGAGTTGGTGATGCGCTTGGTTGGGGAGAAGAATGAATGGTATATAAAATACATGGAGATGGCTCAAAATGTGGATCACCAGTCTGACCCCAAGAGTGAAGCTGCTCTTACAGCAGTGAGGCACGTTGAGCTGAATGCTACCGATGGTGAAGGTGAGCAGTGGTGACAACCAGTGGGGGAAATAGCTGCTGTATCTTCATGGGGAGTTCTAAGCTTAATTTCAGTGTCTTGGTTTAGCCCCAGAATTTGAGAAGTATTAGTAAATGTCTCTTTCTTTGAACTTGGGCAGAACTACTTTCTGCTCTCCACAAGCAACAGAAACCATTTACCACACACTAGGGTTGAGGAGAGAGTTTTATAGGTTTTGTGTGTGAGACTTCCAGGAAAAACTGAGACCAAAAATTTCTCTCTAGAAGTTAAACAGTGTCTGCTATCTTGCCTCCCAGGGTTGCGAGAAGTGAGTTTGGCAGATGAGCCAGAACTGGAATCCACAGCTTCACAATCCCACCCATCACACACTGACAACAAAGCTCCCCAGCCTGCTTCACAAGACCCCACCGCCAAGCAGATCATGCATCTTCTACGTGAAATTCAAAACCCCCGGGACAGGCTGGGCTCCCTCTTGCAGAACCCCTGCATTCCCTTCTTCTATCGAGCTGATGAGAATGACGAAGTCAAGATCATGGTGGTGTAACTTGGCATGGAATCTGCAAGGACGTAAAGTGCCCCGTGTTTTCTGTCCTGTAATCTTCGGTTGCAGCAAGTGTCACACATGGTGGTTGAGCTCAGTGGAATTTGAGTGCCAGGCATCCTGAGCTAGTCTTCCCCTTTTGCTCTTCCTGAGCAGATAATGTAGGGTTGTCATGGGAAGTTCAGGAGAAGACTTTGGTTCTCCTGGCTTCTGCTTCAGGCAGCCAGTCAGTTTCCTCAGTCAGTGACTTTTGTTCCATTTGTCATTGTAGCCATCAGCTCAGCACCTTTCTGTTAATTTATTCCAGGTTTAGATGGTTTGGATCCTCTTTGTCCCTTACCATAGATCTCTGTCTTTTTGCTTTATTGCACAGTTGGCCTCCTGCCCAAATTTAACAGCCATCTTAATCTCTAGCCCTCCTTAAAACGGAGAGCTCTGCAAAACATTTTCCTTTTTGTCTAATGACTTGGGACAGGCAGCTCAGGGGGAGAATCTGTCTCCTGTTACCATTTTGGCGTTGGCTTCTGGCTTTTTGGTGCAGATGATCTGAGGATGGGATGGAAATGTGGCTGCGCTTTTGAAGGTGACATAGTTTGCTGTCTCTGTTGGATGGTTTTAATTTTTTTAAAGATGGGGAAACCTTTCTCCCCTCTTCTTTTTTAAAGGAAATCACTGAAAAAGCATACTTTTATATTGATCTCTGGAATTTCAACTACCTTTAATTGGATCTCCTTTCTTCCTGGTTGGGCAGTGGATTATTTTAACAGTGAGCAGGGTTGTTTGAAATATTTTTTTTATCTCCTGTGGTTCTAATACAGAACCAGGCCAGAGAGTTCTATGCAGGAGGGTGTGTATCATATGTTGAGTGAAAAAGGCATTCAGAGCAGGTGCATGAGGGAGGGACAAAGATTTGCCCCATGTCTAGCTTGAATCCTACCTAGGAGGCCATCTATGCGAGATAACTTTGTACATTTGCATACAGGCAGCAGAAGTAGCTGGCTGGTGACATAGCTGCTTGTTTGTGACCAGGGTCCTTCCTGGAGGTGAAAAGTGCTAGCAAGGTGGATGGGTATTGCTGCTGTATTGCACCTCCTTGTAAGTCATTTTGCCAGTCGCTTACATAATAGATTGTTGTATCTTCATCAGAGCCTTTCTTTCCAGTAGAACCTGCTAGAAAAAGTCCATCCAAAGGAAAAGCACACATGGAAGCTTCTTAAAATGTAAGCTTCATCCTTCGCCAGTTTTTCAGGAGAGCACGATTGTAGACTTAAATCACTGCACTCTTCCAGGAGATTGGCACAGCTGTGATGTCAGTGTTACTCCCTCAGTGCATTGTGTTGGCACTACAAAGTGGGCTTGCGAGCTCCTGTTTGCACGAATGTACATAGTGTATCTGTGTAACATTTTGTATATACCTTGAATAAAGAGGAGAAAAGTCTTTGGGCAGAATTTCGGGCTGCCAGAAGTCATCTTGTAATCTTGTATTTAAAAAAAAAAATGAAATTCAGTGGCGGGAGCCAGGAATGTGATTTAATATGGAACATTGTGAAATATTTATTGGGTGTCTGGTTTCTGGGAATGTGAAAGGAAAACCTTTATTAGAGAGAACTTGCATTCTATTGCAAAGATAATTTAATCCTGTTACAAATTTGTTCTTTCTGAATAAACCTGTTCCACCTATAGCACACTGTGTGTGGTTCTTATGTTCTACAAAAGATGAACAGTTTCCCTTATTGTGCAGACATGATTGAGTTGTATGCATGTTGCATTCTGTTTGTCCTTGCTGAAATGGACAGCCTTCACCATTAAACTGTGCTTTTCTCCCAGGAATGGGAAGAGAAAAAATCTAGTTGCTGCTAGGGCTGGGCAATGTACAGTGGTACCTTGGGTTACAGATGCTTCAGGTTACAGGCTCCGCTAACCCAGAAATAGTACCTTGGGTTAAGAACTTTGCTTCAGGATGAAGTGGCAGCGGGAGGCCCCATTAGCTAAAGTGGTACCTCAGGGTAAGAACAGTTTCAGGTTAAGAATGGACCTCCAGAACAAATTAAGTTCTTAACCCGAGGTACCACTGTATCAATATTGTCCAAAACCAGTCTGAAGTCCACCTCGTGGTAATGGTTTCATAGTATTTGATGTGGTGATATATCGTGAATCACAATGTGTTCATGTGCTGTGCAAAAATCACGATGTGGGGAAACCTGTGAGTTTGGTCATTGCTCCTCTCCTCATTCCTACTGCCCCTCAACTCTCCTCTGCCTCCTGCAGCGAATCCCAAGAGCAGGTGCTGAAGAAAGCAGCCTACCTGGGAACTTTCCTCATGAGCTTCTTGTTTTAAGCGCAGGTGCCAGGCTGGTAGGCGGTTGAGGGAGACGCAGCTCCAAGCTTCTTGCTGGGAGTCCCTTTTCCCTTCCTTCCTCTTTCTTTGGGCTATCTCTGCTTGCCCACAAGACCCTGACACCTGAACCATACTGGGGTCCTCACAAGAGCAGGAAGCCCTTTCAGCCTCGCCTCCCCAGACCCCCCCCCCAAGTTGTTGCCCAGCCCTACTGCTAGTCCTGTGGAAAAATAAACTGGGTTATTTACTTCTGAGTTAAAGAAAATAAAAATAAACCTTGCCCTCTTGTTTAAGTATCCTTCCTCCTGGGTGTGTGTTTGTGTCTCCCTCGTGTCTATTAGGGAACATTTTCTCACCTTACCTTTGATATCTATGCTACGAATTACTCCTTCAGCTTTAATTTTTTTGAAAATGTGCTAATTTACAAATTACCTGTACTGTAAAATAACAGCCGTAGCAATATGTTAAAGGGAAGTTAAATTTTGTAAGTTTTAGACCCCTAAGTAGTAGCAGTTGCCAGGGGATTACCCAGTTTGCCTCTATAGAGTTCCATCCTTATTTCAGACATCGTTCTGTATCGGTATATCGCAATGTTTAGCTGTTGATATATCACGATCCTGAAACCAGACATCGCCCAGCCCTCAAGCAGCCCTTTTCATTTCTGGCCAGATGTCAGATGCTCATTTCAGTCTGTCGCTCTCCACGCCGTTTCAAGTAGCAGAACCTTCTCTGTTATCTAGGAGAGTGCATACAAGCCCTGCTTTTCCTGCAGGTACTTCATGCTGTTTCCAGTCCACCATTCTGTTCTCATTTTTACACAGCGCTATGCTGTTTCATCCGCCCAAAAATCCTAACTGCACCTCTAGTGGTGGAGCCCCAGAATTGTACAAAAAGGTACAATGGAACTACTGCGCTTTATTGTGCTTCTTCTAAAGATGGTTTCTGAGAAACGAAGGTGTCCTTCAGCTGTGGGCTTTTAGGGGCTTCCGTTTCGTTACCCCAGGGGAGCTATCCCTTATCTCACTTTAACCGACACCTGTCTCTCGTCGAAGGGCTTTGTGAAGACGGAACAATCCTTACTCCCTGGACAGAAGCAGCGGGAGGGGAGGGGGTGCATGCATTTCACGCTGCTATTTTGCTGCAAGTGTATTGCGTCTCCTAAGGACGGGCGGAGGGCTCTGGGACCCTGCAGCTTCCTTCCCAAAGCCAGGCGCCTTGCTTAGCCGCAGTGCGGGATTTGGAGGACTGGATGTTTCTCTGCACAGGGTGCTGACGTAAGGTGGTGTGAAGTTGAGACGCTCCAGTTGGGGGCGCCAAATATTGGCCTCCACAGGCGCCATTTTATGAAGATTACAAAGGCCCTTCCATTTTGTTTGGCCTTGGGAAGAAGGCGTGACAGAGGGAAGGGCTTTAGGACCCTGCCAAAGCCTTCTTTCCAGAGCCAGGCACCTTGCTCAGCTGATTAAGAGTGGCGGCAGCAGTTTTCCGCAGGGCTCTGATCTGAGGTGGTATAAAATTGAGAAGATCCGTTTTGTCTGGCTTTGAGAGGGTGGTGCAAGGGCTCTGGGGTGCTGCCAGAGCCCTGACACTGCCTTCCCAAGGTGAGAAGTAGTGCTCAGGTGCTGCAGGTCGCTATTTTATGGAACTTTATAAAGTCCATTTTGTCGGGCTTGGGGAGTGTGGCTGGACAGAGGGAAGGACTCTAGGACCCTGCTGGAGTCCTGGAGCCCCCTTCCCAAGTCAGGTGCCTTGCTTACCCGCATGTGGGACCAGCAGTTTCCTGCAGTGCTTAGCCGAGATGGCGCAATATGAAAAGTCTATTTTGTCTGGCTTTGGCAGGTCTGCACAAGGGGACTAGGATGCTCCCAGAACCCTGGCACTGCCTTCCCAGAGCCTTGCTTAGTTGATTAAGCGTGGTGCTGGCAGTATTCCTGCACACAGCTTTGATCTGAGATGGTGCAAAATTAAGAAGATCTACTTGGGGACTTCAAATATTACAAAGTCCCATCCGTTTTGTCTGACTTTGGGAGCGCTCGCCTTCCCAAACCGGAAGCCTAGGAAGTACTTGCCCTGCTCTGGTACGAAGAGAAGGGCTCTAGGACCCTGCCAGAGCCCTGGAGCCTCCTTCGCAGAGCCAGGCACCTTGCTCAGCTGCAGTGCAGGATCTGGGATCGGGCAGTTTTCTTGCACAGAGCACCAGCTGAGATGCAGCGTTATTGAGAAGATCAATTTGGGAGTCCCAAATATTGACCTCAAAAGATTACTAAAGTAATTTTATCCATCTTTGGGACAGCAGCACAAGTGCTCTGGAGCTCTGGCACTGCCTTCCCAAAGCTGGGTAAACTTTATAGATTGCAGCTTTGCACAGGTAGGGTATGTGTGTGTGAATTAATAAAGGACGTGTGGGTTTTCTTCACTCTCCATTTATTTACTTCCCACTGCCCTGCCCACGCAAAACTGTGATCTTACACATTCAGTTTGGAAAGCTCTGCAGTAGAGCCTGAGACTAAATCTCAGGGTTTGGGGTTTAAGCTCCACATTGTGCAAAAAATTCATGCATTGCAGGGGTCAGATGATCCTTGCAGTCACTTCCAACTCTACAGTTCTATGATTATGGGATATTGGTGGCACAGTTTGAATCCGCACAACAGGGTGCTTTGTCCCAGCTCCTGCCAATCTAGCAGTTCGAAAGCATACCAGCACAAGTAGATAAATAGGTACTGCTGCAAGCCGGAAGGTAAACTGTGTTTTTGTGTGCTCTAGCACTTGTCATAGTCCTTTGTTGTGCCAGAAGCGGTTTAGTCATGCTGGCCACATGACCTGTAAAGCTGTGTACAAACGCCAGCTCCCTTGGCCTGAAAAGCAAGATGAACGCCACACCCTAGTCACCTTTGACTGGACTTAACCATCCATGGAACCTTAATATTGACATATGATTTTATGATCTGAGTAGATTTTCAATGTGATCCACCCTGCTATATAGGAAGACATTGCAACTTAAGCATAATGCACAAGTTTGGGTTCTGTGTTGATCTCATTGTGGGCCAGGCAGGGCTGGACAATGGGCTCTGTAGTGTGTTGAATGCTTCCATCTGTGAGAGAGAATTCCCTGAAAGAGGCAGTTATCAAACCACTTTATTTAAAACAACAACAACAAACCTTTCGACTCGGCCACTATGACCAGTCTCAAACTTTCCATTCCTGGGCAAAGTGAGTGAGCCTGTGGCACATCTGGAGGACCATGGTCATGCTGGTCAATGATCTCCAGCTAGGGACAGAGGTGAAAGCTGTTTCCTTCCCTCCCTCCTGGGCCGTGTCCAGAAAGTGGTGATGAAGAACGAGTGTTTGGCCCCCTGGCCTCTCACTTTTGGGGTGCCTCAGGGCTCCATCCTCTCCCCCATGCTTTTTAACATCTATATGAAGCCGCTGAGAGACATCATCGGGGGTTTGGACTGGGTTTCATCAGTATGTGGATGATACCCAGCTCTACCTCTCTTAAATTGGAACCAGTGATGGTGGTGAAGGTCCTGTGTGGCTGGAGGATGGATGGCAAATAATGGACTGAAGTTGAATCCAGACAATAAAGTGTTGTTTCTGGTGGGCAGGAGGCAGGCGGGGGGGGGGGACTCCATGAATGGGGTAACTCTGTCCCTGAAGGACCAGGTACGGAGCATGGGGGTCATTCTGGACTCACAGCTGTCCATGGCGGCGCAGGTCAATTCTGTGGCCAGGGCAGCTGTCTACCAGCTCCATCTGGTATGCAGGCTGATCCCCTATCTGCCCATGCACTGACTTGCCAGAGTGGTACATGTTCTGGTTATCTTCTGCTGATTATCTCCTGTAGAGCAATGTGCTCTATGTGGGGCTACATTTGAAGGTGACCCAGAAACTACAACTAATCCAGAATGTGACAGCCAGATTGGTGATTGGAGGTGGCCGCCGAGACCATATAACACCGGTCCTGAAATACCTACATTGGCTCCCAGTACTTTTCTGAGCACAATTCAAAGTGTTGGTGCTGACCTTTAAAACCTAAACAGCCTCGGCCCAGTATACCTGAAGGAGCATCTCCACCCCCATCATTCTGCCCGGACACTGAGATCCAGCGCCGACGGCCTTCTGGCGGTTCCCTCATTGCAAGAAGTACAGTTACAGGGAACTAGGCAGAGGGCCTTCCTGGTAGTGGCACCCACCCTGTGGAACACCCTCCCATCAGATGTCAAGGAGATAAATAACCCTGCAACTTTTCGAAGACATCTAAAGGCAGCCCTATACAGGGAAGTGTTTAATGTTTGATTATGGTTTTATATTTATTGGAAGCCACCTAGAGTGGGCAGGGTACTACTA